GAAGCCTGCAGTAGATTTAAAAAAAAAAATGACGATTTAAAAGTGCTTGTAAACAAGTCTATTTAAATAGAGAATAAATAGAGTTCTAAATTTGAATTTTAAATAAAATAAAAAGCCGGTCAAGAGCGAGTCGGACTCGCGCGACGAGGGTTCCGTACAAAATCATGAAGTTATTTTTTTTTTAATATCTACAAATTTACGGTTTTCAGATTTTTTTATTCACTTGTGCTACATGACATTGCTTCTTGGCAAATTTCATGATTATAGGGCAATGGGAAATACCCTATAGGTTTTGATTCCCTTTGCGAATGTCAAAATATGCGATATAAATGGAATATAAACGGCCGTATCTTTCGATTGCGTCGAATTAGACGCTTCATTTTTTTCACTGCTTCAAGAGATCGCAGACCTGAGTATATGATATTAATTTCAACTTGATACCTCCACGCATTCCTAAGAAAAAGGGTCTTGACAGACGGACGGACAGACAGCGAAGCGATCCTATAAACGTTCCGTTTTTTCTTTGGAGGTACGGAACCCTAAATATAACTTCTAACAATTAATTTTTTTTTTATACAACTTAAAATGGCAAAGAAGCTAACGGCTGATAATGATGGACTAACTGGCCTGTTTTCATTCTCATCTATCACCCTTCACTGGTGCTCCGCCAGCGTATCCCGTTAGCGCAGGCGGGGTTACCATGCCATTTTCACCCATCAAAAAAAAACCGAGTGGAGCTCGACGTATGGGCATCACAGTATATATTGTGACGTCCACAGTATTCATGTCAACAGGCGTCGGTTGCCACTTTCCATCGGGTGGGCTGCCAGCTTGAGTATTAGGGAGAAATGAAACGATTTTCATTACGACCGACCTGTTCGATAAGCATGCAGAAGAGTATGATGTTGCCAAGTTCCCGGAACGAGTGGAACAGTTCGGTCCTCGCGTCCGGGTACTGCACTATGTCCGTGAGCTGAGCGTGGTAGTAGCCCAGCACTCCTGTAAACACATAGACAGATATGTAATGTAATGTAAATTGGACTCTATTTTCCGCGTTAAGCTTCTCATTTGGGCCGTTGTGCGTATGAGTCGTGGCTAGTACAGCCAGCCTAGCTCCGCCCAGAAGCACAGAAGCTTGCTGGGATCTTCACACACACACACACACGCACGCACGCACGCACGCACGCACGCATGCACGCTCGCACGCACGCACGCACACGCACACGCGCACACAGCTATGTCAGATACTCTCTTGTTTCCTATTGGCCGTATAGTGTTGGTATAGAATAGGCCACCCCTTCTTTTCCTGTAGGTGTCGTAAGAGGCAACTAAAGAAACATAACGGTCGAGGGATGGGCAGCAGCTCTTCAAACTAATTTTAAAGCCTATCTGCGATTACCTAACATAATGGGCTAACTGACCTGTCTTTTCATCATCACCTATCATCTCTCACTGGTGCCCCGCCAACGTATACTGATAGCGCAGGCGGGGTTACCATTCCAGTATCATCCATTATTTTTATAGTATAACTACATTTTTTTTACCACAAGGGGACTTTGTACAAAAGTCGTTTGCTTGGGTATCTCTGTCCCATTCGTGTTTCTACCGTGAAGCAATTGTATTTGCATGGCTGTGTTTCGGTTTGAAGGGTGAATTATGACAGAGAATTTACAGAGTACATAGGAATAACACCTGAGTCCTCAGGAATGGCAACGCATGGGGGGTGTCATGGGCGAAACGGTATACTCTGTTATGTCCATGGCACTGCTCATGTCTATAGGCGACGGTGACCACTTTCCATCAGGTGGGCCGTCAGCTTATTCGCCATTCTACATAGCATAACCAAATAAACGTTATACCATTGGAGCCGTAATCGTATCTGGGCAGCTTGCAGTGGCGCGGCATGGCGGCGGACAGCGCCCGCGTGAACTGCGCCAGCGAGCCGTGCAGCAGGCCGCGCGCCACGCCCAGCAGCTCGGCCACCACCACCGCCACGCCCTGGTAGCCCAGCAGCCGCACCAGCGCGTGGAAATGCTGCGGGCCCACGAACCCTGCATCGTTCACAGAGGGCATTTTTACTTATTATGTAGGACAGGTGTGTTCTTCTCTAGAAATCTGTCCGATTCTAGAATAAGGGCATACGGGTATGCGATCCGGCCTCCCGAGCCGCTGCAGTGTCCCCCCACCCCTTTCCTTTCTCACATAAGTCCCTTATTCCCCTCATTCACCAATTTCCTTCACACATTTCCAACGTTCCCTTCCTTTTTTCCTCAATCCTTTCCTCCATACCGTGGATGGCGGAAACCACCAACAAATGCATTCCCAAAGAGGGTTGACGTCAGGCAGGTGGCCGGTCGTAAAACTGTAAGGCAAATCTTTTTGTAATATGGATAAAATCATATTACGCCGACCCCAAATGATTGGGGTGAAGGTAGGAAGATGATGATGATGTAGATTTCTGATAGAAAATTTTAGTTAAATACAATAAAAAACAAACAAGGTGAGAATCAAAATTATATGATGACAACAGGACCGACAGAAGAGATTGTTAGTAATGGAGTCTGACAGCCCCACTGCTAGCAATATATAGTAGGGTACTAGGTCGACCTCCACGTGGTTCCCCCTGGAAACCATCGTGAACAATTCTTGTTGAATTCATCACGATGGGCAAACTGACCTGCTTCATCCTCACCTATCATACCTATAATCTCTCACTGGTGCCCCGCCAGTGTACACCGATAGCGCAGGCGGGGTTAACATTCCATTTTCATCCATTAAAAAGAACAGCCCGATTGCTAGCAATATATTCTATCAGGTCGACTTCCACGTGATCAGCAGCCAGTGTATACCGCGCGTATAGCGCAGGCGGGGTTACCATTCCATTTTCATCTATAAAAAAAAAAAATATAGGACTAGTGATGCGGCCCGGCTCCGCACGGAGCGTGTTTGTTTGGATTATTGCTTAATCATATTTTATGGAGTTATCTACAAAATAAAGATAGATAATTTATTTGCTATATTTAATATTTTACAGCATACAAATAACAATACAAACATACACACAGTAAAAAAAGATAAAAGAATGCATATACAAAAAAAAAGGAAAACTAAACAACAAAAGTCATTTGCTTGGGTACCTTTGTCTCATCCGTATTTCTACCGTGATGCATTTGTGTTTGCAGGGGGGGAAGGGATTGTTAGTAATGGAGACTGAGAATCCCATTGCTAGCGATATAGCCAGGTCGACTTCCTCGCGGTTTCCCCTGGAAACTATCATGGTTAATTCCTGATAAATTCATCACGATGGGCTAACTGGCCTGTTTTCATTCTCATCTATCACCCTTCACTGGTGCTCCGCCAGCGTATCCCGTTAGCGCAGGCGGGGTTACCATACCATTTTCACCCATCAAAAAAAAAGTGTTTGCATGGCTGTGTTTCAGTTCGAACGTTGGGATATAGCAGTGAATTTACAGGGAACAAAGAGTACACCACTACAGCCCAAAGACACGATGCCATATCTATTAGGGAGTGCAGTGTGCGACGTGCCGTGACGTGTATGGTGTCGGCCGGTGCTGGCACGGACACGCTGGTACCTGCGTACTGCGCGTACTGCGTGGTGTAGGCGAGCGCGAGCTGCTTGGTGCCCCACAGCAGCGCGTGGCCCGCCTGCTGCGCCCGCTCGCGGGCCACGCTGGCCGCGAACTGGATGCCGCGGCAGCGGACGAACCTGCACGCCTTCCACCGTCAGCACCAGGGGGCAAACCAGCACGCGGCTCGCCTGATGGTAAGTGACTACCGCGGCCCGTGGTCACCCGCAACACCAACGGCATTGCAGGTGTGCTGCCGGCTGCCGTTGGTGCTGCGGCGGCGCACGGAAGATGTCCCGCAGCACTGACAGACGGCAGCAGAGGAACACCGGGGGGTTTTAGCCGGTAGGAGTCCGGCAGTACCCACATATCTCCCCCGAGGTATGTGGGTCTGCATGAAGCTTTTGCCCTCGTTAAAAAAAAAAGTGTGCTGCCGGCCTTTTAAAAAAGAATATGCTCTTCTCTTGAAGGTTATGTTGTCGTATCGGTTCGGAAATACTGCCGCTGGAAGTTGATTCCAAAGAGTGGTTGTGCGTTCAAGTGGAAGAAAGTGCCTTGAAAAACGCACGGTGGAGGACCACCACTCGTTCAGATGGTTGGGATGAAACTTTAGTTTATGGCGGGTTGTACGGTGGTGAAAATCAGCAGCAGGTATCAATCCGAACAATTCCTCTGAGCACAGCCCATGATAAATTCGATAGAAGATGCACAGAGATGCAACATCTCTACGCAGTTTCAGTGGGTCGAGCCGGACAGTACAGGCGGCAATCGTCAATAATTCGTCTTGGCAGTAGTTGCCACGCTTGGCAACCGCAGTTTGGCTTTTGATGATACTTTAAGAGGGACGTTGCTGTCCATCCTTCCCTCTCCCTCCCTTAGTTGCCTCTTACGACACCCACGGGAAAGGAAAGTGTCGCGTACAGTAAGAAGCTAATGATAGCAACACCAGATATGCCCCAGGTTTGGTCCACTGCATTACTTTAGAAAACAAAACTTTTGGTTGCAATTTGTCAACAGGCGACTTTCATAAAAGGAGACTTTGTACAAAAGTCGTTTGCTTGGGTACCTCTGTCCCATTCGTGTTTCTACCGTGAAGCAGTTGTGTTTGCATGGCTGTGTTTCGGTTTGAAGGGTGGGATATGGCGTGAATTTACAGGGTACAGAGGAATAACATCTGAGTCCTCAACCCATGGGGGGGTATCATGGGTGGAACAGTATACTCTGTTATGTGCATAGTACTGCTCATGTCTATTGGCGACGGTTACCACTTTCCATCAGGTGGGCCGTCAGCTTGTTTACCATTCTATGATGTATAAAAAAAATTCTATGACATATTAATATTTTTTAACCATGACAGTTGCGTTCCCGCCAGAGGGCGTACCTGTCGGTGGCGGCGTTGTAACAGTAGTTGGGCAGGAAGTCGTAGTTCAGCTCCCAGAAGACGTGCAGCGTGATCCGGCCGTACGGCGCCAGCACGCCGTGGTCCGACTCGCGGAGGATGGCGTCGAATTCGTCCAGGGTCAGGTAGCGGCTGAGGAGCTTGTGGCAGAGACGGTTCACCGCTATCAGCCCCTCCAGCTCCTGGAGACGAGTGGTGTTTATTGAAGTATATATTTCATTAGGCGCGTTGAACATTTTTCAAAATGAAAGACAGAAAGAAACTTTATTTTACAGAAATATACAACTACACCCACACAGGGGTCAAACAAAATTATTAAACTATATGTATGTATGCATGTATGCATGTATGTATGTATGTATGTATGTATGTATGTATGTATGTATGTATGTCTGTATGTATGTATGTATGTATGTATGTATGTATGTATGTCTGTATGTATGTATGTATGTATGTATGTATGTATGTATGTATGTATATATGTATGTATGTATATATTTCATATGTATTAGTTTATCCATATATATTAAAACTTATGTTTATGTATTATATGTGCATTTCTTATGTGTACATTATATTTATATTGTGTATTGCCTTAATGTGTCACTATAATTGTCACATATTTTTCACCACACTTGCCCTTCATACGCTTTCTGTTTTCACCCAATGGTTAGCTGGTAGAGAACGCCATATTAAGGCATTAAGCTCGCCACTTGTACAAAGCTCTATTGTGCAATAAAGAATAAAATAAATAAATAAATATATCTAGATGGTTCAAGTTAGACGTTACAGGAACTCAACTGTGAAAACCGCATCTGATTTCATCATCGCCATATCAGCCTTCAACTGTCCACTGCTGGACATATGCCTCCCCCTCGGGGGGTTTAGCCGTAGTTGCCATGCTTGGCAGGCGGATTGGCAACCGCAGTTAGTCTTTAGAGACGTTTTAAAAGGGACACTGCTGCCCATCCCTCGCCGTCTCTTAGTCGCCACCCACGACACCCACGGGAAAGAAAGGAGTGGTCCATTCTACGCCGGGACCACACGGCAACTTCATTCACAATTTATATACATACCACAACCCCCGTAATGTCTCCAGCTTCAAACTTCGCAACGGCCGCGTCGAGGGCGCGGTGCATGTCTGCGTTGATACGCTGCGCCACCTAGCGGTGTACACGGGAAACAATTTTATAAACATCGTGAATAAAAAAGATAACATGAAAGAAAGTAAAAAAGATCCAAGGTATTTTTTATGCACCTTAGAATGGTAAACAAGCTGACGGCCCATCTGATGGACAGTGGTAACCGTCGCCTATAGACATGAGTATACTGTATCGCCTATGATATCGCTCTTGCGTTGCTATTTCTAAAGGCCCAAGTGTTCTTTAATAGGTAATAATGAAATAGTAACCCCGCCTGCGTTATCGGTATACACCGGCGGGGCACCAGTGAGGGATGAAAAGGCAGGTCAGTTTGCCTATCGTGATAAATTTACCAATTAATCAGCCACAACGGTTTCCAGGGGGAACCGCGTGGAGGTCGACCTAATAAGGTTATGGGTTAATTAGACCCCATTACTAACAATCCCTATCCCCCCCCCCGTGATAAACGTTTGATGTTTTAAGAGGGACGCTGTTGCGCATGTCTCATCATCTCATCTCATCTCTCGACCATTAGGTCCCTTCAGTCGCCTTTTACGAGATTACAAACGGTGACCCATTCTATGTCTAAATATAGTTTCACACTGGTGCATCCCCACAATAAGGTACAATATTTTATACTGTGCATACCAGCGCGCAGAGGTCGATGTGGCGGCCTAGTAGCGCGACGTGTCTCTGCCGCAGCAGCGACGCGTACCGCCCCGCGCCGCCGCCAGTGCTGGCACCGCGGGCAGCACATTCCGCGCGGTAGCGCTTGTCTAGCAGCATGCTGGAAGGAGAACTTTAGTTTAATATATTGTAAAATTTACACTCTTACTAATATCATGAGGGGGGGGGGGGAATAGTAATGCGTACTACCTTACTAGCTAATAATTTCATTACTAGCAATATAATATAGGTCAGCCTCCACGTGGTCCTCCCTGAAAACCATGCTACAGAATATACCTGGAATTCAGCAGGATGATTCTCAGGGGATACCGTGTGGAAGTCTACCTGACAGAGTATATTGCTAACAATGGGGTACAACAACCTTATTAATAAGTCCCTTCCCCTTCTTATGGTGGTGTTGGGTAGTAAAAGGAGTCCTCCTTCACCATGTAAAATGGATTTTCTTAATATATTAAGTAAACTAAGCTAACGGCTACTGTATAATCGTTTACAGTCAGACGGCAGTCCAGGGTCACTAGAGGGCGCTCCTCGCGTACTCACCTGGAAGCCAGCTGCTTGTAGTGGGCGTACACCTGCTCGGACAGTTTGTATACGAACTGGTCGAAGCACAGGTTCACCTCCGCCTCCACTTCGTCGTAGAGGAACTGTTTGCGGAACACCGTGAGGGCGTATTGGGCCGAGTCGTTGTACAGGTCCAGCGGGTACAGCACGTATCTGGACGGTGAAAGGAATAATTAAGTTTGTGTACCACAGAAAGGAACCGAGTTTAACCCAGGTTTTCCAAAGAGACTACGGCATGGGGTTCTTCAAAAGGGGGGTAAAGAGATTTCTTCAGGGTCGGCAACGCGCGCGTAATGCTTCTGGTATTGCAGGTGTTTATAGGCTATGGATACCGCTTACCATAGGTTGGCCGTATGTTTGTTGCAGAACCAGTCTTTTTACTATTATTATATATATACATAGACATGAGCAGTACCATGGACATAACAGAGTATACTGTTTAGCCCATGATATCCCCATGCGTTGCCATTCCTGAGGACTCAGGTGTTATTCTTCTGTACCCTGTAAACTCATTGCCATATCCCACCCTTCAAATCTAAACACGACTGCTTCACAGTAGAAACATTGTCCCTACAATACCAATGCTTGTAAGCAGCACGCGTGGTCTGACGGAGACTTCCTCGAAAATGAGCATGGCGCTCAACATGTTAAGACACCGAGAAATCCTGGAAAATAATTTTGGACACATCGATGGGTTTAAAGTGACTCACTCCATCATGGCGGGCTCCTTGCTGCGCAGTATGTGGTCGGTGAGGATCCATGGCATCGACATGTCTATGGGGAACTGTATGCGCTTCTCCATGGTGATCAGGTCGTTGCACTCCTCGTTGTGCTGGTGGCGGACGGTGCATTTCTGGACAAAAATCATTAAATATTATTATTATTCAAAGACGGGCATAACAAACAGAATAACCTGTGACACTGCGACCTTTCCATGATCTTTCGTGCTCGCCCTTTTTTAAAGTTCGCTGCTAATTGCTATCTGTGATAGGAATTTTAAGATGTTCTCTTGCAGCGATGTTTTTATCTCCTCAGGATATAGCGTGTTGTCCAAAGGAGATACATCGGTTGTGTATGAGTGGGCTACAGCGACACATACAGTGCTGCGACGTTTCTTCCTCACTGTGACATGTCCATCAAAACAATAATTGATACGTCCCACCCTTTCTCGCTATTAAAGATGTAAGTGGCGAAATTAGATCTATAACCTACTTTTTTGACCCTCCCCCCCCCCCCTCCTAAATTCATTTTAATTTAATCTAAAATTAAATTGATAATTTTGCGAAATTACTGTTCTATGGCAAATAAACTAAATATATAATAATTTAAACTTAAAAACAAAATAAAAAAAGATGGCCTACAGAAGCTTCGCAAAATCTACAAACAATTTTTGGGCATAAGCCCAGTTGTGGAACATATGCTTGTTTAGTTGACAGTGTCCAGTGAGAGCCCTTGTTAATACACACAATATTTTCACTCCAAAAAAATTAATTTCTTAGAATAATTTCCTGAAAATCAGGGCTTTTGAGTGATTTAATCCGGGCACCAGGGACCAGCTTATTTATTTATTTATTTCTTATTGCATTCCATAATATAATATGTAGATAACATTTCAATTATGGACCCTGTTGGGCACAACAAGTAGGAGAGAGGAGGACAACACTTTTTTCACATTGGAAATAGTCTAAGGATCTGTTACAATATTATTCAGTCATTGAAATTGTATCACGATAGGTACGTATTTTCTTATTATTATTATTATTCATTATTTAAGTATTGGTGTGTATCTATTCATATCGTAATTGTTATTAGTATTATATAGTTATTTAATATATTCTGTAGTAAATTGATATTGCAGATGTTCATAGTCTAAGGTATCTGTTTACCATCAGATGGGGCGTATGCTGGTTTACCACCTCAGTGGTATGAGACTTTGTACAAAATTCGTTTGCCTGGGCACCTCTGTTCTATGATATGGTAATAAAATTACAGGGCACGGACAACTACGACACCTACGGGATGGATGTAGTGGCCTATTCTATGCCGGGACCACACGGCTTAAACCTATAGACCTCAGATATAACAACGTATAAGGGTTGTCGAGAGTGACACAGTGTATTCTGTAATATCTCGATTGGAGGGAGGGAAAGGAAATGTTAGTAATGCGAACTACCAGTCCCATTGCTAGCAATACACCCTGTCAAATCGACCTCCATGCGGTCCATGGTGGCTGGAAACCATCGTGCTGTATTCCAGGTATATTCATCATGATAGGCCAACTGACCTGCCTTTTCATCCTCACCTATCATCCCTCACTGGTACCCCACCAGCGTATACAGTTAGCGCAGGCGGGGTTACCATTCCTTTATCATCTATTAAAACAAAATGTCTCCAATACTGCTCATGTCTATAGGCGACGGTTACCACTTCCCACCACGTGGGCAGTCAGCTTGTTTGCCATTCTATATTGCATAAAATATGTTTTTTTTTTATACAACATAGAATGGCAAACAAGCTGACGGCCCACCTAATGGAAAGTGGTAACCGTCGCCTATAGACATGAGCAGTACCATGGACATAACAGAGTATACAGTTTCGCCCATGATACCCCCCATGCGTTGCCATTCCTGATGTTATTCCTCTGTACCCAGTAAATTCACGCCAATATGTAACAATATGTAAACAATTTTAAATGTAATATACTCACATTGACCTTCCTTCCCATGGTCATCTCCAGGTAAAACTCCCTGTACCACAGCTGGGAGAGGTCGCAGCACTTCTGCAGGGAATCTGTTGACATAATATTCATTTGTTATTTATGAAATTTTTTAAATGGGCCATCATCATCAGATCAGCCTTCAACTGTCCACTGCTGAACATAAGCTTCCCACTCTACTAAATTTGGCATTAGTTGCCACGCTTGACAGGCAGATTGGCAAGCGCAATTAGGTTTTTAGAGATGTTTTAAGAGGGACGCTGCTGCCCATCCTTAGCCCTCTCTTAGTCGCCTCTTATGACACCCACGGGACAGGAAGGGGTGGCCTATTCTATGCTGGGGAATATACACTTTTTAAATAATCGATCGAAAACATTGTTTAATTTTAAATCGTTTTTGAAAATTGACGTTATCACATTTCGATAAGATAAAATTATAATCGCTCTTAATTAAAATCCAGTTTAATAAAAAAAAAAAGTTCCGTGCGGTCCCGGCATAGAATAGGCCACCGCTTCCTTTCCCGTGGGTGTCGTAAGAGGCGACTAAGAGAGAGCGAGGGATGGGCAGCGGCGTCCCTTTTAAAACATCTGTAAAGACTAACTGCGGTTACCAATCCGCCTATAAAGCGTGACAACCACTGGCAACCCCCCCCCCCCCCAAGGGGGGAAGAAATGACTATATTAGTCTATATATAAAGAATCAACACTATATTAATGTAAAACATCTTTTAATGTTCTAGAGCCAGAACACTCAGGTTATGGAATGAGTTGCCGAGGTTTTTCCAAGAGATTACAGCATGGGGTTCTTCAAAAGAGGGATAAAGAGGTTTCTTCAGGATCTGCAACGGTCCACGTAATACCTATGGTATTGCAGGTGTTCATAGGCTACGGTAACCACTTACCATCAGGTGGGCCGTATGCTTGTTTGCCACCTCAGTGGTATAAAAAAAATAAAGTGAAATTTGTTAGTGGAAGACGAGTAGCTTACCAGACAAATTGAGTAGATATGTCCAATAGAAGCTTTGGCGGTGGAACGCCTCGATCTGCTGCAGCGTGCCAGCGTCCAGATCTTTGCGCAGCGTCCTCCTCCCGCCGGACTTATCTGATATTAACGCTTCCAGTTGTGTTCGCACCATGTACAGCTGGGTCGAAGATGGACCTGAACAAATTGAGGGTATTATGATAATAATTAGTGGTGATGGTGGTGGTGGTGATGGAATTGTTCCTCTTTATTAGAACAAATATATATATATATATATATATATATATATATATATATATATATATATATATATATATATATATATATATATATATATATATATATAATGCGAGGTACAGGAGCGCGGGCCGTACCGACGTTGCGGCGCGGCACCTTGATGGCGAAGCTGGCCTCGGGGTCCTTCTTGCCGCGCAGCGCCGGGTCCTGCTGCGGCTCGCAGCCGCGCGCCCAGTCGCCGCACGTCTCGCGCACCGACACCACGATGCTGCAACCACCGTCACCGTCACACATCACACACTACACACACAATAATTTTTCACGCGCCATAATGTTCCTTTGTTTTTTTTTTTTTTCAATAAACAGCTTTCTATTTGCAAGCCAGTTCAAAATTTAAATAAAACCTTTTATAACCTCCTTGGTAGCAATGTTTCGAAGTAAAAGGTCATTCCATTTTTAAATTACAGGACAGATATGAGTTTACATAGTAATTTATCTGGCCGCAAAACACGGCAGATATGGATTTTCATACAACTTTTGCCGGCCGCTGCCCGCATGTATCTAGACAGTACGGCAATTTTGATTTATCTCGAAGAAGATTGTCAAAATGATGCTCACATTTCCAAGCATGTTTGAGAAAAATAATTATGTTGAAAACAGCCGCTACCAGGCAACCATACTAAGTTATTGTTTACTAACGACCCGCCCCGGCTTCGTACGGGTGCAATACAGTACCGCCGCACCGCTATGTCCCTTCATTTTAAATCTGTAATATCCTCGGAAATATTCATTTAAATTACATGCTGTAAAGGGCCATATTGATCTATATTAAATGGACAATGTATTTAATATACTTAATCGGATAAAAATAATGCTGTATTGTTTAAAATCACTTCGTAAATAAGGCATTTTTCCCCCGTAAAATGTAAAGGATAAAAAATGGTTATTGTGGGTTATCCTTAAGAGATAGACATATACCATCGCGGACTTTTTTGTTGACCTTTTTAAGGTGTACAATACTGTAGTACATTATTTTGATTTATCTCGTGGGGTTCAGCCAGCGTTTACAGTGTAAGTGCAAAAAAATGTGTTTATTTACGACGTCACATTAGAAACGTCTAAATTTATCAGTGTTTCTCTACAATATTATGCATGTATTATACATATAAAGCTTCCTCTTGAATCACTCTATCTATTAAAAAGAATCGCTTCAAAATCCGTTGCGTAGTTTTAAAGATTTAAGCATACATATGATGCCTACGGCCACTTTCTATCATCGTACGGCTCGCCATCGACAGGGAGTTCACCCTCATACCTTACAGCCTAAATGGTCGTGTACAACGCGGTTTCAGAGATGTTTTCTCCTACGAACACTCAGGTTATGGAATGAGAGTTCTATAAGTTAAAATAACGAACTCCCTGCCGAGGTTTTCCCAAGAGACTACAGCACGGGGTTCTTCAGGGGGGGGGGGGGGGGGTAAAGAGGTTTCTTCGGGGTCGGCAACGCGCGCGTAATACATCTGGTATTGCAGGCGTTCATAGGCTACCATCAGGTGGGCCGTATGCTTGTTTGCCACCTCAGTGGTATAAAAAAAAAAAACGATGAGAGCGACAGCGACTTTGTTTCATACTATGTAATAATTTGATAAATGTCTTATTTCATTTATTTGGGGTCCGTATAACAGACTATAACTTACCTCCTTATCAAGTCCTTCTTGTTCTTTATCGCCTTCCTGAGCGGTTCCCTCAGTACCAGCTGCACGAAGTCCTGGAGCTCAGCGTATATGGACCTCCTGGCCGCATCCGCGAAGACCGTCTCCATCCGAGCCATGAGGACTTGCAGGCCCTTGATCATTGCTATCACTTCTATCATGGCGAACTTCTCCTCCGATGTGTAGTTGTATCTGGTGGCCTGATGATGAAGCATTGGTTGATGAAACTTTGATAAAAAAAACCCAGCCAAGTGTAAGTCGGACTTGCGCACCGAGGGTTCCGTACAAATAAAAATTCTCTAGTGATATAACTACAAGTTTTCCGTTTTCAGATCTTTTCCTTCACTTGTGCTGTACGCTATGGGTTTTTGTCAAATTTAATGATTTTATGTACGCCAAGTACCCAAGCCTAATAGGCTATTATAGGTTTTGATTCCCTTGTAAAATATCAAAATATATTTATTTATTTATTAAAATTTTATAAACCAATAAAATGTGGTACAAAAGCCGGACTTAATGCAATATTTAAAACAAAACTTGACAACGTTTCCAATAAGTTCTTTTGTAATGAACTGTACCCACCCGTTCGTACTCCTCGGCGTCGGGCGGGCAGCGCTGGTTGCTGGCGTGGTCGGTGGGGTGCAGCAGCTTCCACGAGCACAGCTCCGTCAGCACCGAGCACCAGGAGGACAGCAGCTGCAGCCCGCGGAGGCACAGCTCCGTCACGGCTTTGTTCTCCGCGTCGGAGCCTGCCTCCTTGAAGGTTGTCGTCACCTGGGTGAACAAATTTACATCATCTATAATAAATATTATAAAGAGAAATCAATAAATAATTAATATTTTATTTAGCAAACATTGTTACATTCACAATTTATATAAATATTTATTTTAATTTCTGTTTAGAACTACTGCTGCCCACTCATTACAAAAAACACAGTGGCATAGGAATGCCGCTGTTTTTTTTTTATTGAATGAAAATGGAGTGGTAACCCCGCCTGCACTAACGGGATACGCTGGCGGGGCACCAGTGAAGGGTGATAGATGAGAATGAAAACAGGCCAGTTAGCCCATCATGATGAATTCATCAGGAATTAACCATGATAGTTTCCAGGGGGAATATTGGTTGCATATTGGTTGGGTATATTGCTAGCAATGGGCTTCTCAGTCTCGATTACTAACAATCCCTTTTCCCCCCTATGCCACTGCGTTCGGTTGAATGGAAGAGATCTCTTTTAGAGATAAGTTCACCTTTGCTAACATTGTTATTAACTTATTGTTGTTACTGTATGTTTTAGTTCAATAAAGAATATATATATATATATATATATATATATATATATATATATATATATATAAAAGGTTCATACAGAGTAAAATAACATGTACAGCTGTTATGCAATGTTTTTTTTAAAGAATGATAATGGAATGGCAACCCCGTCCGCACAAACGGTATACGCTGGTATACCAGTGAGGGATGACAGGTGAGAATAAAAGGGCAGGTCAGTCGGCCCATCGTGACGAATTTCACAAGAATTAACCACGAGAATTACGGTTTCCAGGGGAAACCGCGTGGAGGTCGACCTGATAGGGTGTATTGCTAGCAATGGGTCAGTTAGACCCCATTACTGATCATTATCGTCATTTGATTAGAATTATTTTGTTGTATTGTGTATGTGTATATTTTTTTTTTAATTTTTTTTTTATTTATTTATTTAGGTTTACCAACAATTGTTTCCACAAAGTAATGTAAATATATATATACAATTATGGAGCTTAGAACTAAGTGTAACAATTGTTTATAGGCAAACACAGCATATATTGATACATGTATAACAATAAGTACGGAGAAATATATATATATATATATAGCTTACAACTATTATTAAATGCTTAACAACCAACAACTAAAGCCACCATATCCATAAGCAGATCCAGCAGCACGACTCATTTTATATATTTATATATATTTCGTTTTTTATTTTTTTTATACGACTTAGAATGGCAAACAAGCTGACGGCCCACCTGATGGAAAGTGGTAACCGTCGCCTATAGACATGAGCAGTACCATGGACGTAACAGAGTGTACTGTTTCGCTCACGATACCTCCCAAGCGTTGCCATTCCTGAGGACTCAGGTGTTATTCCTCTGTACCCTGTAAATTTCGTAAAAAATATGTATGTACATATACTAATGGTAGTGGAAATAAACAAAATCATCATCATATCTGATTTTAACTGTCCACTGCTGAACATAAGCCTCCCCCTTGGGGGGTTTTGCCAGTAGTTGCCACGCTTGGCAGGCGGATTGACAATCGCAGTTAGGCTTTAGAGATGTTTTAAGAGGGCCGCTGCTGCCCATCCTTAGCTCTCTTAGTCGCCTCTTACGACACCCACGAGAAAGGAAGGGGTGGACTATTCTATGCCGGTACCACTTACATACATATATATACTATTGGCAGTGGAGTTAAACAAAATAATTTTAATGGAGAGGGAGAGGGACACTTTGTACAAAAGTTGATTGCTTGGGTACCTCTGTCCCATTCGTGTTTCTACCGTGAAGCAGTTGTGTTTGCATGGCTGTGTTTCGGTTTGAAAGGTGGGATATGGCGTGAATTTACAGGGTACATAACACCTGAGTCCTCAAGAATGGCAACGCATGGGGGGTATCATGGGCGAAACAGTACACTCTGTTATGTCCATGGTACTGCTCATGTCTATAGGCGACGGTTACCGCTTTCCATCAGGTGGGCCGTCAGCTTGTTTGCCATTCTAAGTTGTATAAAAAAAAATTAAATAACCAGAGGCATTTGGATAAAGTGTTCAGTAAGATTATGCGGTACTAACCTCATTGCTGTACCGCGCCAGTTCCGATATGTAGTTCTGGTGCTCCTCCCTGATCTGCGGCAGGTGGACCATCAGGTCGGCCTGAGGGGACGGCGGGTTGGGGCTGGAGGACAGCGGCCACCTAGCATTTAAAATTATTTATTTAAACTTTATTATATTTCATCCATAAAATGTGATACAAATGGCAGAGTTAATGCTATAGGCATTCTCTGCCAGTCGACCTTTAGAATGTGCAGAGATAATTATGTGATAGACTATATGACAGTGATAGACAAAATTCGAGGGACGCTGCTGTCCATCCCTCGCCCTCCCTTAGTCGCCTCTTACGACACCTACGGGAGAGGATGAAGTGATTCATTCTATGCCGGGACCACACGGCTACGTCTATATTGGTACTAAATTAATAATGCGACGATAAAACTAGCGTTTTTCTTTTCAAAATTCTAAATTCAAATTTTAAATTAAAAATTTGCCAATCACCCGAGTTTTTTTTTTTAATGGATGATAATGAATTGGTAACCCCACCCGCGCTATTGATATACACCAACGAGGCACCAGTGAAGGATGATAGGTGAGGATGAAGTAGGTCAGTTAGCTTATCGTGACGAATTCAACAAGAATTGTTCACGATGGTTTCCAGGGGGAACCACGTGGAGGTCGACCTAATAAGGTATATTGCTAGCAATGGGGCTGTTAAACTTCATTGCTAACAATCCTTTTTCCCTTTCAATCACCCGAGTATAAACGTCAAATTTGACAGATATAAAAGTTAATATCAACTTTATAGGATTACCATATTAAAACACATACCAGCAAACAATCTCACACAGACCTGTGAACACGCAAACTGGCACAAAAGACATACATAAAGAAATAGTATAGTTTTTATGTATGAATATATATGTATATATGTATATGTGTGTGTATATATGTATGTGTGTATATATGTATGTGTATGTATGTATGTGTATATATGTGTATATGTGTTGTATATATTTCATATATATTAGTATAACTACTTTATTATTAATATAAGTAGTATTTATGTGTTATATGTGTATTTCTTATGTATTATTATGTATAATTATTTCAGTATGTTACTATAATTATGTCACATATTTTTCACCACATCTGCCCTTCATACACTTTCTGTTTTCACCTAATAGCGGTTAGCTGAATGATGAGAATGCCATATGGCATTAAGCTCGCCACTTGTACAAAGCTCTATTGTGCAATAAAGAATAAATAAATAAATAAAATAACCACAGTGTATGGACGAACCAGTGGTCAAACGGCTTTGGTGTGTCCCGAACGATTCGGGACGCATTAGCCTACTGGACAAGTGTACTTACTTGCTGGGATCGTAGTGCTTGGATCGCTTGATATAATTGAACGGAGCTATTTGCATGTCGCCGAACAGAGGCACCACTTCCAAGTTCTAAACGTAAACAAACAGAGTCAGATGAACGAATTAGTATACTTTATTTGTATTATACAATATAAGGAATAAGCAAGACAATTAATAAATGTAACGATTCAGTGGTATGAGTACAGTGAGCCGGTCTTATTGCTGAGAGTAATCTCTTCAAGACGACCTTAGGGTAATGGACTAACTGTTGTACAAGTAGGTAGGTATAATTAAGAAAGTTAGTTGTGTGTGGTACTGTGTTAGGTTGACTGGAAGAGATCTCTTTTAGAGATAGGTTCGCGTTTGCTAACATTGTTATTAACTTATTGTTGTTACTGTATGTTTTAGTGCAATAAAGAATATATATAAAAAAAGTTAACAGCGTTATTAATTAGATTAAGGAAAATAATTATATATATATAATCAAAATTAAAAAAAAAAAACAAAATTATTTACTACATACAATATATAAACATTTTATTAATGTTTATTAAGTTAATTATATAATTAATTACTACTTATTTGATTAAATATATAATTAGTTACACCATTAATTATATATATAATTAATAATCAATGCACCGCCATTTGCTCTTTCTGTTTAGAGTAACGGTTGCCTGGTAGAGAATGCCATCAGGCATTAAGTCCGCCCTGTACACATATTTTAATGTGTACAAAAGTATAAATAAATAAAATAATTAATTATATATGTAATTATTTGTGTAACGCCTGCCCTAATGGGAGACAAGTGTGACAGTATGTATGTATGTATAATTATTACTTATTTAATTTTTTTTATATATTTATTTATTTATATTATAGATATATATATAATTAATTATGTCATTAATTACTTATATAAATAATTATTAAAGTAACTGATTATTATTTAATGATTGAATTAATTCTCTTTTCAAAATAGAGTAAATAATAATAGTTTAAAACTTAATACAATAACATTTAGAAAGTCTACTTGGAGAGAGATTTGTTTATTTGTTTATGGGATATGGTGGACGCTAACCATAAAGCGGGCCGTATGTTACAGTAGATGGAGATTACCTTGAAAATCCGATCGATCCGGTCGAGACGTATCTTCTTTTTCTGATCCAGGCGGTTGATGTTGCACACTTCGGAGTCCATGAGGAATAGACCAAAGCCCATCACCTGCGAATTAAAATATACACGTTATAAACGAAGATGATTAACAAATACTTTTACAGTACAAAACAGTAACAATAATAGTAGGTATCAGTTAAAAACAAACGCGCTTGTAGACATACACACACACACACACACACACACACACGCACGAACGCACGCACGCATGCACGCACACACGCACGCACGCACGCACGCATGCACGCACACACGCACACACGCACGCACACACGCACACACGCACGCACACACGCACGCACACACGCACCCACACACGCACGCACACACGCACGCCTAGCACGTCTTCACGCAAACATGCACGCACGGACACAAGCACACACGCACACGTAGCGCGTATTCACGCAAACATGCACGAAAAATGCACAAACCTATAAAGAAAACTAAGTGGTTCAATCGTCAATAAATTACTAACACTCGGTACTAACACGAAAATAAACTTTATTAATTGCAAAAAGAATTGGGAAAATCGGTTCAGAATTAAACTTAATTCTTTTAATATCAATTCAAGCATGCAAAACTAAGGGATATAACTAGTCTATACTTATAATAAATCTGTAGAGAGGTCAAGTCTGTACATGAAATATATTTCCAAAATAACTATCAGCGGGTGATTAGTGATCGATACTGATGCCAAAAATGCAATCAGGAAAATTTTTGTCTGTCTGTCTCTATGTTCGTTATAGAAACAAAAACTACTCGACGGATTTTAACGAAACTTGGTACAATTATTCTTCATACTCCTGGGCAGGTTATAGTATACTTTTCATCACGCTACGATCAATAGGAGCAGAGCAGTGAAGGGAAATGTGTCTGTTACATCAAAACCACTGAACCATGAGAAAAGACATAGGCTACTTATTTTACGAAAAACTACGGAAACGCGGACGAAGTCGCGGGGAACAGCTAGTAGTATATATAAAAGTTACCTTAACAAGCATATGCTTCTCGGAGGGCGTTAGATACATTTTCGTCTCGAACATATGCACGCAAATGTTCACCACGTCGGCTAATAACTCCTCGTAACCTGCGGAGCAAAAGGGGCGAATTCTTATATATATATATATATATATATATATATATATATATATATATATATATATATATATATATATATATATATATTCTTTATTGCACTAAAACATACAGTAACAACAATAAGTTAATAACAATGTTAGCAAACGCGAACTTATCTCTAAAAGAGATTTCTTCCAGTCAACCTAACGCAGTGGCATAGGAAGTAGTGAGTGGGCAGTAGTAGTGCAAGACAGAAATTTAAATAAATATTTACATAAATTATAAATAATTATATATATACACACATACATTCACATATATACATACATACACATACACATATATATACATATACACATACACATACATATACACACATACATACACACGTTAAATACAACATATAAATATCAGATACAAGAGAACACAATGATGACAGTCTTCTAATCATTTTTATATTTAAATTAAATTGGAAAGATAAAATGATTTTAATCTTTTTTTTGAAGGAACTGCTAGACGGGCTATTCTGAATATTCACGGGAAGTTTATTCCACAGCTGTACAGCACGATATGCAAATGAGTTACCCATAAAATGGGTTTTACAGTTGGGAAGCTTCAGTACCCTGGACTGGTTCAGACAAAGACGTCTAGGTCTGGAAGGAGGAGGTAATAATTGGAACCGGGAACGAAGGTAGGAAGGAGAATTGGGATCATTAAGGATATTATATAGGACCGCTAGGACATGTGTCATGTGTGTGTTCTTCAGAAATATTTAAAGATAATTACAGTGAACGCTCTATATAAGCAACATTTCTTTATATTTTATTTATTCTACTCAGCTTAGTTAGTAAAAGAAATAAGTTATAATACATTACTGCGGCGGCCAGCAACTGAAGCATTGATGGACGAACGTGCAAATGTGGGCCGAGATGTAGCCGAAGCACACATACGTGAGTCCATCAATGCCTAGTTGTGGCCAAGGCTTGTATAGTACTTTTCTCAGACAATGCGCGGAAATCAAAAACACAATTTTACTTTTTAAGTTCAATGACGAATAACGAACAATAATAATTTTTCACTCATTCGAATTCGTGTCGAATATATAATCTAGTATTATAAAATTTGTCATTGACAAATAATTGACATATCAAACATTTTCTATACACTAGCCTGCTATGAATTGAGAAAAATAGCAACCTGATGGTGTATCTTTCGTCCTCTTTTTACTAATTATGTTTGCATAAGAAGAAAAGAGGCAACCATATGATTTATAGTTTTTATTTTATCATACCTTTTATGTTATTCCTTATATGTAGAATGGAACTTAAAGGGTAATAAAATTGTGTTGAAATATTTTCAAAGAAACATTCGAAATTAGTGACGAATCGAAACAAACGTTCAATCAATTGATATACTGCTGATATGTACTACTGTTGGACATCAGCATACTATCTTATGGTTTTTTTCTGATGGGTGAAAATGGTATGGTAACCCCACCTGCGCTAACGGGATACGCTGTCGGAGCACCAGTGAAGGGTGATCGATGAGAATGAAAACAGGCCAGTTAGCCCATCATGATGAATTCATCAGGAATTAACCATGATAGTTTCCAGGGAGAACCGCGAGGAGGTCGACCTGGTTGGGTATATTGCTAACAATGGGATTCTCAGTCTACTGTCTTATGGTTGGGACAGTTATTTATTTGTTTACATACTCATTAATAATACTATCGAAGTATACTTCGAGTGATCACTCACCATTGATCTTCTCCAGTGCATCCTTGACCGTGTCCCTAATTTTGTTCTGCGTGGCGAGGAACATCGATAGATTCTGCGACTCCTGCAAGCTCTGGCTGTCTGACATGACCTTGAGAAACTGCGCAGCTCTGTAAGGGAAATGAGGGGATTGTCAGTAGAGAAGAGAAGCAGCCTTATTCCTATTAACGTACACAGTTGCACCTTTATATTCTCTTTGTGGTAACCATCATAGTGAATTCTTGGTGCACGATAGACTAATTGAGTTAACCTTGTTACTCACTGGTACATCAAGGGGGAAGGGATTGTTAGTAATGGGATGTATTAAGCTTATTGCTAGCAATATCTACATATACACACACACGCACACGCACACGCATACGCACACGCAAACGCACACGCACACGTATATATATATATATATATATATATATATATATATATATATATATATATATATATTAAAGATTGTATTTCACGAATAAACCGACTTCAGTTATAATAGAAACAATTGTAATTGTTTTATTGTTGAATTTGGCACGATTTTTTTATACAACTTAGAATGGCAAACAAGCTGACGGCCCACCTGATGGAAAGTGGTAACCGTCGCCTATAGACACGAGCAGTACCATGCACATAACAGAGTATACTGTTTCGCCCATGATACCCCCCATGCGTTGCCATTCCTGTGGACTTAGGTGTTATTCCTCTGTACCCTGTAAATTCACTGCCATATCCCACCCTTCAAACCGAAACACAGGCCATGCAATATATATAAAATAAATGCTGAGTCCTCGTCACGTTGGCACCTAATTGTTACACATTAACATACATTGACTTTTTCATGTTAAATGTCAATTAAGCTTTCTTTCTTTTTCTCCTTTAGAGACACGGAACCATAATAACACATCTCACCTCCTATATGTGGAGTAGTCGTTCTTGACGGAGCTCTTCATGTTCTTAAGTTCGTCGAGCACCGCGAACATGTTGACGAACTTGCCGAGCGTCAGTAGGTACGCCTCCGAGACGAAGTCGCGCCTCTTCTCCGCGTGACACAGCCGCCGTACTTCCGCGCAGAAACGCTCTATCGCTTTACGCTGCAATCACAGATTTTAATTTTCATACTGAATGCTTACCGAAGCATAGCAATGTCACGATTAAATTCAATTTTGAAAAACAAGTCACCATTTTTCAATTGTTTCCGGCCAAACATCAATCATAAAATAGGTACAATAGGGGGGCAAGGGATTGTTAGTAATGGAGACTGAGAATCCCATTGCTAGCAATATACCCAAACAGGTCGACCTCCACGCGGTTCCCCCTGGAAACTATCACGGTTAATTCCTGATGAATTCATCATGATGGGCTAACTGGCCTGTTTTCATTCTCACCTATCACCCTTCACTGGTGCTCCGCCAGCGTATCCCGTTAGCGCAGGCGGGGTAACCATACCATTTTCACCCATCAAAAAAAAAAAAAATAGGAACAATACATATAAATAAAAAAAAACTATTATTAAAAACTTAGTTAATACTATCAGTATTGATCGATTACTCGAATGACAAACATGCATGGTGTCGACCATGCACGGGCTTTTAACGACCATGTAATTTTAGACATAGTACGTTTAAATAAACACACATAATGTTAACAGAGATTTAAAAGAGTAACTGTCGAGTTTCTCGCGGGCTCTTCTCAACAGATAACAAGCTTTCCGAAACCTGCAGTAGATTAAAAAACATGACGTATTCAACATGCTTGTAAACAACTATTTGAATAAAGAAGATTTAAATCTAAAAAAAATTGTAACCTTAAACAGGTAAACTCATGTTACCTAGACGAGCGCTTTTTAAATACATAATCAGATATATTGAAAAATGTCGATTTGTTTTTAAAATTTGACAGGTAATTGTCAGGTGATAATAGTCCACTGAATGTCTGTGGCAACATTCACGGGAAAGGAAGGGGTGGCCCATCTATGCCGGGACCACACGGCGGAATCCATTACATTACAAGGATGTAAATATTCCTTGCCTTACCAAAGAAGTGTGAAAAATTTTGGACAAATCAACCACATTTATACCTGAAAATACATGAACTGTAGCAGCTTGTCCACCTCCGGCGCGAGGACCTGGACGGTCCTCTCGTATATGTGCACGCGGTCGGGCTGCTCGTTGGATCGCGGCTGCGGTATCGCCCGGCTGCAGCACCGCCATGTGTACAGCATCACGGCGTGCGCGTTACCTTCTTCTAGCAGCTCGTTCTGAAATACACATACCCTTGTGTAGCACATAACAAAGAATGGGAGGAAAGAAGGAGGGGATTAGCAACCCTATTACAAGCAATATACCCTGTCGGGTCGACCTCCTCGCGGTTCCACCTGGAAACCATCGTGGCTGTTTAATTGGTGAATTTATCACGATGGGCTAATTGACCTGTTTCATCTTCACCTATCATCCCTCACTGACGGCCCACCGGTGTATACTGTAAGCGCAGGTGGGGTTACCATTCCATTATCATCCATTAAAAAAAAAACAAAGAAAGACTAATGTTTTGAAATATCTAGGTAACAAATTATTTTAATTTCGTCATAAATAATAGTGAGTCGCCCACATTATACTGAAGCATCAACGAACATTAGAATATAGAAAAAATAGTGGATAACTTTCAACGGATTTCACTTGCAAACCCGCCTATTAAGATGGAAGGAGATTCTTAGCAATGGAGTTCGCTAGCCCCATTGCTAGAAACATATATATTAGGTCGACCTCTACGTGGTTCCTCCTGAAAACCATGGTGAACAATTCTTGTTGAATTCGTCACGATGGGCTAACTGACCTGCTTCATCCTCACCTATCATCCTTCACTGGTGCTCCGCCGGTGTATACCGATAGCGCGGGTGGGGTTACTATTTCATTATCAACCATAAAAAAAATCCGCTTGTTAAGCTAAGCATGACAGCAATTAATGACAAAATCCACTTTTTTTTTATTTTATGTGAATAACTTTTGTTTTTCCTGTTATAAATAAATGAAATAAATAAAAATAAAAATAGCCTTTATTCCTGAATTACAGATTCTTTTTTAAATTGTAAATATGTATAAATAATTAATGTTGACATCAGCAACATCTTATTTTTCAGATTGTTCTAGAACATAGGCCTCCTCCATATTTCTACATTGGTAACAATTCCTTGCAGCTTGTCTCCAGCTTTTGGGCAAATCATCCTTCCATTTTCTTATTAGCCTACCTCATTACAAGTAAATGAATATAATTACCAGATTGGCATGAACTGTGGCCTCCTCTATGTATTTGGCAATACCGGTGACGAATCCATTCCGGTCCTCGAAGTTGGTGTCGAAGTTTGCCTGGTATAGGATGGAGCATGGTGCTGCTTCGATACAGGGCTGCTCATCTGTAATACATATATATATGTATATACACTGGTCATGCATGATCTCGGAATAGAATAACCCAACCCTTTCTTTTTGATAGAGTTTTCTTTTGGATGTTTTTTTTTTTTTTATGGGTGAAAATGGTATGGTAATCCCGCCTGCGCTAACGGGATACGCTGGCAGAGCACCAGTGAAGGGTGATAGATGAGAATGAAAACAGGCCAGTTAGCGCATCATGATGAATTCATCAGGAATTAACCATGATAGTTTCCAGGGGGAACCGCGAGAAGGTCGACCTGGTTGGGTATATTGCTAGCAATGGGATTCTCAGTCTCCATTACTAACAATCCCTTTCCCCCCTTCTTTTGGATGTTAAAAAAAACAACTAAGAGAACTTAATAGTTGACAGAGAGCAGTATCCCTCTTTTAACATCACCAAAGTTTAATTGTAGTGGTCAACCCAACTACTGGTAAAACTCCCCAATAAATGTCTATAGGCGATGGTTACTACTTTCCATCGGGTGGGCCGTCAGCTTGTTTGCCATTCTAAGTTGTATAAAAAAAAATAAAAATAAAGAGCAGCCTATGTTTAGCAGTGGACAATGAACAGCTGATATGATGATGATGATGATGATATAAACTGGTAACCCATACCAACTTTACACAGGTAGATAGATAAATCTCTAATTTTTTTTTATTATATACAGGTCTGATGGTGTGTGTAGTCATCTATATGTGAAAGAATTTTTAAAACCAGTTATATGTATTTTTTACATTATTATATTATAAACAAAAAAATGGAATCTTTCCTTTTTATAATATTTCTTATAAATGTAAAATTTAGATGATTTTTTTATTAATTTCAAATTATATATTTTATTTTTATTTAAATAACTTTATTGAGCAAAATAAAATATGGTGCAAACAGCAGACTCAATGCTTACTAGCATTCTTTACCAGTCAACCTTTGGGATATACGAAATACAAAACACAAAGTGAAATATTGATACAGAAATATAGTCTCAATAGACAGGAGATTGATTTATTTTCAAATATACTCACAGAACCACATTCCGGAATGGTAAAATCTTTAATTACTATATTTTTATATCAATAATTCCCTTTATCAAAATAGACTACTAAGATATTATGTATTATTTATTTATGTATCAATGTTTTAAGTATGCGAGGTATTTTTTAAAATTAGGGTATGACGAGGCTGACATTTCCTTATAAGATAAATACTTCTAAATAAAAAAGATAAAAAAAAAATACCTTTGGGATGAATAGGAAATCACGAATGTGGTGATTCATTACTGATACATATAAAGAAGATAAATAAAAAAAAAAAGTTCTTATCGACAAAGCAATATAGAATTACAATATATTTAATATAAAAATAAATAAAAAAAAAATAGCCTTTATTCCTGAATTACAGATTCTTTTTTAAATTGTAAATATGTATAAATAATTAATGTTGACATCAGCAACGTCTTATTTTTCAGGTTGTTCTAGAACATGGCCTCCTCCATATTTCTCCATTGGTAACGATTCATTAAAACAAAATGTTATTTGATATCAGTAATAAATTATCAAATATTTTATAATGAGTAATAGTAATATATTAAAGCTCTAATTTATACATAGCTTTAAAGTACTTAAAATAATATTAGGTACAATCAAGTTTTAATTAAATTTAAACAACATGAATCTTCTGAGGAAGATTCTGTACAAAAATCTGCCCCACTTGTATTTCTGCTGAGCAGATATGCATGCATGGCTATTTTAGTATGGAACATGAGATATGTCAGAGGCATTAGAGTGTATGGAGCTATACCACCATAGTGCTCACAAATGGCAATGCATGAGGGGTACCATCAGCATCAAATTACGTCCCTGTGATGTGCACGGTGCTATTCATAAGTACAAGCGACGGTTACCACTTTTTATCAAGTGCACCGTCGGCTTCTTTGCAATTCTAAATATCATAAAAAAAAAACATATCTATATAAAAGAAAATTTTTAAAGTATATTTAAAAAATTGTGGCTTAGCGATAAAAGCGCGTCTCTTGTACTTGCCGCAATAAATAAAAGCGTCGAGGGAGTCAGATGGCCCGCTCTTGACATAATAACTTTATACGGAAACTCCACCCATAAAACAAATTGGATACGACTTAACGATACATTTACTTTAATTTAAACTCACTTACCTGGCAATGTAAGCTCATCCAACACATCAACATTACTCAATGCGTCCGAAAGTGATACTTTTTCACTAACAGACATAATTAATAGCAGAAATACACGAAATTAACTCAAAATAATACTGCACAAAGATAGATTCTTTTACACAACTTTGTCACTCGTATGTATTAGAAATCTGTTAATAATCCATTAATTAGGTATTTACAAGTAATTGTAACCGCTTATTAGTATTCGGCGAAGATATTTTTGTTTAATTAATGAGTAATAACATGATAAACAGACACAATCGGTCAAGTCGTCGACTACAATTGTTTTTTTTTTTTTTTAGTACGTTTGTTCCGTTTGGAACAGGCTAAGGTCGGAGACCATGCTGCCTAGTCTTCAAAAAGATAATTTGTCTGGAATTTTATTTTTCTAATGTCGCTTCAATTATTGTCATAATCTTCAATATTTCATTTGTCAAATCCGGTAAGTACATTTTCATAAATATCTTTTCTTGAGTTTTCTTAAACCAGTGGATTTATCAAATTAAAAATAAATAATTATAAAAAATCATTTTCTTGCAATTCAATAAAAGTATTCTTATAGCTCCTTGAATGTTGTAGTAATATAAGTGAAAATAGCTTTGAAACAAGAAGGAAATCTTAAGAGAAGCGGGATTGAGTGCGGGATATTTTCGGGTTTTTTGAAGATAATCCTAAGTTCGTCAAACATAATGTGTCTTTGAATGACAAATTCAGAGCAATCAAAAAAAAGGTGATGTAGAGATTGGGCTGTATTTGAGTTACACCATGTGCATGATGGGGAAGCGATCATGCCCATTCGGTGCAGGTGTTCGTTGAAATGTCCGTGGCCGATTCGTAATCTACAAATATTGGTGTAAAATTTTCTGTTTGTGTCCTTTCCTTTGCAGAACCACGGTTTTCCAATACGCCAATTAATTTTGCGGTACCATTTGCCTTTAGTCTGTAATATTTGAGTCCAATGCTCCTCCCATTTAGTTGTAACGATTTTATGTATTCCAATACTACAATCTGAGTAACATAGGGGTAAATCTTGAACACGAGCAGCACTTGAATTAATAATTTTAGCCAAAGTGTCTACTTGTTCATTCCCAAACACTCCAATATGTGAAGGGGTCCAGATGAAGATAATATCTTTTCCATATATAGTACAGAGATGATAATATTTATTACGAATTTCTTGAATTAAGTAGTTTGATGATGAAATGAATGTGTTATTTTTTAATGCCATAAGAACACTCATACTATCTGTAATTATAATCCATTTCGAATATAGTACCTGTTTTTCTATGTATTCTAATGCTAAAAATATAGCTTTTGCTTCTGCTGTGTAAATACTAGCCAAAGTTGAAATTTTATAACCGTGACCAAATCTATTTGACAAATCGTAAAAAGCCACTGAAGTGCTAAGTGCATTTTTGGAACCATCTGTATATATCTGCCTGTAGTCAATAAATTCTGATAAAGTCTCATACATATCGTGCTTTTCTTTTATGTCTTTACGTATAACAATTTTGATCTTACAGAACTTACTCTCATAAAGGCCATTATAACAAGGAAGTATCTTACTACTATAGATGTTATATTCATCTCGTAAATTCAAATCATTGACAATAGTTTTATTCAAAAACATAGAAATGGGGCAATTTAATAATTTGAGTATGAGTGGGTTATTGGAAACTGAAAAAACTTTGAAGAGAAATTTGAGTTTTAGGTATTCGAAACGAAGAAGGATAGGAGGCAAATTACATTCTACTTGCATTGAGATAATTGGAGAAGTATACATAGCACCTAAAATAAGTCTTAAATTCATATTTTGAATTTTTTCGAGTTTTTCTACTAATTTATGTTCTGAGGCATAACAAAAGAAAGCGTAATCAAAATTACTTCTAACAAGAGATTTGTAAAGTAAAAGGATAATTTTAGGATCAGCTCCCCAGTTACGACCAATTACAGATCTTATTATATTAGTGGCTCTTAAAGCACGATCTACTAAGCAATCAACGTATAGATCCCATTTTAAATTTTGATGAAAAATTACCCCCAGAAATTTAACGCTACAGTCTGTTGGAAGAGTTTGATTATTATATATAATATTCATTAATGGAACATATTTATGAACTTGATGAAAAACAACTACTTTACTTTTGGTTAAACTAATATCGAGGGAAAGAAGAGAAAAATATTTCTCAAGTCTTTTTAATGACTCATTTAACACTAATTGCATATCAATAATATTCTTTCCTTTTATATAAATTAATAAATCATCGGCAAATTGCAAGTTGTTCACACTGTTTCCTAAAACTAAATTAAGTTTATAGATATATAAAATATATAGTAGCGGGCTTAAAATACCACCTTGACATACTCCTTTAGAGCTTAACCTAGGTCCTATTAATTTACTATTTACTTTAACATACACTTCTCTATTACTAAGAAAATTATAAATCCATTCGATAAGTTTCATTGGAAGAAATGAGGATAGAATCGAAGATAGAACTGTTAAATTTACATTGTTAAAAGCTCCTACGACATCTAAAAAAACAGATAGAACATATTCATCGTTATTCAAAGCAGTACTAAGGTCGACATAGAAGTTTGCTAAACTTTCGCGCGCTGAATATCCACGGCGAAAACCAAATTGATTCGATGGTAATATACTATTACTTTCAATAAAGAACTCTAAACGCTGTTTAATTAATTGTTCGAATAATTTGCCTGCACAGGACGTCAATGTTATAGGTCTATAGGAGTCGAAATTTGTAGGATCTTTACCGGGTTTAATTACTGGAATCAAACAATCCATTTTCCATTCTGGTGGGATAATACAGTCCTTCCATAAATCGTTAAAAATTTGTAAGAGTTTAGTAAGGTTTATTTTATTCAGCAATCGAAACATATTGTATGTTAAGCGATCAAGGCCACTAGCTGTATCTTTTCTAGATTTTACTGCACTGGATATTTCATCAATTGAGAATGGGTCAGTGAGAAATTTTGGGCATGAATTAACAGAATTAAACTGTTTGTCATCAAAAGGTGAGTGTACAAAATCAGGAGTATATTTGCGTAAAAAATCATTGACCCATGATATATCTTTAAAATGATTTTGACGATGTTTTGAATTTAGATTTCTCATATTTTGCCAAACAGTGGAAATTGGTGTTAGTCTATTAAATTTGGAACAAAATTCCTGCCACCCCTGTTGTCTTACTTGCTTAATTACTAACTTTTTAACAGCTTGAACTCTTTTAAAATTTATGTAATTATCGAGAGTTGGATTTTGTTTAAACCTAAGGTAAGCCGCTTTACTATCATTGACAGCTGTCGCACACCTGTTATTCCACCAAGGTACTGCAATATGTTTGTGCCTCTTTGAAGTATTTGCACCGCTATTTGATAAGTTCCTACGTGGAACGGAACGTTCCACAGCTGTCAAAATAATTTTACAGAATCTATTGTAATTGTTTAAGGGTTCATTGACATCATACTCGAAATCCAAAAGTAATTGATTAACAGTTTCAGAATAAAGATCCCAATTAACGAGACGTAGGTTTATACGATTTAACAAAAGTTTATTAACTTCATCTATAGGAGCATGTTGTTCACCTGACGGAGTTGATGAAGAGTTCTTTGTGTTTATTTTAGTAAAAGTCGGCAGGTGATAACTTCCTAACGGATCATCATGAACCGACCACTCGCATTTTAATGATATGGATGGGGATACCATAGTTAAATCAAGGCCATTGGGTCTCCAAATATGAGAGCCAACAGTAGTAACTTGCTTATCATTTAATAGTACCAAATTACATTCATCTAAACAATCAAGAATGTCTTTACCTCTTGTATTAGTGGAGGTACAACCCCACATAGTATGATGTGCATTTAAATCTCCAGATATGATAGTGGGTTTAGGAAGAGACTCCAAAAAGAACTTAAATTTGGCTTTAGTAAAACTAGGTGTACTATTGGTAGGACAGTAAATACTGGCAACTGAATACCAAGAATTATTAACTTCAATACTAATAGCTATAGTTTGCAAAGAATTGTCGAAAAAAGAGTGAAGTTTTTTATATCTAATACTATTATGTATAATAATCGCTACTCCATTGTGGTTATTACCACAATCATTTCGTTCTATACAATAATCTTTAATTTTTAATTTGTAATGTGGTTTTAGCCAAGTTTCTGAGATGAGAGCAATGTGAATATGATGTTCATTTAAAAATTGTGTAAAAATAAGTCGATTGCTCAGTAGGCTCTGAGCGTTCCACTGTATGATAGTTAATTGGTCTCGATTGAATTTTGTGAAATAGGTCTATTACCAAAAGTATCATATAACACATTCAAAACACTTTTAGTGTTAATAGATGTGTTCTTTGTGTTATGTAGTGAAATAAGTTTGATTATGCTTTCTATTAAAAGTGATAAACTCTTGTTATCAGAATTTAGAATTGAAATTAGGTCTACATTTTTTTTAGGTTTGTTACCCAGTTTAGGAAATATTTCAGTGCTAAGTATATCTCCAAAAGAAGCAGGTCTGAATTTAGATCTATTTTCAGCAATTTTCTTTTGTTTAACAGGGCATTGCGGTGATACACTTGTGTGATTTCCATTGCAGTGTACACAAATAGCGTTTTCCATTCCAGTTGTACAAGTTTTATAATTATGCTCACCTTTGCAGATGCTGCAACGCTCAGAATTCTTACAGAATTTAGCTAAATGTCCATACCTCAAGCACCGGTAGCATTGTTTAACTGGTGGTATATATGGAGTGACATTGTGGCGCCAACCTCCAATATCCAGATATTCAGGTAATACAGATGCAGCAAAAGTAATTGTCACGGTTAGAGTTGGCTGTAACACATATCCATGAGTCAAGGTATTTTTTCTTAAAATTCTTTTAATAGCAATAATTTTCTTAGAACTCGATATCATAGTATATATTTTTTTATTAGATATATTTGTAGGTACATTTCTAATAACGCCTGTAACTTCTGTTGAAGAAGCAGGAATACTGGCCTTAAAATGGTAGTCATTTAAAAAAGTTTTATTATTTAAAAAAGCATTGGCTAAGTCTGGCTTTTGAAAGTATACTCCGATTTTGAATTTATTTATAGATCTAAGATAAGTTACCCCTTTATTAAATCGTTTTAAACAGGAGGAGAGTGAGAGCAAGTCTCTGGATCCAATGGTTTTCTGACTATCTGAGGATTCTACAAAGACAACAAATTCTGTCCCAGGGGATTCCTCGGGATATCTTCTAATATAATCTGTGACGTAGTAAGGTTTATACTTATCGGCCTTATCAATTTCAGATTCTGAGTCAGTAGAAGTATCTTCCGAATATATATCCTTGTCATTACAAGGTTCATGGTCTACATCACCTGAATCGTCATCTTTTTTTTTCCTTTTTCTACAACTGCGCTTCCCCATGAATGCTAATTATATTACTGTCGCTGAATTTAGTGAAAATATAATATTTTATTCAATAATAAGAATTGATAGAGATAGTTTTAATAAATTAATAAAAAAAATTTAAAAAACCCGCTTGTTCTTATTCGAGTTTCCCGCCTTTTTTTTTCTAAATCCACCTGTCAGATTAATTGAATGACCTCGACTACAATTGTTTGGCTTTGACACTTAGATATAGATAATTTTTTTTTTTTTTTTTAGTACGTTTGTTCCGTTTGGAACAGGCTAAGGTCGGAGACCATGCTGCCTAGTCTTCAAAAAGATAATTTGTCTGGAATTTAGATATAGATAAAAACCTTTTTGACACTATTGTTTTTCTTTTTTTGTGGCGTTCACGACACTATTGTTTGACAGATCTGTCAGTAAAAGTTTACTTAATCTAATATAAAGGTCTTCATAGACGATATGACTACCAGAATTACAATTCCATTAATATGATAAACGTGGTGCCTATTTAAATAGATACAAAAATATATTTATGGTTAAAATCTTTAAAAGACATTGTTCGAGTAAAAATAACTGTCGCAAACAATACCTACATGTATACAAAAATTTTGTGAGAATTGGTTGAATCGTTAAACTGACATGAAGTAGATATTAAATAAAACTTACTTTCGAATTTGTAAGCATTTATGTTGGCGATATAAAAAAAATAAAAGAACGAAACAGATCAGCGGTCTGAATACTTTTTTATACAATTATTATACAATTCTTGATTCAATTTAAGCTTAGTGGAACATTTAAAGAGAAACTGATTTTTTTGCCGCCTAGATAACAATTACATTTGAGGAATTATTTGAGATAATGATGATGACCTTTTATCACACTCCTAACCATCGGCAAGGAATCTATTCTCACACCCTAAAACCAAAATGATCATACACTATAAGAATTCTTAGGAGTGTTCTCTTACTCTACTCTGGTTATAATGTTCCTGGCAAGATTTTCTTGGGAGATTACGACAGTGGGCTCTACAAAAATGTCCTAATAATGTTTTTATAAAGGTCTACAGCGTACATGTGCTATCATTAGTGTTGCAAATATCTATGGACTATGCATGTTAAATGGCGGAAACGCTGTACATTTAGTTTAAATTATAGACTTAATATAATGTACCATTCAATTAAAAAAACTGAAGTTTGAATATACATAAATACGCAATGGGATAATTCGTAATCGTGTGCTTTAAACATTATTTGTAGAAGAAATTTTTTTTTTCAGTTTCGAGGCTCTTAGCAGTTCATTACTGCAGTCTATGGAGGAGGCCTATATTCAGTATTGGACAGATAATGGTTGAAATAATGATTTTGAACCTCTTATACATAACAGATTAGTCGACATTGAGGAAACGAAGAAAAAGGCTATGCATATTTGTAATCACTGTAATATAGAAAACTAAAACGCAAAATAAGCTATTTAGAATCAATCTAATATAGATACAAAAATATTATAGATTAATCCCTTTTACAAATTAACCAAAGATAATTAATGTTTCGAAATAAATCCTGTACAAAAAAGTTTTTTTCTTTTATGCACATTTTTCTTTTTCTCCTCATTTGTACATTTTTTTAGTATATGTACTTTTAAACTGGATTTCGTGCTAAAGCATTTTTTGCACATATCACAAATGTATGGCTTGTTCTTATTATGAACACGGATGTGTATATTCAATACTGATCTTGTAGCAAAACATTTTTTACACACACCACATATATGGGGCTTTTCACCCGTATGTATATGCATGTGCCTGTTCAAGCTGGATGTTAATCGAAATTTTTTTTTTTTTACACACTACACATACATAAGGCATTTCACTTGTATGAATACGCATATGTGTTTTCAAAGTAAATACCGCAGAAAAAGATTTTTTACACACATCACAACTGTATGGTCTTTCACCAGTATGTACACGCATGTGTGTGTTCAGAAATGATTTCCTCCCAAAAAAACTTGTTACACACATTGCAACTGTACGGATTTACATCACCATGGATACGTGTGTGTGTTTTCAATTCGTATTTTGTATTAAAACATTTTTTACACACACCACAAATGTTTTTTTCAACACTATGAAAATGTTCGTCGTTGTTTATGCATGATTCTCTTTTATGATTTTTTTTTACATGCTTTTCGTGAAGATGATTTTCGACACGTGCGTACTGCATTTGAAAGTATTACAACTTCATTGTTTATTTCAAGATATTCTGCAATGTAATATATTAAAACAATTATATATAGTAAACTTCAATCTACTTAAAATATAGCTGAGCAACTACCAAATTATGAATTCTATAAAGCTTACGAAAACACAAATTTAATTATTAGTAATAAAAATAAAAACAATGGAATGGTAACCCCGCCTGTGTTAACGGGATACGCTGGCGGAGCACCAGTGAAGGGTGATAAATGGGAATGAAAACAGGCCAGAAACAACATCACGATGAATTCATCAGAAATTAACCATGATAGTTTCCAGAACCGCGAAGAGGTTGACCTGGCTGGGTATATTGTTAGCAATGGGATTCTCGGTCTCCATTACTAACAATCCCTTTCCTACCCCCCCCCCCCCATTGCTACAATCTTAGATTATATTGATATCTCCATATTTTGCCAAAAACAAATCAATACATGTTGCGTGCTGAAGGATACCAGTAAATTCGAAATGATGCACAAGATATTTTTTAATCAATTCCTTGCAACACTGACAAAAAGCGCGAAGCTGACTAAATCTTAATTCGTTTTTTGATGTTCAATACTCTGTCTATATAATCTAAGCTAACGATATACCCCAGCAATTCAAGCTACACACTGATATACCATCAGTGTAAACTAATAGTACTAGCAAACCAATTCATTTTCATCCAATAAAACAGTACGTAAGTTTTTCATTATTGCCATGTCATGCAAAAAGTAGATATATTAATTGTTGCAATATACAACTAAAATACTTACCTGATTCCTCATTATGTACATCTTTACAATCAATTCTAGAATGTAACGACTCAGTGTTGCCAGATACTGTTTCTGTTTGTACAAGTGTAGGCCCTATGACCAAATCTGTCTTTATTTCATGATCTTTATATAAAAGTCCAAGGTAATTCCTTTCCTCTGTATATAACATATTACTATTTTCGACTGGTTCCTCTTTGACATCAACATATTCGGTTTTTACAACTATTTTTTCTACATCATTCCAATGAACTTCTTTTTTGATAATTTCCTTTTGCAAAGTATTATTTTCTTTTTTGTGTTCTGAATACTCCTCAGAGTGTGAATCTATCTCTTGTTTAATATAAGAAGGCTCATTTAAATGTTTTTGTGAATAATTTACATTAATTTCTGACTGGAAATCAAACTTTTGTTTTACAAATACGACGCTCTCATCAGCATGCCTCATGCATTGCTCCACTTCAGAATTCATCGTTTTCTCACTAACTGCTACAAAAAAAAAAAATAAAAAAATAATAATGCACTTTAATTTAGGTGCATAAATAAAAATACTATTCTGAAATATATAACAATTAGTTTGCTATAGTGAATAATGATCAATATAATAAAATAAAAAATTGTACTTACAGTTTTTCATTATTACCTACTAACTTACATAATTATTTACTCACCTATTAATTGTTTTAACAAATCAAAATCATGTAAAGCACAGCACGAGGTCAATCAAACAAATAACATTGTCAGGTAAAAATATTAAATCGTTAACAGACTTTGGTTAAATTTAAGGTTAAAATAAATTACTGATGACAGTGACAAATTGTTTTTGATTGACACTGTCAGTACCGGTCGACTACACACAACAAAATGGTCCAAAGATTAAGAATAGTTGGTATAGATACTTGTTTGTAATAATCCTATTACCTTAATATACCTATAACTTCAAGGAAAGGGTTTCTTCCTTTTTAAAAGCATACCTGCAATTCTTTCGGTGTTTTCAAGTGCTCATGGGCAGTAATAAGCGAAGATGGAATGATAACCTCGCCTGCGCTATCGGTATACGCTGGCGGGGTACCAGTGAAGGATGACAGATGATGGTGAAGGCAGGTGAGTTGGCCAATAGTGACTAATTGAATAAGAATTTACCAAAGGGAGACTTTGTACAAAAGTCGATTGCTTGGGTCTGTCCCATTCGTGTTTCTACCGTGAAGCAGCTGTGTTTCGGTTTGATGGGTGGGATATGGCGTGAATTTACTGGGTATAGAGGAATAACACCTAAGTCCTCAGGAATGGCAATGCATGGGGGGTATCATGGGCGAAACAGTATACTCTGTTATGTCCATGGTACTGCTCATGTGTATAGGCGACGGTTACCACTTTCCATCAGGTGGACCGTCAGCTTGTTTGCCATTCTAAGTTATATAAAAAAAAAGATTTAACCACTATGGTTTCCAAGGGGAAACGCGTAGAGGTCGACCTGATAGATCATTGCTAGCAATGGCGCTATTAAATCTCATTACTAGCAATCCCTTTTTCCTCGATCACGGGCGATAGTCTCTTACCGGCTTATCGGGTGAGCCGTATGCTCGTTTGCCCTGTGTTATTACAAAAAATGTGATAATTCTATTTGCCATTGAGTGAGCGGTCAATCTGCTAGAATCGGGGGAGAAAGGATTGTTAATAATGGGGATTAGTAGCTCCATTGTTAACAATACACCCTGGGGGAAAGGGATTGTTAGTAATGGAGACTGAGAATCCCATTGCTAGCAATATACCCAACCAGGTCGACCTCCTCGCGGTTTTCCCTGGAAACTATCATGGTTAATTCCTGATGAATTCATCATGACAGGCTAACTGGCCTGTTTTCATTCTCATCTATCACCCTTCACTGGAGCTCCGCCAGCGTATCCCGTAAGCGCAGGCGGGGCTACCATACCATTTTCACCCATAAAAAAAACAATACACCCTGTGAGGTCAACCTCCTTACAGTTCCCCAGGAAACGATCGTTTTATATTCATCACAATAGACTAACTGACCTGCATTTCCATTCTCACCTACCTGCATCTCTCACTGGTGCTCTGCCAGCGTAGACTGTTAGCGCAGGCGAGGTTACCATTCCGTTATCATCCATTTAAAAAAAAGTTTTCTAGAACCTAGGAACAATTCTAAATTTTTAATCGAAGGCAACTACTAACAGCAGGGGGGGAATAGGATTGTTAACAACGGACTTTAACAGCCCCATTGCTAGCAATATGCCCTTTTAGGCGACCTCCATTTGGTTTCCCCTGGAAACCATCGTGAACAATTCTTGTTGAATTCATCACGACGGGCTAACTGACCTGTTTCATCCTCACCTATCATCCTTCACTGGTGCCCCGCCGGTGTATACCGTTAGCGCGGGTAGGGTTACCATTCCATTATCACCCATTAAAAACAAAAAACTACTAAGAGCAATGGTGAACTAACTAAGAACGTCAAAGGCCCAGGGCGGCGAAGCTGAATGAGGCTCTTAGTTTAATTTCGAAGTTATTTTACAATATTATTATCCAATATATCGTCATAGTCGTAGAATACTGACGGATCTGACAAAGATTACATATATAGATCCGTCAGTATTCTACGACTATGACGATATATTTGTATGTATGAATCATTTTGTCAGTCATTTCTAGTCTACTGCTGTACATAGGCCTTTCTAATAAGGGGGCTTTTGCCAGTAGTTGCTAAGTTTGGCATGCGAATTGGGAACCGCAGTTCCAGTTTTGACGCTGCTGCCCATCTCGTCCATTAAGTACCCTTAGTTGCCTTTTACGACATCCACGGGAACAGAACGGGTAGCCTGGTCTATGTTGGGGGTGGGGGGTTAGGAAGAAATTGTTAAAAATAGGGTTTGACAGCTCTATTGCTAGCAATATACCCTATCAGGTCGTTCTCCACGTGGTTCCCCCTGGAAACCATCATGGCTAGTGCCTGTTGAATTCGTCATGATGGGCTAACTGACCTCCTTCACCGTCACCTAATATACCAACAGAGCAGGCGGGATTGTCATTCCGTTATCACCCATTAAAAAAAATCTATGTTCGGACCACACGACAAATGTGTAAGTTATAATATTTATTTAGTTAAAATCTTGTAAGTGAAATTTAGACTTTTTTTATGCAACTCAGAATGGCAAACAAGCTGACGTCCCACCTGATAGAAAGTGGTAACCGTCGCCTATAGATATGAGTAGTACCATGGACATAACAGAGTATACTGTTTCACCCATGATACCCTCCTTCCCCCATGCATTACCATTCCTGAGGACTCAGGTGTTATTCCTCTGTACCTTGTAAGTTCTCTGCCATATTCCACCCTTCAAACCGAAATACAGCCATGCAAACACAACTGCTTCACCGTAGAAACACGAATGGGACAGAGGTGCTCAAGCAAACGATTTTTGTAACAGACTTATATATTGTTATTATTAATGGACTTATAAAAACATATAGGATAGAGGTATGGGTGAGTAAAATAATGGCGTTAGGAGGGCCTTAAGATTAGAGAGTCTCCGGTCGCCACTTTCTCGTCTCTGTTAGTTCGTCTTTGAATAAAAATACTGTATTATATTAAATTAAAATACTTTAATTATAATTTAAAAGTATATTTACAATCTTATATTAATATATTAATGTGTACTCAAAATGTAAAACTTTATTACCTTATAACTCTATGGATAGAGAATAGAAGAGGCAAAATGCTGAGTCACTTTATATGACATGTCGACTTTTTTAAGAGCATAGTATAGAGAAAAAATAAAGGGCAAAAGAGGAAGAGGAAGACCGAGGAATAACTACATGGGGCAGATAAAAGAAACACTAGGTGTCATGTCGTATAGGGAGATCAAGGATATGGCCTGGGATAGAGCTGGCTGGAAGAAGATGCATGAATTAGTTGCACCGACAAGAGGAAACTCTCAAATGAAAAGAACTCTATGGAAATAAAAATTACACATTATGGACATATGTAACCAAAAATAAATTCTACTACAATATTTGTCATGAGATATAAGCTAGTTTTTGTTCGAATTGAAAAATTACCGTTCTCAAGGTCTGAACTAGAGGGAGAGGTGGAGGGGTTGGGGAGAGTCAACCGGGCAGTTGCCCACAACGGCAAAATTGAGGGCGACTGATGGATGTAAGAGGATATACATTAATCATACATGTTACTTTAAAAGAGTTTCCGTTTTTTTTCTTATTTTTAATATGGGACCTCATACAACCTCTTATTTCTAAATTTTTTAATACCTACATTCAAAAATAGAATGGGAATAAAATATATTTTGTTGCTTTTTTTATTTTTATTCTTTTATCTTTTTTGCTGTGTATTATGTGTATGTTTTTTTTTATTGTAATTTGTGTGCTGTAAGTAATGCAAATAAATTATCTATCTAATATAAAAATTATGATAGATATAGAATTATACCGATACAGCGTATACCGATAGCGCAGGCGGAGTTGCTACTCCATTATCACCTATTAAAAAAAAACTATCCAGTTTGTACTGAATTCTGACTAATTTGTGACTAGATGGCGCGCTCCGTAATATATACAGTGACAATTAAAAAAGCGCGAAACATCTGATGTACCTATTTGACTAGTATTCCTATTTACGAGTCGATGGCAAGACAATAACTGAACGTTTGCAGCCCATAACTTGTCCATCTGGAATGAGTTTTCTGTGGCGTCCATTACATCTTGCAATGATCGAGTGATATGGCAAAAAGACAAGACTGTAAATGGGCCATGGTTTTATTTTAATTATTAATGTTATTTTGTGCTAATTTTTTTTTACAACACAGGGGGGCAAACGAGCATGCGGCTCACCTGATGGTGACTGCCGCCGCCCATGATCACCCGCAACACCAACGGCATTGCAGCTGTGCTGCCGGCCTTTTAAAAAGGAATAGATTCTTTTCTTGAAGGTTATGTTGTCGTATCGGTTCGGAAATACTGCTGCTGGAAGTTGATTTCAAAGAGTGGTTGTGCGTGGAAGTTTCTAGATATGAAAGAGACAAAACATTAATAAAACAAAACAGGTTTATAAAAAGTGTTAATTATTGTGATTAATAAGAAGTTTTTTCTAGAAAACTCATTAAAATTGTAGGTACTACAATACAGTGAAGACTAAGAAAAATAATGGCTCATAATTTCTTAGCCCTCGATCTCAAATGCCGCCCTTTATTTTTGCCGTTCTTGGCACTTGCCTGTCTCACCTCCCTTAATGTCATAAGAAGATAACTTCCTGAACCCTGCAGTAGATTTAAAAACAATTACGATTCAAAAGTATTTGTTAATAAGTAAATTTGAATTTACAATTTTATAATCATAAAATATAGTCAGTTTTTAAATACATACAAATAAAACTTTTTTACCTTTATGCTATTCCGAATTAATCCGATAAGACCATTTTCGGAATATCCCGAATGCTTCACAAAGGGTCTTTGAATCCGTATATAAATATAGACTTTATATAGATAAAGCATAGAGTCTCAAAAACGGGTCAACTTTTTGTCAGCTAATTGTCAAAGTAGTTGATTTGTTTTTTATCAGTGTTCTATATACTTACGCTACAATGTATTTTGACGTATTATTTAATAAATAAGTATTTACGCATTAAAAAGATGCAGTTATTATAAGACAAAATAAATAGAGAAGTTATAAAGGAATCACTCATAACTATTTATTATGCAAAATTGTATAAACAAGTTGCCCCGTATTTCTTGAAGCAATTGTATGAAGATACTCTACCTATATAATGTAAGTCATGACATTACATTACCAATGTTAGGTTGTATATATTTTTTACAAGATGGCGACCATAAACAACACAGTTGGATTTTTTTATCTCATTTTTGCTGTAGACCGCCTATGACCTTTACAGCTTCACAGAATGAAAATTGGACGAATGCAGATGGCACTCCGAACCCGTGGAGGCACTTACGGAGCGGCCTTTAGACGTTTTCTGTCAGATGAAGTGGTTCCAATTTTATAAACGTTATATAAAGTACCTTGTTTCATTACTACGAACATTTTTTTGACAGACAAAGGAATACAATATAAATTCATAGTTATATATTTTTTTTTCTTATACGATACAGAGGGTAGTCGTTAGATTCGTCTAATTTATAATCGAAGTAACAGGTACAGATTAATGTTGATACTGATACCATAAGGCGACCGTAAACTGTCAAAAACAGTGACAAGTGTAAAAATGATTAAAACCTAACTGACAGATTTAAAAAAAAAACATTTGATTGTGAAAAAAATGACAGATACGATTGTTAAATTCTTTTTAAGTAAAAATCGCAGTTTTAACTGTGAACCGTAATTCTACTGTCATATCGAATAGGCAAGGTGTGGAACTGTTTATTGGCGTCAACAATTAAAAAAGATATTGTATTTTTACTTGCTTATATCTCAATGTACCCTTATATGAATTAGTGATTTGCCTCTGTGTCATCCATATTCAAATAACTTTTTAGATGAATGCAAAAAAAAATGTAAACATGGAATTTGAAAATACATACATATATAATTTTTTAGTCAATTAATCTAAACTTTTAATCAATTTTTATTACGTATATTATTTATAACTCGACAAATGTACAACAGTGTTTTAATAAACTATAAATAACAATTTTTATAAATACTGAATATTCATTAGAATTTTTTGACAAATATCCTTTGTCTAAAATTCCACGACTTACAAACCATTACCACGAAGAACAAGCGTTATAAACTCAACTGTATAAATAAAAAACGAATTTGTTAAGAAAAACTTAACTTGCTATCATGCATGCTTATCTCCAAATACAAATATACGTATGTCTATATATACGAAGTATATACACACACCCATAAATTATCCTATATAATATATAATGTCACTTTTGGGTTTATTAATCAATATTTAACATTAAAACTTCCACCAGCACATAGTGTCACACTTTTTAAGTCTGTACTTATTGTTAGTTACGTGTATATAGAGGACATATTAACGAATCTTATATCCATTAATTTCTCACTAACTTTGAGTTTCACAATTGTTTCGTATTGCATTTCTTATGTTGAGGTACTTATAACGAAAATACTTCTACTGTTTCTTGCAAAACTTTACTTTTCACACATGTATTTTCACATTCTGATTGTCCCTAATAAGCACGTTATATTCTTGAGTGTAAAAGTGTATGCAATTTTTCAATTATATGACTAATGATTTGTTCTATTATTTTTATTTCATCTCCAATGAAAAATTGATGTCAAGCAACATATTTTTTTTTAAAACTCTAAAACTCAATAGGCACTTCTTGTATGACCACTCTGTAACCAAAACTTTGCAACTGGGACACATTTTGATTTGGTATATATGGCGTTGAATATTCATTAAGAGTAACTATCGGCTCTGGTATTTCGAAGTCGACCGAGTTTATATAATCATCACTGTCAGTGATGTTTAAATCATCGAATCCATTCGAAGTTATTTCTTGTAAATTATCAAAATGTATTTCCGGTCTTGCGTCGTCGAATGGCATTTCGGGAATGTTGAGACGTATACATTTGTGTGACTGGAGGAGCGACGGCCAGACGAAGGTCTCTTCACATATGTGGCATCTTAGGTTTTCGAACTCGTTGTGCTGTGTGATTATATGGCGATTTAAACAGTACCTTGATGAGTAATATTTTGAGCATACCTGGAATAAATGTTTGACATTGTTTATACCCTATTCCAAACATGTTTTAAATGGCTTTGGCTTAAAAAATTGTTTGGAATAATTTTAGACTCGTTGAAGTTATTATCTATTTATTTTCTTTTTCATTATAGCTTTTTATTTTCTTTTTCATTATAAATACGACGTTTGTGATAGTCATTTTACCCATTCATAATTCATTTGTTGTGAACTTAGCTTTTATTTGGATAAAGCAACAGCTGATTCTTGCCCGTTTTTCTCAGCTGAAATTGGATTCCGAACTGGGCGGTAGTTTATAATAAAATTACTATTAAAAAATGCTTATTATTAAGTTTAACTAAATAAGAATTATTCATTATTATTATTGTTATATCAGCCGTTAATGGTTCACCACTGAACATAGGTTGACTGGAGGAAAGACCCAAACTGTAATAATAAAAATTTAAATATTCAAAATAATGGCCGAGCAAGGGATAGTTTAGTTTAGAGAACGTTTCAAATTCAATTTTGAGTAACATAGGTACTTCGTAGCAAGTTAGCTTCTATGGAGCGGTGATAGGTTTAAGCACGAAGTATTGCCCTTGCTGAAAAAATTCCCTAAATTTGGGGTAATTTCTAAGAAGAGTCAAAACCAATAATGGTTTAAGGGTTTTAGAGAATTTTTATCAAAATTACCTGGCACTATTTATTTCAGTTAATAACGTTTAAAAAGCATATTTTTCATAGAAAAATGTACTAAGAACTTAATATACTACTTATTCTTCCAAAAGGAGTCATCATGGTTTAAAACAATGTATGGATGAAAAGTGCCTGCCGTATCTATGTATGTATGTAAAATTATGGGTCGTAAAAATTGAAGATGGCGGACCACGGCGATGTAAGTTAAACTACTAGTCGGATCGATTTCGTTCAAATGGGAATTTGTAGACTCTGTAATCAGGTCTTTGGGTAAAGAATTATGAAATTTTAGATATTTAAGACAGCAGTTTGATCATAGGCACTTTAATATTGAGATGAGATTTAGGGTAAAAATCTGACAAAACACAAAATTCTTTTTTAATTAGTTATTCAGGCAAAATGTATGGTGACAGAAATGTCTCCATGATCATCTGTGTTTTGAGTGTCATGACATACAAATTTTTGAGAACCAATAAACATTTTAATTTTTTTGTTTTTTAATAAAAAAAAATATTGGCAGATGTCAGAAGTTTTCATTTTTTCAATATGATAATCATTTGTTACTATTAAAGTTCAACAGCCCCATTGCTTGCAAAATACTCTATCTGGCAGACCTCCCTATCTTGGTCCTTGGTCCCCTATAGAAACCGCTGTGGGTAATTAGTGATGAATTCATTATGATGGTTAACTGACCTGCTTTTATCCTCACGTATCATCTGTCGCTAATCCTCTGCCAGCATATACTAATAATGCAGGTAAAGTTGCCATTGCATTATCATTCATAAAATAAAAAAAAAAGTGTGGAATTAATTCTTTTTATTTTTATTAGAATTTTTGTTCAGGCATTAGGCGAGATGACTATGCAAACCTCATAATAAATAACAAATTATTCTTCAATCTTCAATTATTCAATAATCCAATCAAGTATTGTAAATATTTTTTTTTAACAACCAATTATAAATAGTCTCCCAATGCATGGTACATTGGGGGACTATTTATATTTGGGTACGCTGCCTTATTTGCAAATGAGGCAGCATACCCAAGATACTGGCAGCGTTATCTCTTTGTTACAATGTTCATTTATTTATCTCATTGAAATGAAGCATTGAATTATTGCCCTAGTTGTGGAGAACTGGTGCTTGAAATGGGTGTCCAAAGAACTCTTATCCTAAGTCTGATGACTTAGGTCTCTTCCTTGACATGGAGCAATTTACGGTAATTCATATAATGGAAAATTCAAAAGTTGTTAAGCATATCTGATAAATGTATTAGTGAATAAGGAAGATACATATGTAAATGTACATAAATACACATACATGCATACAAACAAACACCACAGATATGTTAGGTTGGGAAATTTAAATGTCTACATATCAATCATACTACAATACTATTACATATAAATAATGTTAAAATATGAATTGACAAACCTGACACTGATGCCTGGATATAATAGTTTTCTTACTCCTCGGGTCCACAACAGGCTTCTTTATCTCCCCGTGGGCGACATCAAAACTGTTAACATCAACGTAATCAATGGTATCAGTTAATATTTTTCCTCCAACTTTAATTTTCTCTAAAACTAATTGCGGCTGCATGTAATCTGGTATTGTTTCCCCTAGCTTATACGTAGTTTTAATTAATGGAGCTTTCCGCAAAGTCTTTTCCCTAATTTGGGAGTTGTCGCTTGTTTTTAAAAAATGTGTCCACTTGTGTTGTAACATATCCTTTTCAGTGTCAAACTTTTTTAAGCACTGGTCACAGAAATAGTAGTCTTTATACCCAGTCATGGCACGATTTGTAAGGTCTGGTAGTACCTGGACGTGCTGTTCAATAAAGTCACGCTCAACTGAGCTCTCCTCGCAAAAATTACACAAGTACAACCTCTCCGTTCCTAATATCCGCATGTCATACAATGAAGTAGGTCGCTTTTCAGAATGTAAAAACTTTATATGGTGTGCCACTGCACACTTAGTCTCAAACTGATCTTTGCATATATCGCATATGAAAAACGTGCTCAAATGATAGTAACTATGATCTTTTAGATCCATAAATCTAAAGTATGATTCATTGCAAGTAATGCATTTATGAAGTTTGCGAGCCCCGCTCACTTTCCTGCATACATGCCTGTGTTCTATATACTTTTTTTTATTAGGAAACAACATACCACATGCATCACAATGCAACCGTATATGTATTTTGAAAAACATTCTATCCATGAAAGTCTTATTACAGTAATTACATATGTAACATTTACGTTTTTTATGACGCTCTTTCATGTGCATCTTCAGCAATTTGTATTCTTCGTATATCCTTGGACATTTTCTGCATTTATGATACTCTTTCACTTCGTGTATGATTATGGTGTCAGAGAAAGATACCCGTTTCTGTGGCTTAATCTGTGGCTTGTATACTATCATATGCTTGTTTTCCTGGTGGTTCTGCAACTTTTTCTCACTGGCATAAACTTTTTCACAGATTTTACACTTCAAATGGCCCATAGCTTCGTTTACTTCACTTAACGAAATGTCAGATCTCGGGGAGCCGTGGCAGAGCACTTGGCGTAACTTTTCCAAGTCTTCTTGAATCAATTTAACAGTGCACCCGCGCAAAAGTTTATCGAGATGCGGTGCAATTGATTTAGGGTAAACTTTCGTGTCCTTCTTCAAATAGGGGGTTATATCATATCGCGTTATGACTACTCTCGGTGTTTTTTCAAAGCCCTTGAATGCTTCAGTCGCGATATCTTCTTTTTCAAAATCCGCTTGACTATTTCGCAACTCGACGTCTTCCAGCGAATCGTTCGATTTATAATTGAAATTGGTATTAACTCCATTGCAAATACTGAACATCTGATGATGAAATTACAGCTAGAAAATAATAAAATAAAAGGAAACAACTAAATTTATTAACAAATACGTCAACAAAGCTATATGTCATAGTAGCAGTGGGCAAAGAAGGCGGGTAGCAGCCATTGTAAATCGTTTGACATAACATGAAGAAGCAGTGATCAGTGAAGATAGAAACGCTGTTTGACATATGGATTGAGATTTATATGACAGCTCATTGGATCCAGAAAAATTTAGACTTAGAATCCTATTTTACTGGTCAAGAAACAAAACCTTTTAAACTAGGTGTTTTTAAATAGATTAACCATGAGTACCTATACTCTTAATATAAATTATAAGATAACGTTATATTAAGTGCATAGTATTATTTATTTATCTAACTCTAATGCTATGGTAATTTATAGATATAATGACAATACAAAATCTTACAAAATATGGAGTTTTAATTTCTATCCACAAAGGGAATAATCATTACGTGATAGTTATGTGAATTTTCGATATTTTTGACTATACTACAATTTAAGTCATAGATATAGTACAACATAGATAATTTTACACTTTAAAATTTAAGGTTTAAGCAGTCGAATCAGTCATTTTTTACGTCAATCAATCAGTCCAATCAAGACCATAACCGTAATTCTTTTTATTGTCTGATCTTTCTTATTGGATAATAAGATTGGTTCCAAACTGACGTCTTTATCCATTCATAAATTTGTACAAAAAACTCGCAAATATAAACAATTTATTTTTAGCCGAGGCGGAAAGTGGTCTAATGCGGAATGTTCCCACCGACTCTCATACGAAGCTGTCTTCCAGTTATAAACCCGATGTTGAGGCGTCCACCGCACTGCCCGTTTAGACAAACATCTTCGCTTCACAGCCAAACAAAGACAGGAAATACATCGTTGCAAAAGACGAAATGGATGAATTTGAGGGCGATAATAACACGATGGGTGCCTTTAGGCAGTGCCATGTACTTGGGTTGGTGTTACATTCGCGCGACCATCAATTACGAAGTGTCGAAAGTGGAAATACGTTTTTACGAAATGTTTCCCTTTCGGGTAACGAGTCGCTGGTGGGGTCGGCTGGCCGCCTGCGAGCTCCCCATGTCTCTGCGAGGTATAGTTTACGGTATATATGTGAGATTGTTTAATGTGAACTTGAGTGAGGCGGCAGTACCAGATTTGAGTTACTATAAGAGTTTATCCGCTTTCTTCACGCGTTCTCTCCGCGATGGTGCGCGGTTCATATCTCCCGCGCCTTGCGTCTCTCCCTGCGACGGAATAGTTCTAAACTGTGGTCCGGCCGATACAGATAAAATAGAGCAGGTGAAAGGCGTAACATACAGCCTTGAAGAATTTCTTGGTGATAACAAATGGTCGAAAAGAAAAGGTGACAGTTACTACGACTCATTGTTGACAAATAAGAAGAATATTCTCCACCAGTGCATCATTTATTTAGCACCAGGTGACTACCACAGGTTCCATTCGCCGTGCGACTGGACGGCGACGTTCCGCCGTCATTTTTCCGGTAAGCTCTTATCAGTGAATCCTTGGATGGCACGATTGATACCTGGTCTGTTTACGATGAATGAACGAGCTGTCTACATCGGTGAATGGAAGCATGGATTCTTCAGTATGACAGCAGTGGGAGCGACGAATGTTGGGTCGATAGAGATCTACAAAGATCCCCAATTGCAGACAAACACGAAAGGTGGACGTAACAGGATCGAGGAGTCCGAAATAGGACAGCTTAAGTTGAAAAAGGGTGAATTATTCGGTCAGTTTAATATGGGTAGTACAATAATATTATTGTTTGAAGCACCAAGGGACTTTAAATTTGAATTTTCTGCCGGTGACAGGGTCCAAGTGGGTCAGGCTTTAACTGTGGCTGCCAAGGAACAAGCCAGATGACCTGTTTACTCTGAGTTAGTTCAAATTGCACAGTTAGTGCTAATTTTTTATATGGTCTCGTTACTACTTTGAGGCTGACAAGGTTTGAGCTTGTAGAATAGTGATTCTAAATTCAAATCTATAGATCTATAGAGCTTAAACTGTAAATAAAAAAAAAAATTGGCTGTACAGACAATGGTTACTTTGTTCATAGACAAAATTTCTCTTTTATATATTGTAAAGTGTGTACTTGTGCATTATAACATGCAATTTTAGAGGTTTTTAAGATGGACTGAATAAAATTTTACTATCAAGACCATTTTATTATAATGGATTTACATAAGACTTGTAAAGGCGAACAAAAGAGAAAAAAAAATTGTCTGTGGATAATGCTCCATATTTGTACAGGTCATAATTGTTAAGTGGTGCAATCTAATTTATGACTATCTCGAAATTACATAAAACTTAATTATTTAGTTGCTTGCAATAGTTTGAAAGCTAAATTATCCAATATTTGTATTGATAATAACAGTAAATGGTAAAACCACATATCTTTGTGGAGTTGAATATAACATTATTTGAAATTAAAATTTAGTAACCATTTACAATCTGACAGGCTGTATGCTTGTGCCCCATCTTCATGGTATAAAAAAAAATATTTGCATAATTCTAAATTTGAAACACATTTAGAACATTTAGATCCGTTGAAGGCAAATTTATTGAGTAATTCAAAACGTACATGGCCAGATTTAGACAAAATATTTAACGGCCAATAATCAACGCGCGCTCACACTCCCCATAAGTTCGATATTGTCTCTATGTAAGTACATGAAGGTAGCATACATTTGTATAAAAAAAAAAAATACAAACTGACTGATCGATCTTTCGACCTCAAAAGTCGTAAGTTCGAATCGGGTCGACACCAATAATAAATATTGTGTGTCAATTAAGTTTCGAACAATTCTTTGATGTGAAAAGAAAAATCGATAATAAATGAAATGAAACCTAATGACGGCGGTAGGCTCGCTCCCGCTGTGTTCTAATGTGCTCGGTGAAATATGTGCGTACTAAGTATTACGTTCACCAAACTGGCAACATTTGACACATGCCCCTACCTATCCCAGTAAGGATTAATGTCGTGAGCGTACTTATTATATAAAAAAAAAAAAAACTGATGTAACAATTTTCTTTTAAGCTAATTTTCAAATTCAATTGAATGTAATATTGTAAATATTTAATTGTTACTTGCTTCAGCTTGAAAGATAGTTTTTTTTTATCCCGATAAGGAAAACTGAACGGCAGGTGGCGCTAGGGAGTAATCTGACGCTTACCGGTGTAGATATTTAATTAATAAAAGAAAAATGTACAGTCGAACATAAAACCTCCTTTATTTCAAGTTGGTTATAATTTTATACACATTGTTATATATATACTTCCCGCTTGAGAGTTTGTATATATATATGCAAATATCTTTATTACAATGTTATGAAGCAGAATGAATCATGTTCATGAGTAATATAACCATACCAATATATATATATATATATATATATATATATATATATTTAATGGATGATAAATGGAGTGATAACCCCGCATGCGCTAACGGTATACACCGGTGGGGTACCAGTGAGGGATGATAAGTGAAGATGAAGCAGGTCTGTAGCCCATCGTAACAAATTTACTAATGAATCAATCACGATGGTTTCCAGGGGGAACCACGTGGAGGTCGACTTGATAGAGTATATTGCTAGCGATAGGGTTGCTAATACGCATTACTAACAATCCCTTCCCCCTATCCGATTTTTTTTTATTGGTGAAAATGTAATGGTAATCCTGGAGAACCAGTGAAGAGTGACAGATGAGAATGAAAACAGGCCAATTAGCCCATCATGATGAATTCATCAGGAATTAACCATGATAGTTTCCAGGGGGGACCGCGAGGAGGTCGACCTGGTTGGGTATATTGCTCGCAATGGTATTCTCAGTCTCCATTACTAACAATCCCTTCCCCCCCCCCTAGTTTAATCAAATGATCCTAGTCATTAACACCCCCTAGGTTAGTATAAGTGTTGTATAAATTTAGTGAACAATCTAGGCATGTATTTTTATCGAAGGTATTTTTTTTTAAATAAGACATTTAATAACATTCATACATAGGTACATCAAAAGAGCTTCCTTAAAAGGCCGTCAGCACACCTGCAATGCCTTTGGTGTTGCCGGTACTCAGGGGTGGCGGTAGTCACTTACCATCAGGTGAGCCGCATGCTCGTTTACCCCCCTGTGTTATATATGTACAAAGATCGTTTTTATTAAACACTAGTAGAGCGGTACGGAGGCGTAATACCTTATCCTTCAGGTATGGCAAAGCTTGATGGCTATCATGAACGTTTCAAGGCTCCTCTATAGGCGAGGGTTACAATTTCCATAAAGTGCCGTCTGAAGCCGTCAGGTTCTTTGCCATTCTGTGTTGTTTAGAAAAAAAAAAAAACATTTCCCGCGCTGCTATTCCGATAAAAATACATTCCAAAATTGTTCAAATATTGCCAGTTGTAAAAAATAGACGAGTATTAATATTTTACAGGGCCCGATCTAGGTATTTTGCCGTCGCAGGCAAACGATATTTGCTATTTTTGACAATAACCACATAAGTATTATACATGTCTATTAGAAAAAAAAAAATTAAAAAATAGCTAATAAATACTACATTGTCATCTAAAACTTTTTAAGAATGTTCATATCGAAGCTTACTTGAAGTGTGACAACGTATAAATTAATTTTCGACAATAATTCATTAATTTGCTTACCTACCATCAGGTGAACCGCATTCTTGTTTGCCTCCTGTATTATAAAAAAAAATCCAATGTTTTTTATTTATTTTTTTCTTTTTTTTTTATTACAGTGATCTGGTAACGAATTGAAATTATAATCATACGCCAAGATTCTTATACAGTTGTTTGAAAAAAAGTGTTTGAAAGCTTTCGAAGCAAAGGGTAAAACAGTAGGCGCAATACTTTTCGTAGTGGGCCAGTAAAATGTGCAACTAATGAATGTGTAAAATAACTAGCGACCCGCCCCGGCTTCGCAGGGGTGTACATTACATCGTATCACATTAAAACCTTCTAAAATTTACAGTCTTTCTCTACTATATTATGCATGTATTGCATTTACGAACCTTCCTCTTGAGTCACTTTATCTATTAAAAGTGTGTAGTTTTAAAGATCTAAGCATACATAGGGACAGACAGACAGAGAAGTGACTTTGTTTTATATTATGTAGTGATGATGATGATGATGTATCGAAAATTTTGAAAATTGACCCATGATTCCGAAATTCTCTTACTTCCGTAAGTTTAGATGTGAAACTTTTAAAGTAATCTTTTAACAAACGTTATTTCCCCTCTCCAAATCGGGCCCTGATATTCTGCCTGCCTTACCAATAGAAATAATAATAGAGTCACATGTGCAATGTATTTATTTACATTTTTATTCATTACATTTTTATTCTCCGTTTATCCTAGTCTATGAATCGAATATTTTTTAAAAAAATTTAATCTAAATATTATTTTTACATAAAAAGATAAATTAGCATAACCTCATGCTGAAAGTAAACTCTTTCAAAAAAGGAAATCTGCAATTCGGCTCAGAGGTCCAATCTCAGTGAAATTGCTAATTCTATCTTAAAACGGTTTAAAAAAAAAACCTGAATTTAAGTCCTTACAATTGAAAAATGTATCATTAAATTCGACTCACAATTGGCTAAGACACCGTGTAACGTTAAATATGCAATAAATCCTTAATTTTTTTTTAATTAAGTTACAAATAGTGGAAAAGAAATATATTACAATTGTTAGCTATGGTTTTTAATCTTTCTATACTTAGATATTTAATTAAATTAAGAATATAATTATGTTACAAAACTTAGAAGAATTTATAAGGTAGAATTATAAGAATTGTAATTAATTAAACCGATTTCTGCAAATTTATTAATTTAACAGTGTATATACAAGTAAAATATCAACATTTTATAATAATTTTACACATTTAATGTGTAAAGTTAATATGTAAATAATTGTGTAAATTTACATTTAACAATTTGACAATTGTACTTGTTTGGTTCGTATTACAATTTTGTCAACACATTATTGACAATTTTACACATTTGACATGTGTTGCTATTGTGTAAATATTTGTAATTTTACACATTGATGTTTAAATCTATTGTACCGACGCTGCGGTTGATTCTGAACACCATTTTCTAAACCTGTTTATTTATTTAAACTTTATTGACCAATAAAATGTGTTACAATATGCGGTCTTGATGCTAAACGCATTCCCTGCCAGTTGACCTGTCTCTAAAACGAATATTTTAATTTGACACTTTTGCAAAGAAATCCACTATTATAAGGGGCATCATAAATTTATGACGATTTCGACTTTACCTATTGGTAATTTAGTTCTTATAATAAACATAAATTTATGACAATTTCGACTTTACCTATTGATAATTTAGTTCGTATAAATAAACTTTTTGCTGTGAAATCAAATTGAATTTTTAATTTTAGAGATAGGTTTAGAGTTTAGAGAAATGACGTTAAAGAATTGACGCCGTTGTGTAAATTCTTAATTTTAAATTTTACACATTAATGTGTAAATTTATTATGTCAACGCTGTCAATTGACAATTATAAATTTGCAGATATGGGTAATAGGTAGATTATGGGAGAGGGAAATCGCTAGTGCCACTTTAATTTCCATTGTATTGTAAAATCTTTATTGTACATAAATTACATTGTACACATTAAGAGATTTAATATACAATGGTGGATTTTTCCCATAGAGGGATCTCTTACGATCTACCTTTGAGAAGCTGAATTGATTTTTTTAGAACGAAATATCCGATCCAAAATTCAAAGTATTAAAAATCTGCGAGTAAAAATATTTACAAGGTTTCGACCAGGAATTATAATACTCCTCCGGCTGGACCGCTACTGAAGATGTTCCCTCACGAACACATACAAAGCATCAATGGTGTATGTGGTCACACGCATTGAATTGAAAAGTAGGAAGGGCCTGCTATGTTAACGTGGACAGTCTATGTAAAAAAAAAATATTTTTGTTTTTGTAATCTTTGAATTTCCCAATAATTCGCGTGTTGTATAGAATTTGTACATTGTGTAGTTTTGTAAAGTGAAAATAAATATTGACGTTTTTATATCTTGTTTTTTTTTTATCTATCACCATGGCATTTACATGGCTGTGTTTCGGTTTGAAGGATGAGATATGGCGTGAATTTACAGGGTACAGAGGAATATTAACTTAATAACAACACCTGAGTCCTCAGGAATGGCAACGCATGGGGGTATCATGGGCGAAACAGTATACTCTGTTATGTCCACGGTACTGCTCATGTCTATAGGCGACGGTTACCACTTTCCATCAGGTGGGCCGTCAGCTTGTTTGCCATTCTAAGTGGTATAAAAAAAACCATTTAGTGTCTGTTTTTAACCGACTTCATAAAGAAAGAGGTTCTCATTTCGGTTGTATTTTTTTATGTTTGCTATCTCTTAACTCACTTAAAAGGTTGGCAGCACACCTGCAATGCCGCTGGTGTTGTGGGTGACCATGGGCGGCGGTAGTCACTTACCATCAGGCGAGCCGCATGCTCGTTTACCCTTGTGTTGTAAAAAAAAAAATTAGGGATGATAAGTAAGAATGAAGTCGTATAAGATTTTGTCACATTGAGGAAGAAACGCCACAGCACTGTATGTGTCGCTGTAGCCCACTCATACACAACCGATATATCTCCTTTGGACAACACTCTATATCCTGAGGAGATAAAAACCATCGCTGCAAGAGAACATCTTAAAATTCCTATCACAGATAGGAATTAGCAGAGGGAGACTTTGTACAAAAGTCGATTGCTTGGGTACCTCTGTCTCATTCATGTTTCAACCGTGAAGCAGTTGTGTTTGCATGGCTGTGTTTCGGTTTGAAGGGTGGGATATGGCGTGAATTTACTGGGTACGGAGAAATAATATCTGAGTCCTCAGGAATGGCAGCGCATGGGGGGTATGATGGGCGAAACAGTATACTCTGTTATGTCCATGGTATCGCTCATGTCTATACCGACGGTCCATCAGATGGGCCGTCAGATTTGTTTGCCATTCTAAGTTGTATAAAAAAAAAATCAATTTTATTTAAATCGTTTCAACCATTTTTTCTCGATACATTATTATGAGGGCATATGTACAAGTTAATTAAGGTTCTATCGTTTAGGTATACTTATTTCTGTGTTACTTATTATTAGAAAGATAAATAAGAATAAGATTGTTTCTTAAAAAACTGGCTTTAAATTTTTTTATACCATGAACTTGGCAAACAAGCCTACAGCCCGTCTGATGGTAAACGGTCACTGTAGCTTATAGACGCCTGCAACACTAGGGGTGTCACGTCCACGTTACCGACCCTAAAGAAATTTTTAGTTTTGACCCTTTTAAAAAAAAACTCATACTGGCTATAACAATATAATCAACTATGGCAAAACAACTTATGTTGCTCTAAAAAACTAAACTGATTTTGATATTTTTTTTTTATAAAACCAATCTGTAAGTATATACTTTCAAATAAAAAAAAAGTCCAAATCGGTTTACAACTGACGAAGTTATGGGGTAAGTAACATAAAAAAAATTACCCCAACTGAGAATCTCGTTCGTTTTGAAGTCGCATGAAAATTATTGTATCATCCATGAATTTTATTAGCATCTTATATAATTCACATATATAGTTTAGAATGTATTACATAATTTGCATTTTTTATTATGTAAATATAAAATATCAGATAGCAGGCGAGTCACAAGGTCGGGTTATTAAGTTATCTAAATAATTTATTACAAATGAATGACATTATCAAAAAAAAATCGCATACCTACTTAATTAATAAATACATAACTTTAAATTACTTATCTAAAAAAAAGACGCGGAAATAATGTTCATATAGCCATCTCATTTTGACCGTGAAGCGTTCAAGCAAAAACTACTCTGAACGCATTGTGGAATGACATTTGACACGGATAGAATCTTTTTTTTTTTATGCAACTTAGAATGGCAAACGAGCTGACGGTACATCTGATGGAAAGTGGCAACCGTCGCCTATAGACATAAGCAGTACCATGGACATAACAGAGTATACTGTTTCGTACATGATACCCCCCATGCGTTGCCATTCCTGAGCACTCAGGTGTTATTCCTTTGTACCTAGTAAATTCAATGCCATATTCCGCCCTACAAATCGAAACACAGTCATGTAAACACACCTGTTTCACGATAGAAACACGAGTGGGACAAAGGTGCCCAAGCAAATTACTTTTATATTAATAGGTGATAACTTACTTTGACTCCAACTACCGTTTTCGTGCTTATACCAAAAAAATCCTTTAGTAAATTTAAGTTTCCGTATTTATACTGACATCTTTTCCCCTTAGGAATTTACCTCTACACAGCGGAAGTATTTTTTTGTATTAAAACTTACAAAGAAAAGCGGTCAAACGCCCGAATCGATTTGAGGAAACGATTTTTTATTACAAACTAGCTGACTCGGTAAACGTTGTTTTACCATAAACATTATTTCTAGAACTATACATGAAAATATATCGTACTACAATTATTATATTCGATTGTCATCTTGGAACCCTATTGCGGAATATAAAAATAAAAAATAAATAAATAAACAGGTGTTGATCGTAAAAGCGTGAAAATTTGTGTATTTGTCAATGCTAAGTCATAATAAAATAAAAATAAAAAAAATTGTCAAAAAATTAAAAAAATATTTTAGGAGCGGGTAACCCTTATCATTGAGGGTTACGAAAATAAGATGTTGGCCGATTCTCAGACCTACCCAATATGTACACAAAATTTCATAAAATTCGGTAAAGCCGTTTCGGAGGATTTTGGTAACAAGCACCGCGACACAAGAATTTTATTTATTACAAAAATAGGTAAATACAGGTAGGTACTGGCCACTGATAATTTTGTAAATACTGGCCGGTAACAATTTGTTCTATTTATTCTTTCAATGAATAAATCAGTGTTTGACCAACTCGCTTGCGTATGACTACAGTTAAGATTGGGTTTCACGAAGAAAAACTGAATTTGACAGTGACAAAAAAATGTTATTTCCATTTAAATACTAAAAACTAATGAAGCAATTTTGATAAAATGCCTATGAGACCAACCTGTAAGTATTTATAATAATATAATAATAATATACTTTATTATCCAGACTACAATGTGGTCCATTTTGTTAGTAACAATTTTCTTACAAACTATGTTAGTAGAAAAAGAAAAGCAAATTGATTTAATTGAGCAGTTCACTCTGTTGTGAGCCAGCCGACTAGAACAGCATCTGAATGAAATGCCCAATTATAGGCGAGTTATATTTCTCGCCTATTACTTTTAGAATGCTGTCGGTGCTTGTCCTAACCCTGTGCAGCAATGATGCAATACTCTTTCTCCTTACAGCGTAGTAGTCATCTATGCGAGATTGAGCAAACATGCTGGAGGCGCTACAAAAGCGAGCTAGCCCCAACAGCACTCTAAAACTATTATTGTACTGGATTCGTAGGGCACTGAGTGAGGCCTGTGTACAGTTGACCCGCAGGCTGCTCGTGTAGAATATTTGGCAGTGTGCTTTCAAATAAAAAAAGAATTTTTCAAATCTGTTTACAACTGACATATGACTCTATGACCATTCTGTTCTTTTCAATTCCCCTCTTTCCCTCCGTATTCCCTTACCTACATCGGTTCCAGTGTTATTGTTTCTTGATAATTTAGAAGTATATAATTCGATTTCCTCTTTTATTCTTATCAATAATATTAAGTTGTAAATTTTCTTAGTTTATGTACTTTACATATATATATATATATATTTTAAGGTTAAATATATTGTAATTTCTATTTAGATATCTGTCCTTTTCCTTATATTATTCATTATTCAACTTTTCTGATCTTTATCCTAAATTTCTTCGTCCAAAACTCCTTTACTAAAATGCTGTTTCCCAAACTTTGTTTTTGGCGGATGCGCTTTGTGCCGTGCCATAAGAAAGGAAAAAAAAGTGAAATAGTTATGAGGTACTCTTTGATCTTAGCCAGAAGGAGAAGCGGCAAGAAGTTATTTATTTATGAGGTAAGGTACATAAGAAAAATACAAACGAGTTCAGATGCTGCGTTTTGAAGTTGTTTGAAAACGGCCGCAGCCATAAGATGGCGGATTAAATCAGAAAGGCACGTTTTTGAAAAGAATTTGTTTGAAGAACTTTAAAAAAATAAAAAAAAAAACTAAATTATTGAAGCGTTTTTGATAAAATGTCTACGGAACCAATCTGTAAGTATATCCTTTCAGATAAATAAAAACGTTTCTAGGGAGAACCGCGAGGAGGTCGACCTGGTTGGGTATATTGCTAGCAATGGGATTCTTAGTCTCCATTATTAACAATCCTATTTCGTCTAAAAGTATGTGTTTTTTTTAACGGGTGATAATGGAATTGTAACCCCACCCGCGCTATCGGTATACACCGGCGGGGCACCATTGAAGGATGATAGGTGACGATGAAGCATGTCAGTTAGCCCATCGTGATGATTTCAACAAGAATTGTTCACGATGGTTCCCAGGGGAAAGCACGTGGAGGTCGACCTAATAGGGCATATTGATAAAAAAAAAAACATGTGTTATCATTGCGTAAAATGCGGAATCTATGTTTTGCTTGTATGCCAGATAATAAAGTGATAGCGGACGTGTTCGAGTGCCACTTATTAAGGTTATTGCGGCCTAGCGACGAGATAATTAAAAATATAACTACTTAAATATCGCCACACACCTATTGCACAGCGCCATCTAGTTTGCAAGCTAACCAGAGGGAGACTTTGTACAAAAGTCGATTGCTTGAGTACCTCTGTCGCATTCGTGTTTCAACCGTGAAGCAGTTGTGTTCGTGTTGGAGTATTAAGTGTGGTCACTAAAGGTCCAAAAATATTATTAATATTATTCATAGGTGGCAACTCTTGTAGTTGTTTATGACAGTGTGTGCTCTCTTGTCTGTGGTCTTTTTCCTCTTCCTTTTTCCAACTGAAACTTGATGTACACGTGAGTCAAAAAGATAAATTAAATATTATTAAAAATATTGTCCGCTGTTTTTATAAAATACCATCAGGTTATGGGCTCAGTCATTTGTGGTGTTGAAAAAAGTTATAAAGTTCTGAAAATAAAAATTATCATCACGGGCATCCACGTGGTGAGTCGACGAAGCGGCAAGTCGAGAATAAAACTTCAAGATGGAAAAGCATTTCGAAAAATTAGCATTCAAGTTAGAAGGAACAAATAATTGGACCACATGGAAGTTCCAACTTCGTGTATTACTTCAAGCATTAGAATTATATGATGTAGTTGAAAAAGACGCTTTGACAAAAATGGCGTCGGAAGATTTCATTAAAAAGGATCGAAAAGCCCAATCATTAATTGTTTTAAACATCCATGAGAAAATAATGGTGCACATCATAAACGCAAAATCGGCATCAGAAATGTGGGCGAAACTATCAACCATATATGAGAAAAAATCGTCTACCAGTCTTCATATAGAACAACAGAAGTTTTTCCATTTACAATGTGAGGATGATGTTATACTTTTTATATCAAAGCTGGAAGAAATAAGAAATAAAATAAACCAACTGGACAGTAATACATCAATTCCGGATAAAATGTTTATTACTAAAATACTCATGGGACTTCCAAGTAAATACAAACATTTCATAGCAGCCTGGGAATCAGTTCCAGAAAGTAATCAAACAATAGATGAATTAACAGCAAGGTTACTCATAGAAGAGGAAAGAATGAAGGAATCAAGTTCATCAGTAGCGTTAACAACTAAAAGTGCTGTACAGTCACAACATAGAAACAAATGTTATTCATGTGGAAAACCAGGTCATATTAAAAAAGAGTGTCGTTATCGAATTGTCTGCCATTATTGTAAAAAATCTGGACACTCCATAGGTGACTGTTGGATAAGGAAAAATAAAGAAAATCAGAGAAGTAAGAAAGTTCAGCACACTAGCAATGATATCAGTAATGCGTTTGTTGCTAATATAAGTGATTCCAGTCAATGGATTGTCGACACTGGAGCTAGTGAGCATATGTCGTTCCAAAGAGAATCATTTTCATATTATCAGAAATTAAACCCTCCAAAAAAAGTAATAATAGGAGATGGAACTCAATTAGATGCGGAAGGACAAGGAACTATAGAGTTGTTGGCATATAATGGAAACAAGTGGATAAAAACAACAATATCGAATGTTTTATATGTCCCTAAACTGACTATAAATCTTTTTTCTGCAAGAAGTGTCATGGACAAGGGCCATGATTTACATATAAATAGCACAGAATGTAAAATTTTAAAAAATGGTATGGTAGTTGCTGTTGGTGTTAAAAAAAATAAACTGTATATGATGAGATTCACACAAGGGGAGCATGCTGCAGTCTGTAAAGAAGTGTGTTTGATAGAATGGCATAAGCGTTTGGGCCATCAAAACTTACAACATGTAAGAAATATATTAAATAAAAATAATATTATGTATGAGGACAGTCAAATTGAAAGCTGCGAAGACTGTATTAAGGGAAAGATGCATAAATTCCCATTTGAAAAGAGTAACTCAAAATCTACCAAAGTATGTGAGTTAGTACATATGGATGTCTGCGGCCCTATGGAGGTATGTTCCTTAGGGCAATCAAGATTTTTTCTTTTAATCAAGGATGATTATTCAGGCTACAGATATGTTTATTTTTTAAAAAATAAATATGAAGTGTATGAAAAAATAAAAAAATTTCTTGATATGGCAGAAAAGGAAACTGGAAATAAAATAAAAATAGTAAGAACAGATAATGGGAAAGAATTCATAAATAATAATGTTAAAAAATTATTTGAAGACAGAGCTATTAGACATCAAACATCAGTAGTTTACACTGCAGAACAAAATGGAAAAATAGAAAGAGATAATAGAACAGTTGTCGAATGTGCAAGAACAATGCTATTATCAGCAAAATTAAATAAGAATCTATGGGCAGAAGCAGTCAATACAGCAGTGTTTATTTTAAATAGAACCGGGAAAACAAATATTCCTGAAAAGTCACCATTTGACATTTGGTTTAACAAAAAATATGACATATCACATCTCAAATTATTTGGGAGTAAAGTTCACATACATGTGCCAGATGTGAGAAGGCAAAAATGGGATTCAAAAAGTTTAGAAGGTGTTTTTGTTGGATATGGAGAGTCTGGAATAACAGAGACCAAAGGTTATAGGATATACATACCTACAAATAATACAATAGAGGTAAAAAGAGATGTAATCTTTATTAAATCAACAGATGAAAAACAAACAGATACTTTATTACCAGAAAGTGAGGTTATATTAGATTTTGAGAGTATAACTGACTCAAAACAGGGGGAAAAGTGTCAAGAAACCACAAGTTCTATCATAGAACAGAGGACACAAGAAATAACTGAAAGTGATGTCCAAGAAACTCCACAGAGATCTCACACAGATGTACAAACTATAGAAAAACAAAAAAGACAAATAAAGAAACCATTGTGGTGGAATGATTATGAAACATCATTTCTATGTGTCATTGAAGAGCCAAAAAGTTATGAAGAGGCTGTCAGCAGTTCATATTCTGAAAAGTGGCAGGATGCTATGAATAAAGAATTACAAGTGCTTAATGAAAATAACACATGGACTGAAGTGCCTGTGCCTATCGGGAAAAATGTGATTGATTGCAAGTGGGTGTATAGAGTGAAGTGTGATATGGATGGGAACCCTACAGACTTTAAAGCTCGGTTAGTAGCCCGTGGCTTCCAACAAAATGACTGTTTTGAGGTTTATGATATATATGCACCAGTAGCTAGATTAAGTACCTTTCGTGTGTTGTTAGCCATAGCAAATAAGTTACATTTACCAGTTCATCATTTGGATGTCCGTAGTGCCTTTCTTTATGGAAATATAGATGAGGAGGTATATATGAAAACCCCTAAGGGTGCAATAAACAAAAATAATATAGTTCTTAAGTTAAATAAGTCGATATATGGTTTAAAAAAATCCCCAAAATATTGGAACTTAAAATTTCATTCTGTAATAACTAAGAAGGGGTTTGTTAGGTCTGAAAATGATTACTGTCTTTATTCAAAATGTGAACAAGGTAATAAAATATATTTATTATTGTTTGTAGATGACATATTATTATGTGCAAGTGACTATACTCAATTGTGTGAACTAAAAACCTATTTATCTGAAAACTTTTGTATGAAAGACTTAGGTCCTGTCAAAAATTATTTAGGTATATCTGTAAATCAAAATATTGGAGAGGGCACCACCGAATTAAGTCAAGAAAATTATTTGAAATTGTTATTATTAAAACTAAACATGTCAGACTGCAAAACACAACAAACACCAATGGAAAATAAATTACAACTTGTTAAATCAAAGGAAAATGATCCTTTTTATGAGAGAAAATGTAGAGCTTTATTGGGAAGTTTAATATATGCAGTACAAGGAACAAGACCTGACTTGTGTTTTGCAGTGTCATATCTTAGTAGATTTCAAAATCATGCTGATGAAAAATTGTATAATTCAATTAAAAGAGTGTTGAGATATGTAAAAAATACAATAAATTTAAAATTGATATATTCTTGTAAAAGTAGTGAAACAAAATTAAGTTGTTATGTGGATTCTGACTGGGGAAGTGATATTAATGATAGAAAATCAACATCAGGTTTTTTGTTTAAATTGTTTGATTGTACTGTTGCTTGGTCATCAAAAAAACAACAATCTGTGAGCCTTTCATCAACTGAAGCGGAATGTAATGCTCTTAGTTCTGCTATAGTAGAAGCGATTTGGTTAAAAAAATTAATTAATGACTTTAATTTATTTTGTACTGGTCCAATAATAATGCATGTTGATAATCAAGCAACTATAACTATTTGTAATGCCCCAGAAAGCAATAGAAGAGTAAAACACACTGATATAAAATTTAATTTTATTAAACAAAACATAGAAAATAGTATAATTAACATAAAATATGTACAGACTGGAGAGCAACAAGCTGATATATTGACAAAACCTTTATGTAAAGAAAAGTTTATATATTTTAGAGGCAAATTAATGATGATTTAGAATAAATGATTCATCTATGATATTATATATGTGTATATATATATATTTTTAAATTCAGTTCAAAATATTAGAACAGGTTCTTTTTGGTTATTCTTTTTGGACACTTTATTGAGGAGGGGTGTTGGAGTATTAAGTGTGGTCACTAAAGGTCCAAAAATATTATTAATATTATTCATAGGTGGCAACTCTTGTAGTTGTTTATGACAGTGTGTGCTCTCTTGTCTGTGGTCTTTTTCCTCTTCCTTTTTCCAACTGAAACTTGATGTACACGTGAGTCAAAAAGATAAATTAAATATTATTAAAAATATTGTCCGCTGTTTTTATAAAATACCATCAGTTCGCATGGCTGTGTTTCGGTTTGAAGGGTGGGATATGGCGTGAATTTACTGGGTATAGAGGAATAACACCCGAGTCCTCAGGAGTGGCAACGCATAGGGGCTATCATGGGCGAAACGGTATACTCTGTTATGTCCATTGTACTGCTCATGTCTATAGGCGACGGTTACCACTTTCCATCAGGTGGGCCGTCAGCTTGTTTGCCATTCTAAGTTACAACTTTTATACATAAAAAAAAAACTTGTTTTTTGTAAATACATACATATTATGGTGTGGCGACCACGTACGTATAAACGCAGTGTAGGACGACAAACCCACTAGATGGAGCGACAATCTGAAATGTGTTGCAGAGAGTCAGTGGATGCAGGTGTCTCAGGGCCGTTCTTTATGGCAGTCTATGGGGAGGCTTATGTCCAGCAGTGGACGGATAATGGCTGAAATGATGATGTTGGTATATATTATACGCTAGCGACCCATCCCGGTTTTGCACGGTTTTGTTTTTATATAAGATTGTGTTTCATAAATAAAAATACTAACTTCAGTTGTAGCAAAACCAGTAATTTTGATTTAGAAACTAAACTACTCAATCGATATTTATAAAGTTTCTATCGGATCAATCTGTAACCATATCCTTTTAAATAAAAAAAAAGAATTTTTCAAATCGGTTTAGAACTGACGGAGTTATGAGACAAACATAAAAAAAATACAACCATATTAAAAAAAAACCTCTTTTTTTTTCAATTGGTTGAAAATACAGTTTGGAACCTCTTTCTTTTCGTAGTCGGTTAATATTTTCAGTCTATATTACTCGCCAATAATGTAGCTTTTTATAGATGAAAGAATTTTTAAGTATTTGTTTAAGTATTCATTTTGGGTGTGTCGGGGTGCCCACGATACAGGTTCGCCCAGTGTGGGGCCCATTATATCTTGTATTTTTGTAATATAATTAATTTTCATTCTAATCTATGTTTATGGTAATAATAAAATCAATAAAAAAATTATAAAAAAAAAAAGAATTTATCAAATACAAACAAAAATATTTCCTCTTTATAATATCATACTATAAATTGCCTATCTCATGCCAATTACAAATGTTTGGGGTGGCACATTGACCCCAGTATTGTCAGCGTGCTCCAAGGTTGAACACATTTAGTGATGTACCGAGACGAACTCTTTCAATTTCCGATTAATTTGGTACTTGTTAACAATTTAAAATTGTATTCGATATAAAAAAAAACCGATTTCAATCATAGTAAAACCGGTTATATTCATTTAATAATTAAAATACTGTGTGAGTCACCATAATAATTATTAAATATAATTAAAAATTGTGTCCCACGAAAAAACCGACTTCAGTTGTCACAAAATCAATATTGGTTTGAAAATTAAACTATTGAAGCGATTTTAATAAAATGTCTATTTATTTCAATTCAATTCAATCATTTATTGCTATTTCAGGTGGCTATTCTATGGGATCAATCTGTAAGTACATCCTTTCAGATACGAAAGAATTCTCCAAATCCGTTTAGAAATGAAATTAAATTAATTTATTTTGCTAGAATGTAGGTGGTTTTAGATGGAAGAGGTTTATATTTTCCATATATATTCTGTCTCTATGTCGGCGTGCAAATTATTAACAATATGAGAAATTTACATAGTTCTATATTATTGATTGAATCGGTTTTAATAAAATGTTTATAGGACTAATCTGAAAGTATATCCTTTCAGATATATTTTTCCAAAACGGTTTATTAATGACATAGTTATGAGGTAAAAATAAAAACTAACTTGGAAACTCTTTCCTTGTTTCAAGTCGGTTAAGAAAAAAATCGAACTCTGACTCGAGTCTGAGGACTCAAACAATCACTCGATTATTCAAATATTTTATATTTATTTCTAATATTTACTTGCAAGAAGATAATAAATATACAGTACCTAATTTTTTCTTTGGTAATTAAGTAAAATATGAATGAAACTAGCTTTTACCTGCGACTTCGTACGCCTGACCAGGATATTTTCACTAACCATGATAAAAGCTAGTCCTTCTGCATCCCATATTTTTTGTTTTGCTGTTAAAAGGTTCCGCGATTCGTTACGATCTCCTATACTGAAAAGCGATGATGTGGTAGATTTCTTATATTAATTTTTCTTAAATATTTCCCATGCACAAATATAGCCCCTTATTCATTAAAACTTCAAACCTCTAAAAATTATTTTAACTATTTAAATATTTTGTCTCTTACTTTTGTGATAAATTACTAATTTGAAAGAAAGTGACAAAACAGTGTAATAGTTAATTTAACTATAGGTTTGCAAAATGCTTTATTTTTTATGAATAAGAGGGATAGTCTAGATGCAATTTTTTATTATGGAAGGCAAATTCAAGTCAGTATTAAAACATCACCAAAGCGCAACTGTGGTTAGCAACTCACCTGCCAAGCGTGACAACTATTGGCAAAACCTTCCAAGAAGAAGGCGTATGATCAGCAGTGGACAGTAACGCTTGACTTGATGATGAAGTCAGTATTCGAGTCTAAATCATTGATCTGGGTAGTTGTAGCATCAGCGTTTTCAAGGCTGATCACACTACTGTCGCAAATATCAATGTTGCATGGTATCAGAATCATACAATTGTAAAATTAAAATGGAGGGGGAGAGGAGATTGGTAGTAATGGGAATTAACAATCTCATTGCTAGCATATATTGCTATTAGGTAGGTATTATTGTATATTGTTGTTTTGATGGGTGAAAATGGTATGGTAACCCCGCCTGCGCTAACGGGATACGCTGGCGGAGCACCAGTGAAGGGTGATAGATGAGAATGAAAACAGGCCAGTTAGCCTATCATGATGAATTCATCAGGAATTAATCATGATAGTTTCCAGGGGGAACCGCGAGGAGGTCGACCTGTTTGGGTATATTGCTAGCAATAATCCTATTGCTAGCAATATACCCAGCCAGGTCGACCTCCTCAGTCTCTATTACTAACAATCCCTTTCCCCCCGAATCATACGGTAGTAAAATTGGAGTCAGTATTCGAGTCAGTTTGACTCGGCACATCACTAACCATTGACCCGGGCAGTTGTAACATCAGCATTTTTAAGGCTGGTCACACAGCTATAGCAAATATCAATGCCGCCTGGTATCAGAATCATACGATAGTTTATTGCTACGTTATCTACTTTGTTACATGTATATTATGTATGGCCAATATATTCAAAGCTTTTTTTGTATGTTGTGCCTTGATATACGCGTAACATTGTCGTCATACAGCCGTTTATTGTCCATCGCGATACATAAGCCTTCCTTATAAGGGATACCACGCTTGGCAAACAGGGTTTTTCTTTAATGAATGATAATGGAATGGTAACCCCGCCTGCGAGGAGGGTAAGGGATTGTTAGCAATGGAGTTTGATAGCCCCATTGCCAGCAATATGCCCTGTCAGGTCGACCTCCACGTGGTTCCCCCTGGAAACCATCGTGAACAATTCTTGTTGAATTCGTCACGATGGGCTTACTGGCCTGCCTTATCCTCACCTGTCATCCTTCACTGGTGCCCCGCCGGTGTATACCGATAGCGCGGGTGGGGTTACCATTTCATTATCACCCATAAAAAAAAACCCCCGCCTGCGCTAATCCTCACTGGTGCCTCGCCAGCGAATACAGTTAGCCCATCAGCCATAAAAAGAAACTGACTATATGGAGTAAGTACCCATAAAACAGTCTGCTGACGTCAAATAGTAGTACAAAGTTATTGAAGTCGCTGGCGGAAGATCCAAAAAAACACCAATTTTATAAATATAACTAAATTTAATTCTAAAATTAATTATTACAATAATAAGTGTCAGTCAGATCGATGTGTGATCCGTAAGTGAAGTTATATCAAATCAAACATAAAGGAAATGGGTATTTTTGCTGCGGGAATTGAAATGCTGACTGGACGCAGGTGTCTTTCTCGGTAGCGCACCTTCTTGCGTCATGCTAGGTGGTCCGATCCGATCGCCGTTGAGGGTGTATCGTAAATCGTAATACTTGATAGGTATCTACTATAACAACAAAACAAACAAAAAATAGATTGTTATTGTTTATTTTGTTCTTGCCTTGTGTGCTACTGTGCGAGCCGCATGATTCTTTGAATAAATTGTTTCTTTCCTCTTTCTTTCTATTATTTTGATTCGTTACTAATTTCAATTGCAATAATTTTAGGACAGAACTTAGTTTCTTTTTCACTTTTTCCATTGAAACCGACGCCAACGTTGAAGAGTTTGCCTATTAGAAAAAATCAATTAGACTTCCGTATTGGTTCAAACGGTTCCTGATTACAGATCAAGAAACTCCGGCGAAGAAGTGACAGTCGATATTTATTTATTTACTTACTAAAATTTTAATGCACAGTAAAAATTTACCAGAGGGAGACTTTGTACAAAAGTCGATTGCTTGGGTACCTCTGTCTCATTCGTGTTTCAACCGTGAAGTAGTTGTGTTTGCATGGCTGTATTTCGGTTTGTAGGGTGGGATATGGCGTGAATTTACTGGGTACAGAGGAATAACACCTGAGTCTTCAGGAGTGGCAACGAAGGGGGGGGGTATCATGGGCGAAATGATATACTCTGTTATGTCCATGGTACTGCTCATGTCTATAGGCGACGGTTACCACTTTCCATCAGGTGGGCCGTCAGCTTGTTTGCTATTCAAAGTTGCATAAAAAAAGATCTTTTGTCACGTCAGTATCTCTCTTTATTTAGCGAGGGTTCTCTAAAACTTTGTCACGTCTACTATACAATGGTCTTTTAATCTGTGATTGACAGTGAGATTTGATAGGAAGTCCCATGACCGATACCATAACAACCTTCGACTCGCAGCATCGCGGTTGTCTCCATCAAAAAGTGATTTAAAAATACAGAGCAACTACAGAAAGTTTGTACACCGAGGCTTCAGGTGAGAAACTAAGGGCCTAACCTATGGGACATTATGGAATTCATTCTTTATTCTATATTGTACACAAAACATAATAAAGCAGAAAAGGCAGAATAGACGCGGAAAGTTGAATGGATGCGTACATGTCTCCATACAAAATCGTTGTTTTCTATGGACAAAAGCTGAATAAGTGTGAGTAGTCCCTTAGGGGGGTTTTGTCAGTAGTTGCCATGCTTGGCAGGCAGGTTAGGAACCGCAGTTAGGCTTTGGAGATATTTTAAGAGGGACGCTGCTGCCCATCCCTCGGCCTCTTTTACTCGGTTCTTACGACAGCCGACGATGATCCCAGGCTCACAGGCGGTAAAAAAAAAGCCATGGGAGGAAGGGGTGACCTATTCTATGCCGGGACCACACGGCCAATAGAACTTAACGAAAAGCTAATTAAATTTTGTTGCATTCATCACAGACCCACTCTCTCAAAGAAATTAGTAATCGAAATAATTAACCAATGAATTGATTTTTGATTTATACTACTAATTTACCAGAGAAAGACTTTGTACAAAAGTCGATTGCTTGGATACCTCTGTCCTATTCGTGTTTCAACCGTAAAGCAGTTGTGTTTGCATGGCTGTTTCGGTTTGAAGGGATATGGCGTGAATTTACTGGATACAGGGGAATAACACCTGAGTCCTCAGGAATGGCAACGCATGGGGGATATCATGGGCGAAAGAGTATACTCTGTTATGTGCATGGTACTGCTCATGTGTATAGGCGACGGTTACCACTTTCCATCAGGTGGGCCGTCAGCTTGTTTGCCATTCTAAGTTGTATTAAAAAAAAATGTAAATAATCCTTTTTTTTTGTATTTCCAGCATGAGACAATCTAGACGAATGATCGAACTCTCAAATCGCATAAGGTGTCTAATATTATTATCAATGCTTTTTAGTATTTTATTTACCATTCTCTCCGTTCAAAATTATAAATATATCGAAGAGATTCGATTGCAGTTACAAATACAAGAAGACGAGAATAATGCACATAATTTTACAATTAAAACTGAAGGCTGTTCCATTCCTGCAATGAATCCATTCGACGTCGGCATCAAAGAATTCGTGCATTTTCCTAAAAGTTTAAAAGAATGCGATAAACGGAATGAAACTCTCTTGAAACGTAATCGAACACATATTTGGATAAATAAAGACGAAATTGTTCTAAACGATGAGCTAAAAAATAATATAGATTCATTAATATGCTGTTACAAAAGTTTCTTCATGCCAGAATCAATCGTGAACATTAAATTGCCATTCGTCGACGACAGAGTAAAATACGAAAGTTGTATAAACTTTTCTGATGCCATAGAAGTGAAAAATGAATTCGTGCGAGTGACGTGCAATGTAGGAGAGATTTGTGTACACGATGAATTTTTTATTTTCGCACTAAAAAAAGATTACCACGAACATAACGGTGTAAAAGAAATATCAAGAAATAAGACGGCCTACAACGTTCTGTTCATAGGACTAGATGCAGTTTCGAGATTAAATTTCCATAGAACTATGCCGAAAACGTTGGCGTATTTGCAAAATAAGGGCGCTGTGAGCTTAGACGGTTTTAATAAAGTCGGTGACAACACATTTCCGAACATGATACCTATGCTGTTAGGTATATCATCAAAAGAACTACAGAAGACATGTCTCCCTCACAGGAAGGCCGCATTTGATAATTGTCCATTTATTTGGGAATGGTTCAAACAAGCTGGATACTACACAGCGTTCGGAGAAGATGGCTCGAGATTACGGGCGTTCAATTATGATGGAGCGGGTTTTATCGATGCTCCCACCGATTATTATCTGCACACGTTTATGAAAGAGGCCGAGAAGAATTCTGGTAATAATAAGGATATATTTTCATACCTGTGCATGCACGATAAATATTTTTATAAAGTCCTCTTAGATTACGTTGCAGATCTAACATTTACGTTGAGTGACAAGAAATTGTTCGGTTTCTTTTGGGAGTTCAGTATGACCCACGATTATTTGAACTATCCGATGATTATGGATGATGATTATGCGAGTGTTTTCACCGTATTGGAACGTAGTAAATATTTGGATGATACTGTTGTGTTTTTAGTCAGCGATCACGGTATGCGGTGGGGTGGTATTAGGTTGACAAAACAAGGCCGTTTGGAGGAACGTTTGCCATTTGCATTTATATTACTGCCGCGTTCATTTCGCGATAACTATTCAGATGCGTACGACAACTTGAAACTGAACGGTCAACGGTTGACTACACCATTCGATATTCACGCAACAATGTTAGACTTAATCGACATGGAAAATATTAGAGACGAAAAGATTTTTACGAGAAAACAAGAGAGTTACGGAGACAAAAGAAGCATCAGCTTATTTTTACCGGTACCAAGCAATCGGACGTGCGAATCGGCCGAGATCAACGAGCATTGGTGTACGTGTAATGAAGAGCGATCAATTTCAAAAGACGACCCCTATGTAATCGTGGCGTCTACGTATTTAATTGAACATTTTAACGAAATACTATCGGATTACCCTCAATGCGCGCGTCTTAGGATTGGAGAAATTATAGAAGCTTTGGAAATAGTTGTAAAGCCATCTAATAATGAAATAGATTTGAGAGTGATCACGGTGGTGTTACGGTCAAAACCTGGTGATGGTATTTTCGAAGGTACTCTGCGTCATGTGAATGGTGCATGGAGTATTTCAGGTACGGTTAGTAGATTAAATTTATACGGCGATCAAGGGAGATGCATGCCTGATTTGCGTTTGAGATTGTATTGTTATTGTGATTTCTTGTAAAATTATATTATGCGAGACAAGTATGTTCGTTTTTGTGGGTAGATTTGTCCCACTCGTGTTGCCGATGTCAGCTGCACAACATGGCTAGTGTTTGTTTATATATTTATTCGGAATAACAAAGAGGAGAGAGGATGGATAAAAGAAAAATTATTAAAAAAAAAATTATCGAACAAGAATTATTAGAAATGTCGATAGGGGCCACTCTAGACGGACGTATGGCGGCCATATAGGCGACGTGCTGTAGAAGGGCCAAATTAAAAGTACCCGTAAACGGCGAGCGTGTATGAAAATATTGATGATTGTGGAAGAAGCGAAAGAGGTTTGTTTGAATCGAAGCATTTGGCGTTTCATTGTTTCTGCCCACCCTAATGGGAGGCAGACGTGACAGATATGTATGTATGTATGTAACAGTTACTCATTAAAATTATTTATGTATGTATAATTTTTGTAAGTTTATGATTCTATAGAATAGAACAGAAATAACCTTTATTCATATAAACTTGTTTTTAAGCTTTTGAATCGTAAATTTTTATGATTCTACTGCTGGGTTCGGGATATTGTTATCTGTTGCGAAGACTCCGCACGAAACTCAACAATTACTCTTTACAAATTATTATGTACATAATAATTTTACATTTGTATGGGTACTGAATAAATATAATTAGAATTGAGTTCCGTAAACCAGTTGCGTTTGCATGGCTGTGTTTCAGTTTGAAGGGTGCGATATGACAGTGAATTTACAGGGTACAGAGGAATAACATCCGAGTCCTCAGGAATGGCAACACCATTGACAGGTGAGAATCAAAGCAGGTCAGTAAGTCCATCGCGAGGAATTCAACAAGAACTAACCACAATTGGTTTTCCGGTCGCACTACGTGGTACGTGTTGACTATATTGCTAGCCAGAAGGACTAAATTTCCCAATACACAAAATCCCACGTTTGAAGTCCCTATTTCTTTTTGCAGTGTTAAATATAATATGTTTTACAAAATTTCTCGAATCTATTTACTGCTCATTAGCTCTGAAGGTCGCCCGTTACCATTTTAAACGAGCTATTCTTGGAATTCATAGGTTGAAGTTTCTAGATCTATTTTAGCTGTGTAGCCATAACAACAGGACTATACACAAAACCAGTCCAACTTTACTATATATATATATATATATATATATATATATAATAGGATATAAGCCTTTCCCATAAAGAGAGTTTTACCAGTAGCTGCCACGCTTGACAGGCAGGTTGGCAACCGCAGTTAGGCAGGGGGAAAAGGATTGTTAGCAATGGAGTTTGACAGCCCCATTGCTAGCAATATGCCTTATTAGATCGACCACATGGTTCCCTCTGGAAACCATCGTGATCAATTCTTGTTGAATTCGTCACGATGGGCTGACTGACCTGCTTCATCCTCACCTATCATTCGTCACTGGTGCCCCGCCGGTGTATACCGATAGCGCGGGTGGGGTTACCATTCCATTATCATCCATTTAAAAAATAAACCGCAGTTAGGGTTTGGAGATGTTTTAAGAGGGACGCTGCTGCTCATTCTTCGCCCTCTCTTAGCCGCCTCTTACGACACCCACGGGAAAGGAAGGGGTGGCCCGTTTTATGCCGGGACCACACGGCCATTTTTATGTTTGGTACCTCATAATTCTGTTATTTATAAACCGATTTGGAAATAAGTCTAAATGGATATACTTTTAAATTTCAATTTCACATAGATATTCCATCAAAGTTGACTCAATATAGTTTAATATAGTTAGAGTAATACTTTAGTGTAGTCTTTAACCGACTTAAAAAAAAGGCTTTCATTTCGATTGTATTTATCTTTATCTTTGTTCTCATAACTCCGAATGAACTCGATTTATTGTATTTTTTTTTACGAAAGGATATACTTTTTAGGATTAGTCCCATTAGAAATTTCATCACAATCGGTACAGTAGTTTAAATTTTAATGAAAGTAACTGGTACTGCCCCGATTGCAATTGGTTTTTTTTTTATGAAACAATAATTAATGTATTATTTCGACATATATATTTTTTTTTTGGAAAAAATATTCAGCTTTTACTATTACTTTATTATTTAGGTACTAAAAAAAATATGGACCATAAATTCGTAATATTGCTTTTGGTATTTCATATTATATATATATATATATATATATATATATATATATATATATATATATATATATATATATATATATATATATATATATATATATATAATATATTATATTATAGACATAATATCTTAGGTTACATTATTTTAAATGAGAACAGTTTTGAATTTTTCCAGAAAAATTTTCCACTGGTTTTCGGTTTAGACTAATAGTCTGAATTCACTGTTTAAGTATTTGCCAACATTTTTTTATACAACTTAGAATGGCAAACAAGCTGACGGCCCACCTGATGGAAAGTGGTAACCGTCGCCTATAGACATGAGCAGTACCATGCACATAACAGAGTATACTGTTTCGCCCATGATACCCCCCATGCGTTGCCATTAATTAGGACTCAGGTGTTATTCCTCTGTACCCTGTAAATTCACGCTATATCCCACCCTTCAAACCGAAACACAGCCATGCAAACACAACTGCTTCACGGTAGAAACACGAATGGGACAGAGGTGTCCAAGCAATCGACTTTTGTACAGTCTCCCTCTAGCAAAACCAACCTATCCCTAAAACCCTGTATTTCTAAATCTGTATACGATAGAATAATATTTTGTCCCTATACTACCTTTAACACGCGACTTCGCGCACGTGATCGGGATGAAAACTAGCTTTTTCAATCCCATACAGTACGTGTATAAAAAATTAGTTAAGGCACTAAGAAGTAACAAACTTTTTTTTTTTTAATTTATAATAGTATAAGTCGAGATTCATAAAAACGTCAAACATTTTATTAGGTTATTTTAACCATATTTTCCTTTTACGATAATTTCGCCATTTGAAAGAGCCAAAATAATCTAATTGTTCCAAATTTTTACTTACTTTAAGCGTGGCATCGTCACTATTATCAGTTAATTTACAAAAACAGTTAAAAAAATTTACAATGATTCCAATTGATCATTTAAACAGTGCTCTGCTACCGAACTAAAGCGTTAATCATAGAATACGTTGCATATAAACCTAACACTAAAAACTGGGGGAAAGGGATTGTTGGTAATGAGGTCTAATAGCCCCATTGTTAGCAATATACCCTTAAGGTATATTGCTAACAATTTCTAGGGCGAGGAGGAGGTCGCAGATCGACCTCCTCCTCGCTCTAGAAACCACCATGGTTAATTCTTGTCAAATTCATCATGGTGGGCCAAATTACCTACATTCATTCTCAACTATCATCTTCCACTGGTGGCTCGTCGGTGTATTTTCATTTACCCCCATTAAAAAAAGAGCACTAAAACTTTTTACTATTTGATTTCGGAATCTTTCAAATTTTTTTTATACCACTGAGGTGGTAAACAAGCATACCTGATAGTAATGAAAGGCAGGTTAGTTAGCCCATCGTAATGAATACTTCTGGAATTCAGCACGATGGTTTTCAGGAGGGACCACGTGGAGGTCGAGCTGATAAACTAAATTATAAGCAATGGATTAGTAGTCCGCATTACTAATAATACCTTTCTTCTTAATTGCTACGTTGCCAAAATTTTTAACACTCTTAATATAGATCTGTAGTCGCTGACCAGAATGTAGGGAAGGAGGGTGAGGCCATAGGGTGATGAAATAAAACACATCACTGCTCGCTGTCGTGTACTCATCACCAGCGCACGTGGGGGCGGAACTCCTCACTGACAGACACCCGCTTGATGCTCTCATAGCCTAGAATGATGCTGAATGAGAAGCACGCGGACTGCACCAGCCGCGCCGACAGACCCTTCACATACAGCCCCGCGAGTCCCTCTTCACGCCATAAGCTTTTGAACACTTGTCGCATTGAGCCTACGCCTTCCACCTAGAAAAAAAAAACAAAATTACTACATACTGGTTTCGCTTCAAAATCTTTTCTCCTACATTCTTCAAGACTCTGGAACGCACTTCCTGATGCCATTAAGAGACTACCGACTAAACCGTCTTTCAAAAAAAACCGTTTATACTTTTTTACTTCATCCTAACAGTAAGTACTTTATATTATTCTCAATTTCGTTTACAATATAGTATATGTTATATATGTGTAAGTATATTTGTTATTTATATATATTTATTCGTTTATATATGTAATTTTAGTATGTATGTATATCAATAATTACTAGTACCGCATTCGAGTATTCTGACACTTCCCTATGGTTGACTGGGAGAGAATGCTTTTAGCATTAAGTCTGCCATGTACACATATTTGTACTAATGAATAAATAAATACTATACTTCAGTTTGAAGAGTAGACAGTGAAGTAAATGCCATTATTTGTCCACTGCTGAACAAGTAAAAACCATAAGGGGTTATTGAGGAGTTTTGCCAGTACTTGCCACACTTGGCAGACGGATTGGCAACCGCAGTTAGGCTTTTAGTGATGTTTTGAAAGGAACGCTATCGCCCATCCCTCGAAATCGCATATTATTTACTTTTCAACCGACTTTAAAAACAAGAAAAAAGAAGAATTTAATTGTATTTCATGTTTATTACTCCATAACTCTGTTAGTTCTAGACCAGCTTTTCCCAAAGTGGGCGATAACGGCCCCTTGTGGGCGCTGCAGGCCTAAAGGGGGGTAAGAGACCTAGAAAAAAAATGGTTGCGTAAAAGCTTGGGGGGGGGGGGGGGGATTTGTTGATCTTGAAGTAATAGTGGTTTTTAAGTCGGTGAAAAAATGGAAGCGGTAAAAAATAATTTATTCTCAAAGTGGGCAGTAGACAAAATAAGTTTGGGAACCCCTGTTCTAGACCGATTTGAAAAATTCTTTTTTTATCTGAAAGGACATACTTACAGATTGGTTCGATAGAAATTTTATCAAAATCGGTTCAACAGTTTAGTTTTTAGATCAAAGTAACCGTCACTATTGAAGTATTTTTTTTTTATGGGACATAATCAGTCGATAAAAGTTACAAACCTGCAGCCTTGCTCTCACGATATCCAGTGGGTTTGTGAGGAAAGTTGTGGTGAAGCCGCCCAAGGTACCGGCGACGCACTGCAGGAACAAATGCGACATCCATAACGGACTGATCCGCAGTAATTCCTCTGCAAGACAATGTATTAAATAAATAAATATCATCACCCTAATAGGGTAATCAGAGATTTATTTGTAAATGATAATGGAATGGAAATCTCTGAAAGAGATCTCCTCCAGTCGAACCAATACCCTAGCAGGTTGATTTCCATGCGGTTCCCCCTGGAAAGCATCATAATTCTTGTTGAATCCATCACAATGGACTAACTGTTTTTCTTCACCACTCTCTCACTTCCATGAAATCTTCACGATGGGTTGACTGACCTGCCTGCACCCTCATCTCTTATTGGTGCCCCGTCAGCGTATACTGATAGACGGACATCACAGGCGGACTCACCATTCCATTATCATACATTATATAATAATATGCTTGTGTACTCTGTATGTATATTGTATGAATAGATATGTGTTTGTGTATTTGGATGTGTGTTGCTGTGTATTGTATGTGTGTATGTATGATGTAGAATTATAAAAAAAATGTTCAAAAATGCTTGTTATTGAATTAGTTAAATAAAAAATATTCTTATTATTATAGCTGTGTACTGTGTGTACGGCAGTGTACTGTATCTACAGCTGTGTACTATATCTATGACTGTGTACAGTATCTATGGCTGTGTTTTGTGTGTACAGCTGTGTACAGTGTGTATGCGTGTGCGACCGTGCGTATGCTGACCCTGGTAGGCCTGGTAGAACGCCCACCAGAGCGCGGAGTTGGGCACGTAGGCGGCTAGCGAGGCCGCGTAGCCGCGGTAGTATCCCCAGGCGCCGTGCAGCCGGTACACCCGCAGCGCCACCTCGCGGGCCAGCGCCGCCTTGGATAAACCTTTGTCCAGGTCCAGACCTAACGGGTTGATTTTCTGAAAATATTATAAATATAAATTAATGTGTAATTCAAATTCAACTTTATTATCAGATAACAAGATTCATTTTGTTCGTAACCATCTTAAAATTATGTAAATAAAGAAGGTTAGAATTTAATAGACCATGTTAAATTCACATATGAGATCAGCTAAGCTGTTGCACGTCGATCCATAGGGATCTTTTGCACTTCCCCCTGCCTTATACCATCATTTCATAGATCCTATGTGGTACCCTAACGTCCTTAATATCCCGTGGTTTAAGATATCTATAGACCTCTGGCTCCGGATAAGCCGTTAATAATAGACCATAGACTATATATATCGATAAACTGAGTTGTGACCACTTTGTGTTACTGTGGTACACGCATGAAAGGAAAAAATATGTTACTTATTAACAAAAAATTGATTTTTTTTTGTATATATATAGTTTTGTTTCTTTTTCTTGCGTATATCTATTTTTTTTATACCACTGAGGTGGCAAACAAGCATACGGCCCATCTGATGGTAAGTGGTAACAATTCTTGTTGAAAGCTGAAGTGGCAGTGGTCTGGTCGCATAGCTCGAAGTACCGACAACTGATGGAGAGGAAAGGCGATCCCGTACGGGCAAACACAGCGTAAGACCTTCTCTCACTAGATGGAGTAACCACCTTAAAAGCACTGCAGGATGTCAGTGGATGCAGGTTACTTAGGACCGTTCCTCATGGCAGTTTATGGGAAGGCCTATTGACAGCAGTGGATAGAGTTTATGGTTGATATAAAACATGAAAAAAAAACGAATTAAAATCTTTATCAGTTTTCCTTTAACCAAAGTTTGTCTAGATTGTTGCTTATTGTTGTAAGAGACTGCCTTATCGATAAGACCGCCTTTTGTACCTTTACATATATATTTTAATCTGTACTTCATGCTACTGTATTTCGCTTGAATTTTCTGAATGTAATTATATACTTTTATGTTTCTGGTGCAATAGAGAGTTAAATAAATAAATAACCTTTCTTTTCTGAAGTCTATAAATAATGAAATACTCACGGGGTTTTTGCTGCATCCCGTTCTACCCTTAACTAAACCTAGCACCATGAGATGTTGGCTGAGCACGTCGAATGGTACAATGATAGTTTGTCCCACCATAGACGCACACCCGCCGGCGATGAACGACTGAAACAAGCGGGGTAAGTTGATATCAATATATTAGCCAGTAACTGCCCACTGCTGGGGGGTAAGGGATCGTTAGTGATGGAGACTGAGAATCCCATTGCTAGCAATATACCCAACCAGGTCGACCTACTCGCGGTTCCCCCTGGAAACTATCATGGCTAATTCCTGATGAATTCATCATGATGGGCTAACTGGCCTGTTTTCATTCTCATCTATCACCCTTCACTGGTGCTCCGCCAGCGTATCCCGTTAGCGCAGGCGGGGCTACCATACCATTTTCACCCATCAAAAAAAAAACTGCCCACTGCTGGGGGGAAAGGGATTGTTAGCAATGGAGTTTGACAGCCCCATTGCTAGCAATATGCCTTATTAGGTCCACCTTCACGTGGTTCCCCCTGGAAACCATCGTGAACAATTGTTGTTGAATTCGTCACGATGGGCTAACTGACCTACTTAATCCTCATCTATCATCCTTCACTGGTGCCCCGCCGGTGTATACCGATAGCGCAGGCGGGGTTACCATACCATTATCACCTATTAAAAAAAAATACATCCATACTTCTTTTAAATTTCTCAGCATTTAGCGCTGGTAATTATACAAAACTTACGGGTACATGACCAAGTGAGTGCAGTGTGTATGTATTGTATGGAAGGTTATGCTTGTGTATGACGGGTGGCTACTTCATCCTCATCTATATCAAAGAATTTTCTGACTATTCTGCAAGTATGGCAGCCTTTTGTTTTTTTTTTTTATACAACTTAGAATGGCAAACAAGCTGACGGCCCACCTGATGGAAAGTGGTAACCGTCGCCTATAGACATGAGCAGTACCATGGACATAAAAGAGTATACTGTTTCGCCCATGATACCCCCCATGCGTTGCCATTCCTGAGGACTCAGGTGTTATTCCTCTGTACCCAGTAAATTCACTGCCATATCCCACCCTTCAAACCGAAACACAACTGCTTCACGGTTGAAACACGAATCAACCGACAGACAGAGGTACCCAAGCAATCAACTTTTGTACAAAGTCTCCCTCTGGTAGGGAGATGTAGAGATTATTTCGTAAACCTATTTGTTTTAGACTATGTTGTAAATAGTTGACAATGACACCTGTAGATGAGAGGATTATTGGTACTACATCCATATATATTATTATTACCTTCATTCTCGGACTTATTTCGTGTTTCCCAAGCTCATGTCTGACACCTTCATACGTGGATATATAAAAAACACCGGAGATTATCTGAAACTGTTGACAAATCATCATCAGTGACACGTTATAGTGATTAGTCATGTAAAACTTTGCTGATAAGATAACGTAGTTTGAGGAGTTAATTAGTTCCTGATTACTGATAGTTCCTAGGTAGATTTACATTCAGGTAATGTAGATTTTTTTTTGTTTAAAGGATGATAATGGAATGGTAACCCCGCCTGTGCTAACGGTAGACATGAGCAGTACCATGGACGTAACAGAGTATACTGCTTCATCCATGATACTATGATATAATATGGACCAACTAGCTTGCTTTATCATCATTTATCTGAAGCCAGTTTTTTCGTGAAATACAATCTTTAATACAATGTTTTTTTTACAACACAGGGGGGCAAGCGAGCACGCGGCTCACCTGATGATAAGTGACTACCGCCGCCCATGATCACCCACAACACCAACGGCATTGCAGGTGTGCTGCCGGCCTTTTAAAAAGGAATATGCTTTTTCCTTGAAAACTATGTGGCATAAAAAATTGGGTAACAGTGAAATGGTGACCTTGACTACGCTATCGGTATATGCTGGCGGGGCATCACCGAGAGACGATAATAAGTGTTAATAACACCAACAGTATTGTAGGGCTGGAGCACCTAAATACCAGCTTGAACCTTTCGACTCTTTGCAACGACGAGCTATGAGAATTGTCGATGATCCCAGGCACACAAGCGGTATCGAACCCTTAAGTCTTAGGAGAGATTTTGCCTCACTCTGCGTGTTCTACCGCCTGTACAATGAATTGTGCTCAGAGGAATTGTTCAATATGATGCCCACACCACTTTCTACCATCGCACGGCTCGCCATCGACAGGGAGTTCATCCTCATGTCCTACAGCCTCAATGGTCGCGTACTGCGCGGTGTCAGAAATGTTTCCTCCCACGAACACTCTGGTTGTGGAATGAGCTCCCTGCCGAGGTTTTCCCAAGAGACTACAGCATGGGGTTCTTCAAAAGGGGGGTAAAGAGGATTCTTTAGGGTCGGCAACGCACGCGTAATACCTCTGGTATTGCAGGTGTTCATAGGCTACGGTAACCACTTACCATCAGGTGGGCCGTATGCTTGTTTGCCACCTCAGTGGTATAAAAAAAATATATAAATGTCTACTTACACTTGAAAGCCAAAATCCTCTATAGAGGCCCGAGACGCCTTCATTAGCGTATATCTTCTTTATGGCATCCACAACACCGCTGTACGCCTCTTTTTTCCTCTGTACTTGTATTTGTGTTTTTACTAATGTCAACGGATAGAGGGCGCATCGGACTGCAATTGAGAAATTGAAAATAAACAAAAATTAAGCAATATTTTTATGTACCATATATAAAATAATTAGCAATTATTTTATATACGGTAAATTTATCGTTCCGTGGTCCCGGCGTAGAATGCGCTATCCCTTCCTATTTCGCCGGTGTCTAAGAAGTGACTAAGGGAACTTAATGGTCCAGGGATGGGCAGTAGCGTTCCTCTTCACCAAAACATCACCAAAGCCTGACTGCGGTTAAACCGCTCGCCAAGCATTGCAATTGTACGGTATGGTATACCTAATACTATATATATATATATATATATATATATATACACACACACATATATATACATATATATACATATATATACATATACAGAGACACAGATAAGTATACCATATTAGGTATATATATAACTTATTGTTGTCATTTATAATTAATTATTAAGTTATTATAGCTATATGCTTTTCTCAAAAATAATTTATAAATATTTTTATATCGTCATAGTCGTAGAATACTGACGGATCTATATATGTAATATTTGTCAGATCCGTCAGTATTCTACGACTGTGACGATATGTAGGTACATATTAATATATAAATACTAAATTAACGTGTTAATTTTATGAATGTTTGTATGTATTTAATTTACTATACATACATACATATCTGTCACGCCTGTCTCCCATTAGGGTAGGCAGAAACAATGGAACGCCAAATGCTTCGATTCAAACAAACCTCTTTCGCTTCTTCCACATTCATCAATCTTGTCATACACGCTCGTCGGTTACGGGTACTTTTAATTTGGCCCTAATAATTAAAATTAAATTTAATTTACTATCTTATACTAAAATATAAATAATTTTATGTTTTTAAAACCGCCATCGTATTTCTGCACATCTTAAAAGTTGACAGGTAGAGAATGCCTATAGCATTACCATAAGTCCGCCTTTTGTACCACATTTTATTGGTGAACAAAGTTTAAATAAATAACTTTATATTATAATTATATCAGATTACACGTAATGGCGTCGAAATATCGGAAGCTTACAAACGTGTAATCGACGTAAATAAATATTTTATACGTTTGTAAACAATCGTGATGTAAGTTTGAAACAGTATTGACATTTTATTTTCCAAGCCATATTATGCCCTTTAATGATGGCTATAAAGTATAAAATGTTCTGGCGAATTGGTCATTAAAACTTTTCGGCACTTCGTCGATGAAAACTGTCAAAACAAATTGATCCTTATCACTATATATATATATAAGAGGAAGCTGTGTGACTGATTGACCCATATATCAACGTACAACTGAAACAGCTGAATTTAGAATCTTGAAATTAAGCAGATAGGTTCTTTATACAGTGTAGGTAACCAATCAGAAGGGAATTTTGAAAATTCAGGCCCTAAAGGGGTAAAACTTTCCAAATCCATACAGTAATGTACTCGCATGTTATAATTTAAGTTTGTATTTGTAAACTTCTGTTATGTGCGCCTAATAAATAAAATAAAATACGAAATAGCGGACAAAAGAGAATTATTTATGTATATATATGTATAAGTGCCTATTGGACATGTAAAAAAATTTAGTACAGTGAACGCTATGTAAGCAACCTCTGTATAAGCAATATTTTTTATATTTTATTTATTCTACTCAGCTTAGTTAGTAAAAGATATAAGTAAACATATTTTTATATTATTATATGTATTACATCTCCCATACCTAAAACTAACAAAATTTTTCATCGCGCCTCCTACCAAATTGTTTATAATTACTCCTCTCCATCCAAAGGTTGCCTGGAAGAGATGGCTCTTAGCGATAAGGTCGCCCATTGTTTTCTAATTGTGATTATTTCTTATAATTATTTATATTTATAATAAATTTACTATTGTAATCTTTTGGAGGAAACAATAAAGAGTATCTATCTATCTATCTAAAAATATTTTCCAGACGATAAGTTTTCTTATACTCCTTTTTCCCCTATAAGCGACTTTTCCCAATAAGATTTTTTTTTATTGAAAGTGGTTCAAATGAGTTGCTTATATAGAGTGTTCACTGTATTGTCAAAAACAAATAAATATCCATCAGCTTGTTTGTTATTCTAAGTTGCTTAAAAAAGGGGCAATTCTCACCTGTAAAACTACTTAATGTATATAATGGAAAAAATTTACTCTTGTCCATCATACTCCATTCTATTGTGGTTATCAACTGAGGAGGAGGCGTTTCTACCATTGTCGCTGCCATATTTGATTTCTCTTCTCTCTCCCTCTTCTCGTTTATAATATTTCTATCCTTGTCACCTATTTTCCTACCGCTCCATATACTAAGCAACATTTACGTATAGTCCACATCTACTGTTCTATTTTTAAATTATATATAATCTCTCTTTGGTAATATTTACTCTATGGTAAACATTTATTTTCTAATCTGTATTATTATAGTTTATTTTTTTATATATATATTTTTTTGTATTGAATACAAATTGCAACTGGAATATAACAACTATAATATGATTCTTTTTAATTAAAATAACATAAATATAAATATATCTGTATTTTTCTTATGTAATTATTTGATAATTACAAACAATGAGACTAGTGTGATATCGGAATTGTTGATTTTTTTTTTGTCTTCTCTAAAACTTAAGATATTTTGGAATTCATATGTGTTTTAGAGTTTTTTAAATTGGTCGAAGGTTCTTCCATGATTTTTTTTTAAATTATTCTCACAAGATAACTGAAACAAAGAAAAGTGTATATTTTTTTTATTCTAAGACAAGTTTGACGATAAATGACTATAATTCAGAATTTATTCATTATACAAAGGTCTCTTAGGACTTAGGCATATGTAATTTCAATATCTATAAAGTGGTCTAAACATTAATTGCAGAAAAAGGTTAACCTTCATTTTAATATTGCCCCAGTATGAGCATGGTCTGATATCTATATAAATTTCCATCAGGTTCTTAATTTTAATATAAATATTAATTACTGTACCAATATATAGATATTGTAGCTACAATATACAGGTATTGCTATATATTATCCATCCCTACTCTATCAAGTATTACTTATTTTATATTTACAGAATCTTAGTTTAACAATAAAATAAAATATATGTATTTTTTTTTAAATAGTGATAGTAATTATTATTCACTATTATATTTCACTATTTACGATAAAACAGTCAAATTAATTTAATTAAGAAAAGTAAAAATATAAAGAATTAGAGGAACATTCCTTCGCCTCATACACTAAGTATTTTAATATTCTTAAAATCAATACAGCAAATTAAAATTTTAATGAAAAATGTCTTAAAGATTGTTAGCTATCAAACAATTGTATTATGCAATTAAGGATACAGAGATAAGCCAGATAATGCTGGTTAACGGAGGGCAAATAGATTTTGCCTACAATAGTACCTATTGACTATAATTAGGTAACATTGGCAATGAAATAGAAATAACGTACCAACTATATCTCACTACAGCCATTACAAAGATAAACAAAACTTATTTATAACAATTATTGCACTGATCCCTGGTTACAATGTACTCTTTTATGTAATATTATACACAATTATGATAAATTACACGATGGAAAAATAATCTTTACAAGCTGTCAGCTGATTGGTTGTCCTTCATTTTTGTGACAATTGAATACAGATTAGCATATGTAGATTTTTTTTTTACTGCTTTATAAAAAAAGTTATGTTTGTGGTACCTACAGTGAGTACTTGATCTATAGTACAAACGTCTGACGTTTGTAGATAGTCTGTGACTGTCATGGTTTTAAGCAGAGATATTGGATAAGACAGTAAATTTATCTAAAATTACGTCAATCAAACGTTACCTACTGTCTCAGTCAACTGTCAGTTAAAGACCATTCAATCCATACATCATCAATTTTTATTGTAATCAGCTGTGTTTTCTTTATTCTTTTATTTTTATTTCTTCTTTTAATAATGGTAATTGAAATATTTATGTTAATATAATAAATTATTAATTTTATATGAAATATATAAATAAAGTATTGTTTGTTACAGGCGCGCTACTTCAAAGAACAAGATATTGATGGTATCAAGATATTTATCTTTAATTTTTTTCTTTATAAATTACAATTAATCGATTAGTGTATCATATAAATTCTTTGGTTCTATGTAATTCATTATACAGTTATTATTAGTATAAACTATATAATATTGTATGTAAAATTTTAAAGAGAAAGTTTCAAAAGTAGGTTGATACAATTGCAGTGGACTAACGGAAGTGCGAAAAAAGGCGGCCTTCCCCGGGCTTCTGAGCCTACAAAAGCCTCCATTTTCCTCATCCATATTAATTAACTTATTTATACTTGTTTGAAACAACATTAATAAATACACTGGTTATTGCAGTTGCGGTATTTAATATATTTATCGTTTTTAGTTTACTTAGATATAATAAAATTTATAGAGCAACAACAAGGCAGTCTCATAGTAGGAAACTATAGTGTCACACAGAGGGCGTCTCAACAGCACCAAGAATATAAAAATTTGCACGGTAATGTGGTGACATTTGCCCTGTATTAATATACACGGCTTTCCCACTACATTTATGTCGGTCCGCCATTGTCTAGGCATATATTAGTGTTAACATACTTTGATTGTACACACTGATAATACATAAAAATATGATAGAGTTAAGTGTATGGACAAAGGCGAACTTAACTCTAAAAAAGTTCTCTTTCAGCGAATTTAAAGTAGAAAATCCCATCAATAACAGTGGATCAAGTGGTTTACAATAATCATCTGATGGCATCTGCTTGACAAAGATGGTTGACGTCAGACAGGCGGCCGGCCATAAAACTATAAGCCAAATGTGTTTGTAATATGGATAAAAAATATACTACCGACCCCAAATAATAACTGGGATAAGGGAAGGAAGATGATGAATATGGTAAATTCATGAGATAGGGCCCCCCTTTATCAAAAGCTTGATGTTGTTAACCCTTCTTTGCCTGATTTTTTTTATTGGTGAAAAAAACAAGGTGATATAATTCATGTTTATAATGGTTAAAACAATATATTTGATAGCTATGTTTTGTTTCTTGCAATGGACATTAAAAAGGTATCCAGACACGATCAACTTAAAGTGAACTTGATCTTTTATATAATTTTTGGGCGTTCAATGTTATGATGGAAATTTCCACCATTATGCAAAGAAGGGTTAATTTTTGTATATCACAAAATATATCACTATACTCATAGTTTTCTTTCTTGCAGAGTTTCGTGAATGCTTCTACCTGTTCGCTCGATCTGGACAGATCACCTCCCTGGATGAGCTGACTGTGGTGATGAGGTCGCTAGGCATGAGTCCCACCATACAAGAGCTGACTGGTATGTTTGCTAATATAATTATTGTGAGTGTGAAAAAGATTATTTTCCACGCTTAGCCTCTCATTTGGGCTGTTGTGCGTATGAGTCGTGGCTTGTATAGCCAACCTAGCTCCGACCAGAAGCGCAGAAGCTTCCTGGGATCTTCACAGGCCTCACGGAGCTAAAGCTTTTTAATGAATTTGTATTTTTGCTAATTTATTTGCTAGCTAGTTTTTATCCGTGCCTTCACTATTCCAAATAGTATGTGTATACCAAATCTCATAGTGATTGTTTAAGCTTTTAAAGCACTAGTAGGTAAAAATATGATAAATTTGTCATTGTAGTGTTCCAGCATAGAATAGGCCACATCTTCCTTTCCCATGGAATTTCCATGTAAATTTATAAACAATCGTGATGTATGTTTAAAAAAAAACAGTGTTAAGATTTTATCTTTCAATCCATATTATGCCTTTTAATCATGATTATAAAGTATAAAACGCTCTGGCAAATTTGTCAATGAAACTTTTCGCTACTTCGTCGAATTAACCCTTATTTCTGTAAAGAAGAATGATAGAATAGGCCGCCCCTTCCTTTCCCGTGAATGTTGTAAGAGGCGACTAACGGAACTTAATAGTCGATAGATGAGCAGCATTGTCTCTCTTAAAACCTCTACAAGATCTAACTGCAGTTGCCAATCCGCTTGCTAAGTGTGGCAACTACAGGCAAAACCATCAACATGTCAGCCTTTAACTGTCCACTGCTGAACATAGGCCTCCCCATTTTGCCAGTAGTTGCCACGTTTGGCAAACGAGTTAGGGTTAGATTAAATTAGACTTTGGTGATATTTCAAGAGGGACGTTAATCAATTAACGTATTTGCAACGAATTTGAGTCAGAACTTTTCAAAATTTATAACAGTTATTAACAATATTTTCATTACAGTATCAAATTTATATTTTAATGTTTTTTACTTCCAGGTTATTTGAAGGGAAAAGGTGGTAAAATGTCGTTTGCCGATTTCCTCGAAGTCATGCACATACATTCACGTGCTGAGAACCTTCCTAGTGAGGTGAGTTGATTAAAATTATATTAATTTTACAAAAATTTGTATAAAAAAAAAAAACAATATTTTTAGCAAAGCAACAGATTACAAATTAATACATTAGTAAAATAAATCACTGCATAGTATGAAACAAAGTCGTTTCTCGTCTGTCCTGTGTACGTTTAGATCTTTAAAACTACACAACGGATTTTGATGCGGTTTCTTTTAATAGATAGAGTGATTCAAGAGGAAGCTTTATATGTATAATACATGCATAATATAGTGGAGGAACACTGATAATTTTAGAGGTTTCTTTCTAACGTGATGTACCCGTGTGAAGCCGGAGCTGGTCGCTAGTATTATATAAAACAGAATCAATACTATAAACATTAAAAGAATAGCGGCTATAGATTTGAAGAGGCTTGTGTTGAACAAATAGACTGGCAACGACTCATGATGGGTGCAAATGGTATGGTAACCCCGCCTGCGCTAACGGTATACGCTGGCGGAGCACCAGTGAAGGGTGATAGATGAGAATGAAAACAGTCATGATGAATTCATCAGGAATTAACCATGATAGTTTCCAGGGAGAAGCGGGAGGAGGTCGACCTGGTTGGGTATATTGCTAGCAATGGGATTCTCAGTCTCCATTACTAACAATCCCTTTCCCCCCTATGATGATGATGAGTAATAGTTTATGATGATTGCAAACTATTTATCATGTTATTATTTGCAGGTGGTAAACGCGTTTAAGGCGGGTGACGTGGCTAGGACCAGCGTCATTCCAGCGCGTCAGCTGCGCAACTTACTCCAGAACTGGGGCGAGGGGCTCTCCTCCAGAGAGGTGGGTGATTCTTTCATCACTTTCACGATATTTTATTTATGCTCAAAGACGACCTTGAGATTATCATACAAACCAGAGGGAGACTTTGTACAAAAATCGATTGCTTAGGTACCTCTGTCCCATTCGTGTTTCAACCGTGAAGCAGTTGTGTTTGCATGGCTGTGTTTCAGTTTGAAGGGTGGGATATGGCGTGAATTTACAAGGTACAGAGGAATAACACCTGAGTTCTCAGGAATGGCAACGCACAGGGGTATCATGGGCGAAACAGTATACTCTGTTATGTGCATGGTACTGCTAATGTCTATAGGCGACGGTTACCACTTTTCATCAGGCGGGCCGTCAGCTTGTTTGCCATTCTAAGTTATATAAAAAATAAAAAAACATAATGTACAAAGGCGAGTTTAAGAGATTTCTTCCAGCAAAACTTTTCTCATGTAAATCATATTATTATTTTTAATATATCTTTCTTTATCATTACATAGTATAAAACAAAGTCGCTGTCTGTCCGTTCATATGTATGCTTAAATCTTCAAAACTACGCAACGGATTTTGAAACGATTTTTTTTTAATAGATAGAGTGATTCAAGAGGAAGCTTTATATGTATAATACATGCATAATATTGTAGAGAAATACTGATAAATTTAGAGGTTTCTAAAGTAATGGGGGGCCAGCGGCGCTATTTAGTATATTTACATTACATTGCTATTTGGTATATGTACATTGTGTCCGTGCGAAGCTGGGGCGGGTCGCTAGTTTTAAAATAAATGTATGTTTTTTTTTTTAACAGGTTGACAACATATTCCGTGAAGCGAACGTATCAAATAATGGTACAGTGAGATATGAAGACTTCGTGAAGATCGCCTGCGCACCTGTCCCCGATTACTACTAAACTAATTAAATCAAAAGGAAATCTTACTCTTGTATGAGAAAGGATTTATATAGCAATATCTATATGTTGTTGTTACAGTATCTATATATATATATATATATATATATATATATATATATATATATATATATATAGATGCCAGTTATCCAATACATAATATTGAAAAGAGGAACCCGCTTGTAATGAATATAGATTTTTTTATACCACTGAGGTGGCAAACAAGCATACGGCCCACCTGATTGTAAGTGGTTACCGTAGCCTATGAACACCTGCAATACCTCTGTCCCGTTCGTGTTTCTACCGTGAAGCAGTTGTGTTTGCATGGCTGTGTTTCGGTTTGAAGGGTGGGATATGGCGTGAATTTACAGGGTACAGACGAATAATACCTGAGTCCTCAAGAATGGCAACGCATGGGGGGTATCGTGGGCGAAACAGTATACTCTGTTATGTGCATGGTACTGCTCATGTCTATAGGCGACGGTTACCACTTTCCATCAGGTGGGCCGTCAGCTTGTTTGCCATTCTAAGTTGTATAAAAAAAAATAGTCATGCAAGTATTTTTTATTAATATATTGTAATATTACATTCCATTTTGAACTATATATGTACCGTCCAAATGTTATTATTTTTTTACACATTATATTGGAGTTGTGGTGAATTTTTAAATAATAAAAGTAATTATTTTCAAACGGTTTTATTATTTTATTAATATTATTATAACAATCCCTATAATAACATGATATGGCACTATGTAATGCGTGGTCCATTCGCTATTATAAAATTTAAAAATATAAACCGACTATAGAAAATTAAAAGCATAGATTAAGAATAATGTCTAATTAGAGAGCGAATTTTAAAAATGGAATTTAAACGCTGGATCACAACATTCTTCATATGACAGAAAAAAATGTGATTTATTTGTCTTGAATTTTTTACAATATTTGCTATAAATAATTATAAAATCCTCTGCAAACGGTTGCTATTTTATCCGCGGCTATATATTATTTTATTGACAGAAATATTATTTTTATGTCTATAATTAAAATCCTTAGCGATCAAGTTGTTGTTTTTTATCTTTTTCATCTAAAGAGTACAGCACAGGGAGGAGGCACAAAAGTTCTTCTAGTTTTCTATAGTCGGTTCCTTACAATGTAAAATTGCAAATCGCTACGGGAAAGCACGTCATTGAGCTCATTATATTTATTAATAAGTATCAGATGTCGACATTTTTCATAAGTTGTTTTTTTATTTATCAAAACTTTGGCTAGTAAGCCATCGCCTACCTTCATAAGTTTTTAAAAATTTCATCTCATTTATTTCTATACTTAGAATAGAATAGAATAGAAACATTTATTGCCAGTAAACACACAATTACAATATAAAATATAGATAACATATACAAAAGGTGTTTATACTAGGCAAAAGGGACCGGCTCAGCTGTTGCTGCGAGTGTCCCAGCGCAATGTGAACAGCTGCACAGCGCTGGTTTTCAGCCAGTCCCTCTCTTAACAAAACATAACCAAAGTGCTTGACATAATTAATGAAAAACCTATATAACTAAGTAATTTAAAAATAGAACACAACAAATAATATACAAAGTCATAAACAATATTAAAATGTTTTTAATTCGTCTACTACAGTTTATTTTTTTATGTAACACGAAATGGTAAAATGAAAGATGTTCGAACTGATAGAAGGTGGCAGTATAGAGTGCACTGTATCTATGCTACCCCTCACGTATTGCCATATTTCTAGACAATAGTGTAACACCTCCGTACCCTGTAACTTCACTACCATATCCCATCCTTCAAATCCAAACACAGCGGAGGAAATGGTATTGTTAAAAATGGGGTTTAACAGCTTCGTAGTAATACACACTGTTAAATCAATCTCCACGCAGGAAGCCATTGCGGTTAATTCTTGTCGAATTCGCTATGATGGGCCAACTGACATTAATGGGGGGAAAGGAAAGGATTGTTAGTAACGGGGAAATAACAATCCGTCTCTCCCCATTGAAAATATCGAAAAACAGCCATGTAAGCGTCGTGGCTCACCAGTAGTGGTTATTTCAGATAAAAAGATATGCGACGATTGTTTTATATAATGTCAAGTATTTAAAAGTAAAAAGAGAAGTGTACATTGTGATAAAAACTTAGTTTAAAGTCGACATACTGACCTAGTATACCGTTGATGCAGTTGGAAAACTAAATAACTATATTTTTTTGTATTTTTCGAGAAAATCACGTTCAGATAAAGGGTAAAAAAAAGAAGCTCATTTGTGCATTTACTTACCTCTGTCATATATTTTTTTGTGTATTATTAGTTTGAACAATAAAATATAAATAAATAAATCATTATCTTCATAGGAACAAAATATATACTGAATTTGTTTCTTCGTTCTGTCATAATTATTATAATAACTGGTAGACATAAAGATTAATAGTGATTTTTTAATACATTAATTAAAAAAAAAAAAAAACAATAATAGCAATTATCTCTCGAAATTACAAAAATATAATTATGTACTTTTTCATCTATGCCAACGAATTATTTTAGTCATAATTTAAAATACTTATTAATTTATTTACAACTTAAGTCATAGTTATACAATTCTTTTTTATTTAATAAATTCATAAATAAATTTTTATTAAATAATATAGTACAATATTATAAGTCTCCCAGTGACGTATTTACCAACCGACTCAATATTAAAAATTAAATAAATTTCAAATAAATAAAAGAAATTTGGAGTTAAAACTTTTTTTAAAAATATTCATAAATGTATAGTTTCATTCTAAGAACAAGGAATTACAAAATCTTTGGTTTCATTGAGAAAAAATTGTAATCAATCCGATTGTGACATAGACTAAGGATAGCACTTATCTGTGTTTCTATAGATTATATTGCCTTTAGGCGGGAAAATTTATATATTGTACTGGCGACAAATGTGTAAATCTACCACTGCGGTGATCACAGATAATATATACTACTATACTAGTACTTATATAAAGTATACTATATGACTAGGAAATGTACAGAATTAATAAAATGCGTTAAAAAAAATTATTCCATCTGTCAAAAACTATTTAAAATGTATTATCAAATAACAGTTCAAATAATTTAATACTTTTTAAATCTAGATTAAACTTAATTTTATGTAGAATTATGTATAAATTAATATTAAAAGTTTAAGTAACTTTAAGCTGTGCCACACTAATTAGATATTGTATATCAGGCGGGTGAGATTCATAATTTTTTTATCACTACAATACTATTTGAATAGAAAATGGTGGGTATATAGGCTAGCTACCACAAACGTTATTGATACGAAATAATATATTAATTAATAATAATAATATATTTACTTTAGTATTAGTATTATTTTAATAAAAAAAGATTTACAAGTCTCGGCAGAATCGCGACTGACGTCAATATGACGTCATTAATTCGTCATTTTAAAACTCCGAAGTGACCAAAGGATGACGTCCATTTTAGGTCATAAATGTAGTCGTGCCACACGATAGAGTTTGATCCATACCATTGTTGAATAATAACTATCGTGAGTCATACTATTTTGTAATTATTTAGTCATTTATTTATTCTTAATTGACCATATTACAAAAAAATTTTTGGTACAAAAAGCGGGCTTAATGCTATATAGCATTCTCTTTCAGTCAACCTTTGACGAAACAGAAATGTAATTTCGGTTTTATTTATATATTAACTTCGGAGTTGCTCAATTAGCTTTTAATTTAGTAGAAGTAGGATAAAAAAAATGCTAAAGTTAAGATAAATAAGGCTCTCTAGTTCGAAACCAGTCGAGCAACATCGAAATTAATACATGAGTAAAGCCGATATAATTGTAATTCATTATAAACACACACATGTACACACTGAGATACTTGAGTCTTCACACACCACTACACACACACACGTACAGACTGGGAGGAAGGGATTGTCAGTAATGCGGATTATTAGTCCTATTTCTTACAATATACTCTGGCAGGTCGGTCTCCACGTGCATCTCCCCTGGAAACCATCGTGCTGAATTCCAGGTGAAACATCACGATGGACTAACTGACCTGCCTTTCATCCCTCACTGGTGTCCCGCCAGCGTATACCGTTAGCGCAGGCAGGGTTACCGTCACTTTTTCATCCATTAAAAAAAAACATGAATAAACTGAGATTCTTAAGTTTTTACTTCACACACCACTACATAAAATAAGAGCTGACAAATGGCAGTACGCGGTCAGAATTCTGGTCATTTCACGGGCTTAACACATGGCCTTAGCTGGGAAGTGGATGGGGGGGGGGGGGGCACTGAGTGGCAATGCCCTACCTTAAAATGCCCAAAGCCCTACCTTAAAAAGAAAGACCCCAAGAAAATTAGACAGACTCGCTTTTTCGAAGTCACTTAATTATGATTTCTGTTCTACCAAAAAGTTCTTTTGCCCTACCTTAAACATGGGTCTAGCTACGGGCCTGGCTTAACACCCTCCTCAATAGAGGACAATACTATGAGAAATTGGATACAAGAATGGCGCTATGTCACATCGAGCTCTAGGTCACACCAATGGAGTTTTTTCGTTATTCCACTAGGTTTACCATATTTGACTGTCTCGAGGAGTTTACTCCCTATATATACGTAGAATGAGAAATATGAACTCACTGTATTTTGGTCGTTTCCGACAATTATTTTGACTCCATCCAGAAGACTTCTTTAGGAGGCGTACGGCGCTTTGAGCACAACGTTTTTGCCTCGCAGGCTTCAGCTCGCAGATCCGGTGAAGACATCGGTGCGGATGGTATTGGGGGCGGGGATGACGGTGGCAAGAGGCAATAGTACTGTTAGAGGTGAGTGGCTGATGTGCTTGTTAACGACTCTCGTCTTTACTGCTGTTGTCTTCTGAGCTGTCCAACAGTCTGACTTGCAAAGCTCACTGTTCTTTTAATTCGTGTAGTGATCTCCAACGTCCATGAAAATACATTCTCCAAGCACAGGCCTGGAGATTGGAGGTTGGAGGAAATAGGTTTATATGAGAGACAAAGGGTGTCAGATACGGCACCATATTATACAGCCAGGGTTATTTGAAATTCCATGAGGGTTTATAAACATCATGTAAATCAGATCACTGGCGTATTTAAGATTATTTTCCAGGAGTGGCCTGGCGCCTTAAAAAAGGCATATATATACTCGCAGAAATATCTTTCCGAATCTTCGCTGGGGACAATTCTGAAGTGGACCCCCCCCCCCCCCCCCGACATACGTCTATAGACGAAAAACACTATTTTACTACATAGAATACTGTGTCATACAGCGAAGCCAGGGGCTTTCGTAATTCTACTAGGATTATGAGTAATAAAGTTACTCAGCCAGGGTTTGAAATAATTCCTTTACATTTATCATTATTTAGTTGTACATAAAACATGAGACTATATGACATAGGGTACTATGTGATACGATCTGGATTCTTTGTCATTCCACAAGGATTATGGGTAACAATCTTACACAGCCAAGGTTTTGGACAATCCCATTAGATTATAAATACACTATTGGGACTTAACCATCCCATTCTCGGTCCCCTGATTAGGGGACGAGGAAACCTGCCCCTCTCAGGTGGTGTCTTTGCCGCAAATGAACATGTGCGGGTAGTCGGAGTGGACTAGTTCAACGGGTCACTCGTGTCCAGTGTCATTTGGCTTGCTCTGCGCGGTCTTTGCCGGCCAGGTGGGACCTCATTGGAAGGAGCCTAGCAAACTGCCAGCGTATGAGTGGGCTGGATGACACTGTTCGTGCACATATGATCTTCAATCCGGTAGCCACGCATGTAGCGATCCCTTCTGGTGGCTCCATTCTGACACGTCTGCAAGGGCGTACATTCTGGTGGCTAGGTCTTCAATGTGTGCGTTCAGTGAAAAAATCTTCAGGACTTTCTCACGCGTGTTGTTTTTCACGTACGTACATGCGCGCCAGTTATGGTACGCAGCGAGAGGTACTGCTAGGCTCTTAGTTTCTTTTTGTTGGAATCCCTGGTGTTTACGTACCACGCCAGCGCTATGTCCGTGAGGCATGGTAGGATTTATTTTACAGATATTAAGCTTGGTCTTGAGAAAGTGCCTTCCCACTAACGCCGGACGCAGCAGGCGTCGAGCCACTCTGGCCTTGTTACATGCTCCTTTAGCGTGGGCATGGAACGTGAGTTGTCGATCTACTACCAACCCTAGGTACATGGCACTTTATCAGGGCGTCCTTTAGTTGAAGTCGTGGGGGAAGGTGCCGCTGTCCGAAGAGGACCGCCTGCGTTTTGAACACGTTTTAACAATCTCCACTTGACTGGGACTTAACGCGACGCGATTGCAAGTAAATAGTCCCTACCTTTGGTATGTAGGTTGGATCTAGACAATAATAGAGACAATGTGTGTGTGGCCAAAGAAACTGCGCGGGCTGCTAGAGGAAGTCGGCGTTCACTTTAGTCCTGCCGTCGCCACCGTGTGGTGCAATCCATGTCGAATCGTCAACAATAAAAATCATTTAAGCAAATACTATTTAAGGTTAAGACCTATGGTGAATTTAAAATATACGTCAACAATGCCCATTAAATTTACCATCAGAAGTTGTATACCAAAAATGGAACTGACTGGAACTGAACACTGATTTTTTTATTAGAATTATATTGTTTATTTCCGTTACCATTATAGTATGTGTCTGCCAACACTTGAAGATTGACCACCAGTATTACTAGCAGAAGTTCCACAATCATCCAGCGGAAGCAATATAATAATTTGTTTGAAAATACCTCGTTTAGAGTTGAAACGCGTGTCGCAAAACGTGCGTGAACGAAATGGCAGTCGGAGAACGTAACAAACAACCAGTGACTTCCACAAGATAACAGCTTGTTCAGTTAAATACATATTAGGGCACTATAGTCCTGTCATTCCATCATACCCATGGGCATTTTATGTTACAATATAGGTCGTGAGTAATTCCACGAGATCTATCACCGCTGTCAATAGCGTAAATGAGGAGTTGGATAAACTTACTACTTTAGTTATATAAGACACCATGGTTTTAATGGTATACCACCATCACACATGCTTGTTCTTGGTGGTGGGTTTCCGACGTCTGAAGTTGCCCATTTGTCGCAGGATTTGGGTGTTCTCGTCTTCCACCTCTCGGTCCATTCCAGATGTGCCTGGGATGCTACCGAACAGCTTCAACTTGGTTGGAAGGTATATAAGCCCCAGGAGTGTTATTACTGAAAACAAAAATACATTTTAACTAGCTGCGTCCCGCGGCTTTACTCGCGTTAATTAAAATATTGAATAAGAAAATTTGTCTGCTCAATATGTCAATAGCTATCCAAGTTAATTATTTTGTATAACATCATATATATATATATATATATATATATATATATATATATATATATATATATATATATATATATATATATATATTGTATAGGTATTGTTAATACCTATGTTTATGCAAATAAATATTTGATTGATTGACTGATAAAAAGTATTTTTAAATGTATTCGTGAACGGGCATCGGGAACGGCAACGGGTGCGTGCTTTATTCCAGCTCCATTACTAGTAATATACCCTATCAGGTCGACCTTCACGGTCGATCTTCATGGTTAATTCTTGTGGAATTTATCACGATGTGCTAACTGACCTGCTTTTATTCTCACCTATCATCCCTCACTGATGTCCTATATATATATATATACAGATAGCGCAGATGGGGTTGCCATTCCATTATCATAATAATATTAAAATGCCCATGGTATTGCAGGTGTTCATAGGCTATGCTTACTATCAGGTGGGCCGTATGTATATTTGTCACCTCAGTGGTATAAAAAAGAAGATACTTACTGTTTAATATACAGGGGAACACAACATAGAAGTTCAAGTCTGTAGAATGAAAATAGAAGGCCTCCGTGAAATACAGTATGATTGTGAGTGTTAACGACCAGTAACCCATTGACACCACCCTGTAGACAAAATAATATTACATTATGAAAATTTGGAATAGGTAATATACAGGGTGTAAGGAACAGGTTGGTAATAACTGAAACAGTGAATTCAGATCAATATTCTGAACTGAAAACCAGTGGGAATTCTTTAGGAAAAATTTAAAACGTTTTTCTTTTTTTTTTACTAAAATCACGTAATCTATAATATTATGTCATAATATAAAGAAATAATAATGTTTTACGGTGAAATACTATGAAATATCAAAAAACAGTAATGTAATATTCGTATTAAAATTATATCGCGACGCGCGGATTCAGATGTGTAAGCGCGGTGTAGGTATCACGCGTCGAATGGATCGTAAAATTTCGAATACATTGCGCGGCGTCAAAACTAAGAATCGTTAATTATATGGCTTCGGTGCATTTCTAGTGGAAATATAATCTGCCCTTTGATTCAGACCACTCATCTGAATCAGGTGTTTTCGTTTTGGCCAACCTGTCCATTCCAGCAATATATCGTCATAATGATAGAATACTGACGGATCTGACAAAGATTACATATAAAGATTCGTCAGTATTCTATGGCTATGACGATATAGCTATATAGCAATATCTACGTATTTTACATACAATATCTATACATATATATATTGATTCAATAAAATATATGTTAAATATGCATTGTCCAACATATAATATTGAAATGAAGCACCCGATTGAAAAGAATGGATACATCTGACCGGTATAGGCGATATCCAAATGAGTGATGACATTTTTTCCATTATCAATGTCCAGAGAAACCCAATATATAGATATCAGAGTGGTACTAATATTATTATTATTTTTTTTATTTATTTATTTATTTTCTCCACAAATTTTATAGAAAAATACAGTTACATGGAAAAAATACAACTATATATGTATAATTACATACATACATACATACATATACATATCTGTCACGCCTGTCTCCCATTAGGGTAGGCAGAAACAATGGAATGCCAAATGCTTCGATTCAAACAAACCTCTTTCACTTCTTCCACATTCATCAATCTTGTCATACACGCTCGTCAGTTACGGGTACTTTTAATTTGGCCCTTCTTCAGCACGTCGCCTATTTGGTCGACATACGTCCGCCTAGGGCGGCCCCTACCGACATCTCCATTCATTCTTGCTCGATAAATCTCTTTCGTAATTCTTCTTTCATCCATCCTCTCCAAATGACCAAACCAACGCAACATTACTTTTTCGATTTTTGTCACTACATCGTCATGTATAATTACAATGGTGTGTAAAACTTGTGGGAGACTGGACCCTAAACTAGATCAGAGATCTGTATCTCAGGAATCAAGGCCCCCAACTCGGACACCATGTACAGCTTGCATTAAGGCTAAAATTAAAATTTGCGAAAATGAATAGATTCATGTCTAAAAGTTAACATTTACTCACAAATGACGAAATTTAAATTAAAAAAACAAATTATATAAAGTACTTACGGTCTATAGTGTATGTACAGTGTACAGTGAATGAGCGCCAACGCTTTGAGCAGAGAATACATGCCCAACATACGGGATATTGTGAAGTCGCCTGTGAAAACAAATGTTATGTAAAGAGGACTCTATTTTCCGCTCTTAGCCTCTCATTTGGGCCGTTGTGCGTTTAAGTTGTGGCTAGTACAGCCAACCTAGCTCCACCCAAAAGCACAGAAGCTTCCTGGGATCTTCACGGGCTTCACGGAGTTTATTGTTACAGGCTGCAATAGCCCAATTTGTTGATAACATAATATTTTTTTTTATTATTTCATTTGTTGACTATCCACTGGTGGACATTGGTGGTGGGCATTTTGTTAGTAGTTGCCATTCTTGGCAGAGAGGTTGGTAACCGCAGTTAGGACTTTGAGGATGTTTTAAGAGGAATGCCGCTGCCTATCCCTCATCCTCCCTTTGACGCCTAATACGATACCTACGAGAAAGGAAGGGGTGGCCCATTCTTTGCCGATATAGCAATAATAATACATAATCTTAGCCTAATGTTAATAGATTTTACAATAAAATAAATAAATAAAAGAAACAATAAAAATAAATATGAAGCGTCCCATTTGAGATACCACAACAGTATGTAAATCGATTGCAATATTTTTTTTCTATTAGTATTCATTATGTGATCAGTGTTTACCCAACTATGGGCAGATATATTGGCATATGTCTTGTAGTTTCTACTTTGAGAATCCATCTTTATAAAATTCTTTCACTGGCCAGTTCATGCCAGGTTGTTGAAATGTGTTGCAATATATAAAAATATTATTATGTATTAACTTTTTATTATAGCTGTACAAGCTATGATGCAACTTTGCTTGTATTTGAGGGACAAAAAGTAATGTATGTCCTGCTATCTGTATCATGTGGCTTTGCCCATGTGAATCAATAAGTATTAATATATCCAATGTGCTAATTTTATTTAAATATGTATATCAAAATATAAATAATGTATTAATAGTTAGAAACTTTCGCATTTATAATAATATTTGAGTTATATAAAAGTTTGTACAGTCATAATTATTTTTTTATTTATAAAACTTACCATCATAATGTTCAGTATCTCCGTTATTATTTAAAAATGATCTCCCTTCGATATATGACCGGCCAGCTGTACCCAAATCCATAAATGCCACAAACGCTATCCACCCACGGAAAGCATATAAAACTTTGTTTTGCACAGCCATAATTTGTTATTCTAGAACTTAATTACTTCCTGTTTAAATTTAATTCACTGTTTAGTAACTTTAAACACTTTAAGGATAGTGGTATAAATATTAAAGTAGATAAAATGTAGTACACCACATTGTAAAGAATATCATGGTTTTCTTCTTAAAAATCTAATAGTAAATAAATAAATTAGAGTTACGGTATAAAATATCGGAGAGTTATAGAAATTAACGCACTGCGGTATTTTAACCGCATCATACTTTTTATAGAAAAATATATTTAGATGTTCGACATAACCTACAACCAGTCGCGCAGAATCGCCTTATGTCAAAGTCAAATCAAAATCATATGCAAATTGTCAATGTCTTTATTTGACAATCGATAGACTATTGAATAAGCCCGAACGCTACATCAAAAACAGACTCACCTACAATCTTAATATACTGTAAACGAACAAGCGTACCCGTACTTCTATAAACTTAATATAATGTACTTACATATTTCGTACAGGACGGAGATATTTCTGTGTTTACGATTCAAAACACACATACCATATCGTGGGTCGTCTATGGAATCCTAATTCCTCTAAAATTACTTAAAGGTATTCGTACCTTGAACCTTGTTCCTTGAATAGTAAGGGAACTCTTCAAGGGTTGGTAGTAAGAATTAGCAGAATTGTCAGTAGATTTCACTTATACAGTTTATAAGGTCCAAACAAATAACACAATATGTATATAAACGAACACACAATATCACTTGATGTTTAAATAAAATAATATTTAAATCATCTACTAATTTTCTATTTTTGTAATAAACGACAGTCAACAACTGTTAGGCAACACACGCAATAGGTGTCACACCGCATTTAAATTTTGGACAAACCAAAAAGTATTAACAAAATTCACATACTCCACTTGTTTTATGTAAAATGGACATAAAATGTTGCCATAATAAATATCGACATTTTAACTGATTGCGACTGGTCAAAAAATACCTAAAAATACCGTCGCCATATTGGAATTGTCAAAAAGTTCGGGATACATAGTGCCGATGAAAAAATGGTTTTTCATGAAATAACATCCAAATTTTCACTGTTCAAGTGATCAAATACGTTTAAGATAGACTCTAGATGTTTCGTTCGACAAACCCGTTGCGTTATTCGTTTTCCAAATGATGTTTTCAATGGAGAAATGCACGGTGCTCGGTGGTAGGGGTACTTCGGAAGACTCCGAGCTTTTTGCCGGCGGGGGCGAAGGCCTGGGTAAAGAGGGTGTGTCAGACGAGGTAGCCTCTGCTGTGGCGGCTGTGTCGGACGAGATTGGGGATATATTGAAGGACGAATTGGGTGATGCGGACAGAGTAGATAGAATTGGAGCAGAACTGGCAGATCTCAGCGCTGAATTGGATCTGCTGGTTGAGCTAGCCGACGGCGAGGAGCAGCAGGACTTCCCATCGCTCTTCGATATCGCGGTGAGTCGATGGTTCCATCTGCCGTCTCTTTTCCTCGTCGTTTTCTCATAATAATATTGTGCTAGGTATTTTTGTATTTCGCTTCAACTTGTGATGTCAATGAACTTTATTTGTTTGGTTAACATTTACTATGCCTTGTGAGGCTGAATATTCTTGGATCACTTATCAACTTGTATTTTATCAACTCATTGTATTAATATCACTATATAATTTGGTGCCAAATGCCACATGGAGGTTTTATCCAAATGGCAAATTATTATTTCATTCATGTGGAAATGAACTTACTAGACTTAATTACATAGATTTTGGTGTTACTGTATACACATTTATTTATTTTAATTGTTGGCATCTTCATTTATTGTACTTTAAAAATAATAGAATAGAAAATGTAAGTAGAATAGAAAATACATTTCCTTTAAAACTGTAGATGGAATGGTTACTTCACATGTGCTATTGGTATATGCTGACAGGGCACACATTGGGAGATGATAGGTGAGGATGAAAGCAGACAGTTGACCTCTCAAGTTGAATTTAAAAAGAATAAAACACAATGGTTTCCAGACAGAACCATGTAGAAGTCTAACCTGATAGTGTATATTGCTAGCAATGGGACTTTGGACTCCATTACTAACAATCCTTTTCTCCCAGGGTTTTATGGATTCATTGTTTTATGAATCAGTCCCCCTAGAGATATTTATTTATTTATTGCATAATAAAACTTTGTGCAAGTGGAAAGCTTGATGCTATAAGGCAATCTCTGCCAGCCTACCATTAGGTAAAAACAGAAAACATATGAAGGGTAGAGTGGTGAAAAATATGTAACATAATTATTATAACAATCAAGTAATTATATATACATATCTCTCACGCCTGTCTCCCATTAGGGTAGGCAGAAACAATGGAACGCCAAATGCTTCGATTCAAACAAACCTCCTTCGCTTCTTCCACATTCATCAATCTTTTCATACACGTTCGCCGGTTATGGGTTCTTTTAATTTGGCTCTTCTTCAGCACGTCGCCTATTTGGTCGACATACGTCCGTCTAGGGCGCCCCCTACCGGCATCTCCATTCATTCTTGCTCAATAAATCTCTTTCATAATTCTTCTTTCATCCATCCTCCAAATAACCAAACCAATGCAACATTCCTTATTTAGATTTTTGTCACTACATCGTCTTTCAGTCCACACTTCTCTCTAATCACACTGTTTCTTACTCTATCTTTTATTTAATACATAAAAAATACACATATACAGTGGATTTCAGGTATAACGACGATGAAGGGACCACTCTATTGTCGTTATATCTGGAAGTTGTTACAGGCAAACGTAAAGAGATACAGACACATGTATAGTTTTTTCTTCGCACAAATCAGCATTGTTTACACCATCTTTCAATTAAGAAATGATTTCCATCTTTTCTTAAACAGTGAATGTGCATTGAGACAGTCATACTTATCCAAAAATTTACTAAACTAAGTTGCTACTCAGAATATCACTTTGCAACTGAACTATAAATTCAACTTCAAAACATACACACTTCCCTACTTACATAGCTGATATCTATAAACAATAGGTAAAGGTCTCCACACTTGCTGACCATCTGTGTGAATGTAAACAAAAGGTTAGAAATGTTTGTGAAAAAAAGAAATCTTGTTGTCTCTCTAGCGGCCAACTTCTGTCGCAATATCTGCATGGGATTTTTAAGAATTTGTTACAAATGATTCCTTAAAAACAGTCGTTACACCCGAACTCGGCGTTATATCCAAAGTCACTATAGCCATATGAATTTTGTACTAAAGTATGCTTTGAATTCAAGGGGCTTAGATTTAACGTCGCTATAGGCAAATGGTCGCTACAACCAAGGTCGTAACAAATGAAATCCACTGTAGTACATAAACATTAATTTTAATACATATGGATATACTACTATATATATATATATATATATATATATATATATATATATATATATATATATATATATATATATATATATATATATATATATATATAAATAATTGAAAAAGAGCCGTCAGCTTGTTTGACATTCTATGTTGTAAAAAAAAAGATAAATATATTATACATATCAATATATATATAATAAAATCATAACTGGTCCCTGTCTGTACATTTTTATTTTTATTTTATTTTTATACAACTTAGAATGGCAAACAAGCTGAGGGTCCACCTGATGGAAAGTGGCAACCGTCGCCTATAGAGATGAGCAGTACCGTGGACATAACAGAGTATACTGTTTCGCACATGATACCCCCCCATACGTTGCCATTCCTGAGGACTCAGGTGTTATTCCTCTGTACCCTGTAAATTCACGCATGTACATGGAAGGTATATAAGAAAAACTATTATAGGGAGGCTGTATGAATGCAATAGACCTCAAAGCTCGCCTGTTGTACATCTTCATTTAATATAAATTATAACAATGTAATTTTAGTGTATAATAAAATAAAAATAAATTGTCTATAAATCCTCCTATCTAGGAGTATGTACCTCTGTCCCATTCGTGTTTCAACCGTGGAGCAGCTGTGTTTGCATGGCTGTGTTTCGGTTTGAAGCGTGGGATATAGCGTGAATTTACAGGGTACAGAGGAATAACACCTGAGTCCTCAGGAATGGCAACGCATGGGGGGTATCATGGGCGAAACAGTATACTCTGTTATGTCCATGATACTGCTCATGTCTATAGGCGACGGTTACCACTTTCCATCAGATGGGCTGTCAGCTTGTTTGCCATTCTAAGTTGTATAAAAAAAAATGTATACCTATGTTGTTATATAATAAATTGCTGCATTACTGAAAACACCAAATCTGCCTCTAGATGGGTCATCGCGGGTCCGGTTCAGGTTCCTCGTCGTCGTCATGGTCAGGGCCAGCTCGCCGCCGCCCACGCCCGCAGAGGGTACCGAGGCGCCGCCCCATCACCAAAGGAAAGGAGGTACTAGTTTCAACTTTGCATTTATTTAATAGTGTGATATTAGAGATGAGCCTAGAGCTTAGTGCAGGAGTCGCTGTTAAAGTGTGTTACCTTATCCAAGTATGCGTAGAGAGAATTTTTGAAAAAATAATCCTATTATCGTCATGTCAGCCTTTAATTGTCCACTGCTGAACATTAGCATCTCCCTTGGAGGGTTTGCCAGTAGTTGCCACGCTTGGCAGGCGGATTAGCAATCGCAGTTAGGCTTTAGAGATGTTTTAAGAGGGACGCTGCCGCCCATCACTCGCCCTCCCTTGGCTGCCTCTAACGATACCCACGGGATAGGAAGGGATGGCCTATTCTATGGCTTATACTGTTAGGATCACATGGCCTACGGCATTGTTAACTGAGACAGAAATTAAATTTAAAATTTTCGTTCGATGACCACAGAGTATTTGTGTTCAGAGATTTCAAATCTGTCAAATGTCTATTATTGTTAAAATCATATAAATATTATTATTCCATTTAATTGTAAAGTATATGTTATATATATATATATATATATATATATATATATATATATATATATATATATATATATATATATATATATATATATATATATATATATATATATATATATGTATGTATATGTTTTGTATATATGCTTATATGTAAAATTTGTCATTGACAAATAATTGACATATCAAACATTTTCTATACACTAGCCTGCTATGAATTGAGAAAAATAGCAACTGATGGTGTATCTTTCGTCCTCTTTTTACTGATTATATTTGCATAAGAAGAAAGGAGGCAACCATATGATTTACAGTTTTTATTTTATCATTCCTTCTATGTAATTCCTTGTTCTTAGGTTTAGTAGTTTTTGAGTTTATCTCTTACAAACAGTAAACATTTTTTCTCCTTATAATTATAGATATTTATTTATTTAAACTTTAATGCACAGTAAAATTGGAAATGTACATTCGGACGGTGTTCTCTACCAGTCAACAATTGGGCAAACCGAGAAATACGTAGGCGGTGCATTTTTATATAGAAAAAAAAAATAAAGCTATATTTGAATACAACAAATAAGATATGCTTTGGTATGGCAAATTAACCTGATTGTTAATTTGATCGTAGATTGGAGATGTACTTAAAAGACAATTAGGCATGCACAGTAAGGACACAGGTATATTTTAATTATCGTACCTTTATGTTTACTGACCGGGTTAAATAGTAGCTATTATTACTGGTTTTTTGTTTTATTTATTTTTTTTTTTCTTTTTTAATTCCGCTACTATTAGTATGTGTGTGGCTGGCAACACTCAAAGATTGATCACCACCATGACTACCGGATGTTGTACAATTTTCGTTAACAATAATATCTGTTTGGTTACCTTTTTTTTTTTTATAAAATATCCGAATTTTGCATTTGGGTAATGTCCTGATATTGATTACACTATTTTCCGAGGCCTGCAGTAGTTTTAAAAAGTGACGATTTAAAACTGCTTGTAAACAAGTCTATTTTTTTTAATGGGTGATAATTGGGGGGAGAAAGGGATTGTTAGTAATGGAGTTCATTAGCCCCATTGCTAACAATAAACCCTATTAGGTCGACCTCCACGCGATTCCCCCTGGATACCATTGTGATTAAATTTAGTGTATTTCATCACGATGGGCTAACTGGCCTGTTTTCATTCTCATCTATCACCCTTCACTGGTGCTCCGCCAGCGTATCCCGTTAGCGCAGGCGGGGTTACCATACCATTTTCGTCCATTAAAAAAAAACAAAATGGATGATAATGGTATGGTAATCCCGCCTGCGCTATCGGTATACACTGGCGGGGCACCAGTGAGGGATGACAGATGAAGAAGAAAGTAGGTCAGTTAGCCCGTCCTGACGAATTAAACTAGAATTAGTCACGATTGTTTCCAGGGGGAACCTCGTGGAGGTCGACCTGACAGGGTATATTGCTAGTAATAGGGCTATTGGACCCCATTACTAACAATCCCTTTCTCCCCAACAAGTTTATTTGAATAAAAATGATTTAAATTTGAAACCACTAAACCAATTTTAACAAGATTTTTATGGGACTATTTTGTCCCCTTTGGTTATAAAAATGTCAAAGCTGTCATAAACCTTGGCATGGCTGTGGCAAATAAGCTGACGGCCCACCTGATGGAAAGTGGTAACCGTCGCCTATAGACATGAGCGGTACCGTGGACATAGCAGAGTATACTGTTTCGCCCATGATACTCCCCGTGCGTTGCCATTCCTGAAGACTCACGTAACTCACGGACACGTGTGTGCAAGAGATGTTATGTATAAATATATAAAAATAATACGAAAAAAAATTATCAAATTGAGAACCTCGTTCTTTTTGAAGTCGGTTAAAAATTGTTAAATAAAGAGTGTTTGAGCCGTCCCTTCCAGTGGTTTTAACCATCGTCGCTGTAAATGGCACGTTTGTCCAGCAGATGTCGCGGCGGCGCGGTGCGGCAACCCGCCGCGCGTCCGTGCGGGCGCGGCGGGCCGAGCCGCCGTCGGACGCGTCCGACGTGGGCGCCGACTCCGACTCGGACGACCAGTGGACCGAGCTCGACGACGCATGTGAGTCGCAACTTTTTTTTTTAATGTTTTTTTTTTATGATTTATGGAATAGTAACTCCGACTGAAATGACCCCGATCATGATGAATTCATCAGGAATTAACCATGACAGTTTCCAGGGGGGATCGCGAGGAGGTCGACCTGGTTGGGTATATTGCTAGCAATGGGATTGTTATTCTCCGTTACTAACAATCCCTTTCCCCCCAATGCAGGTCAGTTGGACTATTGGATCAAGACGAGTTTATAAGAATTTATCGTGATGGTTTGCTAATGGAACCTCGTGGAGGTCGACCTGACAGGGTATGGTGCTAGCAATGTTTGTCAGTAATGGGACCGCCAGTCCCCATTACTAACAATCCCTTCTTCGCCAAACCGTCGTGGTTAATTCTTGTGAAATCTATTGTTATCTTTATACAATTTTAAATTTATAATAGTTGTGTTTGCATGGCTGTGTTTCGGTTTGAAGGGTGGGATACGGCGTGAATTTACAGGGTACAGAGGAATAACACCTGAGTCTTCAGGAATGACAATGCATGGGGGGTATCATGGACGAAACAGTATACTCTGTTATGTCCATGGTACTGTTCATGTCTATATGCGACGGTTATCACTTTCCATTAGGTGGGCCGTCAGCTTGTTTGCCATTCTAAGTTGTATAAAAAAAAATTAAAATGAGATGTGAAAGATTATTATAATGGATGAATGGATGTATGTTTGTTACTCTTTAACGCAAAAACGACTGAACGAATTTGATTAAAATTTAGTACATGGGTAGGTTATATCCTAATTTAGCATATAGAATACTTTATGTACTTATAGCTATTAACTGTCCACTGCTGAACATAAGTCTCCCCCTTGGAGGGTTTTGCCGTAGTTGACAAGCTTGGCAGGCGGATTGGCAACCGCAGTTAAGCTTTAGAGATGTTGTAAGGGGCACGCTGTTGGCCATCCTTCGCCCTCCCTCAGTCGTCTCTTACGACACTGACGGGAAAGGAAGGGATGGCGTATTCTATGCCGGGACATACATGGCATAGTGCCGCAAGGAATTTGTGTATATAATAATAATAATGATAATGACGAGAACCACGTGAAAGCCGAAACCGAGAAAAAGAGAAAATATCTCGACCTGGCTCACGAGGTGACCGAAATGTGGGGGGTGACATCCACCGAGATCATTCTAATCGTTATGTCGGTGAACGGTCTTATCCCAACTAGTCTGGAACAACATCTCAGACGGTTGGGATTCCGAGGCGGCTCACTCCCGGGAAAGATGCAGAAAGCGGTGCTCTTAGATTCTGTCCGCATTGTACGCCGGTTTCTCTCCCCGGGGCCCTGAACCCCGGCCGACTGTGTTTCTGCCGGGGGTTAGTTGCCATCTCCTCTCCTTAAGAGGGGAGATGAGAATTTTTGTAAAGTTTAAAAAATAATAATAATGTTTATTCGAGAAAGATACAGTTTCATAAGGTACAATTTACAATTTTTACATTTTATATTCAACGAGGAAATATCTGCATTACCATCAGTACCCAAACTAGGCCACACCTGTATCTTGGCGACTAATACACCTATACCTAGTCCAGCCATAAGTTCTGTTACATATAAAAATAGTTTTTTTTTTATGAAATAATGTAATATTACAAAAATTTACACCTACATATTTATTAAAGTCCCAGCAAAAAATATAAAAGAAATTATTCGAAATGGCCACCTTTAGCCTACATACAGGCCTTTGATCTGCCTGGCCACGAATCTATGGATTTACTGTTACACTGTTTCCAAAGGAAATTTCAGAAACTCAATGCCGCCATCTCGTTTAGAGTAGGCCATGTCCTCTAAAACTGACTATAGTTTGAAATCTAAAGGGTTGACGTCTGGGCTAGATGAGGGGCCAGTCTTCAGCTCTTATAAAGTCCGGAACGTTGGTTTCAAGCCAGGTTTGAGTAGTTCGTGCCTTGTGACCAGGTACAGAGTTCTGCTGGAAAGTCCACGGTATATTTTTTAAAAGTGTACCGCTGAGAGGTTTCATAACACGATCCAAGACTGTATCTTGATACACTTTGGCCGAAGTTTTCACTTCTATTTCACAAAAATGTAGTTTTGTTATTCCTTGATAAGTTACCCCCCACCAAACTATCACTCTCACTGACGCAGAATGATTTTTTTTTATACAAAAAAGTTATATAATTTTAGTATATAAAAAAATTACATCTTCATTGTTATTTTAGTATTTGGTGGTGACACATTGTCCTAGTATGTACAATGCTAAGTTAGCAATTATAAATAACTGTATTGACAAATTACTTTCTTACTGCAATGCAATGCAATGCGATGCAATAATATATATACATATATATTACTTATTAAGCACGTAATTTTGTAATAATACACTATATATGTAAAATTAGTCACGTAGCTCGAAGAGTCGATAACCGATGGCTCGAGTTTTTTTACATGGCGATCGTGTATGATTCGGTTGTTATTATTAAATTTGGTACCCTATAACTGCGTAAGTTGTAAACCTATTTGGATTTTTTTATTTTTTACCCCATAAGTTTTTTTTTTTTATACCACTGAGGTGGCAAACAAGCGTACGGCCCACCTGATGGTAAGTGGTTACTATACGTAGCCTATGAATACTTGCAATACCGGGGGGAAAAGGATTGTTAGTAATGGAGACTGAGAATCCCATTGCTAGCAATATACCCAACCAGGTCGACCTCCTCGCGGTTCTCCCTAGAAACTATCATGGTTAATTCCTGATGAATTCATCATGATGGGCTAACTGGCTTGTTTTCATTCTCATCTATCACCCTTCACTGGTGCTCCGCCAGCGTATCCCGTTAGCGCAGGCGAGGTTACCATACCATTTTCACCCATCAAAAAAAAAAAACACTTGCAATACCAGAGGTAATACGCGTGCGTTGCCGACCCTGAAGAAACGTCTTTAAACCCCTTTTGATATGTACTTAAAAACTGGCCCTGGGTTAAAAACATATTCGACTTACCAGAGGGTGATTTTGTACAAAAGTCGTTTGTTTGGACACTTCTGTGCCATTCGTGTTTCTACTGTGTAGTAGGTGTGTTTGCATGGCTGTTTTTTTTACAACACAGGGGGCAAACGAGCATGCGGCTCACCTGATGGTAAGTGACTGCCGCCGCCCATGATCACCCACAACACCAACGTCATTGCAGGTGTGCTGCCGGCCTTTTAAAAAGGAATATACTCTTTTCTTTAAGGTTATGTTGTCGTATCGGTTCAGAAATACTGCTGCTGGAAATTGTGTTTCGGTTTGAAGGGTGCGCAGTATACTCTGTTATGTCCATGGTACTGCTCATGTCTATAGGCGACGGTTACCACTTTCCATCAGGTGGGCCGTCAGCTTGTTTGCCATTCTAAGTTGTATGAAAAAAAAGATTGTTTTTATCAAAATTTGATCTGTTATTTAGTTTTTAAATTAGATTAACTGGTTTTGTCACATTTAGAGTCGGTTTTTTTTTGTGAAATAAAGATATATTTATTTAACAAAGTATGTTTGTATTAGCACAGAATTTATCATTGCTTCCTACACTAGGCTGAGCCTGTCCTGTAGGAAGCAGTACTCCTGTCATCATATATATGCATATATATATATATATATATATATATATATTAAACATAGGCTTTTTAGTAGTACTGATTGAGACGTATTTTTTTTATATCGGAATTATAAAAAAAAGATTTATACAATTTTAGCCCGCGACTTCGCCCGCATGACTGCGATATGCCCACTGATAGGGTAAAAAGTAGCCTATAACCGTCTTTAGTGCCCCAACCATCTTTATTTTTTATTTTTTTTTTATACAAAATAGAATAGTAAACAAGCTGACGGCCCACCTGATGGAAAATGGCAACCGCGCCTATAGACATGAGCAGTACCGTGGACATAACAGAGTATACTGTTTCGCCCATGATACCCTCCATGCGTTTCTATTTCTGAGTACTCAGGTGTTATTCCTCTGTACCCAGTAAATTCACGATTCTTTATATAAAAATGGATCATATCGATTCAGTGGTTTCGACGTGAAAGCGTAACAAACGTATAAATAAACTCACTTTCGCATTTACAATATAAGTTAATAGGGGGGAAAGGGATTGTTAGTAATGGAGACCGAGAATCCCATTGCTAGCAATTTACCCAACCAGGTCGACCTCCTCGCGGTTCCCCCTGGAAACTATCATGGTTAACTCCTGATGAATTCATCATGATGGGCTAACTGGCCTGTTTTCATTCTCATCCATCACCCTTCACTGGTGCTCCGCCAGCGTATCCCGTTAGCGCAGGCGGGGTTACCATACCATTTTCACCCATCAAAAAAGAAAAAGTTAATATATATATATTTTGTGTTTATTTCCAGCTGGCTCGTCTGATAGTTCATCGTTGAAGAACGCTCCCGGAGTGGACATAGACTGCAACGGGTACCAAGATAAAGAGGCGGTGAGTACGCATCGTCATCATCACTTCGACCGTCCATCACCGGTGAACATACATTTCTGTATATACACTAACATTATAAAGAGGAAAGATTTGTATTTTTGTATGTATGTATGTTTGTAATGAATAAACTCAGAAACTACTTTGCCGATTTCAAAAATTCTTTCACCATTAGAAAGCTACATTCACCCTGAGTAACACAGGCTATATTTATTGCTAGAAAACATTAGTGATCCTTACTAAAACTTTAGTAACGTAACTCAAGATGTAAACAAAATGCTATAAAATATCTTTGGTCGCGTGCGCTGCGGAAACTATTGGTGATAGAACAAAAGTATGTTCTACAATATTGAAGAAAATATCAATAACTACAAAAAACTTCGCGACACTATATGTCCAACTATTATCGTTATGTCACAATAACCACTTTTTAAAATATTCTAAAAATGTCCACCCATGCGAAGCCGGGACTTGCAGCTGCCCTGCGAGAGACTGAAGATCGTGCCAAATGGAGTAACATCATAAGAGAGGCAACAGACACCTTTCGAGGACACGACCTTCAGTAATGAAGTGGACGAAGAGAGAGAGAGAGAGTGTGTGTTCAACATTGCGTAGCGTCATCTAGTTTTAAACTAAACAAACATTTCTTACGACTAGATTTTTCAATTGTACTATATCGGTTCCCAGCAGGCGGAGGCGCCAGCGATGGGCCAGTTCCTGCTGCCGCTCCTGAGCGCGGATCCAGCCACCCCTGAAGCTGAGCACTTCCTTATCCGCCACGAGGATATACTGCAGGTAATTTTTTTTTTAATATTTAAAATGGCAAGGCAAACAAGGCCAAGGCCAGCCAAATAACGCCCCACCTGATAGAAAGTCAACCATCACCTATAGATATGAACATACTTTTGTTTTAATCACATATCTTGAAATAAGTTGTGCTCACTGTCATGTCTAGATTGGTGGCGATCTGCTGGAATGGGTCTTTGGGCTTCTTCTTTTTTATACCACTGAGGTGGCAAACAAGCATACAGCCCACCTGATGGTAAGTGGTTACCGTAGCCTATGAACACATGCAATACCACAGGTATTACCCGTGCGTTGCTGACCCTGAAGATACCTCTTTACCCCCCTTTTGAAGAACCCCATGCTGTAGTCTCTTGGGAAAATCTCGGCAGGGAGCTCGTTCCACAACCTGAGTGTTCGTGGGAGGAGACATCTCTGAAACCGCGCAGTACACGACCATTGAGGCTGTAGGACGTGAGGATGAACTCCCTGTCGATGGCGAGCCGTACGATGGTAGAAAGTGGCTGTGGGCATCATATTGAACAATTCCTCTTAGCATACCTAACATATACCTGTTTATATGGTTATGCCCATATGGTTGAACATAACGATGGTTGGCTGCGGGGCAAGAGATTGTTAGTAATAGAGACTAAGAGCCCTTTTTAATAGGGGTATTAAGCGCGCGTTGCCGACCTCGAAGGAACCCCTTTATCCCTTTTTTTAAGGACTCCATGCTGTAGTCTCTTGGAAGAACCTCAACAGGGACTCATTCTATAATCTAAACGTCTGTTTACTCCCATCTCTGAAACCGCGCCGTACGCGACCATCTAGGTTCTAAGTTATGCTAAGTTGAAGTTAACGTGAATTTACTGGGTACAGAGGAATAACACCTGAGTCCTTAAGAATGGCAATGTATTGGGGGGTATCATGGGCGAAACGGTATTCTCTGTTATGTCCATGGTACTGCTCATGTCTATAGGCGACGGCTACCACTTACCATCAGGTGGGCCGTCAGCTTGTTTGCCATTCTAAGTTGTATAAAAAAAAATTATGAACCCTCTTAACAGAATCTCTTTGTTTTAGCTACTCGCGTCCACAGAAGAGGGCATTCACGAGATCTCTCTGGAGGACGACAGCGCGGCAGAGCCTCAGCCCGATACGTATGTTTCGTTTTACTGAACTAGGTTTTGCAAAACGTGCGTGGACTGAATGGCGGTCGGAGATTGATGGCTGATATGCAAGGTTATTAATAACCGATCTATATCAACCATATCCTATGTGTACCTACATACATTTTTGAGTATCTCATCTCCCATATATGGAGCTGACCCGTCGCCCGTATTCATTAGCGAAAACAGATCATAATGTCATTTACGCGACCCAGAAATATAAAAGAAAAAATTTGCTAGGTCGAGTGTTGCCAGTCGCACACATACTAATTGTAGCGGAATTATTCTAAACAAAATAATTCTAAACAAATAACAAATGTTTCGGTTTAACTTTTTATAAGTTTCACTGTAAAAAAAATTTTGTTATGTCTAAATGTGCAGAAGTGAGGAGCGAGAGGCCGGGGAGGGCGAGGAGGCGGTCACGCCCGAGGAGGAGGCCGCTTTGTTGCACTATGTCTGCGGTGAGTCTTCAAATCATCTCTCACTACAGTGAACGCTCTATATAAGCAAGTCATTTGGATAAATTTCAATAAAAAAAAAAATCTTATTGGGAAAAGTATATACCTCCCCATTACATTATATTTATTTATATTTTATAATAACTTGAATACAATTTCCATTATTTATATTATATTATTATTCATATTGTTAATATCTTTACTAATTTAATAATTTAATTATATTTTAATGTTCGTGAAACACATGGGATGCTGTGGTTGCCTATAAATGTAACAGCAGTGAGATCTGATCTGCCAGTGTATTGTATTAAAATTTAGCTTTACTGTAGCTGTAGCAGAGGAATAACACCCGAGTCCTCAGGAATGGCAACGCATGGGGAGTATCAAAGGGCGAAACAGTATACTCTTTTATGTCCATGGTACTTACTGCTCATGTTTATAGGTGACGGTTACCACTTTCCATTATGTGGGCCATCAGCTTGTTTACCATTCTAAGTTATAGAAAAAACATTGTTAATTATCCTATAAATAAATAAATAAGTTACTTAAAGGGGATAAAGGAGTATAAAAAATACTTACTGTCTGGAAAATATTTCTACTTATTTCTTTTACTAACTAAGCTGAGTAGAATAAATAAAATATAAAGAAATGTTGCTTATACAGAGGTTGCTTATATAGGGCGTTCACTGTATTATTATTATTATTATATTTTAAATACACGTAACTTATTGTATTTTGAACCGACTTCAAAAAGAAGAAGTTTCTCAATTTGGTTGATTTAACAGTGTTTTTTATATAACTTAGAATGGTAAACAAGCTGATGGCCCACATAATGGAAAGTGGTAACTGTCACCTGTAAACATGAGCAGTACCATGGACATAACAGAGTATACTGTTTTGCCCATGATACCTCCCATGCGCTGCCATTCCTGAGGACTCAGGTGTTATTTCTCTGTACCCTGTAAATTCACGTCATATCCCACCCTTCAAACCGAAACACAGCCATGCAAACACAACTGCTTCACGGTTGAAATATGAATAGGATAGAGGTACCCAAGCAAACGACTTTTGTACAAAGTCTCCCTCTGGCTAAATCTGGGCATCCTTTTAGGATTTGCAGTTAAATAGCCACTGAGAAGGGTACCTCTTTGCAAAGTCAGTCATGCTGATTTATGGACAGTTTTTTTTAATGAATGATAATGTAATGGTAACCCCGCCTGCGCTAACGGTATACGCTGGCGGGACACCAGTGAGGGATGATAGGTGAGGATGAAAGGCAGGCCAGTTAGTCCATCGTGATGAATACACCTGGAATTCAGCACGAAGGTTTCCAGGGGGGATGCACGTGGAGACCGAGCTGCCAGGGTATATTGTTAGTAACAGAACTAATAATCCGCATACATAGTAGTGTTACTTATACCGCGTGGCGTGCTGCAGAGGCGGAGCGTGCGGCGGCCGATGCTGGTGCTGGTGGTGGTGGTGGCGGGCGGTCGATGCAGTGGACGCCGGTGGCGGAGTGGCTGCTGGGCGCCTACCGCTCGTGGTGCGAACTCAGCGCGTTGCTCGGCGCCCTCGTCGACACGCACATGTACGTACATGTACTGACCAGCTCGTAGACAGACTTGCACTCTGCAGCTCAATGACGTATTTAACTATATTTTCCAGAAGGAACCGGAGGGCCTACCATGAAATGTTTCCCGAAATTTCGTAACCGAACTAAATACAAATTTGATATTAAATTTACATAATACATATTGTGTAAAAATGTTAAATTATCGTTCCTTTGAAGTTTTGTGGTAGGATTTACGATGTACGAAATAGTAAGCTCCGTTTACTAAACAAAATTCGATATGAACAAAAAAAAAAACAAAATGGTAAGCTTCATTTATTGAACAAATTTCAGTATAAACAAAAACACGGTATTAAGTCCGAAAATTCGTAATTTCATTTCCTGGTAGATCCCCAAGCCCTCTAGACAAGTTGCAAACGAATCTATGAAATCGATATCGCTAGCTAGGCGATGAGATGGAAAGAGATAACAAAGTACAATGTTTCATTCTAATTCATTTTATTCACCAGTTAAGAATGATAGGTGAGAATGAAAAGGCAGGTCAGTTAGCCCATCGTGATGAATACACCTAGAATTTAGCGCGATAGTTTCCAGGCGGGACCACGTAGAAGTCGACCTGTCATACCCTGACAAGTTGCTAGCTATGGGAAGTAGTCCTCATTACTAACAATCTCTTTCTTCGATTGACAATTGCCGTGTGGTCCCAGCATAGAATGGACCACCCCTTCCTATCCCGTGGGTGTCGTATCAGTCGATTAAGACGAGGGCGATAGATGGGCAGCAACTTTAAAAACATCACCAAAGCCTAACTGTTGTTGCCAACCCGCAATACTTGGCAAATACTAGCAAAAGCCCACCCAATAGAGAGAGGCCGGGGCAAAGGGATTGTTAGAAATGGAGACTGAGAATCCCATTGCTAGCAATATACCCAACCAGGTCGACCTCCTCGCGCTTCTCCCTGGAAACTATTGGTTTATTCCTGATGAATTCATCATGATGGGCTAGCTGGCCTGTTTTCATTCTCATCTGTCACCTTTCACTGGTGCTCCGCCAGCGTATCCCGTTAGCGCAGGCGGGGTTACCATACCATTTTCACCCATCAAAGAAATAGAGGCCTGTGTTCAGTAGTGGACAGGTAAAGGCTGATATGTTGATGGTAAGATGAATTTGTCAATTAGCTGACAAAAAGTTGTGCCGTTTCTGAGGCTCGATGCTGTATGTATATAATATGTTTATATTTTACAAACACTTTTTCCATGTGAAATAATAAACTTAATTGTGTTGCTTTGAAAAGACGGATATTTTTTTTATACAACTTAGAATGGCAAACAAGCTGACGGCCCACCTGATGGAAAGTGGTAACCGTCGCCTATAGACATGAGCAGTACCATGGACATAACAGAGTATACTGTTTCGCCCATGATAACCCCCATGCGTTGCCATTCCTGAGGACTCAGGTGTTATTCCTCCGTACTCAGTAAATTCACGCCATATCCCACCCTTCAAACCGAAACACAGCCATGCAAACACAACTGCTTCACGGTTGAAACACGAATAGGACAGAGGTACCCAAGCAATCGACTTTTGTACAAAGTCTCCCTCTGGTACAGGATTTATTAGTGATAAATTGTTATCACTAACAATTGTTCCGAATTTACAACTTTACCACTATTAACGTGTTGATATTACACAACTCGCCTGAAAAGAGAAGCAACGTTTTAAGCAATTATTTCACCAATTAAAAATAATTTTAAAACATTTATATTACAATAGTAAATCTAGATCTAAGAACAAGGAATTACATAGAAGGAGTGATAAAATAAAAACTGTAAATCATATGGTTGTCTCCTTTCTTCTTATGCGAATATAATTAGTAAAAAAAGGACGAAAGATACACGATCTGTTGCTATTTTTCTGAATTAATAACAGGCTAGTGTATAGAAAATGTGTATGTAAAATTTTTGCTCATTAACATTATTAGATTATATATTCGACACAGTTTATGTAAAAAGTGTGCAAAGCGGGTTGTATCTGAACTTGGTAGGGTGCTATGAATTGACAGTTTTGTCATTCCTATGTAATTCCTTGTTCTCAAATGTAGATACTTTTTCTAGAACGACAATGAATGACATATGTTATTCTGACAATTGGATTTGACACCTAATGCGCGCCAAATTCAAATGAATAAATGTCAAACGAGTTTATTTACGTGTATATAATAAGTGTGTGCGTGTGCAGCAGCGCGGAGGCGCGTGGACGCGCGTGCGTGTCGCGCGTGCGGCTGGGCTGCCACTGCCGCCTGTGCGTGTGCCTGGCCGCCAACGCACAGCCGCTGGCCGCGCTCCTCGCACGCCTCGTCTGGGCGCTCGCGCACGGTACTACCTGCCACGCCTACCTCTTTTCGCTTTCATCCCACCCCACAAAAATGTATAATTATTGTTTAAATTTTGCCAAAAGATTACATCTCCCCTGTTAAGGAGAGGAGATGGCAAACTAACCCCCGGTAGAAGCACAGTCGGCCGGGGTTCAGGGCCCCAGGGAGAGAAACCGGCGTACAATGCGGGCAGTGTCTAAGGGTACCGCTTTCTGCATCTTTCCCGGAAGTGAGCCACCTCGGAATACCAACCGTCTGAGATGTTTTAGACTAATTGGGATTATTATTATTTATTTAACTTTTTATTGCACCATAAATAAAAATATACAATGACAAGTGAATTATTCAAGTGAAATACAATAACGTAAATACAGATTGAAATTCCGAACAAAGGTACAAAATATCTTATCGCTAGGGCAATATCTTACAATCTTTATTTCAATTATCTACAATTCTGTATGTGTCTGTTTTTTTTTTCTATATATTCATTTAATTGCTATATCATTTCATCTTTGTATATACTTACTTTATCTTTATACTTTTTAAATATTTATTTACTAAAACTTTCCTGAAATCTTCTCATTGCCGCCCATTTGGGACGCAATTTCAGCCAGGAAGAACGGGCGAAAAACTCGGCTGTTGCTTTTTCCAAAAACTTTAACTGTATAAATAATGAATTTGTGTGAATATAAACTATTGACCAGTATCAGATCATAGAAATAGTAATAAAGTGTTTGTTTGGTACAGGTGGCAGCACTGCGGCCGCAGCTGGTTTAGTTCGGGCGCTACAGTTGTCTGCGGCCGCGCAGCCTGCGCTTTCAGCACAGCCCGAGCAGTGGGACCTGGCGCGTCTACGGCGGCTGCAGCTCGGGGACCACGGTAAGTTCTTTTTTTTTATTATCGAATAGATAGATAAATAATTTATTTACATTACTTACAGCACACAAATTACAATTAAAAAAAAAACATACACATAATACACAGCAAAAGAGAGTTCCCTTCCTTCATGCGTGTGCCATAGTAACACAAAATGGTCACAACTCAGTTTATTGCTTTGCCTTTAAAAGAGCAAAACACTGATATTCTGTTGTGGTCAAGAGTCGGTCGCGAAATGCCTTATTAAAAATAATAATAAAAAGAAATATAAATAAAATGCATTGTATTGTCCATTACATTCGTCTCCATTTGATATATTATATTCTAAATAAATAAATAAATAACAAATACCATTAGATGAGGGGTAGTCAGAGATCACTTTCTGTCAAATTCAGGTATTCAGGCAATAAATATTTTCGCTACGTACCTATTAGGTATGCCAATTTTTTGTTTATTAATTAAAAAAAAAAAGTTATTTTTTAAAAATGTGTTTAGTTTTAGACAATCTTATTGCAGTCTATTTTGTGGCGATATTATTTCTAATCCTATCTATTAATTTAATATTCTATTTTTTTTTTTTTGTTAAAGAAAAGCAGATAAAAATTGTATAATAAAAAAGACAGTAAAGACAAAAAGTAAATTACAAGGTTTCACAAATAAAAAGAGGATTTATCTAATACACTTGACATCGCTAATACTTACAATCAACTAAATTAAACTTAGAGTAATAACATTAGATATAGTAGTACAACATTATAGGCAGCACAGTTCCTTTTAAAATACCACTAAAGCGTAAATTCGATTGCCAACCTACTTGCCAAGCATGGCGACACTACTAGCAAAACCCCCTTAAGAGGGAGGCAAATGTCCAGCAGTGGACTGATGGAGTGGTGGAGTATATATATATATATATATATATATATATATATATATATATATATATATATATATATATATAGTGGTGGAGTATATATATACTCCACCACTCCACACACACACACACACATAATAAATATGTGTGTGTGTGTGAACGCGCGTGCGTGCGTGCGAGTGCGGATGCGGATGCGTGTGCGTGTGTGTGTGTAATTGAACTTACAAAAGCACATTTTACATCTTCTAAACCTTTGCACATAAAGGGAAACAATGAAAATAAAATAAACTAACTTCACAATACATACACTGCGAGAGCTTACTAACAATGAAATGTTTTACTCAAACAGGTGCAGCAATATTGCACGAGCAATTGGAACTATTGGCGCAGGAGAGCGATATCACAAAACAAATCGTGCACAACGTCTGCCTCTGTCGACAGTTCGAACGGCCGCTGGAGAAAGAGTTAGTAGTACTTCTATCCTACTGTTCTTTTTATACAACTTAGAATGGCAAACAAGCTGACGGCCCACCTGATGGAAAGTGGTAACCGTCGCCTATACACGTGGACAGTACCTTGAATTTCTCAGAATGTTTGTGATATCTTGCAATCAATTTCCGACCAAAAATTATTATTTGTTACTATAGAATAGATATAATCTTTAGATATTTTCAAATAGGCTTGTTTACAAGCTCTTTTAAATCGTATTTTTTTGTATAATTGTATTGCTGAGTTTGGAATGTTGTAATCGTGATGCAGTTGTGTTTGCATGGCTGTGTTTCGGTTTGAAGGGTGGGATATGGCGTGAATTTACTGGGTACAGAGGAATAACACCCGAGTCCTCAGGAATTGCAACGCATGGGTAGTATCATGGGCAAAACAGTATACTCTGTTATGTCCATGATACTGCTCATGTTGCTATAGGCGACGGTTACCACTTTCCATCAGGTGGGCAGTCAGCTTGTTTGCCATTTTAAGTTGTATAAAAAAAAATACGCAAGAAACTCAACAGTTACTCATTTCAAATTATTATGTACAAGAAAACTTTACATTTGCATGGGTACTGTGATTGTAATTAGAATTAAGTTCTGTTTAAATAAATAAACAATGTTTGTTTATTTATTTAAACAGAACAGCAGACTAAAAAGCGTCAGCGGAGCGACTACTAGCAAATCCCTCCCAATTGTTAACAGTTACAAGGAATTATTGTTTCTCATGAAAGGTAGTCTTGAGGATGCCTATGTTCAGCAATGAACGCAATGCACGGATAAATTATTAGTTTTATGTATCAATAACGATTTCAATTTCACCCTGTATATTGATATATTTGAATTATTTGTCAATATTTAAAAGTTATTTTAACTGTCCATTCGTCCTGTCTATTTTAACCTCGTCCATTTGGGTTGTGAATTGATCTCCCATCTTTAGTCTTCCCCCTTTCTATATATTATAGAGCGTTTCAAAAACGTGCCTACAAACATTTAAAAGGCCGGCAAGCAACGCACAGGCAACTCTTCTCGTGTTGCAAATGTTTATGGGCAATGGTAGCCGCTATCAGGTGGATCGTTCGCTCGTTTGCTTCCCTAATAATAAAAAAAAGAATTATAATATCTTTGAATATTTATTTGGTTCTGATAGCTTATTTATATTCGATTCGTTGTAGGCAAACAAGCGTACGGCCCACCTGATGGTAAGCGGTTACTGTAGCCTATGAACGCCTGCAATACCAGAGGTATTACGCATGCGTTGCCGATCCTGAAGAAACCTTTTTACCCCCCTTTTGAAGAACCCCATGATGTGGTCTCTCGGGAAAACCTCGGCAGGGAGCTCATTCCATAACCTTAGTGTTCCTGGGAGAAAGCATCTCTGAAACCGCGTTGTACGCGACCATTTAGGCTGTAGGGTATGAGGGTGAACTCCCTGCCGATGGCGAGCCGTACGATGATAGAAAGTGGCCGTGGGCATCATATTGAATAATTCCTCTGAGCACAATCCGTTGTATAAGCGGTAGAACACGCAGAGTGAGGCAAAATTTCTCCTTATATTGTCTTGATTATTTATTTATTTTTTAATCTGTTTTCAGATATGCACTAGAGAGGTTTTGCAAGATTTTAGAGAGTTTCAAGGCTGCGTCCACCATGACGTTTAAGGTCAGTCCGAAAATAATATAAAAAGCCTTATCTGGCTATGATCATCTTTTATAATAGGTACTTGCCAAAAAGCATTGGAAAGGTCAATACCAATAACAGGTTACAACGCATTTTGTACACATAACACGTTCCATTAAGATGCGTTGTTTCTTAAGATAAAGAGAGTGTAATTGAGTCGTCATGTGGTGTGAGGTGGTTGCTGATGCGTGTTGCAGGTGGAGACGGTGCCGGCGGAGGGCGGCGCGGCCAGGCGGCGCGTGGCGGCGCCGCGCTGCAGCACCGCGCGCCGCCTGCGGCACGTGGCCGCGCGCACCGCCCCCGCCCACTGTACGTACACGTCCGCACGCGTACACGCAGTCACGTGCTCGCTCACACACTTCAATTATTATTATTATTATTTATTATTATAGCTTTTTTTATCCACTTCCGTGGTCCCCAAGGGTAAAAGCCTCCTCCATCTTTTTCCACTTCTCCTTATCTATAGCAATACCAATGAAAAGTTCACACTTCAATTATTTGACATTAAAAAAATCAACACATCTCTTTCTAAATTATGCAAGTCTCGAGCGAAAGTAAAAATTATTTGGAGCGTTTGTCTAATTAGCTCATTGAATTGTAGCAACGTCGCACTTTAGTGTCAATTTAAAAAAATATTTTAACACGTCTCAATATTAATGTTTGTTTAATTAAAACATTGCTAGCTAGACGATTTAACCACTGTTTGGAGGTAGTCAAATTGACATTGTTTAAGTCTTATTGTCAGGCTTTCTACACCAGCCAGTTATGGTATAGTTATACGAAATGGGCTTATAACACACTGCGTGTGTAATACAATAACGCATTCCGAGCGATGCTCAACTTGCCACGGCGGTGTAGTGCGTCTGGCATGTTTGCAGAGAGCAGGGTTAATGATTTTTTTGCTATTTTACGTAATTATAAGGCAAAATTTCATGACAGATTAATGACAACAAGTAATCATATTGTAAAGACTGTATTTCTCACAGCATACCTGACGACAAGAGATTTTATAACGAAATAATTTAAATTGGTATTTTATAATTGATGTATATTTTAATAATAATAATAATAGTTTATTTAATTAATAATATAAAAATGTAAACTATGGGTATATACCTGAAAATAAAGAGATTTTATTGTATGTAACCATGCAGTGAGCGCGTGGGCGGGCTACATCCACCGCTGCTCGTGCCGCACTCCGCGGACCCTGTGTGCTCAGCAACGACGCCATCTGCTCAGGTATCAATTCCTATTACCTTACAAACTTAAATTAGTAATCAGTGCTTATTTCCACTCAGTCTTCTAGAAGAGAACTCTAACAGAGTTAAGCTCGCCTGTTGTACATATTTATTTAAAATAAACTATAACCCACACCACGTCTAGATAGTTGCATACAGCGCGGTTTCAAAGATGTTTCCTTCCACAAACACTCAAGTTATGGGATGAATTTCTTTGTATTGAATGAAGGTTTTTCCAAAAGGCTATAGCGTGGGATTCTTCAAAAAAGGAGTAAAGATGTTTCTTCAGGGTTGGCAACGCGCATGTAATACGCGCATATAAACGCGCGCATTCATAGGCTACGGTAACTGCTAACCACCAGGTGGTTCATATGCTTGTTTGTCAGCTCGAAAAAAAATCCGTTAAAGAGCTAACCAAACGTGGCAGGAGGTAAACCTACTTTCGCTTCCTGCCACACTGGATTCTTGTACACTCAGTAAAATGTACTCAGAGACAAAAGTTTTAAGATGCCTGTGACTACCCACCCCATTAGCGATTATGACCATGAACGTACTTATGTATTTTTAATGCCAATGTAATTCTAAAGAGGTATTTTTTTTTATTCTAGGTTGTTTTATTCTAGAATATCATTCTTCGGTATCATGCAAGCGGTGAACGAGTTCAGTGTGTCCAAACAGGAAACCGAACCTGTCACAGACAATGACAAGGTAAATCTATGTATTTTTTCTTTTTTTCCTATTAATATATATGCAATCTAAGAACTATAATTAAATGTGTTGAGTTAGTGACCAAAATGTAGTCTGTTTGGGCATCTCTGTTTCATTCGTAATTCTGCTGTGAAGCTGTTGTTTGTATGGTTGTGTTTCGGTTTGAAAGGTGAGGGCAGTGAATTTACACGGTATAGAAGCATAACAGGCTTAGCCCTAAACAGTAGCAACGCATAAAAGGTGTTACGGACGACGCAGTATATATCTATCACTCTTTTATGTCCATAGTACTCTTTTATGTTCATTTGTACAGGTGAAGGTTACCACTTTCCATCAGGTTTAGGTTCCATAGCCCATCGTGACGAATTCAACAAGAATTGTTCTCGATGGTTTCCAGAGGGCACCACGTGAAGGTCGACCTAATAAGGCATATTGCTAGCAATGTCGAACTCCATTGCTAACAATCCCTTTCCCCCCTCTTTCCATCAAGTGGGCGGTCAGCTTGTTTGCCATTCCAAGTTGCTTAAACTGATGTAATATATTGCAGGCACCGAACGACGTGAAGCTAGAAGCGGAAGGTCACGAGTTGCAGCAGGGAGACGGTACCGGGGCCAAGTGAGTATTATATATATACCACAGATAAACTATCAGACCAGAGGGAGACTTTGTACAAAAGTCGATTGCTTGGCTACCTCTGTCCCATTCGTGTTTCAACCGTGAAGCAGTTGTGTTTGCATGGCTGTAGTTCGATTTGAAGGGTGGGATATGGCGTGAATTTACAGGGTACAGAGGAATAATACCTGAGTCCTCAGGAATGGCAACGCATGGGGGGTATCATGAACGAAACAGTATACTCTGTTATGTCTACGGTACTGCTCATGTCTATAGGCGACTGTTACCACTTTCCATCAGGTGGGCCGTCAGCTTGTTTGCCATTCTAAGTTGTATAAAAAAAATCATTATTCACATAGACTTGTTTATAAGTTCTTTTAAATTATCATCTTTTTTTTTTATTTTAATGATTTGCACATGTAACCGATATAAGATGAAAAATGGAACAGAGAGAGAACAAACATTTTTATTAGCTGTTGTCAATAGTCCATGATTTGACAGTGATATTTCCTTTTTTTTTTTTATTGTTGACAAGTGTTTGACTTTTCTGATAAATTTGCTTTTTGTTTTCTTTTTTTTTTTTACATACGACATTGCTATTTTTAATGACTCATTTAATTAACATTTATTCTTTTTAAGTTTTAAATTTTGCATTCCTAATTATGACGAAATATGAGGACTACTTATATCTCTTGTTAACGTCTATACACTTATCATGTTTCTTGTAAATAAATAAATAAATAGAAATATTTTAAAAGTTTAGCACTTTATATGTTTCCTTTAACTTATAATGTGAAAAATGAAATTGTTTTACTGTATAAATAATTTCAGGGAACTCTGGTGACTTTTTACGGAACCTCTAGAGGTTCCGTAGAACCCACTTTAGGAATCATTGCTCTACTGTATTTTGGTTGACGTTAAAAAAGTAATCGAATCCTGACTCGATTACGAAAACTTGCATTTGTGTGCTTCGTTAGAGTCGAGTAATTTTTAAATTTATAATCATAAATGTAAATGTCTAAAGGCCGCCAGATTCGATGTCAAGAGAGGTGGAAGCGGAAGCGGAAGCGAGCGTTGTAGCGGAAGCGGAAGCGGAAGTGGAAACTGGCGCGGAGGGCGGTGAACACAGCGATTCGAACTTCCACGCCGACTTCGACGACTGTAAGTTTATAGAACAACAGTTTCTATATGTAAAGTATATGTACATATAGAGAATTAAGCCATATATTTTTTAGTAAACTAGGGAAATACCGGTACTGCTTCCAAGTCTATACAGGGTGTAAAGGTGTAATATCTATATTGCTATAAAATTAGAGGTTGTAATACCACCCCTATTTTTAGTATGTTTTTTTTATACAACTTAGAATGGCAAACAAGCTGACGGCCCACCTGATGGAAAGTGGTAACCGTCGCCTATAGACAGGAGCAGTATCATGGACATAATAGAGTATACTGCTTCGCTCATGATACCCCCCCATGCGTTGCCATTGCTGAGGACTCAGGTGTTATTCCTCTGTACCTAGTAAATTCACGTATTAATTAAAATATTATTATATAATTTTTTTAATGACGGGATCGCAAGACTTCTACTTAATTTTTTGGCTTTTTCGTGGGTTGCGACATAAAAATGGTTGAGTAACAATAGTCTAGAGCAGTGATTCTCAACCACTGTGCCGCGGCACTTTTGTGTGCCGCCAAATTTTAAAAGTGTGCCGCCAAATTTTGCAAATATTTAAAATTTTTGTCATAAACTATTTATGCAGTGTGTTGTAGTAAGTGAATAATTCTTATCTTTTTCTTTGTGTGCCGCCAAATTTTTAATCGTTAAATATGTGCCGCAACAAATAAAAGGTTGAGAATCACTGGTCTAGAGGAACTTGAGAATATATAGGGCTTCTTTGGATGTAAATACGGACTAGCTTTTATTCGTGAATTTGTCTGTGTACATGATATGTTTACTAACTGGGGTGAATAGAGTAGCCTATGATCTCCATCCCATATATATATCCCATAAAACGCGGTGTATAGAATTCATTAGATAAATAGAAACTATTTCGATATCTCTCATGTACAAACAATCGTCCAGTGACAATCTCCTTTTTTTTTAATGGATGATAATAGAATGGTAACCCTGCCTACGCTAACTGTATACACTGACGATGCACTAGTGAACGGATGATGGGCGAGGATGAAAAGGCAGGTCAGCTGGTCCGTCGTGATGAATACACATGATATTCAGCACGGTGGTGTCCAGGGCCGTGTCCTGTATTAAGTGAGTGTGGTTGCGTGGTCGTGCTACAGTGAGCTCGTGGGAGGCGCGGTCGGGGCGGGCGTCGCTGGCGCCGTCGTGGTCGTCGTCGCTGGACTCGGCGTCGGAGCTGCTGCTGGCGGCGGCGGCGGCCGTGGAGGCGCGCGGCGCGGACGGCGCGGTTGGCGCGGCCGGCGCGGCCGGCGCGGCCGGCGCGGCGCCGCGCGCGCTGTGCCGCACGGTGCGCCGCCTCACGCGCTCCATCGCCGCCGTCGAGCGCCTCATGGACCGCGTGCTGCGCCACTGCGGCCGCTGGCCCGGCGTCGACACCGACACCGCCGCCGCCGCCGCCGCCGCCGCCGCCCAGGCAGACGACACCGACCACCAGGACAGGTACGCACTGAGTGACGTTTAAACTGATCAACGCAGTTTAGTAAGGCTGTTGTTTCGGCATGTGTGATATAGGTTGACTGGTAGAGAATGCCATCAGATAGTACGTCCACCCTGTAGACATTTTCTTATGTGTGCAAAAGTATTAATAAATAATTAAATATCATTGTATCAGCCTGTAACTGTCCACTGCTAAACATAACCTTCCACTAGGGGGTTTTGCCAGTACTTTTCACGTCATTTATATGCCGTCATTTATAAACCGATTTGGTTTTTTTTTTTTTATCTGGAAGGATGTAGCTCGAGATTAGTCCTGTAGGAATTCTATCAAAATCTGTCATTAGCATATTTAAAATTATTTGTCATAATGGGGGGGGAGGGGGAAGGGGGAAGGACTAGACTAGTTAGGATCTGTTTTAATCATATTATATACATATTATTACTTTGTATAGGAAAAGCGTTGACATGGGCCTCTCGGAGGTGGACCGGAAACTGATGGCCATGTACCGCCGGTTACCGGAAGTGCACCGCCGACAGCTGCAGGTCTACAGGAAACAGAAGAAACTGTCCACGGTGAGGGAAATTGATTAAAATTTTTAAACATACAGGATGTTTAGAAATTTTATAATTAGCTACTTATGGACGGGTCAAATTAGCCGCGTGGGTTTTAATAAACGGGTAAAGATTCCCACCTCGTGAGTGCTTACTGAAGGATAATGCGGCCAAGAGCGGCCCAGGAAACGGTGGCGTGATTATCTAGATGCATTTAAAAAGGACTAGCTTTAGCTGGCGAAAAGCAGGAACCTTCGGAAAGAGATGGAGAAGACCTTAGTAATGAATAATAGAATCTGCTACACTTTCTCATGTGAAAGTGTCTCCCTCTGATGTCAAGACTTTGTTGTCTATGTATTAATTTTTTTCTGCAGATTGATGACGGAAAGGTCATACCTATTTCGGTATCGTCCATACCATACTGGTCTAATATACATATTAATTTCAATGGTGTTTTTCATATTCATTTTTTTATGCAATTTAGATTGGTAAACAAGCTGACGGCCCACCTGATGGAAAGCGGTAACCGTCGCTTATAGACATGAGCAGTATCATGCACATAACAGAGTATATTGTTTCACCAATGATACCCCCCATGCGTTGCTATTCCTGAGGACTCAGGTGTTATTCTTCGGTACCCAGTAAATTCACTGCCGTATCCCATCCTTCGAACACAGTCATTCAAACAACTGCTTCACGGTAGAGACATGAATAGGACAGAGGTGGCCAAGCAAATTACTTTTGTACAAAATCTCCCTCTAGTGAGATGAGATATTATATATTGGATAACCGATAATTAATATATTAATTATTGGACCAATATATAGATATTGTAACTAAAATATAAGGATGTTGCCATACATTACTCGGCCCTAATGACCGGGTTGTGTTTGTCATACATTACTCGGTTATGAGTAATGTATGGCAACATCCTTATGAGCTCCCTAATGCCTGGGTTGTGTTGTTGACTTGTTGACTTGTTGGTAACGTTGTGTGGTGCGGGTGCGGGTGCGGGTGCAGGTGTGCATGCAGCTGGTGGGCGGGCGCGCGCCGCTGCCGCCGCCGCCGCCGCCGCCCGGCTCGCCGCCGCCGCCGCCCGCCGCCGCCGCCGCCGCCGCCGCCGCGCACCGCCCGTGCCGCCCGTGCCGCGCGCTCTGCCCCGAGTACCACCTCAGGCGGTTCAAGGAGGTACCAGCCGCGCAACCGCCACGCGCCACGCTCCCATGTTCCCCCTTATATGTGGATTTTAATTTGCTTGTTTGAAAACGTTCATAACATTTGCCTGTAGAAGTGTGGCAACGTCGCAATACTCTGTCGATATTTAAGAATAAAAATCTCCCACTCATTCTTCTTCCTTTTATTCTAAATCCTTTACTGTTCAGGCAGTTCGTCTATGGAACTCACTACCTACCTCTATTCGGTGCGCTCTAACTCTTACTAGCTTCAAAACCTCTGTTAAATCTTACTACCTCTCACTTTAGTACTATTTTCCTGTGTTCTCTCTTCGTTTTCCTTCGTCATTTTTTTTTCTGTTGCATGTGTGCTGTTAAGTATGTGTATGTTATGTATATATTTAATTGTGTATATATTATATATGTATGTGTATATATGTTTGTATATGATAATATTTATATAATAGTGCGCCACCTAATCTTTGTCATTTTCTCAATGTCCTCTACCCAAAGGTTGTCTGGAAGAGATTGCTTAGCGATAAGGCCGCCTTTTGTATCGCTTCTCATTAATATTTACTGTATTTGTTATTTGTCTTGTTACTTGGTGCAATAAAGTGTAAATAAATAAATAAATAAAATAAATAAATGGAACATTTTTTTAAATGTTTCTAACTGAGTATTTAAAAAGTATTGTGGTAACGAAGTAAAACGTTAATTATAGAATATGTTGCATATAAATCTACTGTACCTAACTTCGTTATTTATCTCTGAATTAATAAATATATTTTTGCTATCATAAGTCAAATTGTTCATGATATCTTATTAAGTATATATATATTGCATGGTTAACATTTTATTTTAGTAGCATAGCAGTTTTTAAGTAATCAACCAGAAATATCGATAAAAGGTTAAAATCATTTTAAAAATTGACAGAAAATTGCGACGTTGCCACACTGAATTTATAAACACTTTTAATGCAGGTTTATATGTTTTAAAATATTTTCAAATACTGAAACTGTTCGCGTCCCCACAGGTACGTCGTAAAGTGATGCATATGAGGGATCAGCAGTTATACTACCATCGACTGAGGATGTGGCTCGAAGAGCAACTTCGACAGGAACAGGACAGGTCAGTATGTGTTTCTACGACTGTTGTCTCTTTCTTACCGTCATTATCATCTTTCTGCTGTAATCGCAATTATTTGGGGTCAACATGATGTAATACACAAGGTTTTGACTGTTGGTTTGACGACCGGCCGCCTTCTTGGCGCCAACCCTCTTTAGGAATGCAATTGTGGGTGGTATCCACCACCTACGGTATGAATCAAATAATTGAAAAAAAGAAGGGCAACATTTTTTTGATGGGTGAAAATTGAATGATAACTCCACATGCGCTGTCGGTATATGCTGGCAAGATATCAGTGGGAGATGATAGCTGAGGATGAAAGCGAGCAAGTTGGTCTATCTTAACGAATTCGACGAGAATTAACCACGAAGTTTTTCAGAAAGAACCGCGTAAAGGATATTTTTTATACAACTTAGAATGGCAAACAACTGACGGCCCACCTGATGGAAAGTGGTAACCGTCGCCTATAGACGTGAGCAGTACCATGGACATAACAGAGGATACTGTTTCACCAATCATACCCCCCATGCGTTGCCATTCCTGAGCACTCAGCTGTTATTCCTCTGTACCCAGTAAATTCACGCCATATCCCACCCTTCAAACCGAAACACAGCCATACAGACACAACTGCTTCACGGTTGAAACAACCTTGTAGGGTATATTGCTGGCAATGGAGCTGTTAGACCCCATTGCTAATAATCCCTTGCTCCCTTGTGGGGAGACGTTGGGAGTGAGTAAAGGAACTTGGTAAAAATGGAATGAATTACTTATGGGATAAAGAGAAAGGGTTGCAAAGAGGATACTGGTCCAAATTGCATTGGCTCGGGAAGCCGGGGTTTCTTATTCGTATATAGTTACTTAAGAACTGGACAGATCACTAGAAGACAACTCACTATCCTACCATCCATTCCATTTACTAAAGGAAATAAATAAAAATTGTCTGCATTAATACCATTGTCTATATTTTTGCCATGAAGCAGCTGTGCTTACATGATTGTTTCGGTTAGATAGGTGGTATATGGTAGTTAAATTATAGGATCTGGAGATATAACGCCATAGTCTTGAGGGATAGTAACGCTAAGTGCTATGAGTTACCTTGTAATCTATGTGGTTATGTCACGGTGTTGATCATGTCTATTCGGTTGCCATTTTTCATCAGGTGTGCCGTTAGCTTGTTGGATATTCTAAATACCGTCAAAAATTAATAAAAAAAGACATCGATGTTCTACTACTTGACCCTCTCTCTCTCTGCTAGACATACTTCAAGAAAATTAGTTGATTTCAATCAATGTTGTAAAATATAATAATATTTCATTTGACAGCTTACCAGAAAATAACATAACGGTAGTGGAAGACTTGCCACATCGCAAAAAGCGCACCGCAAGCCCGAAACTAGCGCGTCTCACCACCGCCGCGAAACGGAAACTAAAAACACCCTTGCCGCTCTCAAAATCCCACAAACTGTTGCAAATGTTAAAACACGACTCTGGCTGTTGTAAATCCATTGATCTGAAAGATGATGTAGAGAAATCCGAAGCGGAACCCCCCGAGGCGTTTCCCCTAGAAAGAGAGGACAATATAAGCGACACAGAAACGATAGTAGGCGAAAGAGAGACAGAACTGTGCAAAGATATGAAAGAGTGTCTCGCCAAATTTGCAAATTTCGCTCTAACGAACGATCAGGAAACTGAAACTAAGTATCCTGAATCTGTCAGTCCTCCCCTTCAAGAGACATCACCAACAAATTCGGAACCGTTACCAGTGTATACTCCGAAACCGAGTCAAAGATTGTTAACAGTCAACAAATTCCTACAACGCAACGATTTTAAAACTGAAAACATAGATTTCCAATCGCAAATAGCCCCTGAAATCAACGTACCGTTAAACGCTAGGCGAACTCCTGTATTGGTTAAAGAAGAGAATGAAAAAGACATAAAAATAGAGAATCAAACAATTGATAATAAGGATCCAAATATTTATAAGTATGTTACATTTGGACTCGAAATCAAGAAAGCCATGGAGGAATGCCAAAATATTATAAATTCTTATAATAGTATTAATAAAGATAAAGAGAAAGACGAGAACTCATTGTCCTTAGAGCAAATATGCGAAGTAATGATGAATTTAGACAAGAATTCAGCAGAGTTTCTAGAGAAAATTGACACAGATGAACCTATAGATATCAACGTGGCTAATACAAAATTAGCCGAGTTTGTAGAAAACATGCCACAAATACTAGCGAATATGCCGGAAATTGCCACCAAGTTGACTGAATTTGCTAACGCCTCCTTCGAACTGCCAGAGTTTGCGTCTATAATGAGCTCACTGCCCGATGTAAATAACGAAGCTCAATTAACTCCGGAGACTTTAAAACAAATAAGGGAACTGAAATTGAATAAGAATAGGGATAGTATTAAAGTAACTAAAAATACAGCAAAAAGAAAAACCAATAGACGGAAAAATGACGAATTTATAGGCACGATGACTTTTGAATTGGACACTCAAGACATTACGGAATTGTTGAAAGACGAAAAAGATTTACAGAATTTAATGAAAAATAAAACTAATAATAAAGAAGACTTCAATGATCTGTTATTCTCTATATCTGCTCAAGTTGTTATTAATAAGGTATTTGAATATTTAAAACAGAACAAGAGTCCTGTTTTAGCGAAATGTCTAGAAGAAGACGGTGATATTTTCTCATTACCCAAAAATAGTATAAATTCGGAAATGTACTCGAAAGCTTCCTCGTTGTTTGACAATTCAGTGAAAGATGCTTTAAGTATGGACGAGCTGAGGGACTTAGTCAGATCTAGATTCGATTCTTGGAAGCATTACGTAGCTACGAAGTTCAAGAGTATACCGGTTGAGTTACTTGAGAACGAAATAGAAGCCATGTTAGATAAATTTTATAGTTACATCCAAGATTTAGCTGGTAAACAATGTTGTAACGAAACAGATAAAATCATAGAGAAAATTGATGAGTTAAGAAAAAATAAAGATTTAAAAGACTCCGATAGTGAGAACAGTGCTTCTAAAGAATCCTTACAACAAATCACAAAAATATTAAGCACGTCAGCGGGGAACACTTTCGATTTACTTATAATGAAATTATCCAAGATGTCGCATGATAAAAAGACAACGGTGAAAGGGCTTAAATTTGAATACGTAGATGTAATAAAACGGTGTTCTGAATCGCAACAGCTAGCCGGCTGGATACTGCTAGATCCCGAAATAGCTGCGAATGTTATACAAGAACTTACAGGGTTGCCTGTAAAAAAGACTGAAAATCTACCAGACTTCGGTACTTTATCTTATGAAAAGAAAAAAGACTATTTCGTTGAGAGGTTAAGGGAGATGAATAGGTTATACATGGAGACGTTACCTAAGAAAGTTTTGACAGGTGACGAGTGGTTAGTTATGCTTTATAGGTTAGAACAACTCGAGGAGAAATTGAAAGAAGCCTTTTCCAAATTGACACCACCAACCAAATGTGTTCAGAATCAAACGAACGCCAGCGAAGGCGAGATATTGGCCGCTAAGGGCCTCAGTAAGATAATAGGGAAATCTAATACTAGAGTAGTGAAGAAGCCGGAATCGAAGCCGGTTAAAAAGGACGAGAAGGAGAAAGAGAAAGAGGAAGAGGATAAGAAGTCGAAGAACGAAGCGTTGCTGGCGAAATGCGAGGCGATACTAACGTCTAAAGGCGAGAAGTCCTTACTAGATAGTTTTTACACCATCAAATCTTATATAACGCAAGGCATACCCGTGCCGGAGACATATAAAAAGCACGTCATATCGATATGTTCAAGTATTGACGCGAAATTTCTAGACGAAGACATAGAAGAGACTTTGAAAGTGGAAGAGAGTGACAGTAAAGAGAAGGAGAAGGAGAAACTGTCAGTGATAGGTTCACAGAATCCAGAATTGTTAGCTAAATATTCGGCTCAAGCGTTGAGAAACGCGAAGCAGACATTAAACGCTGTAGCTTTTAAGAATATGGTCAAAAATGGACAGAGTAAGTCGGAGAGTGACGCCTGTGATACGCCAAAGTCTGACTGCAAATGGACCAACGATTGTGTGTGTAGTTCGTGCAAGGACGCGGATTCGAACTCGGTGTGTCTAGGGGATATAGTGAAGCAGTGTTACGATATGAAGGGCAAGAGTGGATTAGAAGAGAAGAAGAAGGAAGTGAAACCTAAGCCGGCGACGAAGCAAGCGAAGCCGCAGGCCAAGTGCGAGAGCACGACTCATCAGCAACATGTGTGCAAAGGTACGTGTGTGTGTGTGTATATTTTTTATGGATGATAAGTATAGATAGATAGATAGATAATTTATTTGCATTACTTACAGCACACAAACAGCAAAAGACACAAATGCAAAGTGAAAAAAGATGCATGTACAAGAAATTTAAAAAAAAAAAATCAAAAACAAAATCAGAATGCATAAAATTAGTAACAATTTTTTTTTCTTCATACGTGTGCCACAGTAATACAAAATGGCCAGCAACTCAGCTTTTTGCTTTGCCCTAAAAAGAGCAAAACACTGATATTCTGTTGTGGCCAAAGTATGTACCCCGTGACTTTGTCTACGTGTGCGGGATATATTGATAGATAGAAAGAGATAATAAGTAGCCTATGTCCTTCTCTACCATAAACGATATGAGTACAGTGAATCTTGTTTTAAGTTAGAATGTACTGTCTTATGAATTATGCGCATGTAAAAGAGAATGGCAGCAGGAATTCATAAATACAATTAGAGACTTAGTGGTTATTTGATTTGAATTATTTTGTTCAATTCCGCTACCATTAGTATGTATATGCGCAACCTTCCATGTTAGCCGATTACAATCTCCGACTACCATTTCATCCACGCATGTTTTATGGCACGAATTTGAAAGTGTACCCTTTCAGATAAAAAAAAAATTAAATCGGTTTATAAATGACTGAATATTGAGGTAACAAACATAAAAAAAAACTATAACCAAATTGAGAATGTCCTTCTTCTTTGAAGTCGGTAAAATTACAATTGTTTTGAGAGCTCAAACCGTATCTACATAATATATGTAGCTACATGATTTGTGTCCAACAGTGGGCCACTCGCCCACCGGCAACGGCGGCTGCGCGGGCGACGGCGCCGCCGACCAGCCGTGCACTTGCTGCTACTGTACAGTGTTCGGGCACGCGGTGAGTATTCATAGATAAATAGATAGATAGATACTCTTTATTGTTTCCTCCGTAAGATTACAATAGTAAACTTATAAATATAAACAATTACAAGAAATAATCACAGTGAGAAAACAATAGGCGACCTTATCGCTAAGAGCGATCTCTTGCAGGCAACCTTTGGATGATTTATTAAAATAAAATGAACTATTTATTTGCTTTAGCGATCCATTTAACATAATAAAGGCCCTGCGACAGAACTTTCTCGCAAGTGTTTAATTGCCTTAAAATTGTAGGTTATACTTAAATATCCTTTTAGATAAAAAAAACTTCTATCGAATTTATCATGGGGAGTGTTCTGAGGAATTGTTCGGATTGATACCTGCTGCTGATTTTCACCATCGTACTACCCGCTACAAACTAAAGTTTCATCCCAATCATCTCGACGAGTGGCGGTCTTCCACCGTGCGTTTTTCAAGGCACTTTCTTCCACGCACAACCACTCTTTGGAATCAATTTCCAGCAGCAGTATTTCCGAACCGATACGACAACATAACCTTCAAGAAAAGAGCATATTCCTTTTTAAAAGGCCGACAGCACACCTGCAATGCTGTTGGTGTTGTGGGTGATCATGGGCGGCGGTAGTCACTTACCACCAGGTGAGCCGCATGCTCGTTTACCCCTGTGTTGTAATATATTGTATGCCTTCATTGCTTGCAGCCTCCACTAACCACGCCTGTGCCGAGGAATTTTAACGAGACGCGCGAAAGACTGCGTTCAATACTCAACAAGAAGAAGCAGCAGTGTAAGACCAATGTAAGTGTCATTAATTGTGTCACGGTGACGCCCTCTGGTGTCAAGTTTTTTTTTTTATACAACTTACAATGGCAAACAAACTGACGGCCCACCTGATGGAAAGTTGTAACCGTCGCCTATAGACATGAGCAGTACCGTAGACATAACAGATTATACTGTTTCGCCCTTGGTAGCCCCCATGTGTTGCCATTTCTGAGGATTCAGGTGTTATTCCTCTGTACCCTGTAAATTCACGCCATATCCCACCCTTCAAACCGAAACACAGCCATGCAAACACAACTGCTTCACGGTTGAAACACGAATGGAACAAAGGTGTATTTGTACAATTTGTCCAGGGCGAGCAAGAGACCCCAGAGAAGAAACAAGCGGCGGTCCAGACGCAGCCTGCGGACCAGCCCAAGCAGAGCAAGCCTCCGCAGCCGACGCCCAAGCCTCCCGTAAGATTCTGTTTACACTGCATTATTATGAGAGGGAGACCTTGATGAGGATGGAATGTATGATAAATGAGGATGAAAAGCAGTACAGTATTTTTTATGAGTGAAATTGGAATGGTACGTCTATGCTAACGTTATTCAATGGTGGGGAAACTAGATGAAGATGAAAGAACTCAGGCCAGTTGTCCTATCGAATCGAATCTGCTAGAATTTAATAGGATGGTTTCCAGGGGAAACCACGTGGAGCTCGACCTAGGTGTTATATTGTTGGCAGTGAGATTCAACCCCTCAACAACCAACATTAATGATTTACTCTTGAACTGTCATGATGGTTCACAACTGACGGGGTTATTAAGTTACAAACTTAAAATATAAAAAAATATAACCGATTCGAGAACTGTCTTCTTTTTAAAGTCGGTTAAAATCACATCATTGTCTATAACTTATTTTAGAGAAAACAAATTTTGATACAGTAAAAATTTCACCAATTCAGGCCCTACCAAAGACACTGCCGCCGAATCTGACATCGGCGCAAGCGCAGCAAAGGCGACAGTCCATAGACAACCAGCAGAAGCAGCTCACAGACAAGATGGCCAAGATGGTGGTCACCGAGAAACCGGAAAATAAAGCTAAGGTGAACTAATGTTTTAAATGCGAAATTTTGCAAGAATGTATTGATGCATGTTTGTTACCCTTTCACGCAAAAACTACAGAATGAATTTCAATTCAGTAGTCGCCACGCTTGGCAGGCGGATTAGCAACCGCAGTTGGGCTTTGGAGATGTTTTAAGAGGGACGCTGATGCCCATCCCTCGCCTTCTCTTAGTCATTTCTTACGACACCCACGGAAAGGAAAGGCGTGGACGGAACTAACTACCTACCTACCTATGCCGGAAAAACACCAGAGTTTTTTTTAATGAAAAGAAATTTAATAAATATAATCGTATTACAGACGCTACAAAGCACTGTCCCGATACAAGTGAACGTGCCGCCCACTGTGAATCCGGACAATAAGGCGAGCCAGCAAACCGTCGAGCAAATACGACTGCAGGCAAGTTATAATAGTGTAACTATTACGATACTGTAAAAACACCAGAGGGAAACTTTGTACAAAAGTCGTTTGCTTGGCCACCTCTGTCCCATTCGTGTTTCTACCGTGATGCAGTTGTATTTGGCTGTGTTTCAGTTTGAAGGGTGGGACATGGCAGTGAATTTACAGGGCACAGAGGAATAACACCTGAGTCCTCAGGAATGGTAACGCATGGGGAGTATCATGCGTGAAACAGTATACTCTGTTATGTCCATGGTACTGCTCATGTCTATAGGTGACGGTTACTACTTTTCATCAGGTGGCCTGTCGGCTTGTTTACCATTTTAAGTTGTATAAAAAAAAAACCAAACAGAGTTTGTTCTGTGAGTACTAGTGACTGTTGGACCTTATAGATAGAACTTAGAACGACCAAAAAAACTGACGGCATACCCGATATAGAGTGGATGGAAATCGTCATCTATAGACAGTGGTTATCTCAGAATACTTAGATGTATCTATAACTAGATAGATATATACCCTTTATTGTTTCCTCCATAAGATTACAATAGTAAACTTATTATAGATACAAACAATTACAAGAAATGATTACAATGAGAAAACAATGGGCGGTTTTATCGCTAAAAGCGATCTCTTGCAGGCAACCTTTGGATGGAGAGGAGTAATTAAAAATTGTAACTAGTAATTATAAGACATTGAAATTGTACTAAAAAAAAAGTGATAACCATATAATTATGTCACTCACAGCAAATAAAACAACAACAACAGCAGCAGCAACAGCAGCTCCAACAACAGTTGCAACAACAAACCGCGCAACAACAGAAAAAACCTGAGCCCATATACGACTTACCGATACACAAGAAGCCGACACTGACGCAACAACAACAACAGCAAATGAGAGAACAACAGGTTAGAAATAATTTACAACAGAAGAATGAGCCGACATACGATTTGCCTGTGCACAACAAGCCGACACTAACCGCGGAACAACAACAGCTCATAAAACTAAAACAACAACAGGTGAGATTGTTTACAACAATATAAAACATTTACAACAAAATAAATATTATAATTAAAAATTAATATGTAATTAAAAAATGAAAATAAAGTATAAATATATTTCTTTACGATAAATTTTGCTGCTAACTTTTTTATTACTATTAAATTTTGTATATATACATCTACTTTATGTATGAGAGGTGGAGAAGGACAAAAGTTACTACTTATCACGATTAGTGAACATAGCCCGGTAATTTCGTCTACGTGGGACGAAGTCGCTGGTAAAAGCTAGTTTTAAATTACATTTCCTGTTATTATGATGTTGGCAAGGATTTTTCATAGTTCATACATGAAAACCACTAGTGCTACACGGACGGAGCTACCGTAAATAGTTATAATAAAATATTTTTTATCTCTTCAATCAACAGTTACAACAGCAGCAGCAACAACTTCAACAGTTGCAACAACAACAACAACAACAGCAACAACAGTTGCAGCAACAACAACAGTTACAGCAACAACAGCAACAAAGACAAAGTAGACCACAACAACAGAGAAATGCGATGTCACTGTCGAGTAGAGACTCCAGTGTTTATTCTACGTCCTCTGGGTGTTCTGGGTAAGTTCCAAATTTTTTTATCGATTGTTCACTTTTTGCCACTGTATTATCCGGTCCGAAGGACTAAAATGGAAATATTACTTGGTACTGTGGTATAAACTTTGAAGTTCTCAAAACGGTAACACGTTTTCCACCACATAGGCCGTCACCTTGTTTCCTATTCCTGATTATATAAAAATATAATTTATTAATTTTGGCCGGCAGCGGATCGTGTTGGCGCGGCGGTGGTGGAGGCGGCGGCGGACGGGGGTGTCCGCGGACGGCCGACCCGCGCGACCTGGACGCCTTACTGCAGTACATCGAGGGGCCCGCGCGACACGTCGACCGCGGCAAAAAGCGAGCGAAAAAACTGCGACAGAAGGGCAAACGGGTATGACGTTAATACTCACTGTATACTATACGGCTTTTAAGGCAGGGGGAATTGTTAATACTAATTTATTTATTCAATCAATGATTTGTATGCCGCAAGTGAAGTTTGAATTAAATTTAATGAATAAGTATACTTTATTTGCATTGTACAATATAGGGAATAAACAAGACAATTTACAAACACAACGATACAATTGTATATGTACAGTGAGGCGGTCTTATTGCTGAGAGCAATCTTTTCAAGACAACCTTAAGGTAATGGACTAATTGTTGTACAAGTAGGTATGATAGTGCTGTATAATTAAAAAAGCATCTTTTGCAAATATATAGATAAATAACTATATTGTTACAGTGGTAACTCCACTTAAGAGTCGTTTCTGTAATCTTGCCCGTATCTCAAAGCAGTTTTTCCCATTGAAATTAATTGAAATGCCATTAATTCGTACTCTCCAAAAAACCACCTCAGTTGTTTTTGTTAAGTGTTAGTCTGAGGTGGGAGAAACTGTTAGACACCAACATCCAGCCCGCATGTTGGGGTCGCGTGCAGCGGTGTAGTGTGCGATCCCTCGTGACTCAAATCTTGGTCACATCTCGAAGCAAAATATCGCTCGTTCGGCGGCTTGTGTCTCAAAACACTCGTATATCGAGGTATCACTGTATTATAATTATTTATTTTCTATATATATATATATATATATATATATATATATATATATATATATATATATATATATATATATATATATATATATATATATATATATATATATATATATATATAAATACCACTTTTCGTTGTGATTTTATAACTCAAGAACGGGCTCACTGATCCAAACCAAGTGTTTAGGCTTTGTTCGGACTATTTAGTAGATGGTTTACGTGAAGTTTGCACAAAATCGCTCGAGCGGTTCTTCATTTATCACATTTTTTTTTGTAATAAATGAATTCAATAAATGGCGGATCATTTTGTAAATGGGGATTTTTGTGGGAAACTCAAACTTTTTTTGGGGAAATGGGGATTTTGCATTTAGTACAAGCATGTTGTTATGTCATTCGTGCGGTCATTTCATTTTTGACGTGTTTCGATTAAAGCAAATTGTTAGCGATAATTATTGCTTTGTGTTTTATATCTTTAAACTATAATATAAAAAAAAAACAATCATGCAAAGAAGGGTTAAGTTTAACTGTAAACATTGTACAATTGTTTTTACCAGAGGGAGACTTTGTACAAAAGTCAATTGCTTGGGTATCTCTGTCCCATTCGTGTTTCAACCGTGAAGCTTCGTGTTTGCATGACTGTGTTTCGGTTTGAAGGGTGGGATATGGCAATGAATTTACAGGGTATAGAGGAATAACACCCGAGTCCTCAGGAATGGCAACGCATGGGGGGTATCATGGGCGAAATAGTATACTCTGTTATGTCCATGGTACTGCTCATGTCTATAGGCGACGGTTACCACTTTCCATCAGGTGGACCGTCAGCTTGTTTGCCATTCTAAGTTGTATAAAAAAAACAATACGCGTTGGGGAGAGCCTCCTGTAATGCAATCGGATGGCATGTGAACAATGAAGATGACGATGCCGAGGTGTGGTGCAGATGGAGATGCGGCTGGTGGAGGAGCGCGCGGCGCTGGAGGCGGAGCTGGCGCGGGTGCGGAGGGACGTGGCGGCGCTGCAGGCCGCGCTCGCCACGCAGCTCGCCACCAAGCGGCGGCTGCACGACGCGCGCCTCGCGCACCACCAGCCCTGCAAGAAGAAGGGTAACCACCGCTCCACCACCGCTCACTGCCGCCGCTGCGAAACCGCCCGGGGCTGATGATGGAATGGTAACCCCGCCTGCGCTAACGGGATACGCTGGCGGAGCACCAGTGAAGGGTGATAGATGAGAATGAAAACAGGCCAGTTAGCCCGTCATGATGAATTCATCAGGAATTAACCATGATAGTTTCCAGGGGGAACCGCGAGAAGCTCGACCTGACTGAGTGTATTGCTAACAATGCACAAAGTGTATTGTAGTACAGCCAGGTCGACCACCACGTGAAACTCTGGAAATCACCGTGACCAATTTATTGTTGAATTCTTCACGATGAGCTAACTGTCGTTTTTCACCATCATCTATTATCTCTCACCGGTACCCCACCAATGTATCAATAGCGCAAGCGAGGATTCCATTCCATTTTCACCCATTAAAATAAAATACCAGGAATCATCAATCTTTTGAGTCAGAAGAATCAAAACTTACAATTTACAAAATTTTTAAGTTTTTAAAAAGTAATAAAAATATTTCTTACCAACAATAAGTACCAACAACAATAGTACTTGCATGAATAAAGTTTGGTGCCTAATTCTCGTATTAACGGAGATCAGGCACCAAACTAATTATGTTTCAGAACAATTTTAACTTTTTTTTAAATAAATAATATTAACATGTATAACTAAAAAGTCACAGGTTTACACCCAAAGATTTATATTAAAAAAAATGTATATATTTACAGTGGGTAATATATTTTTTTTTCTTTTTTCAGGAAAGAGACAAAAGATGACCCCAGCTCAGGAGGCGAAAATGGTTGTGATGGCGGAGAAAATAGGCGGTCTGTCTGCCCTTATCAACAATACTGTCGAGGTACAATATATTTTTTAATGGGTGATAATGAATTGGTGAATAAATGGATTTCGTCAAGATGGGCTAACTGACCTGCTACATCCTCACCTATCATCCCCCACTGGTGTCCCGCCAGTGTATACCGATAGCGCAGGCGGAGTTACTATGCAATTATTATCTATTAAAAATATATTAAGCATACAAATTATAATATTTATATCATTCTGTGTTACCTAAATATATCTAAAGTTCTTTTCTTTATCCAGGAGATCGAATTAGCTGATCAATTAGTGGAAGAATGGACCAAGCGATTGGAGCAATGCGACCAACAGTTGGCGGAGGCGCGGGCGCTGCAGGCCGAACCGGAAACAAGACAACAAAAGGAACAACATTTACAACAACAACAGATGAAGGAACAACAACAAATCAAGGAGCAACAATTGCAGAAACAACATGTAAGTATTCTCCAATACGCATCCTTCAATGTAATCATGCTACTGTCATTATTTTAACCGTTTACTGTCCACTGCTGAACAAGTCTTTCCTATAAAGGGAGATTTGCTAATAGTTATGCTTGGCAGGCGGGTTTGGCTTTTAGAGATGATTTTAAAAGAGATACTGCTGTCCATCCCTCTACTGTTAAGTTACTTTAGTCGCCTCTAACGACATTTACGAGGAAGGAAGGAGGTGGCCTATTCTATGCTCGGACAACACGGGTAAAAGATGGATAACTCATGTCAATTTTTTTTATTCTCTGTGTATACTAAGAACAAGGAATTACATAGAAAGAATGATAAAATAACAACTGTAAATAATATGGTTGCCTCCTTTCTTCTTATGCGAATATAATTCGTAAAAAGAGGACGAACACTATCGGTTGCTATTTTTCTCAATTCATAGCAGGCTAGTGTATCGGAAATGTTTGATATGTCAATGACAAATTTTACATTACTAGATTATATATTCGACACAGTTTATGTAGAAAGTATGCAAGCGGGTTGTATCTGAATTTGGTAAGGTTATACGACCGTATAACATTTTCTATACACTAGGCTGCTATGTATTGTCAATTTTATTACTCCTATGTAATTCCGTGTTTTTAGCTTGTATATAGTACTTCATACAAAATATGTGAAGTTCTAAAATTGTAACAACAAATTGTCTGTCCGCAACAGTTAGAGCACGCGGCTATGATGCAGAAACAACAGTTGCAACAACAGCAACAGTTACAACAGCAACAGTTGCAACAGCAACAGTTGCAGCAGCAACGACAGATGCACCTGCTGGACAAGGACAAACAGAAGCAGGCGACGTTTATTAGTGAGTTTTATTTTTTAATTTTTTAAAGGATTTTGTATTAATTTGCAATAGGACATCGTTCTCAATTTATTTATTTCATCATGTATAAATAATTACATATTCTTTCCCAAATTATAATCACACTGGTTATTTGTTTAGAATTATTTTGTTTAATTCTACTACCATTAGTATGTGTGTGATTGCCAACACTCGAGGATTAACCACCACTATTACTACCAGAAGCTCTACAACCTTCCATTTTCCTCATCAGAGGGAGACTTTATACAAAACTTGTTTGCTTGGACACCTCTGTCCCATTCGTGTTTCTATCGTGAAGCAGTTGTGTTTGCATGGCTGTGTTTCGGTTTGAAGGGTGGGATATGGCAACTATATTATTCAAGGATATTCAGGAATGGCAACGCATAGTGGATATTATGGGCGAATCAATATACTCTGCTATGTCCATAGTGCTGTTCATGTCTATAGGCGACGGTTGCCACTTTCCATCAGTTGGGCCGTCAGCTTGATTGCCATTCTAAGTTGCATAAAAAAAATTTTAGAAGCAAAGCGTCTGAAACCTGATTCAATGGATTCTAAATAAAAATAATGTAAATTAAAAATATTAGTTAAAAATAACTGTGTCGTGGCTGTCAACACAGTTATTTTTAACTAATGTGGCTGTTATCGTACGCTACCCTACAATTGTAATTTTTTATAGTTCCTGTAAGCGACGCACCTCGCACCTCGTAAAATATTATAATTGTAACCACTAGCGCCATCTGTTAGCGTTTGATTGAATTAATGCCGGCGCGCATGCGCCGAACGATTGTCCCGTGACACGTGTGTGCGCGAGTTGTTATTTGTTGTAATGTTTTGGAAATTGATTAAAAAAGTGTCTTGCAAGTGTCCGTTTCATTTTGATAACTACCATAAAAACATTTTCCAACAACGGTCTGTTACAGTTCCAATAAATATATTTAATTTAATTAAATTTTTAATTTACATTAAGTTTGTTTAGAATCCATTGTATCATGTTTTAGACGCTTTGCATCTAAAGTGTAGTAAATAATAAATTTGGATGCGCAGGCGCGGCGGACGGGTCGGGCATGGTGTGCGTGCGGCGGTCGGCCGGCGACGGCGCCGTCACGCTGTCGCTGCCCGGCCAGCGCAACCACGCGCCGCTCGCGCATCTCCTGCAAGGTCGGCGCTGCGCCCAACTAATAGTTTTAAATTAATTTGCTTTATTAAGAGCGTATTTTAATCAATCAATCATATACATCTGTTACAGATTCTTATGATACATGTCAATTTATAATTATAATAATTACTATATAAAATAATATTGATTTAAAAAAAAAAACAATAATTACATTTACAATACAATTCACATTAATAGTAATATACGGACAAATCACACAGATTGAGCTAGCCCCAAAGTAAGTTCGAGACTTGTGTTGAATGTGAATGTGAATGTGAAAGGGACTCCATTTTCCGCACTTAGCCTCTCATTTGGGCCATTGTGCGTATGAGTCGTGGCTAGTGCAGCCAACCTAGCTCCGTCCAGAAGCGCAGAAGTTTCCTGGGTTCTTCACAGGCCTCACGGAGCGACCTCACCGTTCCGAGGATTTCTAAACGTTGATAGGCCACAGCCTCACATTCCAGGATTACGTGAGCTGCCGTTTCTTCGGCGTTGAAACAGCCTCGACATAGAGGGCTGTCTGTGGCTCCTATTGTGTATAGATGTTTGTTTAATGGACAATGACCCGTTATTGTCCCTATCATTGTTTTGAGGTTTTTTCTGTCTAGATGTAATAAACGTTTTGATAGTCGTTGATTCAACATAGGTACGGCCAATTTTGATTGTCTGCAATCAGTAGCCTGTATCCATCTTTGGTTTTGTATGTCAGAGGATCTTTGACGAATCCACATTCGAAATTGTGAGAATGGAAGAGGAAGGAGTGGATACGGGCCTACCACCCTCGTTCCTGAGCCTTTCCTAGCTAGTTCGTCTGCGGCATCGTTACCATAAGATCCACTGTGCCCTCTTATCCATTGGAGGATAATACGGTTATTGGAAGATATCCTATCCAGTGAATGGTGGCATTCAATTATTAGTTTGTTGTTTGTCTTGTTGTTTCTTAATGTTTTTAGTACTGCTGCGCTGTCGGATAAGAATCTAATGCTATAACCATTTATTCCTAGCTTATGTACAACTGCAGCAGCCTCGGTTATTGCAACACATTCGCATTGGAAAATTGAGCTGTGGTCGCCAAGCGGTATGTGCATGTTTATATTAAGGTCTAAGGAAAAGACTCCAGCTCCTGAACCGTTCTCAGTTTTGGAGCCATCGGTGTATATGCGTAATTCATGTACACCGGATTGATCCTTTTCCTCTTCTTTTATTTGTACTTGGTATTTTTTGTTAAATATATAATGATTATGAGTCCTGTCACACGGAGCCGCAATCAAAGGTTGATATTCGATTGCCTGGTTCAGAATAGCAGTGTGGGGACTGTAGTGATTTTTACCCCATAGATCCAGATGCATTAGTCGGATAGCGGCTAAGGCCGCTTCCTGCTGTATGTGCAGGTCTAGGGGTGTTATGTTAAGGGCCAACTCTATTGCTGTTGTAGGAGCTGTTTTCATGCAGCCGCTGACAGAGGAGCAAACCAGTCTCTGAAAGCTTTTTAGTTTGGCGGCAGTGGTCGATAGTTTTGTCCTCGGCCACCAAACTAGTGCACCATAGACCAACATTGGCCTGATTACAGCCCTGTACAGCCATAGAGTTATTTTTGGCGAAAGGCCCCATTTATTTCCTAGCATCTTTTTGCACTGGTAGAATGCAATTGTGCTTTTGTTAAGTTTATAGTCAAGATGTTTATTCCAAAGCAATTTACTGTCTAGTATTATGCCAAGATACTTGACTTCTTCCTTAAGTTTCAGTTCCGTATTGAAGAGTTTTGGTAGCCTGTAAGGACATGTAACTCTTCTATTTGTGAACATGATTAATTCTGTTTTTGTAGGATTAACAGAGAGTTCATGCTGTACGCACCATCTCTCAATTATGTCAAAAGCTACTCTCATGCGATCACACAGAGTACTTTCGAAGCTTCCTGTTAAAAGTACAGCTATGTCATCCGCATAACCTACCGTGTAGAGGCTGTTATCGTTGAGCTCTATTATGAGTTCATTTACGACTATATTCCACAATAGTGGTGACAGTACGCCGCCTTGTGGACAGCCCCTACCGACGATTCCTCGTGTGGTAGTATTTACAGTAAATTGTATAGCTCGTTGTTTAAGCATGTTATGTATCCATTCTCTAAGTGTTATTTCTACTCCATGTGTAGCTAGTGCCCGACTTATACTGGCAAAGTTTGTCTTGTCGAATGCCCCTTCGATGTCTATAAATGCACCTAAGGTTGGCTGCTTCGATTGCAATGCGTTGCCTATTCGAGATACTACGTTATGAAGTGCCGATTCTGTTGACTTGCCTTCACTGTAAGCATGTTGGTTAGGGTGTAAAGGTTTACACAAGGAGACTTGGCATCTAATCTCTTTGTCACATAGTCTCTCCAAAGTTTTCAAAAAGAACGAGGTGAGACTGATCGGTCGAAAGGATTTGGCCACGGTGTAATTTCCTCTACCTGGTTTAGGAATAAATATAATTTTTACCTCACGCCATTTCAAAGGTATGTAGCGGTGAGCTATACACGCTCGGAACAGCTGTACTAAATAGTCAGCTATGATGCTCCCGCTCCATTTCAGAAGGGCTGGAAATATTCCATCCAGGCCTGCCGCTTTAAATGGTAAAAAGGTACTGATTGCCCATAGTAGTTTTTCTTTATCTATAACTCTGTTTGCCACTTCCCAGTCCGAGCTGCTGGTTTCCCTTTCCTTATATGGTTCCCATGACCACTCAGCAGTAGTCTGGAAACCTGGAAAATGTGTGGTTAGTAGCAATTCGGTTGTTTCTGTGTCGTTCTTTGTATAGTTATTATCAGGTTTCTTAAGGCAACCTATTGTATGATCTTTCTCATTAGAGAGACATGATTTTACTTTAATCGCCTGGTTATTGTTTTCTATGTTTGTACAGAAACGCCTCCAGCATTCTTGCTTTCTCCGGCGTATGAGTTTCTTATATTGTTTTTTGGATGTTGTGTATTTGTTCCAGTCTTCTTGTGACCGTTTGTTCATGGCTATGTTAAACAGTTTCCTTAACTTACGACGATGTCTTTCCAATTTCGGACACCACCAGTGTTGTCTCCCTCCATACTGTGGTGTGGTTAGGACACAGGACTGTTCATAGCTTGAGGTTAAAATGGATGTGATGTAGTTTGCACTGTTATCCAGATCTGTTACCGCTAAATCATCTGATAGTGGCAGTTGATTGTCGAATTTTTCCCTGACCAGTTTAAGAAACTTATGTCGGTCAGTCCTTCGAGGTATACGTCTAGGCTGTGGTTTGGGTAACTCCATATTAATGGAGAATCGAATCCATCTATGGTCTGAGCATGATATTTCATTGGATACATGCCAGTCGCAAATGGATTCCGAAATACCAACAGTCGTTAGAGTTAGATCTATAATAGTTTGTGATCGAGCGTTTATAAAGGTAGGTTCAGAACCTTTGTTAATTAGAGTAAGGTTATTACTAAAAATAAAATGCAGCATTTCCTCACCTCTGTTGTTGGACTTGCCGTTACCCCAAAGGGTATGATGTGCGTTGGAGTCGGCAGCGATGACCAGATCCAGCTTCTCCCTCTCACAAAACTCGACCAGTAGGTTGAGCTCCGGAGTTGGTATGTCCTCGTCGCTCGGCAGGTATGCGGAGGCAAGGACAATATCCGGGAGATGCTGATCTGTTCTAGTTACTCTGACTGCTGTCAGGTCCCTTGAACAGAATTCGTTGATTAGTAATGTTGGTACATGTTTCGGTACTAGTATACATGTTCTCGGGTTACTTACGGAGGTGTCTAGAAGAAGTTTTCCTCCGCTGTTTCCAAGACCACATATCCTGTTCTTCCTGATCCACGGCTCTTGGATCAGCGATATGGTCTGTGTGTTGTTTTCCAGCACTCTGCGTAAGGAAGCCGTTGCAGTTTGGCTGTGCTGGAGGTTGGTCTGTATTATTTTAGTCTTCCCGAAGAGGGGAGGAGTAAAGGACACCATCGCTGGTTTCACTCTCTCCCCCTTCCGGAAAGCACTCTTCATCCGAGATAGATCTCGGAGAAGGTAAATTTTGCACCTCCATCGCAATCGGGGGTTCCGCGTGCCCAGACACGGTCGCAGCTTCCTTTGTCGACAATGTCGCCTTAGGTGTCACGCACTGCGTCAGGGCTCGCGCCTCCTCCGGTTGTTGCGTGGGGTTTGTATTGGGTTCTGGGGATGCATCTTTATCCAGAAACCGAATATAAATGTTCCCCATGAGGTAGTATAATCTTCTGTCCTGGGCCTTTAACAGATTAACATCCGTTTCCGGCACCCGGAAGAACAGACAGGTTCCTGGTGGATCCGATCTCGCCCTCTCGTGTGTCAGTGTCCAGGAGTTGATATTCAAGTTGCGGTTCTGCCGCGCCAAAAGCTTCCGTAATGCAACTGAATCGCCAGTATGACCTGGTACGAAAAGCAGACACGGTACTTTCTTTGGGATAGCTGATTGTGGCCTGACAACTAATTTTGAATTAGCTATCGGTGAGGCCATGTTTTGGACGGTCCGATTAAGCCAGGCTAGCGTAAAAGCATCCTCGCACCAGGTTTTGAGGACGCCATCCGCAAAATGTGCTCTGCCTCGGAACCTTATATCGTTAGGTTCAATTTCAAGGGAAGCATCCGGTTCCGCCATGAGCTCATCCCGAAGCTTGTCCTCTATTTCTTGCCGAATACCTTCAGCTTGCTCTTGCGTCATGTCAGAGAAAGGTTCCATCATGACAGCAACGCAGAGCTCGTTAGCGATGAAGGTTGCGGCCGCTTCAGCGTACGACGCAGCGGTTCCTCTCACCGTTCGGGGTTTGTTGGTTTTGGGTTTTTTACCCACCCCAGTCGGTGTTACAGAATCCTCTGGACGTGCACGCTTCTGCGCCCTCGACTCTGGTTTTTGTTGGTTATTACCTGATTTCTTACGACCTCTTGGTTTCATGCTGCGCTTGCGTATGCCTATGGAAGGCGCAGCACTCGCACCGACAGACGCAAGTGCCGTGGTCCCGCCCATTGTTACCTCTCCTACTGGTTTGGTTTCCACTGGGCGAGAACTCGGTCCCGCGATCTGCCTCGCAGCATCTGCTGCCAATGCACACTGTGCCGCTGCCTTCGCTTTGGCTTTAAGGCGCCGCTTCTTAGAGGCCGACATTGGTTTAGTTATTGTTGTCCAGGTTGAGTTCGATGGTGATTGTATGGCATCCTTAAGGGATGACATATCCATCGTTGGATAGCCTGTTTCTGCTTCTGACGCAGCCTTTGAGGACAAACCCTCCGTCACAGCCTCGGTCAGCACCACTGGTTTTCCCTTGGAGGACGCTTCCTTTGACGCAGCCTTAATTGGCGCATCTCGGAGTGCGTCTTTCCTTGGTTCCACCGTTGTAGTAGCCGTCCTTGGTCGGGTAGAGGGAGTTGCCTTGCATGGCGCATCCTTGGACAACGACGTGGATGGTGCATCTCGGGACGCTGCCTGGGTTGGCGCATTCCGTACCGCTACCCTCCCCATCGTATCCTTGGACGCAGCCTTTCTCGGCGCATCATTAGCATTTTTAGACTCAGGGGCATCGGAGGACGCAGCTTTGAGCGGTTGTCGCTTAAGCGCATCCTGAGACGCAACCCTTTGTTCTGAAAGTTTAGGCGCATCTGACGACGCAGCCTTTGGTAGTTGATGTTCAGGCGCATTCAAAGACGCAGCCTGTGTTATTGGTTTTGTTGTTGCTTTATTCGTCTCATTATCCATGAGGTTGTTTGATTTTATTCACCTCAGGAGCTCTCCACCCGCCACGGAGCCCTCACGTCGGGGACGTCATTCGTTCTACGAATGATCGCCAGAGCTACTCCCTTGGTATAGGACCACCAACATGAGAAGAAGGTGAATCTGCACGCAGCAAAGCATCAAGAGCGCACCTACGGCACGAGACAATGCCATAGGCTCCACCTCGAGACGCCGTGCCGCGCCGACTACCCCTCCCCAAATCGCCGATCCTCCCTTGACAGCCCGCTTATGGGATGTCGCAGCCGATTGATCGTGGTTAGCTACTCCACGACCGCCCGTTTGAGAGGAAATCCAGACCGAAGAGATGTGTTGTGAGCAGCGTACAACTACCGCCGGCACACCGCTGCACTCTCCAGGACTCCTTCATCCCTCCGTACGGGTCTCCGCGCACGGCACAAACACGCGGGAGGTCATTACTATCCACCATCAGTCTTGTTTGATGATGAACACGCAAGGACATGACCTCTCCATCCCTGCATTGGACGCACGGCAGTTTTAGTTACGTCTATTTCTTAAGGAACTAGACCAGACAAGGCGGCAACCTCGTGAAGGCTAGTCTACCGCACTTGCCTTGAGGATCTACACGACTTCTGCGCTCTCCCTCAAGACCACGCCCCCCTACCCCCTCTGAAGGAGGAGATAGGGTAGGCCTGTATCTGTGCTTCTGAAATTATAATCTAGGAGCAGAAACACAGGCCCGCCTCAAAACTTGAGACTTGTGTTATGGGATACCAACTCAACGGTACTATATTTATAATAGATACATATATAGATAAACATCCAAGACCCAGGACAATCAGGAAAAGATCGTTTTCCATCATGACCTGATCGGGGATCGAACCCGGGGCCTCCACGTCGCAGGCAGGCGTGTTGACCGCTGCGCCACGGAGGACGACTATATATTTATAATAATATAAAGTAAAAATTTTTTTTTATTCATAGTCTGTTTTAATTACTATTGTATGGATAAAAAGGTCATATTTTGGTCAAATATTTACATTTAATCTTTAATTTGTATTTTACTTATCATAATTTTTTTTTTTAATTTTTGTTTTTATATATTCTCTCTTGTTTGTTCACTTTTTTTTGTTAACTTGTATTTTGGTAGCTTTGTGTACAGCGCCTTGTATCTATATTGTTGCTACTTGTGAAAACCTGTTAGTGGCTTATTTTGTAATCCTAAAACTGTATCTATTTGCTGTAGTGTAGCCCTGGTTTTCCTATGAATAAATAAATAGATACAAAATTCTAATCCATCATGCAGTTTTGTCATTTTGGTAATAGATTTAATTTTACTAATTTTAAATCCATATATTTGCAGAGTTGAACATTCGCGAGGAGAAGCAACCGGCGCAGAAACCTGCTGAGAACCAGCGCAAGCAGACCTGGGAGCAGGCGTTGGCTCATATCAATCAGCTCGCCAAGGGGTCCAATAAAGAGAAGGTATTTTGCAAGTTTGCATCATAACTCTATCAGCTCAGGGGAGGAAGGGATTGTTAGTAATGGGGTCTAACTGACCCATTGCTAGCAATACACCCTGTCAGGCCGAACTCCACGCGGTTCCCCCTGGAAACCATCGTGGTTAATTCTAGGGGAATTCGTCACGATAGGCTAATTGACCTGCTTTTATCGTCACCTATCATACCTATCATCTCTCACTGGTGCCCCGCCAATGTATACTGATAGCACAGGCGGGGTTACATTATGACCCAAAAAAAAAATTGGGTCGGGGGAAGGGATTGTTAGTTATGCGAAGTGCTAATCCCATTGCTAGCAATATATGCTGTCAGGTCAGTGAGGGATGATAGGTGAGGATGACATGTCAGTAAGCCCATCAAGAATTAACCTCAATGGTTTCCAGGAGGAACCGCGTGGAGATCGACCTGATAGGGTTTATTGCTAATAATGAAGCTGATAAACCTCCATTACTAACACTCCCTACTAACAATTTCTTCCCTATTTTTTTTTAACGCCTGGAAAATGCTTTATGCAGACCCATACACCTTGTGGAAGGTGAATGGGTACTGTGGGAATCCCCCCATAAGGTGGGAGTCCAAAAACCAGACGATATACCCTCGAGGTGCCATATGTCGGAGACATGGGTTCGCTTTCGCACTCACCACATCAACAATTTCTTCCTTGCCCCAGAACCACTAGTGTAGCTACACTATAAAAGTTTGTCACTTGTGTCACACAGAAGAAGCAGAAAGAAGTGCAACAGAAGGTCGAAACAAAAGTCAAAGAACAGCAGAAGAGTCAGCCGCCGCCGGCCGCCGAGCCCGTCCAGCAGCTGTCCAAGAAACAGAGGAAGCTGTTGGCCAAACAGCAGGTATGTAGAGGTATTTCTAACCAACAGAAATGGCAAATAAGCTACAGCCCCATACGTCATCATATGAACTAGGCTTCCCTATATTGGGAAGTTCTTCCAGTAGTTGCCACACTTGGCAGGCGAATTGGCAATTCCTTATCTTTATATATATATATATATATATATAATATACTAGCGGCCCGTCCCCGCGTCGTACAGGTGGACATTTTAACATTTTAAAAAGTGGCTATTAAGGCTGCACACGCGACGGAAGCTTAAAATAAAAATGGAGTAACTTCTCCCATTTTCCCAACAGTTCCCTTCACTGTTCTGCTCCTATTGATCGTAGCGTGATGAAAAGTATACTATAACCTGTCCAGGAGTATGAAGAATAATTGTACCAAGTTTCTTTAAAATCCGTCGAGTAATTTTTGTTTCTATAACGAACATACAGACAGACAGACAGACAAAAATTTTACTGATTGCATTTTTGTCATCAGTATCGATCACTAATCACCCGCTGATAGTTATTTTGGAAATATATTTCATGTATAGAATTGACCTCTCTACAGATTTATTACAAGTATAAATAATATCTTTATCTCATCATGTCTGTCAATTCTTAAGAGAATTTGATGATAACATAAAACGGATTATGTTAAAAAAAAAAGTTTTATTTATTATTATTATTAAAAGACGGGCTTTTACAAAGTTCGCTGCTAATTCTTATCAGTGATAGGAAATTTAAAATGTTTTTATAGCAATGTTTTTTATCCCCTCAGGATATAGAGTGGTTTTTCCAAAGGAAATTTTTAATAAAGTAGTTAAGTTAGTAATAAACAAAACTCAGTGCAGTAACAAAGTGACATATAAATGACATGACATGACACCCCTAGTGTTGCAGGCGTCTATATTCTACAGTGACCGTTTACCATCAGGCGCGCTGCATGCTCGTTTGCCACCTTTGTTATCACAACAAGTTGATATTTAAATTTATATTTTATTTGTAATATTTAAAAGGCGGAAGAAGAAGAAAGAAAGAGACAACAACGGGAAGCCAAAAGTAAGAAGGACGCCAAGAAACAGCCGGAGCCGCCCAAACCAGAGCCCGCCAAGAAGGCGGACAAGAAGGTGGACAATAAAAAGGAACCGCCCAAGAAGGAGGACAAGAAGGAGAACAAGAAACAAGAGAAGGAACAGAAGAAAGGGAAGGAGAATAAACAGGAGAAGAACGGTGAGTCCGTTTTGTAAGCTTGTTTCAAACATGTGCTCCCATTTGTCTATGGATTTATTGTACACAGTTAAGTAACATAATGTTTATTTCCATTGTCCACTTTATTATCGTATCTTTTTTTCTTGCCCTCGCTTTTCTCTTTCTTCGTCTATTTTGTACTTTCTTCTTACATTATCTTCTCTTTTGTGTTGTCAAAGTGACATAATAATAAACTATTTATTGCGCACAGTAGAGATGTATACAAGGAGTATTTATACAGAATGTGCATATACAAAAGGTGGCCTTGTCGCTAGAAGCGATCTCTTACAGACAACATATGGAGTTTCAATTCACTAGCTACAATCTAGTATTTAGTTTTCTGTATTCTATTTCACTTGCGACCTGTTCTAATATATATATAAAGACCGTGTGTTTTTTATATATAATAATAATAATATAAGCCTTTATTCAGACTTTTTTTTTATAACAACTTATTATTTATTTAATTGCTGTTGTCTGTTTGCTTATTAGCAAGGACCTCCTCCAACTGCCTCCAATGGTCTCTATTGCTAGCAATTCTTGCCCAAATTCCACCTGCTTTTTTTATATATGCATACATATTAAACAAGCATTTGTTTGCTACATTTGTGGTATAAAAAAAACACTGTATAATTATAATTTTTAGTCTATGATTTTTGGATGGAAACACAACACGACTTTTGTCTATTTCCCATTAAAAAAAAAAGTTGTAGAAAACTGCAATAATAATAATAATATGCCTCAGTTCCAGTACCGGCGGCCACAAAACAAAACAAGCAGACCCAACAACAAAACAACAAGAAAGAGAAGAAGAAAGAACAACAACAACAGAAACCGCAAGTGATCAACATCACGCCGGACACGACCATCGAGGTGGTCAGCAAAAAGGTAAATACAGATATTAATAGAGGGAGACTTTGTACAAAAGTCGTTTGCTTGGGTACCTCTGTCCCATTCGTGTTTCTACCGTGAAGCAGTTGTGTTTGCATGGCTGTGTTTCGATTTGAAGGGTGGGTTATGGCGTGAACTTACTGGTTACAGAGGAATAACACCTGAGTCCTCAGGAATGGCAACGCATGGGGGGCATCATGGGCGAAACAGTATACTCTGTTGTGTGCATGGTACTGTTCATGTCTATAGGCGACGGTTACCACTTTCCATCAGGTGGGCCGTCAGCTTGTTTGCCATTCTAAATTTTATAATAAAAATACAAGTTAATGTTTTTTTTTTTTATTTTGTAATATCTTCTTGTCTCTCTTATATTCTCCTACAACCAGCTGTATTCCAAGCCACGTCAGGCAGGGTTACCAATCCATTGTAATCCATAAAAAAAATTTAATATTCATTTGACTTTTTGATCTATTTTGTTTTAATAGTTACACAAAGAGAAAGTAAGGTGGCGCTACAAGCGATGTTATAATAATAATAAATAATTGTTATTCAAGTAAACTTAATAATAAGCAATTTTAAATATGTTTTTTTTTTAATATACCATTCAATTTGGAGTGCAAGTTCAGCTGAGAAGAACGGACGAGGAACACGGCTGTTGTTTTATATGTATAATATTATTATTTATTTATTTATTCATAGGAAAACCAGGGCTACACTAGAGCCAAAAATACAGTTTAGGATCACAAAATAAGCCACTAATAGGTTTTCACAAGTAGCAACAATATAGATAGATACAAGGCGCTGTACACAAAGAAATAAAAATAGGAGTTAACAAAAAAATTTAAACAAACAAGAACGAAAACAAAAAAAAAATTATGAATAAAATACAATGTAAAAATTGATTACAAGTATTTGATTAAAATATAGCCTTCTTGTCCATACAATAGCTATTCAAACTGGCTATGAATAAAAAATATTAATATGAATAAAAAAAATATATATAAAATAAATAACCATAGACTGTGTTCAAAACACGCCAACACTAAACAAACGCCTAATACTAAATTAACTTTCAGAACCAATCCAACCACGAGCCTGAGAAGCCACCGTCGTGCAGCATCATGGAACAGCTCAGCTGCGGTGTTCAGGTATGTTAAGTAGGCATAAATTATAAACATTACAGTGGGACTTTACCCTGAACGAAAAGCAACCCTCGTACAAATACAATAAAGTCTAATCTGGCCTGTACAGGTTTATCTAATGAGGTTCCAGGATCCGGGTGAAGCTTTACAAAAACTATCTTCAAACTTATCGCATTGTAAATAGTTTCTTGAAATTTATAAATCATATAATACCATATTAGCATAAAATACTAATATTCGATTTATATATATATATATATATATATATATATATATATATATATATATATATATATTTATTGCACTTGTAAGTTACATATAAAATAATCTATTTATACATGTTGTGAGCAAGGGTGGACTTATCTCTGACAGAGATCTCTTCCAGTCAACCCAGTACAGTAAGAAAGCATCTCGTTAACGGGCAGCTGAAGTGCTACAACTATTAATACATAAACAAATATACAGTTAAATAAAATATTACATAAATACATACACTATAAATACATATAATACCTACCTACTTATATAATAAATGTTAAAATAAATTAATATACTACTTACATTAGAAATTTCGTTTAATGATTTTAAGATTTGGCAGTTCAGTTAGAAAAAAAAAAAAGATATTACTCAAGGGAAAGAAAATGTGATTTAAACCTCTTCTTGAAAGAGGTAATAGAGGGACTCTCTTGTACGTGGGAAGGGAGTTTGTTCCAGAACTGGACAGCTCGATACTCCTTTCCACTATGGGTGTTGCTGGAAGAGAACTCTATTAGAGTTAAGCTCGCCTTTGTACACTTGATTACCTCTGTCATATTCTTACAACTGGTGTGTACAATAAAGAATTAAATAGGTCTATTCCATAAGTGTGCTAAAATGGGCCACCCTTTGTTATCCTGAGGGTGTCGTAAGAGGCGACTAAGAAAACTTAATGGACCAGGGATGGGCAGCAGCGTCTCTCTTAAAACATCACCAAAGACAAACTGCGATTCTTTTCTTTTTTCTTTTATACGACTTAGAATGGCAAACAAGCTGATGGCCCACCTGATGGAAAGTGGTAACCGTCACCTATAGACATGAGCAGTACCATGGACTTAACAGTACACGCATATACTGTTTCGCCCATGATACCCCCCATGCGTTGCCATTCCTAAGGACTCACTTGTTATTCCTCCGTACTCAGTAAATTCACTCCATATCCCACCGTTCAAACCGAAACACAGCCATGCAAACACAACTGCTTCACGGTTGAAACACGAATTGCTAAGCCTGCCAAGCGTGACAACCACTGGCAAAGTCCCTCCAATGATAAACTGCCATAATGACAATCTGTGGGGTAGGCCTATGTCCAGCAGTGGACTGTTAACGAGTGACATGGTGATGTTAATACTCATTAGTATGTTTCGTTCAACTATTTGTGGTATTTTTAGCTGATTCAATGATTTTATATTATTTTCAATGCATCGAATTCAGGTGGCTGACTTGAAACTGCCGCCCGGTATCACGCTGACCCGAGTGCAGCCCGCCGAGAAGAAAGACCCGCCCTCCATCAAGTCGGTGGTGAGTCTTCGAAGGTTTTCTTTTAAATAGCGTGACGTCACTAACACCGCAATTATCTGTCAATTTCCAAAACTGATACATTACATTACAGAGGGAGACTTTGTACAAAAGTCGATTGCTTGGACACCTCTGTCCCATTCGTGTTTCAACCGTGAAGCAGTTGTGTTTGCATGGCTGTGTTTCAGTTTGAAGGATGGGATATGGCGTGAATTTACTGGGTACAGAGGAATAACACCTGAGTCCTCAGGAATGGCAACGCATGGGGGGTATCATGGGCGAAACAGTATACTCTGTTATGTCCATGGTACTGCTCATGTGTATAGGCGACGGTTACCACTTTCCATCAGGTGGGCCGTCAGCTTGTTTGCCATTCTAAGTTGTATAAAAAAAAATCATTTCGATCGGATTCCTTATTTCGGTATTGATATATATTGAATAATCAATATATAAATATTGTATCTATAATATATAGATGTTGCTATATATCATGTTTTATGGTTGTGTTGTCTCATACAGCCACTGTGGCGCTGCAGCCAGCTGGCGGCGACCCCGACGCCGGTGGCGCGGCCGCCGCCCGTCATCAACGCGGACCCCGCCATGATGATGTTCACCGCCGCGCAACCCGGTACGTACCCCACCACATCACTGCACTACACACGACTTATTATACATACATATCTTTTTTTTAATGGAATGGTAACCCCGCCTGCGCTAACGGTATACACTGGTGGGACACCAGTGAGAGATGATAGGTGAGGATGAAAGCAGTTCAGTTGGGCCATAGTGGTGAATTCATAAAAAAAATCAAGGTGATTTCCAGGGAGGTAAACCTGATAAGATGTACTGCCAGCAATTGTGCCTCTAGTCCCAATATTAACAACTCTGTTCAAAATCCGTTCTCTTCAGATTTATAGTGTTAGTAAAAATTGTAATGAAATTTTGTTTTGCAGAACCACCCAAAACAATAGTGATCCCTGAACCACAACCGGCGGCGACGGGGAAATCGAAGAAAGCGAAGAAGAAGGCGAAAAAGGCCGCCGCCGCTGCCGAAGAACCGAAACAGGACACCAAAATGGTCACGCTACGCAACCCCATGTTCCACCCGAACCTCCCACCGGTACAGATCACCAACGCCCCAGCACAGAAGAAGGCGGAGATTCGAATCCCCGACCCTATACCTATGCCACCAAATGCATGCCAAGCCACCATAACGCCCACCTCCAACGGAATGTACACCATAAGGAACCCATTGATGTCGATCATGCATCAGCAAAGCCTCATGGGTATGCGACCGCAAACGCCAAACATGTACCAGCCCCAATACAACTATGTGAATCCAAACTATCCCATGCAACAAACTTACGTAGATCAAAGATCGTCACCGAAAAATCAAGAGAATGACTTCCAAAACCGTATAATGAATCTGGCATCGTTCACGCAGAAGAACGAAGAGGGATACTCTTTGTTCAAGACCACGGAGGAGAACCAGCAACGGAGCTTCCTAACGCCAGAGTACTATGTCGACAGCCAGAGTCCTAAACCGACCGTGTCACCGAACCCTATAGGCACGAGACCGAACAACGAGAACAGGTTCGAGTCGAACGATTCGTTATTCGCAAACCCAATACAAAGACCCGAGCCCATTGGCACTCCGTTGAAACGTGACGACAACGACTTCAGTGGCGGTCTGTACACACCGTTCGGACAGGAGAACAGGAACGTGTTCAGGAACGCGCTGTTCAATGACAAGAACGATGTTGGATCAAACGTTGGGAAGGTGGACGATGTTGGCGCCAGCCATATGGCCAACGGTGATCCTCTGCCATACTTCCAGAGGCTACGAGTTGGCTCCAAACTGAACAATGAAGTGACTATACATCACGTCACAGATTCGAAATTTTACAAGGGACACGTAAGTTGTTTTTTTTTTTATATACAACTTAGAATGGCAAACAAGCTGATGGTCCACCTGATGGAAAGTGGTAACCGTCGCCTATAGAGATGAGCAGTAGACTTTGTACAAAAGTCGATTGCTTGGCCACCTCTGTCCCATTCGTGTTTCTACCGTGAAGCAGTTGTGTTTGCATGGGTGTGTTTCAGTTAGAAGGGTGGGATATGGCGTGAATTTACAGGGTACAGAGAAATAACACCAGAGTCCTAAGGAATGGCAACGCATGGAGGGCATCATGGGCGAAACAGTATACTCTGTTATGTGCATGGTACTGCTCATGTGTATAGGCGACGGTTACCACTTTCCTTCAGGTGGGCCGTCAGCTTGTTTGCCGTTCTAAATAAATTTTAATTATTTATTGGAGATTTGCCCCGGCTTTGCTCAGGCAGATAGGAAGATAAATCAGTATTTTATATTAATTTTAAGTAACCAATTTTTTTATACCTTTAATTACATTTTTTTTTATATATTTATTTAAACTTTAGTGCGTAGTGAAACTATGTACTTATGGTGGACTATTACATTACTATAATTTTCATAGGGATACCAACGCCATAAGAATTCACAATGAGCACATTCTCTTTCTGTCTGGTAGGAATCGGAGGCGCAGTACAGCGGCGCGTGGCCGGACGCGCTGTACTCGCACACGAGCCAGCCGTCGCTGCAGCCGGTGCAGCTGCACCAGCCGCTGCAGTCGATGGGCCCGCTGCACACCATGCACCACGTGCCGCGGCCTCACGCACACGGTAAGGTTACATGTTAGTTTGTTGTTACAAGGTTTTTTTTTATTATTTACTAGAGGGAAACTTTGTACAAAAGTCGTCTGCTTGGCCACCTCTTTTTTTTTAACGTCTGGAAAATGCTTTATGCAGACCCATACACCTTATGGAAGGTGAATGGGTATTGTGGGAATCCAGATACCATCATGGGGGTACCATGGGGGGATCGCCCATAATACCCCCCATGCGTTGCCATTTCTGAGGACTTAGGTGTTATTCCTCTGTACCCAGTAAATTCACGCCATATTCCACCCTTCAAACCGAAACACAGCCATGCAAATACAACTGCTTCACGGTTGAAACACGAATGGGACAGAGGTACCCAAGCAAACGACTTTTGTACAAAGTCTATATTGTGCAAACATTTGCCGATTGACTACTATTATTAGTGGGAGTTCTACGATATTTCGTAACATATGTGTGGACTAAATAACGGTCAAAGATTGGTGGCTAATATGAAATACTAGCTGCTCGTCCCGGCTTCGCACGGGTGGACATTTTAACATTTTAAAAAGTGGCCATTAAGGCTGCACACGCGACGGAAACTCAAAAATGGAGTAACTTCTCCCGTTTTCCCAACATTTCCCTTCACTGCTCTGCTCCTATTGATCGTAGCGTGATGAAAAGTATACTATAACCTGCCCGGGAGTATGAACAATAATTGTACCAAGTTTCGTTAAAATCCGTCGAGTAGTTTTTGTTTCTATAACGGACATACAGACAGACAGACAAAAATTTTACCGATTGCATTTTTGGCATCAGTATCGATCACTAATCACCCGCTGATAGTTATTTTGGAAATATATTTCATGTACAGAATTGACCTCTCTACAGATTTATTATAAGTATAGATATTAGAATCAAAATTACGTATTTATGCTGTGTGGTCCCGGCGTAGAATAGGCCACCCCTTCCTTTCTCATGGGTGTCGTAAGAGGCGACTTAGGGTACTCAATAGTCGATGGATGGGCGGCAGCGTCCCATCACCAAAAGCCTAACTGCGGTTTTACAACCCGCCTGCCAAGCGTGGCAACTAGCAAAATCCTCCCATAGGGGGAGGCCTATGTTCAGCAGTGGACAGTTAACGGCTGATGCAAGGGTGATGATGATGGTGATGAAAGTTACGTAACAGACGATGTCACATCACCACTGTTGTTGAACATTCTAAAAGTTTGTATGAAAAAATAAAAAAAAATATCTAGAAGTAATTGAGAATCTTATGATGCAGGGTCCGGCACCGGCTCGCCGACCGGCGACTCCTCCAACACGTCCGGAATATCCGGTATGTCCGGCTTAACCGGAGCGTCCGGGTCCGGGGCGTCGCTGGACGACGACAGCGGCTTCGGCGCCGTCGGCACCCGACACCCTCAGGGGCGGCATCACGGTAACTGGAGTCTATAGATTTAATCGATTGTAACCATAGATGTAAAACAGTCCTAGATACACATTCCCATACGAAAGTAGTACCCATTTAAAAAAGTGGTTATTGTAAGATTTTTATTTAATAGGTAAACAAGCTAATATACAATCCGGTGGGGGGAAGGACAGACTGACAGACATTTAATATATTCGAAAATAGATATCCGACCGATATGAGCGATATCGAAATGGGTGATGACGTTTTTTCCGCATCAATGTCCAGAGAAACCCAATATATAGATACCGGATAAGTATTTATAGGCGACAGTTACTACTTTCCACCGGATTGTATATTTTTTTTAGTGGATGACAATGGAATGGTAAATCCGCCTGCGCTATCGGTATACGCTGGCGGGGCACCAGTGAGAGATGATAGGTGAGGATGAAGCAGGTCTGTTAGCCCATCGTGACGAAATTAATGATAAATTAGTCACGATGGTTTCCAGGGGGAACGGTGTGGAGGTCGACCTGATATTGATGGCAATGGGGACTAACCTCCTCATTATTAACAATCCCTTCCTTCCATTCTAAAATGAATAATGCTTAACATAAAATTATTTTAAGTTTTTTCATAGTATTTGCCATTCATTTTTGTTATGATAGCTCCTCTAGTATGTTGAATCAATAATTCATATTGAAAACAAATTGGCTGACCAACAGTCAACTAATAAATAATGCTTGTACAGTCAGCAATCACTGACTAACGGCGCTGACTGTACCGCTGTCAACAGAGTCGAGCGTCTTCCTACCGGACCGTAGCATCACAAATCTATCCACACTGGAGCTCTCCGAGCGAGAGATCGAATCCTTCAAGAGGTTCGACTTCTACTTCGAACCGCCACAGCACAAGCCCAAAGTACAATTTGATGTCAAGGACATAGCAGCAGCTCTCAAGCAGAACCAGAAGTAAACGTGCCCTTTACTCGCGCCCGTTATTTATAATAAATCTACTTAAATATACTTTTAAACAATTTGTAATGCAATCCGCCATCTTGTGGCTGCGGCCATTTAGAAGTTATGTCATTTATTGTTATCCACTCTTCAGGCTCTCATTTGATACCTATATTATGCATAAGTTGTATTTAACAACAAGCTTTTACAATACAATCCGCCATCTTGTGGCTGCGGCCATTTTGAAGTTATGTCATTTATTGTTATCCACTCTTCAGGCTCTCATTTGATACCTATATTATGCATAATAAGCCGTATTTAACAACAAGCTTTTACAATACAATCCGCCATCTTGTAGCTGCGGCCATTTTGAAGTTATGTCATTTAGTGTTATCCACTCTTCAAACTCTCATTTGATACCTATATTATGCATAATAAGTCGTATTTAACAACAAGCTTTTACAATACAATCCGCCATCTTGTGGCTGCGGCCATTTTGAAATATCAATTATTTTACCATTACCAATTTATTATTGTTTAATCTTTTTTATTCTATACCCATAACGACAGGGCTGTCAAAATGTCCGCCATCTTGAGGCGGCGGCCATTTTGTTAATATTGCAATGGGTATTGTGCTTTTTACTTTTACCAGAACTAGTAAAAACTGCAAACTCGCTCAGGATGAACTGGTTCTTGCAAATTTTGATCTAAACGAATTAACAAACGTTGTAAGTTTAACGAAAACTTTTAAAAACAAACATCTACAAACTTTATATTATTTATTAAACTTTTTTTTGTTAAATTCTTTCAAATTGAGTATTCAATGCAAATATAAATAAATATTATAGCTGAAATAGATTTTTAAAAGTGAGTCATGTCCATCTTTAAATTATTTAACGTAGAATCTAACAAAAATTCAAATACATACAACGTAAAGGCGGATTTAACACCATATGGCGTTGTATACCATACAATACTTTAACATCAATACGTCAATCCTCACATGAACCTATTTTGCTATTGAATTGTTTTCTCTCTTTCTGTTATACTAAAGTTCTCAGTTCGAATGAAAGTGTTAATAAGTAGTTAAAGAAGATTTGTAGAAAGTTTTACTTTTTATGAATAAGAGGGTTTAGTATCCATCCATCCACAGATAAATATACTATTTGTTTTTAATCGAAATGTGCAGTGCAACTAATAGAAAAAAAACTTACCTCGTAAGAGCTCGAGAAACCAGGTTTCATACTTTATTTATGTACAATTTTCTAAAAAACGATTGTTGAAAAAAGCAGTTCGAGTTACCACATGGTTTCCAGTGGTATATCGTCCGCTTTTATTTAAGCTTTACTCATATTTCGGTAGATGGCGTTAACATTAATTTTCATCGAGATGTAAGATCTTATGCTGGTTTCTTGTGCTCTTTAAAATTGTTGCATTTTTTTATTTCAGTTTGAGACATAATCTGTTATCTATTAAACTTTGCAACTATGCAAAATACACAAATTGCGTTCACAAAATATGTATAATAATAGTTAAATATTGTGTTAAAAATTGTATCATTTAAAGTTCAGTTAGTCGATTACGTAGACACTTAATGTAGTGCTGTGTTATACGGAATGATAGCAAAATTCTTAGGAACCTATTAATTCTTTCAGTAAAATTGAACATTTATCTCAAAAAAAATGTAATTATTAAACAAACGATATATATTAAGTACATATTGATACGGCGCGTGCAGCTGTGCATGTTGCTTTGGGAAACATGTTTACATCAAATTATTTTGGTATTTCTTATATACATACATGTCTGTCAAGCCTGTCTCCTATTAGGGTAGGCAGAAATGGAACGCCAAATGATTCAAACAGATGTATTTCGCTTCCTCCATATTTATCAGTCTTATCATACCCGTGGTATTTTTTTTTTATCTAATTTCATACATTTGTTTTTCTGTTACCTTTAAAAGCTAAAGTTTGAATAGGTATATATACTATCCTTTATATTAGTTATATTTTTAAATTGTATGTATCCAAAATATATTTTTTATTCCTAATCTATTTTTCTTACACTCAATATTAAAATAAAAATAGCGAAAGCGACAACAGGTAGCGTTGATAAAAATACACTGCGTCTACCATTATTTGTTTAAGGTATACTGTGCCATTATCTTTTTATATGCTCTTTAGTTATAAACTATAAAAACTGTTTAAAATATCAATGTATTACAATTTTGTATTCTATATAGCTTTAAACAGTTCTAATTTTTTTTTAATTGTTTTCGGAGATCTAAAATTGTAAAATTTAACCACATTTTTTTTTATTTGCGGTAGTTTGTGGAGATTGTATGTGCGATACTATGTGTCAACTCATCCCATTTAGACTTCTACATTTGTTACTTTATTATGTAATTATCGATTTTTTTTTTAATACTAATTCATAATCTTTACATAAAAATGATTCAAATAAATATTTAGTATAAGGAAAATTGAACTATAATAATGCGAAAAGTTCACAAAGTCTAGACAAAAAACGGACGAGGGTTTCCTGAATGTACAGCCTGTGGGTTGAGTTAAATCCTTTACTGTGTAAGAATCATTTTGTGACCGCGAGACGAGGCGCTTTGACAGCGTAAATCTCCCGTCCTTTGACGAAATAATATTTGACTTTGTAATAAGACGATAAAGTGAGAAAATACGGTACTGGCACGGATATATTTGTCATTTTATATTGGACATATAAATTTAAAAAATATAAAACATATACCGGGGCGACTCATCCGGATATTGGCGAATATATCCGTCAATACCGAAATATTATATTTAGACTTGTACACACGGATCTAACAATGGTAACATGGACGAGAAGAAAAGAACTGCACCATCAATGGTACTAATTTATTATAAGCCTAATGTGTACTCAAGTACACATTAGGCTTATAATAAGTCGGCCATCTTGTGCAATGGTAGAGGCGTGTGTTGGTTAGTTTACGAATTTTGTGATGTGATTTTATTCACTTTTTTGTTAGGAGCCGCTGAGTTTTTTTGTTTTCGTCCGTGAAATATTATATCAAATGATAATGTACATGATATATGTTATCAATCTTGTGGATTTCTATTAAATATCCGTTGAACGGATTTTAATCTATAAGTAGACAAAACGGATGTGTGTTTATCCGTAAAATGGAAATTTGAATGTGGAATTTTCGGGTATTTTAAGTAATATCCGACAAACCGATATATCCGTGGGTCGACTCATCCGGATATGCCGGTATCGGATGATATCTGTAAGCGCCACTTTGTCTATAGTACCTATACGTATCCGTGTAACAGGACAGTAAGTTTATAAAGCTGGTATTGTGTACGCTAATGGTTGTACGATATTTTTATTATAAGTAAAGTGTATATTATAGCCGACTAATGCCTTTTTATTTTTGTCCCGTCCATTTTATTTCAGCAGTGGACGTTAATCGTCTAGTTCCTACAGACAAGCAGCAAGGAATAACATAGAACGAATGATAAAATAAAAACTGTAAATCATATAGTTGCCTTCTTTCTTCTTATGCAAATATAATTAGTAAAAAGAGGACGAAAGATACACTATCAGTTGCTATTTTTCTCAATTCATAGCAGGCTAGTGTATAGAAAATGTTTGATATGTCAATTATTTGTCAATGACAAATTTTACATTACTAGATTCGACACAGTTTATGTAGGAAGTATGCGAGCAGGTTGTATCTTGAATTTGGTGGGGTTATATGACCAATAAAACCAAGTGACATAACGTGATGAATTTGACCTTTATGGACTAGTCAAAAGGCAGATGCGTTTTATATTTCTATCCCTCTCTAACGCATTGGCAATGTCATAAATACAACGAATAACACACTATGTGAATTAAGCATTCTATATATTTGTAATAACAAAATCTTTGGTTCGTGAGATAGAATGAGATAGCAAAGCCGGATGTCTCATTCTAACATGGTCTTTAAATAAAAAATAAAAGAAACTGTCTTTGTACAAATAGTTTATTTTTAAAAATCAATTATCTACTTACATTTTAAAATGATTACAATTTAAAATTTCCATAAGATCATGGTGTTCTTTTTTTAATGCAGACATTACCGAAATGAAATCCATGTCTATTGACGTGATTCTTGTAAGAAAAAAGACTTCGGACATTTTTTAAATTTACTAACATGGGATGATATCGTGTAATTTTACCCATGATACCTCGTGATTGTGTTTTTATGTTGTAATTTATGTTTCTACCGTGAATCAGTTGTGTTGCAGTTTGAAGGGTGGGATATGGCAGTGAATTTACAGGGTACAGAGGAATAACACCTGAGTCCTCGGGAATGGCAACGCACGGGGGGTATCATGGGCGAAACAGTATACTCTTTTATGTCCATGCTACTGCTCATGTCTATAGGAGACGATTACCACTTTCCATCAGGTGGGCCGTCAGCTTGTATGCCATTCTAAGTTGTATATAAAATCTTGATATATATATATCATGAATATTAACAAAGGGAGAAATAAATAAAACATTGTTTTATTGCCAATCTATTGTATAAATAACCAAATGCATCTCAATATACCAGAGAAAAACTTGATCCCTTAAAAAATCCTATATATATTCTAACATCTCCTTAGCTAACTGAAAGCACTGCTTCTCGGGTGTGAACTAGACATTGTAAGGGTGGGCACGGTCCAGCCGGCCCCTTGTATACGCCTACGGCGGATGGGAGCATCAGTTGTGTCGCGGCCGCGAGTGCTGGTGCGGCGAGGCGGGCCGCCGCCGCTTGCGGCGCGGGGGCGCTGACAGGCCGGCGTGCGCCTGCGCAGCCAGCAGCATGCCCAGCTGGCCCTGCGCCTGTACACACAGCTGCTATTAGCTCTCATGAAGAAAGGTTCGCTCGCACGCCTTTACGCATCTCCAAGGTTCCCTTCCTTTTTCCTCAATCCTTTCCTCCATACCGTGGATGGCGGAAACCACCAACAAATGCATTCCCAAAGAGGGTTGACGTCAGGCAGGTGGCCGGTCGTAAAACTGTAAGGCAAATCTTTTTGCAATATAGATATATGGATGGCGAAGAGCGAAAGATCTGTTCTGTGGTGGACCACGACGTGAATCTAAGAAGATTATCATCATCTTCCTACCCTTATCCCAATCATTTGGGGTCGGCGTAATATGGTTTTATCCATATTACAAAAAGATTTGGTTTCTAGTTTTACGACTGGCCACCTGCCTGACGTCAACCCTCTTTGGGAATGCATTTGTTGGTGGTTTCCGCCACCTACGGTTCGGAGGAAAGTATTGAGGAAAAAAGGAAGGGAACGTTGGAAAGGCGTAAAGGAAATTGGTGAATGAGAGGAATAAGGGACTTATGTGGGAAAGGAAAGGGGCGGGGGGGCACTGCAGTTGCGGAAAGGACTGGGACACGGCAACGGCTCGGGAGGCCGGGGTCGCGTAATTATGCCCTAATCTAAGAAGATTATATTTTCACTATATGTTTTGGAAAATAAGTGAAGGAAATAATTTATACATAAATAAATAAATAAATAAATATAGACAGACCATTAAGTGTCAAAAACGGGTTAAAATTATGTCAGCTAAATTGACGTCCGGTTGACTAAATTATACATTTTATTATACAAATTATATATATATATATATATATATATATATATATATATATATATATATAATTTGTATAATAAAATATATATAAAATTTCACACGCACAACGGCCCAAATGGGAGGCTAAGTGCGGAAAACAGAGTCTTTCTTACATATATTTTAAATCAATACGCGTTATTTTTCAGTGTTGCAAGTTATTGGTTTAAAAATTACCTAGAGCAGTTTGATTTTTTTTAAATCGAAGTGTTTATTTTAATATCTATACATATGTATGTCATCATCATCATCATCATATCAGTATTGTTTCTGCATTCTATTGTATTGTTTCTGCATTCTATTGTATTGTTTCTGCATTCTATTGTATTGTTTCTGCATTCTATTGTATTGTTTCTGCATTGTATTGTTTCTGCATTCTATTGATTTATTATTGCGTAATCATTATGTACGCAAGGATTAAAGAGTGCACACGTATTTTATATTAATTATAGTTATTTTATTTTTACGAAATGCAGCATACTCAACGCCGTACGCAGTGGACAAGCGTTTCAGCGGAGACAGCACGCTATGACGGCTGTTCTCATTCTTACGACGCCGTACGCGGCTGATAGAAGCAGAGCTGTGTAAGTGTGACCGAAATTGTTCAGCGAAACGCGAATAGAGTTGAATAAGTGGGAGTAGTCCCTTAAGTGGTTAATAAAAAAAAAACAAATTATGCAACAATAAAGGCCACAGTACACGTACCTCTTCGTGCATCTCCTTCGCCATCACATACACGCTGTGCTCGCTGCTGTTGTACATGAGAGCATTGGACAGCATGAGCAGCACGTCCCGCTGGAACTGCGCCGTTGTTCTATAACCATCGAATGAATTGATAGATAGATAGATAGATAGATAGACAATTTATTTACATTACTTACAGCACACAAATTACAATAAAAAAAACATACACGTAATACACAGCAAAAGAGACAAAAGAATAAAAATAAAAAAAGCACAAATAAAAAAAAATACAAAAACAAAATACATAATCTAACAATCTCCTTTGTTAACATTCCTTCATGCGTGTGCCATAGTAACACAAAATGGTCACAACTCAATTTATTGCTTTGCCCTTAAAAGAGCAAAACACTGATATTCTGCTGTGGCCAAGAGTCAGTCGCGAAACTTTTCATTAAAAATTTACAATATAAAAAATATATATATATATATATATATATATAAATAAACTGCATTGTATGTGTCCATTATATTTGCCTCCACTCGATATTATATTCTACATAAATAAATAAATAACAGATACCATTAGATGAGGGGTAGTCAGAGATCACTTTCTGTCACATTCAGATATTCAGGCAATAAATATTTCGGCTACGTACCTATTGGGTATTCCAATTTTTTGTTTATTAATTAAAAAGATTTTAAGTTGTTTTTTAAAAATGTGTTTACTATTAGACAATCTTATTGGGGGTGGTATATTATTCCAGCATTTCGTAGCTTGGTAGCGGAAACTTCCCTCAAACGCCACAGTTTTATGAGGACGCCCTGCTAATAAGTAGCGCGTGGGTCTTGTACTATATTTGTCATGGAATGAATTAAATTGTAATTTAGAATATAGATATTCCGGTCGCCGATACTTTAAGATGTCAAATACTGTACAAGCGAGATGAAAGTTTCTCCGAGAGGACATGTTTAAGGTGGAATAATTATTTAAATATGGCGTTACGTGCGTTCTAGGCGGAATATTGTGACAAAATCTAGTACATGCATTTTGTACTCGCTGTATAAGACGTTGAGTTTTAGAATGCAATCGAGGTCCATACACTAAATCGCCGTAATTCAATTTAGACAAGATCAATGATTCACAAAGAGTGACACGAACTTCCTCATTCAGAAGATTTCTAATTTGATATAGAACTCTTAGACGATAAAAGCAGCTTTGAACTAGTTTTAGAACATGAGTCTCAAAGCGTAGTTCACTATCGATTACTATTCCAAGATTCCTAGCTTCTTTAACATAGTCAATTCTTTCCCCGGAAATATATATGTCAGGATTCTGGCTAAATATAAATTTTACTTGTTTTTTAGATCCTAGAACCATGTATACAGATTTTTTGGGGTTTAACATCATTGCATTTTTAACCGACCAATTCGCAATACGTTCAAGATCCTCATTTAATTTTGAAACACTTCCTGAGACATTTCCGCGAGAAGCCGGGATATAAAGTTGAACATCATCTGCATAAGTATGGTATTTGCAATGTTGTATCTGTTTTATAAGATCAGCACTATATAAAATAAACAGTAATGGACCGAGTATTGTGCCCTGAGGCACTCCGCGCGTGACTTCCGAAGAATCAGAGAACGCAGGTCTACCAGCTCTCCCCACCAATTTAACAGTCTGTCTACGATTATCGAGAAAACTCGTAAACCATCCGACTGACTGTTCGTCCAAACCGTAAAATGTCAATTTTGCCAGAAGTAGTGGAATACTGATACTGTCAAAAGCACGAGAGTAATCTAATAATGCTAGAAGTGATCCCTCTCCACTATCTTGACTCGTAAGAATATTGTCAACGACGTCCAATAAAGCGGAAACTGTACCTCTACCTTTGCGAAAGCCGGATTGCATCGCTGGTAAGATACAATTTTCCTCAACATACTTAGACAACTGGGTGTAAATAACTTTCTCCAGTATTTTCGACAAGTATGGAAGAACACTAATTGGACGTAAATCTTTTAGTTCTACTGGATTATCTACTTTCGGTATAGGAGTGACAATAGCCGATTTCCATAATTCGGGCACCGCGCTTGTTACGATAGACTTATTAATTATAGCCGTTATTATCGACAGTGTACGTGGCATGGTCTGTAAGATCATGTCTCTCCCTATACCATCCACCCCACAAGCGTTGGACTTAATAGACAACAAGTACTTAGCTATTTCACTCTCGTCGGCCGGTTTAAGAGTGAGTGAAATATCACCATATCTGTGATACTCAAAATATGTCAGATCGGAAATAGACACAGACGAGGGGGCAGGCACGTTAATAAAAGAGTCATTGATTTCGTTCGGGTCATTGAAACGATCAGGTAAGCTGTCCTTTTTTTTATATTTATATTAATTTTATCCCTAATATTTCTCCAGAATAGTTTAGGATCGTCACACTTAGAATTAATTAAATGATTAAAATACGCTCTTTTTTCATAATAAATACTACTATTTACTAGCTTTTTACATTGTATATAATACTCCTTATGATTACCATTTTTAGATCTACGATATCTCTTAAATGCCTTATCGCGTAAATCCATCATATATTTAATAGTATTTGTTATCCACGGCAAAGATCGACCGTTTCTAATTTTGATCGTTTTTTCAGGAGCATGTTTGTTGTACAATGATAGGATTAACGAATTAAACGTATTCACCATAGAATCGACTGATGAGCAAAGTAGCACGGATTCCCAGTTCATGGAATTTAAATCTTCAATAAACTCTGTCATATTCATATCTTTAATAGGTCTATACGTTATGGTCTTTGGTGTACTTTTGCTTTTTTTAATTGATAAGGTAGTGATAACCATAGCATGACCCAAGGAACCAGAGATGTTATTCACAGTTACGTCCTGCGCGTGTGCATTGGTACAAATAATGTCTAAAAGTGTCTCATTGTGTATAGAAAAGTGAGTTGGTTCAGTTACCACCTGTTTAAGATTCAAACACTGCAGAAACTGTTGAATTTTTTTAGTCTTCATATTATGAGCATCTAACATGTCAGCATTAAAGTCCCCAAGTAGGACAATGTAATCGTAATTAGAAAAGTATGTTACTGACTCCGTAACAGCATCAAGAAAAACATCAATGCCTACCCATTCTGGTCGATAAGCCGTGCCAATAATAACCCGTACTCCATTAAAGGTTACGTTTACCCACATTTGTTCGATATTTGCGACAGGATGCTGTACAACTCGCGCGCACAAACTGCGTTTGATATAAAAAGCTACGCCACCGCCGCGTCCGCTACGCATGTGGCGCGGGCGCGGAACCGAGCGCAGTCTATACCCGGGCACGACTGGAGCACGCGCCTCTTCACCTTCGCGTAACCATGTTTCATTAATTGCAACAATATCAGCGTTATACCGGCTCATAGCTACAATAAAGTCATCTTGTCCGCTGCTTAAAGAGCCTGCATTATAAAGCCCTAATTTAAAAAACTTAGTGCTAAATATGAATGTGATATAATAAAATAATTAACCATATATAATTATAAATACCAATAAATAATAATAAACTCACACAAGTAACCCCAGAAATAGACATTTCATACATCTGATCATTAATAAAGTTTATGTTGATTGTGTATTGTTCGAAATCATTTACAAAGACAACCAAGTGACATTTAAAATAATCTCTTAAAAAGTGTGTTACGGTGGCAAACGTTATGAACACAAATTTTATAATACAAATAAAAGCAAACTTATAACAATGGACAGTTTGTGATAACAAATATAAATAATTAGTAACTACAAATAATCGTGTTCTATTGTTTTTCAACGGACGAACAAACGGAAGGCAAACCAAAAACACCTTCCAGGTCATCCTCCGAGTGAACTCGATATTTAACAGCATCACCCCCCGGATGCTTTCGAACATATACTTTCCCATTCCTTGTCCAGCAAAAGCGCCAGCCGTGCTGCCTCGCCGCCTCACGCGCTTTTTGAAATAATTGCCGATTAGCCCTGGTTAACCTTTCATTAACATAAAAACGCCGCGGCGTACCCGGTAGACCCGCACCCTCAGTTGTCGCGCCACGGCACACCCTGGCTGCCTGTATCAACTGGTCTCGCAAAGCACGTCGCGCCAACCGCACAGCGATGACACGAGGACGAGGAGCTGTGCCCTCTCTAGGCTCCGGCACACGACCCATACGAGTCGCACTCACCACATCCCGCTCCGTCAACGGTACACCCAGTTTAGTGGCCAATGTCAGGATCACGTGACCAACCGCCTCACCCTGCTGCTCCGGTACACAAGATAGCTCGACGTCGTTCAACAGAAGCTCCTGATCACGTTCGTTTAGCTCGCTCTTAAGTTGGGCTATACTTCGCAGTAAGGAGTCACCATCGCGTTGGCTCCCTGATATCTCATTCATTCGACGCTCCATACCGTCCATGCGAGCCGACAGACCATCAATCCTTTCATTACAGGCGTCGATCTTCAACATGGCACCAGAGACAGTGGCCGTCAGCTCCTCCATCTGACGCCGTACCGCCCTCAGCTGCTCACCAACAGAGCGCATCTCCAATACTAGTAAAGAGTCAGTGCCTTCCTCGTTGGATGATGATGCAGTCCTGGCTGTACCTCGGCGATGTGTGACGTTCTCATCAGCACCACGCACCGGCGTATTTGAGTTACCCGTTTTAGGCTGTTTGCTTCTACACTGATCACATTTCCATGAGAGTTTGTGTTCCTTTGTCATAGTGTTATAAAAGCGTTGCTCTGAAACTGTCGTACATTTACGCTCGTACACTTCCTGACACAGGCTACAACGAAGGTATTCCCTGTTGGAGATAACACAGCGACATCCCGCACAAGTGAGCTCCGTAGATGACATTTTATTCATTTCTCTATATAACAAAAATATGCAAGTGCAGACACAAAACGATGATTCACCCGCAATGCACAGCCGACCAGAGCGAGATGCACACGCGAGTTAGTGCGAGAGAGCAAGTGCCACCAGCTGACCGAGACCGCTGAAAGAGGTAAGCAAGGTCACGAATTTCACTTTTTGACCGTTAACGTTTTTAGTTTAAAATAAAATCACTTTTATTAGGTTTAATATGATTTACAACACTAAATTATTTTAACGTTTATTTAGTCCGTGTAATTACGTTTAATTTGGTATATGATAAGTACTCAAAATTGAATGTTTTATGCGATTTAAATAATTACTAGTGACAGCGCAATTGATAACGATGTTTACGACACGAAAACTCGCGGCTGACTCCTTTTGAAGGTCATTCTACTGACGTCGTTCGTGAATGAATGAATGAATGAATGTACGCACTTTATTTGCATTACTTACCATTATTTACCAGAGGGAGACTTTGTACAAAAGTCGTTTGCTTGGCCACCACTGTTCCATTCGTGTTTCTACCGTGAAGCAGTTGTGTTTGCATGGCTGTGTTTCGGTTTGAAGGGTGGGATATGGCGTGAATTTACTGAGTACAGTGGAATAACACATAGGGGACAGAGGAATAACATCCGAGTCCTCAGGAATACCAACGCATGGGGAGTATCATGGGCGAAACAGTATACTCTGTTATGTGCACGGTACTGCTCATGTCTATAGGCGGCGGTTACCACTTTCCATCAGGTGGGCCGTCAGCTTGTTTGCCATTCTAAGTTGCATAATAAAAATTAGTATATCAATAATTACTAGTACCGCATTCATGCGTGTGCCATAGTAACACAAAATGGTCACAACTCAGTTTATTGCTTTGCCCTCAACAGAGCGAAACTAAATAAACATATGCCTCACCTGATGATGCCAGCGTCGATGTTCCGCCTAATGGTCGTTAGGTCCATGGGTCTCTTCACCACCAGGCTATACCCTGGCGCCTCCTCATCGGTGATCGGCCGCAGGAACAGCGAGGCGTATTTATGTGCACATAATCTGTGGACAGTCAATCGATACCATCACCACCTTTTTTTTTACAACACAGGGGGCAAACGAGCATGCGGCTCACCTGATGATAAGTGACTACCGCCGCCCATGATCACCCACAACACCTACGGCATTGCAGGTGTGCTTCCGGCCTTTTAAAAAGGAATATGCTCTTTTCTTTAAGGTTATGTTGTCGTATGGGTTCGGAAATACTGCTGCTGGAAGTTGATTCCAAAGACTGGTTGTGGATGGAAGAAAGTGCCTTGAAAAAAGCACGGTGGAGGACCGCCACTCGTCCAGATGGTTGGGATGAAACTTTAGTTTGTAGCGGGTTGTACGGTGGTGAAAATCAGCAGCAGGTATCAATCCGAACAATTCCTCAGAGCACTCCCCATGATAAATTCGGTAGAAGATGCACAGAGATGCAACATCTCTACGCAATTCTTCTATCTCTCTATAAATGACGTACAATGTGATTTCACCAGAGGGAGACTTTGTACAAAAGTCGTTTGCTCGGCCACCTCTGTCCCATTCGTGTTTCTACCGTGAAGCAGTTGTGTTTGCATGGCTGTATTTCGGTTTGAAAGGTGGGATATGGCAGAGAATTTACAGGGTTCATTTTAAAAAAAAAAAGTCCTTCCATCTTCCCCCCCTTCATCATGGGAAATAATTTTGAATATGCTAATGACTGATTTTGATACAATTTCTATAGGACTAATCTCAAGCTATATCCTTCCAGATAAACAAAAATCCAAATCGACTTATAAACAAAAAATTTACAGGGTACAAGGGAATAACACCTGAGTCCGGGGGGGAAGGGATTGTTAGTAATGGAGACTGAGAATCCCATTGCTAACAATATACTCAACCAGGTCGACCTCCTCGCGGTTCCCCCTGGAAACCATCGTAGTTAATTTTTGATGAACTCATTACGATGGGCTAACTGACCTGCCTTTTCATCCTCACCTATCATCCCTCACTGGTGCCCCGCCGGTGTATACCGATAGCGCGGGCTGGGTTACCATTCCATTATCATCTATTAAAAAGAACCTGTCGGTCTACTGCGAGTCTCACCTGCTGTAGACCAGCATGACTGACTTCTTCCACAGTCGATGCTGGCGCTCGGCGTCGCTGCCGCTCGGCGACTCCGGCGCACTCGCCTCCGCAGCACTCTCCGAACCGGAACACGCTGTATATAATCGACACTATATTACAATGAACACATCACCAAGACCATCTCAGATTTATCTCAGGACCTTCGGAGGGGGGGGGGAGGGATTGTTAGTAATGCGGACTGCCAGTCCCGTTGCTAGCAATATACCCTGTCAGGTCGACCTCCACGTGCTCCCCCCTGGAAACCATCTTGCTGAATCAGTAGATGTGTCCATCACGGTGGTCAAACTGACCTGCCTTTTCATCCTCGCCTATCATCCCTCACTGGTGCCCCGCCAGTGTATACCGATAGCGCGGGTGGGGTTACCATTCTTTAAGTGGTGCAACAAAGAGTAATTTTTTTTTTGTACAATTTAGAATGGCAAACAAGCTGACGGCCCACCTGATGGAAAGTGGTAACCGTCGCCTATAGACATGAGCAGTACCATGCACATAACAGAGTATACTGTTTCGCCCATGATACCCCCCATGCGTTGCCATTCCTGAGGACTCGGGTGTTATTCCTCTGTATCGTGTAAATTCACTGCCGTATCCCACCCTTCAAACCGAAACACAGCCATGCAAACACAACTGGTTCACGGTTGAAACACGAAAAAAAAAAGATAATAAATACATTTATTGACATTTTTTTTTCAAAAAATTTAGAAAAAATCGTTTATTTCGTTTTAAAAACTAAACTATGAAATTAATTTTGGTGGTTAAATGTCTATGAAACCAATCTGTAACTATATCCTTTCAAAAAAAAAAATTGTCCAAATTTAGGAAATCGGATAAAAAAAGATAGGAAATCGATTAAAAAAAAAACTTTCCCCCATTTGAAGTCAGTTTAAACAATGAACATAGATAAAGAAGTATTCACTTACTTCTAGAATCGGACTTCTTCTTTCGTGAGTAGTCCCTCTTCTTCTTACCGTCTTTCTCTTCTTCACGACTCAGCTGAAAGAAGAAATCCTATATTTTTATGGGGGAAATGGGAAATGGGGCCTTGTCTGTATGAGAAAATTGCTTGAAAATCTGTGTGCGTGCGTGCGTGCGTGCGTGCGTGCGTGCGTGCGTGCGTGTGTGTGTGTGTGTGTGTGTGTGTGTGTGTGTGTGTGTGTGTGTGTGTGTGTGTGTGTGTGTGTGTGTGTGTGTGTGTGCACGCGCGTGCGCGCGTGTGTGCGTGTGTGCGCGTGTGTGCGTGCGTGTGTGCGTGCGTGTGTGCGTGTGTGTGTTCGTGTGTGTGCGCGGGTACGTGTGTGTGCGTGTGTGTGCGTGTGTGTGCGCATACCTCCATGGGAGTATCGTCATCGGTCTCAGTGTGAGTGTCCTCGACTTCTGCTGCCCTCTCCTCTTTCACCTCCACCTCTTGGGGTGGATGGACTTCCTTCATTATATCCTTGAGAGGTATCGAGTCCTGGGAACATTATTAGTAATTTACTTTTTACTAGCTATCCGGTCTTGCTTCGCTTAGATAGGATTTTTGAAAGCAATAGCTATACATATAGCGTTAATCACTCGCTGATAATGTAGCTTTTTATAGGTGAAACAATTTTAAAAACGATTGAGTTGTTATTGAGTTTGTTCATTATACCACTGAGGTGACAATTAAGCATACGGCCCACCTGATGGTAAATGGTTACCGTAGCCTATGAACCCCTGCTATACCAGCGCGTAATACGCGCGCGTTGCCGACCCTGAAGAAACCTTCCCAGCCGAGTTGGTTTCATATAAGAAGAGCACATGCTTTCCAATATTCTAGTTGTGTAAATTTGTTTGTTACCTTATAGCGCCTTAACGGCTAAACCAATCGCTATAAAGTTTGGTATAAATGTACTATACAAAACAGAGAAGGGCATAAACTACTTTTTATTCTGATCAGTGCACATGTCCTGGTTGCGTAGATAAAGTCACGGGTAAAAACTCACCGCCTATATTTGCCATATAGCTTGGCAAAATACTAATAGATTTACTCAAAGAATTCACCTCAGCGTCATCCTCCTTCTTGATGTCTTCTGTGCTCTTCTCTTGGGCGTTGCTTACTTCCTGTGTCTCTGCTGTTTCAGGCTGTTCCGGGCGTTCTTCCTTTATTTCCGCTACAATCGACGGAGGGGCATCTTCGGGTAGAGGCACTGTTATACCAAATATCAATAAATAATATACTAAAAGGAGACTGTACAAAAGTAATTTGTTTGGGTACCTCTGTCCCATTCGTGTTTCAACCGTGAAGTAGTTGTGTTTGCATGGCTGTGTTTCGATTTGAAGGGTGGGATATGGCGTGAATTTACAGGGTACAGAGGAATAACACCTGAGTCCTCAGGAATGGCAACGCATGGGGGGTATCATGGGCGAAACAGTATACTCTGTTATGTCCATGGTACTGCTCATGTCTATAGGCGACGGTTACCGTTTTGGTTGGGACTTTTATCTAGAATTTTTAAAACCTAAGATTCTAAGGTCACCTGATATCAAATTCTGGACTTCCGGCTCTGGATCCGGGGGCAGGGGTATGTCGACGGGGTCCGGCACGGTCATCATCAACTCTTCGGCGGGCGGCTCCGCGACCACTTCCTGCGCCGGCGGCGGAGGAGGCGGCGGCGGCAGTGGTGGTGACGTCACTTCCGGCTGCGGCTCCGGCACTTCGCTATTGGGTGTAACATAAACACTTACTTATCTACTAATATTATAAAGAGAAAATATTTGTTTTATTCTCTTATTTCATGCAAATTAGAATGGCAAACAAGCTGACGGCTCACCTGATGGAAAATGGTAACCGTCACCTATAGACATGAGCAGTACCATGGACATAACAGAGTATACTGTTTCGCCCATGATACCCCCCATGCGTTGCCATTCCTGAGGACTCAGGTGTTATTCCTCTGTACCCTGTAATTTTACTGCCACCCTTCAAACCGAAAGACAGCCATGCGAACACAACTACTTCACGGTTGAAACACAAATGGGACAGAGGTACCCAAGCAATCGACTTTTGTACAAAGTCTCCCTCTGGTAAATCTCTAACAAGAACCAATCATGTGTGGAGAAAGACAAGGGCTACATTTGACATAGTCCATCAATATACTTCAGTCAAACTCACTGGTAAGAAGTAATTAACAAGAATGGGACAAAGGTACCCAGATAGAAAAGTTTTGAGGCTCCCACTAGTAAAGAACGTGAGTAGGGTTACCTTTGTTGTTGTGCCGATGATACAGTTACATCTTCTTGTACCTCGTCTACTTGTCGACTCTTCTCCGGCCCCGGCGGAGGCGGTTCGGGCTCTCTGACTTCATCTTTGATCTGTAAACAGTGGGATGATAGAATTTGTAACCGATCGTAAACTTAGCACCTATAAAAAAGTCAGTTAAAAAACTAAATCCCGACTACAGAACAAAAATTGTTTTCAGAAAAAAAAATTAAAAAACTAAAGAACTAAACCGATTTTGATGAAACATCTACGGGACCAATCTGGAAATAAAACCTTTTAGACATGTTGAGAAAGCAATCCATACATTACTTAATATGGCAACTTTATTGCTTGGCCACCTCTGTCCCATTCGTGTTTCTACCGTGAAGCAGTTGTGTTTGCATGGCTGTGTTTCGGTTTGAAGGGTGGGATATGGCGTGAGTTTACAGGGTACAGAGGAATAACACCTGAGTCCTCAGGAATGGCAACGCATGGGGGGTATCATGGGCGAAACAGTATACTCTGTTATGTCCACGGTACTGCTCATGTCTATAGGCGACGGTTACCACTTTACATCAGGTGGGCCGTCAGCTTGTTTGCCATTCTAAGTTGTATGAAAAAAAAATAGAAACAATAATTATTCTGCTAATTTGCTTCGAAATAATAAGACAGAAATACAATTTTCCAAATCAGTGCATATATGGCGGAGTTATAACACTCCACTGCTGAACATAAGCCTCCCCCTTGGGGGGTTTTCCCAGTAGTTGCTACACTTGGCAGGCGGATTGGCAACCGCAGTTAGACTTTAGAGATGTTTTAAGAGGGACGCTGCTGCCCATCCCTCGCCCTCCCTTAGTCGCCTCTTACGACATCCACGGGAAAGGAAGGGGTGGCCTATTCTATGCCGGACCAAACGGCCTAATTTCGCATACTGTTATGCACATTTGATCAATAACATTCGCAATAATCACCTTCTGTTCGTCTGGTTGTATGACTTTAATTTCCGGCGTGGGGAACTTCACCTCCGGGAACGAGATCCTGACCTCTGGACTCGTCTCGGGCGGCGGCGGAGTCTGGACAGCATCCTGTGACGGCTGAACATAAGGAAATGATTATTAGAATTACACTATAGTGAAGACTGTACATGGGTGAGCGCAATGACGGCTTGCTCATGCGTCATACTCGTGAACGGGTGCTTCTGGGGGGAAAGGGTTTGTTAGTAATGGGGTCTAACAGCCCCATTGCTAGTAATGTACCCTATCAAGGTCGACCTCCACGCGGTTTCCCCTGGAAACCATCGTGACTGATTTATCGTTGAATTCGTCACGATGGGCTAACTGACCTGCTTTCATCCTCACCTATCATCTCTCACTGGTGCCCCGCCGGTGTATACCGATAGCGCAGGCGGGGTTACCATTCCATTATCACCCATTAAAAAAAAAAACGGGTGCTTCTAGTACGGACTGGCCTTTACAAGAATACTGCGACTGATTGTAGCTTGGTAGCTTTTTATTTTCTTTTTTTTTTAATTTTTTTTTTTTATTAATACAGAATCTGTGATAGTCATTTTATGTATTCATATTTTTTTGTTGTAAACTTAACGTTTATTTGAAAAACATATAAAGCTATATATATGTAGTTCAAATTGTTATTCCACGGTAGTCAGAATATATAATAAACTGCCAACAAATCTTAAAACTTTAAACCGTAAAAAATAAAAAAAAAAACACTGTATTTGGGCATGTGTGCGTTGGTTTGCCCTTGCCGATTGGGTAGTTCCAAGTTTATTTTACTGCATTTGCAGTAATAACGAATTTGTCGTTGTTTTGGTTATGATTTTTAATATTGTAACTATAGTACATTACTGCAGCGGCCAGAAACTGAGGCATTGATGGACGAACGTGCAAATGTGGGCCGAGGCGTAGCCGAGGCACACATACGTGAGTCCATCAATGCCTAGTTGTGGCCAAGGCTTTTATAGTACTTTTCTCAAACAATGACAAATAACGAACAATAATAATTTTTCACGCGCCATAATGTTTCTTTTTTTTTTCAATAAACAGCTTTCTATTTGCAAGCCAGTTCGAAATTTATATAAAACCTTTTATTAGTTGCCTCCTTGGTAGCAATGTTTCGAAGTAAAAGGTCATTCCATTTTTAAATTACAGGACAGATATGAGTTTACATAGTAATTTATCTGGCCGCAAAACACGACAGAAATGGATTTTCTTACAACTTTTGCCGGCCGCTGCCCGCATGTATCTGGCCAGTACGGCAATTTTGATTTATCTCGAAGAAGATTGTCAAAATAATGCTCACATTTCCAAGCATGTTTGAATATATATATGAAAACGAAGAGGTGACGGTATATTATGCAATTCAATTGTAACGAACGACGTGAACGTGGCTGCTGATTAGTGGGTCGTCGCAATTTGCTTCACACTTCACGCTCCTTTCAGCAACCATAGATTATGCAGTAACAACTTTTTAAATGGCCAGTAAATAAGTGTTACTAAAGTGTCGAGGAATATTTACATAATATATAATATTGACACATTATAAAAGATTCGACATTTCCATATTACAAATATCGTTTGAAAATTTGATATATTACTTTATTATATTATTTGATAGTAAAGAATTATTTTGCCACAACATTTGTAAAGGGTATCATGGGCGAAACAGTATACTCTGTTATGTCCATGGTACTGCTCACGTCTATAGGCGACGGTTACCACTTTCCATCAGGTGGGCCGTCAGCTTGTTTGCCATTCTAAGTTGTATAAAAAAAATTTACAATATCAATAATATACGTTCACGAGTATGACTCTCCGTCATACTCGTGAACAGCCATAACTGTTTCCCCGCTTACTTCTAAACCGCGCACAGTATTTCGATACGGGCGCCACTGCCATTTAGACATTTCTTAAGGAAGGTATGTACGTACAATTTGTAGTGCGAAACCGGGGCACGCCAGTAGTATGTTATGCTTACCATTTCAATTTCCGTCGTGACCACTTCCTCAGTAATCGAGTCTGAATGCGACGGCTCTTCCTATAAAAAGAAATAGTTTATTAATATATTTATCAAAGCACAAGGGAGTTCACCCTCACACCCTACAGCCTAAATGGTCGCGTACAACGCGGTTTCAGAGATGTCTCCTCCCACGAACACTCAGGTTATGGAATGAGCTCCCTGCCGAGGTTTTCCCAAGAGACTACAGCATGGGCTTCTTCAAAAGGGGGGTAAAGAGGTTTCTTCAGGGTCGGCAACGCGCGCGTAATACCTCTGGTATTGCAGGTGTTCATAGGCTACGGTAACCGCTTACCATCAGGTGGGCCGTATGCTTGTTTACCACCTCAGTGGTATAAAAACATTAACATTAAATATAATTGTGTGGTCCCAGCATAAAATAGTCTACCCCTTCCTTTCCTGTGGGTGTCGTAAGGGGCGACTAATGGAGGAAGAGGGATGGACAGCAGCGTCCCTCTTAAAACTTAGATGTTTTAAGAGATGCGCTGATTCTATTTGCTAATTTCTAACTGTATAATTATCAAAGGAAATGCCGTTTATTATTGTTGAAATGGTTAGATTAAGAAATAGAGGAACCGTGAAGCAGTTGTTTGCATGGCTGCGTTTCGGTTTGAAGGGTGGGATATGGCAGTGAATTTACAGGGTACAGAGAGATAACACCTGAGTCTTCATGAATGGCAACGCATGGGGGGTATCATGGGCGAAACAGTACACTCTATTATGTCCACGGTACTGCTCATGTCTATAGGCGACAGTTACCACTTTCCATCAGGTGGACCGTCAGCTCGTTTGCCATTCTAAGTTGTATAAAAAAATTAAAAAAAAAAAACACACAATTGCTTCACGGTTGATACACGAATGGGACAGAGGTGGCAAAGCAGACGACTTTTGTACAAAGTCTCCCTCTGGTGAATATAAAACTAAAGTAGTAACTCTAGGCTCAATATGCATTTGGTGTTCCTATAAATTAATAAATAAATAAATATACCTTCACTTCCTGTTCAATCTGATCATCAGAGCTGGGCATCTCGAGGGTCAGTTCAGCGGTTTCATCCTTCTTGAAGGCAGGCTTGTCCACAATCCTGAAATACATTTGTGGTGCATCGTTAAATGTAACGCCCATCACTACGGCAACCGGTCCAGGCGAGCCAAGGGTACGGCAGCCCGCGGGGTGAGCGGCCGACCTGCGACTAGACCAGATGCAAGCGCAGCGCGGCAGAACGCATCCAAACGAATCACAAGCAAGACCTGTGTCACTGCAGCTAGTATTTGATTAATTACGTCGCAGTTATAACATCCATAGATTCAAGTAACTTGGCAAACTCGGCAAGGAACAGGCCACTCCTTCTTTCCCTGTGGGTCTTTTTTTTTAATGAGTGAAAATGGAATGTATCCCCGCCTGCGCTATCGGTATACACTAGCAGGGCACCAGTGAGAGGTGATTGGTGAGGATGAAAGCAGGTCAGTTAGCCCATCGTGATGAATTCCATGGGAAATAACCACGATGGTTTCCAGGGGGAACCGCATGGAGGTCAACTTGATAGGGTAATGAGTCTTTTACTTTTAATATTTCTTTTTTATACAACTTAGGATGGCAAACAAGCTGACGGCCCACCTGATGGAAAGTGGTAACCGTCGCCTATAAACACGAGCAGTACCGTGGACATAACAGAGTATACTGTTTCGCCCACGATACCACCCATGCATTGCCATTCCTGAGGACTCAGGTGTTATTCCTCTGTACCCAGTAAGTTCACGCCATAACCCACCCTTCAAACCGAAACACAGCCATGCAAACACAACTGCTTCACGGTTGAAACACGAATGAGAATCTTATAGTTTTTTTTTTACCTACCCTAATGGGAGACAGGCGTGACAGATATGTATGTATGTATGTAGTTTTTTTTTCTTATAAATTTATAATTTTCAAACATACCTAGTATTTGTTTTGTGCATGGTCGCCACGGGCGGTATGTGTAAATCGATGTCCCTAAACGCGTACACATCTTCTGCTTTGATCTCTATGTCGTCGATGTCGACAGAGGGCGCTGCGGTCGCGGGCGCGAGCGGCACGGGAGATGCACTTGTGCTTGCTAGAAAGATATAAAGCTATAAACTCATACATGGCAAGTTTCGTGGCTTAATTTTTTAATCTGAGGACTCAGGTGTTATCCCTCGGTACCCTGTAAATTCACTGCCATATCCCTTCCTTCAAACCGAAACACAGCCATGCAAACACAACTGCTTCACGGTGGAAACACGAATGGAACGAAGGTAAACGACTTTTGTACAAAGTCTCCGTCTGGTAAACTTACTTACATATTTTCTGTTTACCTCTTTCTATTTCTCTTTTTGTCCCTCAAATTCTATTTCTGCCGAATTCTCTCTCTTTTTCACTCTCCTACTATCTATCTTTGCTCTCTCTATCATTCTTTTCATTAACTCCCTCTCTCTTTGTCTCTCCTACATTCCCTCTCTCTTTCTCTCTCCCTCAGTCTTCCTACTGATCTTACCTTTCAGCTGCTGCTCTAACTGCACAAGCTGGCTCTTGATGTGCTCTATCGCGGCGTGCTTGCTCTCGTGCTGCGTGGCACCTGATGGCGCAGACTTCTCCAGCAGCATCGACAGGGTGGGCGCCGTTGCTGAAGGTGATATTGTCTCTATGAAGACCCAGGGGGGTGGGAGTGTCAGTTTACGGATGAAAGGAGAACGGTCACCCCGCCGGTATATCGGTGTACGCGAGGCTCTAGTGCGGGATTAGCCGAGGATCAAGTCAGGTGTACTTCCACGCAGTTCCCTCCTAAACCGTCGCGTTTAATTCCTGGTGAATTCATCACGATGGGTTCAATGACCTGACTTCATCCTCACCTGTCATCCCTCACTGGTGCCCCGTCAGTGTATACCGATAGCGCAGGCGGGGTTACCATTCCACTGTCATCATTAAAAAAAAATTAGGGTTCATAGTGTGTCCTAAAAGATGTAAGTGTACATTGCGTACAAATTTTTTACCTTAAAAACATGTTAAGTCATAAAATTATGGGTGTCACAGAATACACTGTGCCGCCAGTGGTGCTTAGGTATTGACGCTGTTCATGTCTATACCATTTCAGCTGCTACCACATAATTATTTGAATGTATAATAAAATTGTAATTATTATTGTTGTTTTGTAGCTTTTTTTTTACAACACAGGGGGCAAACGAGCATGCGGCTCACCTGATGGTAAGTGACTACCGCCGCCCATGATCACCCACAACACCAGCGGCATTGCAGGTGTGCTGCCGGCCTTTTAAAAAGGAATATGCTGTTCTTGAAGGTTATGTTGTCGTATCGGTTTGGAAATACTGCTGCTGGAAGTTGATTCCAAAGAGTGGTTGTGCGTGGAAGAAAGTGCCTTGAAAAACGCACGGTGGAGGACCGCCACTTGTCCAGATAGTTGGGATGAAACTTTAGTTTGTGTCGGGTAGTACGATGGTGAAAATCAGCAGCAGGTATCAATCCGAACAATTCCTCAGAGCACTCCCCATGATAAATTCGGTGGAAGATGCACTTGTAGCTTAATAAATGATTTATTAGAATTATTTCTTAATATTATTAAATAATGGATGTGTATAATTCCAGGTTGCCTGTAAGAGATCGCTTCTAGCGACAAAGCCTCCTTTTGTATATGCACATTCTGTATAAATACTCCTTGTGTACTTTTTTTTTTATACAACTTAGAATGGCAAACAAGCTGACGGCCCACCTGATGGAAAGTGGTAACCGTCGCCTATAGTCATGAGCAGTACCATGGACATAACAGAGTACACTGTTTCGCCCATGATACCCCCCATGCGTTGCCATTCCTGAGGACTCAGGTGTTATTCCTCTGTACCCAGTAAATTCACGCCATATCCCACCCTTCAAACCGAAACACAGCCATGCAAACACAACTGCTTCACGGTTGAAACACGAGTGGGACAGAGGTACCCAAGCAATCGACTTTTGTACAAAGTCTCCCTCTGGTAATCTCTACATCTCTACTGTGCGCAATAAATAGTTTATTATTATTTAAATATATATTGCATTTAACATCACCCTTTTTATGGGGGTAACATGTCCAACCATGCGGGCCTTAGCCAAGCAATGGTTGACTTTAAATTATATATGGGGACGATGACAATAATGAGGAAAGAAATTTCCTGACTACGCGGCAGGTGTCTAAAGTGTCTAAATCTATTGTATAGGTAGGAATTTGTAACATATCTAAATGCTTGTGAAAATTTTTAGGCACGATTTCTATAGACGATAGTACTATATTATTATTGTTAATTCAAATACTAACCGACTACATTGGCGGGGTGTGAGATGTGTTGCGGGGTCGTCACCACGGGGGATGACTTCAGCAGGGACGTCAGCAGGGGGGACGACGGGGGCGCTGTTGTCGCTGCCAACAATAGTAATTATCAGTCATTGACCATCCACTGCTGGACCGGCCTACACCGGCTTGTTTATTAAATTGGTAAATAATACAAAATTTTGTAAACGTCGCCAATAAAAAAGCAAGTATGTAGGTACTATTTACCTGCAAAAGCATTTACATCGCGTCAAGTACCGATTGTGTATTTAAAATATGTGTAAAAAAGGCGAAAATTTAAAATTAACTATATGAGATGTCAGTATACAGATCACGGTCATGCGGACGAAGTAGCGGGTAAAAGCTAGTAATATTATGAAGAAGTCATTCATTCATTCCATTTTCATTTTTTAAACAAATACATAGGATACATTTTACTGTGTCATTACAATGCAAAAAAAAACTATATGTCACCTGGCGAGCTGGGAGTTTGCTGCGGCGGTCGCCAAGTACGATCCGCTCTGGCCCGTTTCTCCTCCCTTTCTTTCAGCCAGGCCGCGCGCCTAGCATTCTCTCGCTCCCTCGCACGCTTCGACGCTTCTATCGACGCCCATATTTCCTGAAGACGCTCCTCTGAAGTCGCCGGATTATGCACTTCGTTCACGATGTTCTGGAATAATTAATAATTAATAAAATAAAATTTTATAATGTAAAAATTTGACGTTCATAAGCGGCTAAAATGTCCTACATGAATAAATGATTTTTGAATTTTGAATTTTTTGAATTTTGAATATATATGTATATATCTTATATATAAAATTCTCGTGTCACGGTGTTTGTTACCAAACTCCTCCGAAACGGCTTTACCGATTTTTATGAAATTTTGTGTGCATATCGAGTAGGTCTGAGAATAGGCCAACATCTATTTTTCATACAGCCCCATTTTTTTTTTGACAATTTTTTTTATTTTTATTTTATTATAATTTAGCATTGATAAATACATACGTTTTAAATTTTCATCGTTTTACGATCAACCCCTGTATTTTAATTGCGATTTTTATATTTCGCAATAAGTGGTAAAACAACGTTTACGGGGTCAGCTAATATATATATATATATATATATATATATATATATATATATATATATATATATATATATATATCTTTTAATTATGAATTTCACATGTGATTTACATCTATAAGGTTTCTTTTTAGAGCTCCTCTGAGCACAGTCCGTTGTACAAGCGGTAAAACACTTAGAGTTATGTCAAATTTTTCCTAAGACATTGGACAATCTCGATACTACTGTTAACCATTCGTAAAATAAGACGTTACAAATTGAAATTAATCGTCCGGCAACGGTTATTAGTGGACTGTATGAAAATTATTACGACGATAGTAAGTAAATAATGAACACAAGAGAATAATGAAGGTGGAGACCACTGACTTGAATCTTTGTAGTTAGCAGGATTCGGTTCTGGCTTTAGGCTTCCCAGTACTTCTGGTTCGTTCGAACTTACCCTCAGATCCGGGTTACCTATCCACCGCCTTGAACCGACCAGCAGTGCAATGCCCTCCTCTCAATCAGCCTCTTGGTTATGGGTTATATAATTAAAAGCGATACGAAACGATATATTAATTTATACGATATTCGCGGCAATATATGCACGCGCGTGATAATATTCGAAAACGAGAACGACGACAACGAACGTACGTTCTACCGACACATTCGATAACAATAGACAAGACTTTTTTTTTCTTTTTTACGATATTGTTGCCAGGCGAAATTTATTAAAGCTACAATTTTTAACAACTACTTATGATATAAACATACCGTGAGCTGTTCGTACTGCTGATTCAACTCTGCCAATGTCTTTTGTATTTCCACTATGCGTTCCTGTGTCAGCCTCTTCAGGATGCTCTCCTGTGGTGTCTCCACAGCGCTCTCTGAACTACGCTTCTTCCGTTTTGGTGTCTCGACGTGTTCTAATAACGCACCATATTGCGCTGCACAGCTGGAACCAAAATATTACATGTTTACTATCTATCTATCTATCCTATTTAAGAGCTGCGCTCTTGTCGGTGGAGCTCTTGCCACTCACTACGATTTTCAGCGAGTCTCTTCACCTCTTGATACGACACGACACCAACTCCTTCCTTGATCTGCCTGATGTAACTATGTCTCGGTCTCCCTCTCCCCCTCCTTCCTTCTATCTTACCTTCTGTTATAATGTTCATAAGTTCGTCGTGTCGTATCAAGTGTACCAACATTTTTCCCCTTCTGTCCATGATTACTATATTTAACTGAAATTAAATAAATCATTGTGTGTTGCCAGCATAGAATTGGCTATCCCTTCCTTTCCCGTGGGTGTCGTAAGAGGTGACTAAGGGAACTTAATGGTCTAGGAATGGGAAGCATCCCTCTTAAACATCATCTAAGGCTAACTGTGGTTGCTAGCCCCACCAGTGTATACCGATAGCGCAGGCGAGGTGACCATTCCATTATCATCCAACAAAAAAAAAACTGTGGTTGCTAACCCACCGGCCAGGGGGGAAAGGGATTGTTAGTTAGCACAGGCAGGTTTAACATTTCATTTTCACTCATCAAAAAAAAAGTCATACCCTTCAAGGCTGGGCATAGTCACCCAGGTGTACCGAGACTTCAACAAAAATTAAAATAAAAAAAAACCATTTCAAAATCCATGTGTTGTTGTGTGTTTAGAAGATGTAAGTAGAAAAACAAACACATGTAGACGATAACTTTGTTTTATAATATTTAGAAGTTTTTTCCCATGGGACACAAGGTCCTTAAGCGTGATTAATAATAGTAAACAGATTATATGAATAACCCCATACCAGTATACCATAGCCAAGCAATTTACATAACAAAATACTATATTGTTAAAGAATCGAATAACTTTTTACACCCCTTCTGTGGTCCCTATTGACCTTGTAGGTACTGTTTTTATACATTTTTTTTAAAGCTAAGTAAAAACAGCCATTCTTTTTTTAAATATTTCTTTATTTTTCACCAGGAAATCATTGATAGTTTCCAGGACCATGTGGAGGTTGAATATGATAGACAGAGCATCTATAACAATGGCATAATTAGACCCCATTACTAACAATAATATTCTCTGTCCCGTTCCTATGTGTTACTTTGGTGCTGATAGGGCTTTGACCTCCATTTTCTTTATCCATTTGCATTATTATTATTATTTCAGCCAATAACTGTCTACTGCTGGACATAAGCCTTCCCCATAAGAGGAGCTTTGCTAGTAGTTGCCATGCTTTGCATGTGGGTTGGCAACCACAGTTAGGTTTTAGAAATGTTTTAAGAGGGATGCTACTGCCTATCCCTCGCCCTATAAACAGCGCCTTATAAATCATACGAATGACCTGGCTGGAGAACTACTCACAGCACAACAATGTACAAGACTGAGACAATGGCTTGTACTGAACCTTGACACTAGAGTTTGAAGAGCTCTACAAAATCATTCTGAAAGAGCTGTCAGTGGACTGCTTCTCAAAACGCTAATTTTCACACATGACACTATCTGATTATGGCTGTTATGGAAGAGCTGATTGCAGATACCAAGAGGAAAAAAAATCCCTCGCCCTGTCTTAGTCACCTCTTACAACACCAACAGGAAAGGAAGTAGTCCATTCTTTCGGGCCACACATGGCAATTCATATCCATTGTATATTTATTTAAATGTAATTTAAATTTCACTTTTAACTAAATAAAAATGAACACTTATACATACAAATATGAATAAAAAGGATGTAAAATATAAACTTCCTCTGATGGACTTAGTCCACTACTGTATACATGTAACTTAATTAAAAATGTATGACCACAAATAAGATAGTATTATATTTTTAGTTACCATAATCGTTGATATTTTTTTTTTTAAATTATTAGCACTTAGAAAGCAAACGCACAATTCTTACCACTTTTGTGAGTACCAGTCTGGTGGTCGATTTGGTTCCCCGACGGTTTTAAGTGCCCGCGAAACAGACATCCAGTTCTGGTCACCGCTTCTAACAACGGCCGACGCGAGGCATAACTGCTCCCTAATAATCCAAGTGTCTAATGGGACCCTTTTCAGCTGTAATCTTTCTTGTATTGAACTCATATTAGGTTATGTCTATTTAAACGTAATTTTAAGGTATAATTTAATGTATTTTATTCATTATTATAATAAATAATCTAGACAGTTATTATAAATTTAATTTAATAAGGGTCAATTTTTTCTGATTGAATTAATAATAATAAACTTGTGTTTGAAAACAATGTTAATATTGAATACAGATAACTTTTTGAGACTTTTGAGTCACACAGAGTAGGTTGTGATAAATGCTATCCTTAATCTATATTCTTGCCACGGACTATGAGACTGACTTTGCTTCGAATTAAATTGTAATAATTTTTTTAACATACTAATTAAATACATAAGTCTAAGAGTATAAGTTTTATAAAAACTCTATGAACATTAATTAATTTTTTGCAGAAACTTTTAGGTATTTGCACAAATTTTTGTTTTGTTTTGTCATTATAAAAACAGTGGCGGTTCTTATGTAATGTAATGACTTAGAACGCTTGCTTGACATTAATTTCATTGAAATTAAGTAAAAAGTTGGCATGACACTACACTTATAATTATATAATGTGGAAATTGATGTTATGCTACCATTTTGTTTAGATGGTACAATATTTTATTACTTTTTTTTTTTTTGTATGACACGGCACAAACTGCATCCGCCAAAAACAAAGTTTGGGAAATAATTACTACTTGAAGTCATGGGTGTTTTCTTCTAGTTATCTGTCCCGTTATAAAGTACGAATACATGAATATGTGATCCTGGTCTCTCTAGCCACTTATTTATTGGTTAATTTTTTTTATACCAACTTCCTTTATCCTTTTTTTTTCTCGATCTTTTCCTTTACAATATCCGCCATATTATCAACAATTGCAATTTCAAGGAATGTTAATATCAGGAAGGTATTTAACCTCAAATTTAAAATTAATAATTGAGATGCTATGTTAGAATTTTTTTATCATAATATTTATTTATTTATATATATATTTTTGGTGAGTCTTATAGTTTTTACCAATGCACTTACTAAAAATAAAAAATCAAACATTATAATAATACAATATTGAAATCTAATTATGTTATATAAAATAAATATTAAAAATGCATTTCTGCGTAATTTGTTGCCGTTCTGCAAAACTTAATACAAAACTTAGCTACTACCTCATTGAGCAGACATAGCGCCCTCTTGAGTGGCGCCTAACTAGCATGAAATGTCCTGTTGCGTGGTAGGGCAAATATTCCGTGATTATGGTCACGCTTGCTGATGTCTGGGACAGACATGCTTATGAGATTCAACACAAACGCATTGCACTTTACTCTTTTAAGTACACTGTAGAAGTATTCTAGCAGAGAAACAAGTCGCTTTACTTCTAGGGAATTTTATTCTACCATACCCAACAGAAAAGTACTACGATATATATGAGGATAACCTACATGATACTCACACTGTTTACGGTACAGCCATCTAACAAACTTCTTCTGTAATTTTACTATCATCTGTGTATATTTGGTTTCATGTAGTTCTAGATGATTGCATATAGACGATTCCATAGATTTTAGAGTTTTTTTTTTTAATGAAACTGACGCGTCACGCAGACGCAATTAGACGAGTCGAGTCGCCATTCATTTATTAAAAATACGATACTGAAACTACAAGATAGTTTTCTATTTTGGAATATTATTTTTTCAAATTTCCTTAAATTTAATTCTGTAAAACATTTTACAATGTGTCCATGAAAAGAATAATCTAATTATTTTATCCAAAATGAGAGATCTTAAAGCTTGTAGGTGCTGTTTAATTACAAATGTTAAATTGGAGAAGATCACTGATATTCAAAACAGGATTTACACGGCTGTTAGCGGTTTGGAGGTAACATTAAATTGATACATACATACGTATCTGTCACGTCTCTCCTATGGGGGGTAGGCAGGAACAATGTAACCAAGTTCTCTAAGTAGTCTGTAAATGTAACGCCAAGTGCTTTCATTTAAACAGACCTCTTTCGCTTACTTTACATTCATTACTTTATTCATACACACGCGCCGGTTATGGGCGCTTGCCCTTCAGCACGTCACCATCTTGGTCCGTCTAGGGTGTTCCTACCATTATCTCAATTCATTCATGCTCGATATATCTCTTTGGTAATTCTTTCATCCATCCATCTGTTTCATAATTCTTTTTTATCTAGAGTTTTATTGATAATTAGGTACAATATATATGCTTACGCCTATAATCTCTAAAGGGGTCTTGTAACTACAAGCATTTGCTGATTGTTGATGTTTTAATAGATACATAAATTTATTTGCCACAACACTGTTTTTACAGATCTTGATTTATTGTAAAGTTCAAATGTTCACCTTATAGTCTCTAGCAGGGGTTCCTAAACTTTGAAGATGACAGAACACCCACCAAATACCTTTTATTTTATGGAACCCCATATCAAATGATTACAATTAAAAACCACTTTAATTTAAATAAAAATAAAAGCTTTTATTAGAAATATTTTGAAAGTATAACACTTTATAGTTTAGAGGCTGTGGCCCATCAATGTTTAGAAATCCTCAGAACGGTGAGGTCGCTCCGTGAGGCCTGTGAAGAACCCAGGAAGCCTCTGCGCTTCTAGGTGGAGCTAGGTTGGCTGTACTAGCCACGACTCACACGCACAACGGCCCAAACGAGAGGCTAAGCGCGGAAAATAGAGTCTTTCTCACATTACACATTACTTTATAGTTTAATTTTTAATGCGAATGAAATTGTTTCACTGTATAAATAATTTCACGGGACCCTAGTGACTTTTTTACTGAACCCACTTTAGGAATCGCTGGTCTGTAGCATGCATATTCATTGATATAGGTCCAAGTTATAATACTTAACTATTTCAACTAAACTAAACTAAATTTTGTGGTGCACGTATCATTTCTGATGTCCGCATCTCGTTTAGCATATAAAAATAATATTTTTGTCTCAAAAAATATTGCATTCAGTAATAAGATTGTCCTATACAAGTATATACTATCAAAAACATAAATGTGAAAAAGAGTCAATTTTAAAAATATAAATAGTTGGCAAATACTGGCAAAACTCCCCTTATGGGGAAGGCTTATGTTCAGCAGTGGACTGTCCACTAACGGCTAAAATAATAATAAAAAAATATTTATAAATATATAAAAAAAAATTTTTACAGATACATCCACAGGATGGGTACCCAAACTACTTGTGTGCGGAATGCCAGACCGAGATAAAGAAGGCCATGCATTTCAGGAGGAAAGTGAGGAGAGCACATTTTGTCATGAAGGAAATCATGATGGTGAAGAAAGAGGTGAAGATTACGTTTTTTTTCATGTGGTGATCGATCTGATAGGGTATATTGGGAGGAAGGAGATTGTTTTTTTTTATGGGTGTAAATAGTATATTAGCCCCGCCTGCGCTAACGGGATACGCTGGCGGTGATAGATGACAATGAAAACAGGCCAGTTAGCCCATCATGATGAATTCATTTGGAATTAATCATAATAGTTTGCAGGGGGAACTGCGAGGAGGTCGACCTGGTTGGGTATATTGCTAGCAATGGGATTCTCAGTCTCCATTACTAACAATCCCTTTCCCCCTGAGAGGGTATATTTAATGGGTGAAAATAGAATGGTAACTCTACTTGTATGATAGCATATGCTGGTGGGACACCAGTGAGCGGTGATGGATGAGGATGAAAGCAGGTCATTTAATCTATCATATCAATCCGTGCCCACCCCACATTTGTCCAGTGCCCATCTGATGATGCAAGTGGAGCTTTCAGATATATGCAAACATACCATTTCATTAATTATTAAAAAAATATTAAAATTGGTATAAATTTAAATAAGTATGCATGCGACTGGCAACACTAGAAGATTGACCACCATTATTACTACCAGAAGTTTCACAACCTTCCATACTAGCTATCAATCTCCGACCACTATTCAGTCTACGCACGTATTGCGACACTTGTTACACCTCTAACCGAGGCATCTAGACAAATTAATAGCTCACTTATTATTATTTACAGCTAAATCTATCAGATATAAGAAAAGTGGACAGAAGGAAGACAAATTTAAAATCCAATTTGGGCAGAAGTGTGGTAGATAAACACTTTTATTATACTATAAACAGCGAAGACGAGAATGTAATGAACCAAGAAGATTTAGACTTAAACACTAATACATTTAAGTTTGAAATTAAATCGGAAAGTATCGATGAAGACTCCATGATGATTGGTATTGATGCAGAAGTAGACTACGAGGAAATGATAGATAATATAGAAGTGACAGAAGTGGAAGAGGAAATTGTAAATGGACAGGAGAGTTCGGGTAATATAGATACAGCAGATGTCTTCAAGGAACTCAACAAGGATAAATTGGAGAACAGCGGAGAAGGTGAGTTGAATGGAGAACAAATTGAAATAAAATCCTTAAACAATTGTTCTATTTTTATCATACTGTATAATTATGTTAGTGTTTCGGTTTGAAGGGTGCGATATGGCAGTGAATTTACAGGGTGTAGAGGAATAACACCTGAGTCCTCAGGAACGGCAACGCATGGGGGGTGTCATGGGCGAAACAGTATACTCTGTTATGTCCATGGTACTGCTCATGTGTATAGGCGACAGTTACCACTTTCCATCAGGTGGGCCTTCAGCTTGTTTGCCATTCTAAGTTGCATAAAATTAATTAATAGGCGCGTGCATTAATATTGTATTATATTTAATGTTTGTTATATATTTTATAATGCAATATGCTGTTGGTGTTTCTATAAATAAATAAAAAAATGGTGATTCAGAATTGGCGCCATTATTTAAGTGTTTTTTTTTTTTTTTTTTGTTATAGAAGAATTGCCAACGATAGAGGATACACAACACAACGACAGGAATGTTTTCAAAACGCCAAAAGAGGGCGCTAGTCTGTTGAGTCGTTACAACGTTCGAATTATGAGTTTGGAGGAGCAGAAGAATATCTTTAACACAAGATTAAATACGGAGCCTTTCAAATCGTCCAAATACAAGTGTCGATTGTGCATTAAAATATTTAGGACACTGGAAGAGCTCCTGTCGCATGTCAATACTCATCCGAAGGGGGTGAGTAATTTTTTTTGTTATTACTGTTGCAGCCTCCGACCGATTTTCTTACAAAAACAACACGATAAAAAAAAAGAGTACAGAGTTATACTTTTTTTTTTATACAACTTAGAATGGCAAACAAGCTGACGGCCCACCTGATGGAAAGTGGTAACCGTCGCCTATAGACATGAGCAGTACCATGGACATAACAGAGTATACTGTTTCGCCCATGATACCCCCCATGCGTTGCCATTTCTGAGAACTCAGATGTTATTCCTCTGTACCCAGTAAATTCACGCCATATCCCACCCTTCAAACCGAAACACAGCCATGTAAAAACAACTGCTTCACGGTTGAAACACGAATAGGACAGAGGTACCCAAGCAAGCGACTTTTGTACAGTCTCCCTCTGGTAAAATATATATATATATATATATATATATATATATATATATATATATATATATATATATATAACTAATTTAATTAACATTTGGTGTTACAGATGCGCTACAAGCATACGTGCGAGGTGTGCAAGTCGCAGTTCAGCACAGCGGCCGAGCTGGACGCCCACCGCACCTGGACGCATCTCTACGAGTATTCGTGCATCAAGTGCAACAAGAAGTTTTACTTTTCGTGAGTTGTACACTTTTTTGTTTACACTTCAATCCTATTTGGAACCATAGATTATAGGGATAGAGCCATCAAGTGTAAAAAAAAACCAGTCAAGTGCGAGTCGGACTCGCGCAACGCGGGTTTCGTTAAAAATTATCAAATTTTTTTTTGTTTGTGAAATAACTACATATTTACAGTTTTCGGATTTTTTCTTTCACTTGTACTACATGACATTGCGACAAGGTTATCACTAATTTCGGTATCGCCTGCCATATTATATAGCCCTTAATTTTCTATTGCAGAACGTAGGCCTTCCCTATTGGGGAGTTTTGACAGTAGTTGCCACGCTTGGCAGGCAGGTTGGCAACCGCAGTTAGGCTTTTACAGATGTTTTAAGAGACAACACCAAAGGCATTTGTTATTATTATTTCTTTAACTGTCCACTGCTGGACATAAGCCTTCTCCATAAGGGTAGTTTTACCAGTAGTTGCCACTCTTGGCAGGTTTGGTAACCGCAGTTAGGCAGCGAGGAAGGGATTGTTAGCAATGGCGTTTGACAGCCCCATTGCCAGCAATATGCCCTATTAGGTCGACCTCCACGTGGTTCTCCCTGGAAATTAATAGTGAACAATTCTTGTTGAATTCGTCACAATGTTCTAACTGACCTACTTCATCCTCACCTATCATTCTTCACTGGTGCCCCGCCGGTGTATACCGATAGCGCGGATGGGGTTACCATTCCATTATCATCCATAAAAAAAAACCGCAAACCTTTACAGATGTTTTAAAAGGGACGTTATTGCCCATCTCTCCACCATAAGCTCCCTTAGTCGCCTCTTACGACACCCATAGGAAAGCAAGGGGTGGCCCATTCTATGCCGGGACCTATCGCCCACCAGTTGATTTTATGTTTTGTCATATTTCAGAAACCATGCGGAGAAACACAGGCGTAAACACAAACCCACCACTCGTTATAGGAAAAAAACTAAGAATGTTGAAGATTTGGCGAACCACTACACTATAGTGCCTCTCGACCCAGACACCATGTATAAGGTAATTTATTTTTAAGCACTTTTTTTTTATACAACTTAGTATGGCAAACAAGCTGACGGCCCACCTGATGGAAAGTGGTAACCGTCGCTTATAGACATGAGCAGTACCATGGACATAACAGAGTATACTGTTTCGCCCACGATACCCCCCATGCGTTGCCATTCCTGAGGACTCGGGTGTTATTCCTCTGTACCCTGTAAATTCACGCCATATCCCACCCTTCAAACCGAAACACAGCCATGCAAACACAACTGCTTCACGGTAGAAACACAAATGGGACAGAGGTACCCAAGCAATCGACTTTTGTACAAAGTCTCCTTCTGGTAAGCATGATGACTAAGGAATGCTAACTCTGCCTCCATTAACGGTATTCTAATAATAATAATAAAAACAAACATAGAATAATATATCTATAAAAATATACATACCCAAATCACATACAATACATATGTAAATAACTATACATAGTGTATATTGAATTATTAAATATATAAAACATAACTAATTATATAATAGTACAGATGGAGACTTTTCATATATATATATATATATATATATATATATATATATATATATATATATATATATATATATATATATATACTTATTACGTTCCTTTTCATCCCTCATTGGTGCCTCACCACCTTTAGCGCGGGCGGGGTTGCCATTTCATTATTATTCATAAAAAAAAATAAAGAGTATCTATCTCTCAAATAGATGGCGACACCGCCGGATGAAGACACTGTAATACGGATGCGAAGAAAAATTGAACGCGCATGCGAAAGGATAAGGAGGACCTGGAAAGGACGCGGGAGAAAACCTTTGGTGAGTCAAAATCATCATACCAGCTGTCGACTGCCCACTGCTGGACATAAGCCTCCCCCATAAGGGCAGTAACGCCTGTAGTTGCCACGCTTGGCAGGCGGGTTGGCAACCGCAGTTAGGCTTTGGTGTTGCCTTAAGAGGGACGCTGCTGCCCATCCCTCGACCAATAAGTTCCCTTAGTCGCCTCTTACGACACCCACGGGAAAGCAAGCGGTGGCCTATTCTATGCCGGGACCACACGGTTCCGGTGCTTTTATAAAATTAATTTTATGTTATGCAACTTTGAATGGTAAACAAGCTGATGGTCTACCTGATGGAAAGTGGTAACCGTCGCCTATAGACATGAGCAGTACCATGGACATAACAGTGTATACTGTTTCGCCCATGATACCCCCCTATGCGTTGCCATTCCTGAGGACTCAGGTGTTATTCCTCTGTACCCAGTAAATTCACGCCATATCCCACCCTTCAAACCGGAACACAGTCATGCAAACACAACTGCTTCACGGTAGAAATGTTATTTTTTAATCTAATGTTTTGTTATTCTAATGTTTTTTTTTGTATTCTAATGTTTTTTTTGTATTCTAATGGTGTTTTTTGTATTCTAATGTTTTTTGTATTCTAATGTTTTTTTTGTATTCTAATGGTGTTTTTTGTATTCTAATGGTTTTTTTGTATTCTAATGTTTTTTTTATTCTAATGGTGTTTTTTTTGTATTCTAATGGTTTTTTTTATTCTAATGGTGTTTTTTTTGTATTCTAATGTTTTTTTTGTATTCTAATGTTTTTTTTTTAATTCTAACGTTTGTTTTTTTTACTTTTCAGATACGTAAGCTGAAGTGTGACATATGCGACGAGACGTTCCTGAGGCGGTTGGCTCTAATTCTGCACATGGAGATGGCGCATTTGTTTAAATACGAATGTAACCACTGTGACTCTGTACAGTATAGCAGGTAAATGAAGTGCCGTGTGGTCCCGGCGTAGAACGGACCACCCTTTCTTGTGGGTGTCGTAAGGGAACTTAACGTTTTTTTTTTCATGAATAAAGGCGGGGTTTTTAGTTTTATTTAAAAATGTGCCAAATTATATATCTACTTGTATCTGAAGTTTTTTCTTTTAACGTGAAAATGAAATGGTAACCCCACCTGCGCTATCGGTATACGCTGGCGGGGCACCAGTGAGGGGTGATAGGTGAGGATCAGGTCAGATCAAGAAGCAGGTCAGTTAGCCCATCGTGTCGAATTCCTTTAGAATTAACCGCGATAGTTTCCAGGGGAACCGCGTTGAAGTCGACCTGATAGGGTGTATTGCTAGCAAAAGACCCCATTACTAACAATAACAATTCCTTCCCCCCCCCCCATCCCTCACTGTATGGATGTGAGACGTGGACACTAACTCAGAAAGGAATAGATAAAATTAGAGCCTTTGTTTTATATATATATATATATATATATATATATATATATATATATATATATATATATATATATATATATATATATATATATATATATATATATATATATATATATATTAAATTCCAGACAAACATTTTATATTTAATTTAATTTTTGTCCCCGATCTTAGCCTGTTTATCTTAAAAAAAATTTTGACAAGATTTCGACACTATGGTAGTAAAAATAACCGAATAAAAAAAAGAAGAAGTAAATTGTTTGATTATGTTTTGTGATTTGAAGATTTATTTATTCATTAGTACAAATATGTGTACATGGCGGACTTAATACTAAAAGCACTCTCTCCCAGTCAACCAAAGGGAAGTGGCAGAATACTCGAATGCGGTACTAGTAATTATTGATATACATACATACTAAAATTACATATATAAACGAATAAATATATATAAATAACAAATATACTTACACATATATGACATATACTATATTATACACGAAATTGAGAATAATATATTGTAGGTTTTCTGGCATTAAACGTTTTCTATTCTATTTTAAATATTTATTCATTCATTCAAGACACTCGATGTTGTATCAATAAGTAAGTTTAAGAAATAAATGTTTCCAGGAAGTGCGCCAGGAAACACTTGGCGGTACACGTGGAAGAGAAAGAAGAGCCACCAAAGAATATATACATATCGTGTCAGTACTGCAGCAGGAAAGTGCGGTGAGTGAATTTTTACTATACAACGCCATCTAGTGACAAACTGCTGGCTATCAAAGTTCACAACCTTCTACCAAGCTACATCAAAAGAAATAACAGAATAATAACTCATACAGTGTTTAAACGTAAAATTAAGGATTGGTTGTTATTTATTTATTTATTTTATGCTTTATAGCTTCAAGTAAAAAGAAAACCAGAGGGAGACTTTGTACAAAAGTCGATTGCTTGGACACCTCTGTCTCATTCGTGTTTCAACCGTGAAGCAGTTGTGTTTGCATGGCTGTGTTTCGGTTTGAAGGGTGGGATATGGCGTGAATTTACAGGGTACAGAGGAATAACACCTGAGCCCTCAGGAATGGCAATGCATGGGGGGTATCATGGGCGAACAGTATACTCTGTTATGTCCATGGTACTGCTCATGTCTATAGGCGAAGGTTACCACTTTCACGATACCTGTAGGAAAGGAAGGGAGGCCTATTCTATGCCGGGACCACACGACGGGAATTTTCTTTTTTATGCAACTTAGAATGGCATATAAGCAAACGGCCCATCTAAAGGAAAATAGTAACCGTCACCTATAGACATGAGCAGTACCATGGATATAACAGAATATACTGTGTATGTGGGGTACCACGCGTTGCCATTCCTGAGGACTCAGGTGTTATTCCTCTGTACCCATTAAATTCACGCCATATCCCACCCTTCAAACCGAACACCAGCCATGCAAACATAACTGCTTCACGGTAGAAACACGAATGGGACAGACTTCGCAACAAGCAATCGACTTTTGTACAAAGTCTCCCTCTGGCAAGATCTCCCTTATGGGGGAAGCCTATGTTTAACAGTGCACATAGGCTTCCCCAATTAATGGCTGATGTCGCCATATTGATTATTGTTAACAGTAAATCGACCATATCGTTCCACATCAAGAGATACCACTTTGCAATACACCACAACCTGTCCTGCGCCGGCTGCGGGCTCACCTTCACTAATCTATACAGTCTGTATCACCATCAGTTGACAGTGCATAGACAATATGTCGTGAGTATCCTCTTTCTTCTTCTTTCTAGATTTTTTTTTAATGGTTATCAACCATATGGATCGGTAACCCCGCCTGTGCTATTGGTATACGCCGGCGTGGCACCAGTGAGGGATGATAGGTGAGGATGAAAGGAGGTCAGTTAGACCATCGTGCTGAATTCGACGATAAATTCGTCAGGACGTCGACCTGATAGGGTATATTGCTAGCAATGGGGCTGCTATACCCCATTACTAACAATCCCTTTCCCCCTCTATTACAGATGATGAAGACTTTAATCTATTAATGAGTAGCAGGGGGAGCCGCGTGCAGGTCGACCTGATAGGGTGTATTGTTAGTAATGGGGAAATTAGATCCCATTACTAACAATCCTTTCCCCCTTCCCCATTTTCTACATTTTTTAATGGGTGATAATGGAATGGTAACCCCGCCTGCGCTACCGGTATACGCTGGCGGGGCACCAGTGAGGCGTGACAGGTGAGGATAAAAAGGCAGGTCAATTAGCCCATCGTGGCGAATTCCACTAGAATTAACCATGATGGTTTCCAGGGGGAGACGCGTGGAGGTCGACCTGGTAGGGTGTATTGCTAGTAATGGGGAAATTCGACCCCATTACTAACAATCTCTTTCCCCCTCTTTCTAGAACCTTTCTGTACTGCTCATATCTATAGGCGACGGTTACCACTTTCCATCAGGTGGGCCGACAGCTTGTTTGCCATTCTATGTTGTATAAAAAAGTATTATTTCCTGCAGCCAATGAAGAAAGCTGCGGATAGCGAATTTGGTTGCACGCATTGTGATTTTGGATTCCTAACCAAGGAGGCGCTGCAACTGCACCAAGTGAGGAGCGAGCACGAGGAGGCGAAGGATGTACCGTAAGTATTTTAATTTCGTGTGGTCCCTTCATAGAATAAGCCACTCCTTTCCCGTGAGTGTCCTAAGAGGCGACTAAGGGAGGGCGAGGGATGGGCAGCAGCGTCCCTCCTAAAACATCTCCAAAGCCTGACTGCGGTTGCCAATCCGCCTGCCAAGCGTGGTAGCTACTGGCAAAACCCCCCAAGGGGGAGGCTTATGTTCAGCAGTGGACAGTTAAAAGCGGATATGATGATGATTTTATTTCAACAGTGGGGCTGTCAAACTCCATTGCTTAGTTTGCACAATAACGGTCGGAGATTGATGGCTAATACGTATATGGATGTTGATGTGAAGGATGCGTGTTTATAGTATGGCTGCGTTGATAAGCCGCGTAACGATGATGTTTATCAAGCGATGAAAATAAGCAGTACAAGTAGCTAGCACAGTGGTTTAATGCACAGGAAGATTACACACAATACAGTCAACAACACAATAGATAGAAGGAGTGAAAGAAGGATGATACAGTGATAGACAAAGATGAAAGTTAATAAGCACGATGTTAACATTTAGAAAGCAGTGAGATATCGAGCGACACAAGTTATAAACAAGGCGGTAGAATTTCGACTCTCGCGGTGAGAGGGGAAGCGCTCACGCAGTTGCCCTGTCATGGCGGCTAAAAACCGGTTTTGTGCACATCTCCAATGCACAACGCGGTGTGTCGTCCGATACGACATTTTTGTCAGTTATAGAATAAATATATAATAAAATATAAATTATGTATGTATGTGTGTTTGTGTTTATAATGTTTATATAATAATTATGTAGATATAAATATGTGTGAGTAGGCTATATCACTCCCCTCCAAAGACCGTAACTACGGGCGATGAAAAAATATGCTCACGACCACATTTCATGATGGGGTAGTCAGAGGAATTATGGGCAATAGTAGTCAGGAAATCGAACTACGCGTCCCGAACGGGTCTTTTTAATGGTACCCTGAGCAAGTTTATCCTGCTGAACAGGATCTGGGTTAGGTGGGGGAATGGGAGTAGGAATAGGTACGGATTGAGGCGAAGGGGATGGCTCTGTCAGTATGTAGGCCGGTTTGAGGCGGTCTATAGATACCGTGACTGCTTTACCCTTAACCAATATCCTAAATGTTTTATTGTTACGTTCGACCACTTCGTATGGACCGGTATAGGGGGGTTGTAAAGCACCTCGAACTGAATCGTCTCGTAAGAAGACGTGACTAGATGACTGCAGATCTTTGTAAATGAAGATTTTATCTTTATTGTGACGCGACGCGGGAGATGGTTGCAATTTCACCGCGAATTGACGTAAACGGGTAGTGAAGTCTGAAATGTCGGTGGACTCAGGTACTGTCGCCTGGAAAAATTCTCCTGGGAGACGTAATGGTTCGCCATACACTAATTCGGCTGATGATGCATGTAAGTCCTCTTTATAAGCCGACCTAACACCTAAGAGCACTAACGGTAAGGTGTCTACCCAATTCACATCAGCGTGGCACATAATGGCAGCTTTTAATTGCCGGTGAAAACGTTCCACCAAGCCGTTACATGCTGGGTGATACGCGGTTGTTCTACGATGTTTGAATCCAATCATTTTTCCAAGATATTGGAAAAGTGCGGATTCAAACTGTCTACCGCGATCAGTGACAATATCAGTTGGACATCCAAATCTGGATATCCACGATAATAATGCCTTCCCAACGGTTTCAGCTGTCATATCTGTCATCGGAATGACTTCGGGCCAGCGTGTGAAACGATCTACTACTGTAAGGCAGTAGCGATAGCCTTGTGATGGTGGTAATGGGCCTATGATGTCCGTATGGATAAAAGCGAATCGTGCGCGAGGTAGATTGAACGTGCCTAAGGGAGTTGACACGTGACGATTTACCTTTGCACGTTGACAGGCTAGGCAATTTCGTGACCATTCTCGACAGTCTTTACGCACTCCTGGCCAGACGAATCGCTCAGCGACAAGTTGAGCGCTCGCGTTAGCGCCTGGGTGGCTAAGACTATGTAGACTATCGAAAAGTTGTTTACGAAATTGCTTCGTCACAAAAGGTCTTGGTGATGGAGTGCTCACGTCACAAAACAGTTCAATGTTACTGTTAAGCATTTTTAACTTCTTTAGGCGGAGTGATAAATCACCACCTAATATTTCAGTTAGCTCATTATCGGAAGCTTGTGACTTTGCCAATAAACTTAAGTCGATTGGCATCTGCAGTTCATCGATACGGGACAGTGTATCGGCTACGACATTGTCCTTGCCTGAGATGTGTCGTATGTCAGTTGTGAACTGCGAGATGTAATCGAGATGACGGAACTGACGGGGCGAACAGTTGGCTTTTCGTTCACGGAAAGCGAAACTGAGCGGCTTGTGGTCAGTGTACACCACGAAATGTCGAGCTTCCAGCATATGGCGAAAGTATTTAATGCTTTCGTAGATGGCTAAAAGTTCGCGGTCATAGGGCGAGTATTTTTGTTGAGAGGGACTCAATTTCCGCGAAAAGAAAGCAAGGGGTTGCCATTGATTGTTCTTGAATTGCTGCAAAACTGCACCCATAGCTAAATCAGATGCGTCTGTTACCAGAGCAAGATTAGCCTGACAGTCTGGGTGTGCGAGTAATGCAGCATTAGAAAGGCTTTCTTTGCATTGTTCGAAAGCAAGAAGAGTGTCGTCGCGTAAATTGACTGGATGGGATCCTTTCACTGAACCAGCGAGTAAGGCGTTTAAGGGAGCTTGAATTTGAGCGGCTTGCGGTATAAATCGCCTATAAAAGTTCATCATCCCCAAAAAGCGCCTTAGTTGCTTGACGTTTATTGGTGCAGGGAATTCCTTGATGGCCTGAACCTTGGAATCTAGAGGTTTAGTTCCTGACGCAGAGATATGGTAACCTAAAAATGTGACTTCACTTACACCGAATACGCACTTTGATGTATTGATGAGGATACCGTATTCCTTCATGCGGGTGAAGAGCTGCTGAAGGTGGGATTCGTGCTCGGCTTCATCTCTGGAGTACACTAGAAAATCGTCAAGATAACAATAACAAAAATCAAGCCCTCTAGTCATTTCGTCGACAAATCTTTGAAACGTTTGGCCAGCATTACGTAGACCAAACGTCATAAACGGGAACTCATATAGTCCGAAAGGTGTGGCAATTGCAGTTTTCGGTATATCTTCCTCAAAAACCGGGATCTGGTTATAAGCTTTAACTAAATCTATTGTGGAAAAGATCTTACAACCAGAGATGCTATGGGCGAAATCGTGTATGTGCCTAATAGGATAACGGTCTGGTATCGTCCTTGCGTTGAGTAACCTATAGTCACCACAGGGTCGCCAGCCGTTATCCTTTTTAGGAGCAAGGTGTAGCGGCGAAGCCCAGGGACTTTTGGAAGGACGTGCTGTACCATTATTGAGCATAAGTTCGAATTCCTGCCTAGCTATTTTTAATTTGTCGGGAGCCAGTCTTCGAGGAGTGCAAGATATAGGTGGGCCTGTTGTTGTCTTAATGTAGTGGACGGTGTTGTGCTTTGGAGTCAACGGTGTGCCTGAAGGGCGAGTAATTTCGGGAAATTTGTTTAAAATTTGATGAAATCTTGTGTTGCCCGTGACAAGTTTTACAGAAAATGTATCATTATTAGCAGAACATGCACTAGTATGTAAATTGGTAATGTTATCAATAAGGCGATGCTTACGACAATCTACTATTAAATTATAGTGACATAAAAAATCTACACCGATAATAGCTTTGGTTACATTTGCAACAATGAAGCGCCATGTAAAATTACGCCTTAAGCCTAGATTTAAATTAAGTTCTACGTAACCATATGTCTCGATGTTTGTTCCATTAGCTGCGCACAATTGAAAGTCCGTCTTGACTCGTCGTTCACGCAGCGCAGATCGAGGGTAGACGCAAAGGTCGCTACCGGTATCCACCAGAAACTGGATCTTCGAACTGCGGTCGGTGACGAAGAGGCGACCAAGGGGGGAGGAGCAATCGTCAGTCGCCATTACCGACTGCCCATGGAGTTTCCCGCCTTGTAGTCGCACGGCTTCAAACATTTACGTGCGTCGGCTCCATGCATTGAGTGGTACCAACAAATAGGGAACTTGCGGTAGCTGGAGTTCGATCTCGATCGTTGTCGTGAAGAATGACGACGTCGTGGCGTTCGAGAACGATGGCTGGGTCGATGTGATGCCTTGGTATGTTCTTCGAGCTTTAATGCCAGGTGCTCAACCATCTTCTTCAGCTCTGCGATCTCCCGGGATGAACTATTAGAGGATGACATACTTGATGAAGTGGCTGCAACGTGACAAGGTGTGGTAATTTCCTGAATTCGGTCAGCCAGGTCCGAGAGTTGTTCCAATGAATGGGTAGTTTGCGATGCCAACACGGTCTGGATACTTTGTGGTAGTCGGTTGCTCCAAATAGTCCTTAATAAATCCTCAGGAACTGATGATCCAGCAAGATCTTGAAGATGCCTCAGAAATTGGGACGGTTTTCTATCCCCAAGTTCCTCGTGTGTCAAAAGTTGCTTGACTTTTCTCTCATGCGAGGCAGATAAACGTTTGATCAGCTCGGTTTTAATTTTATCGTAGCGTTTACTGGCCGGAGGATTTAAAATTATGTCCTTCACGGCTTTTGCATGCTGTACGTCAAGACTGGAAGTTACGTATGTAAATTTATCTGAGTCATCTGTGATATTATGCAAGTTAAACTGACCTTCTAGAAGAGCAAACCATATTTCCGGGTCGTCTGGTGCAAAAACGGGAACTTTCAAATTTATCGTTGAAATGTCGGACGTCATTTGTCGTGCAGTGGAAACGCGCACTTTGGGCGTTCGACGAAAGGTCACCTTTTCGCTATGTCCATCTTGAAATTGCGACGTTTTATTTGAATCACTGCTATCACTCATGATGAATTTCGTGTCCTTGGAGGGTCACCAGTATGGATGTTGATGTGAAGGATGCGTGTTTATAGTATGGCTGCGTTGATAAGCCGCGTAACGATGATGTTTATCAAGCGATGAAAATAAGCAGTACAAGTAGCTAGCACAGTGGTTTAATGCACAGGAAGATTACACACAATACAGTCAACAACACAATAGATAGAAGGAGTGAAAGAAGGATGATACAGTGATAGACAAAGATGAAAGTTAATAAGCACGATGTTAACATTTAGAAAGCAGTGAGATATCGAGCGACACAAGTTATAAACAAGGCGGTAGAATTTCGACTCTCGCGGTGAGAGGGAAGCGCTCACGCAGTTGCCCTGTCATGGCGGCTAAAAACCGGTTTTGTGCACATCTCCAATGCACAACGCGGTGTGTCGTCCGATACGACATTTTTGTCAGTTATAGAATAAATATATAATAAAATATAAATTATGTATGTATGTGTGTTTGTGTTTATAATGTTTATATAATAATTATGTAGATATAAATATGTGTGAGTAGGCTATACGTAGAACTATGGGGGAAAGGGATTGTTAGCAATGGAGTTTGAGAGCTCCATTGCTAGCAATATGCCCTATTAGGTCGACCTCCGCGCGGTTCCCCCTGGAAACCATCGTGAACAATTCTTGTTGAATTCGTCGCGTTGGGCTAACTGACCTGCTTCATCCTCACCTATCATCCTTCACTGGAGCTCCGCCGGTGTATACCGATAGCGCGGGTGGGGTTACCATTCCATTATCACCCATTAAAAAAAATTTAGAACTTCTGGTAGTAATAGTGGTGGCGAATCTTCGAGTGTTGCCAATCGCACACATACTAATGGTAGCGGAATTTAAAAAAATGCATTTTTTTTTTTTTTAATTTCAGAAATGCATGCATTCAATGTAGAATGATATATGGGAGCGAAACAGAGTACAATGATCACATACCGACGTGTAATGGTACACTACAGTTCCCCGGGGAATGTCCGCATGTAAGTATTTTTTTTGTGATATAGCTGCTTACCCCTACTTCGCATGCGTGGATTTTAGAGGTAGGAAAACAAATTAAATTGTATCGAAATTTAAAATACACCAGTTTGAAGTCAGCTTTCAACTCTCACCGATGTTCACCAGCTCATACCGATTGTTATTATCCGATAAAACTGTTTATAATTACTCCTCTCCATCCAAAGGTTGGCTGGAAGAGATCGCTCTTAGCGATAAGGCCGCCCATTGTTTTCTCACTGTGATTGTTTCTTGTAATTGTTTGTATTTATAATAAGTTTACTATTGTAATCTTTTGGAGGAAACAATGAACGAGTATCTGTCTATCTATAACTATTATCATTATATCATATCAGCCTTTAACTGTCCACTGGTGGGGGGGAAAGGGATTGTTAGTAATGGAGACTGAGAATCCCATTACTAGCAATATACCCAACCAGGTCGACCTCCTCGCGGTTCTACCTGGAAACTATCATGGTTAATTCCCGATGAATTCATCATGATGAGCTAACTGGCCTGTTTTCATTCTCATCTATCACCCTTCACCGGTGCTCCGCCAGCGTATCCCGTTAGCGCAGGCGGGGTTACCATACCATTTTCACCCATCAGAAAAAACTGTCCACTGGTGAACATAAGCCTCCCCCTTAAGGGAGTTTTGCCATTTTGTACTTACATAGTAATTTATTGACACAAGTATTTGTGTAAATATGAATTTAAATCAATTTAATATTAGAATATATGACATATTAATTATATTTAAATTTTAAAGTAACAGTTTCATGAATGTTTGATGAATACTGCCTTTTTTTATACAACTTAGAATGGCAAACAAGCTGACGGCCCACCTGATGGAAAGTGGTAACCGTCGCATATAGACATGAGCAGTATCATGGACATAACAGAGTATACTGTTTCGCCCATGATACCCCCCATGCGTTGCCATTCCTGAGGACTCAGGTGTTATTCCTCTGTACCCTGTAAATTTAAGTTTCAAAATAAATCTTCAAGAACTCGATTGTGATTAACATCATCAGCTTTGATCTCTCACTGGTGTCTCACCTGCCTATACCGTTCATCATTTCAGCCTTACTGGAACATTAGCTTCTGCCTTGGGAGGTTTTGCAGTAGTTGTCACGCTTAGCAGCCGGATTAGCAACTGCAGTTAGGCTTTGGAGATGTGCTTATATATTATATACGGCTTATATGGTGGTGATGATGATGAAGATGATGAAATAAACTTGGTACAAAAGTCGATTGCTTGGGTACCTCTGCCCCATTCGTGTTTCAACCGTGAAGCAGTTGTGTTTGCATGGCTGTTGAAGGGTGGGATATGGCGTGAATTTACAGGGTACAGACGAATAACACCTGAGTCCTCAGGAATGGCAACGCATGGGGGGTATCATGGGTGAAACAGTATACTCTGTTGTGTCCACGGTACTGCTCATATCTATAGGCGACGGTTACCACTTTCCATCAGGTGGGCCGTCAGCTTGTTTGCCATTCTAAGTTGTATAAAAAAAAAACTAAATAAAAATGTTTTTTTTTTTCAGTGCGGCGACATGATAAACAACTATTCTCAATTCACGTATCACTGCAACAGGAAGCACCCGTCGTTCAGCGGCGCGCGACGTGCCGGCAGACTATGCGACATATGCGGCAATAGTGTAAGTCGCTTACTCACCTGCGTAAACTAACAGAGTTTATTTTATTTATTTATTTATTTATTTAAGGAACACCAACAGCATATTGCATTATAACATATAGGTGTAACAAACATTAAATACAATACAGTATTAATGCACACGCCTATTATAGGTATTCACAGCATTCACTTTAACATATGTAGTTGTACAGTGCGAGGAAATTAAGTAAATAATAAAAATAAACATGTAACCTGAGTTGTGAGCAATGTCAGAAAATAAGATTATGAGTGAATTGAATTAAAAAGTATCAAAAAAATATATATTTTATGATAATTAGAGTTATTTTAGAGTTATTATTTCACCAGAGGGAGACTTTGTACAAAAGTCGATTGCTTGGGTACCTCTGTCCCATTCGTGTTTCAACCGTGAAGCAGTTGTGTTTGCATGGCTGTGTTTCGGTTTGAAGGGTGGGATATGGCGTGAATTTACTGGGTACAGAGGAATAACACCTGAGTCCTCAGGAATGGCAACGCATGGGGGGTATCATGGGCGAAACAGTATACTCTGTTATGTCCATGGTACTGCTCATGTCTATAGGCGACGGTTACCACTTTCCATCAGGTGGGCCGTCAGCTTGTTTGCCATTCTAAGTTGCATAAAAAAATAATGAACACATATAGTTTTAGTATTTATATTTTTTTTTTTATCATTTAAAAACGCATTTAGTGAGTCATAACATTTATTTATAATTCAGGAATAGTTCGAAGAGCATTTTCTTCATTTATCTAATTTTGTTCCCCTTGCAACCACTTGTCGTGTCCAGTACACGCGCACCGGCTGGCATAGTCACAGACGGAAGCACCACGGCCCCGGCAAGCGGTGCAGCCACTGCGACGTCAAGCTGGACACGCTGCAAGCGATCTTCGTCCACCAGGTGGCGCGGCACACGCGCAAACCCTTCCACTGCACTCTGTGTCCGGCTAGGTTCCAGCTGAGGGCCGATTGTAGGGATCACATTTTGAAGGTAAAATATTTATTTATTTTTATTATTCGGCTGGTCATTGTCCACTGCTGGACGTAAGCCTTCCCCGTAAGGGGTGTTTTGCCAGTAGTTGCCACGCTTGGCAACCGCAGTCGGGCTTTTGAGATGTTTTAAGAGGGACGCTGCTGCCCATCCCTCGCACTCCCTTCGTCGCCTTTTACGACATCCATGGGAAAGGAAGCGGTGGCCTATTCTACGCCGGGACCACACGATGTTATTTATTTATTGACTCTTATATTCATCGCTTAAAGAATAATACAAATATATTTATTTATTTAACACTTTCTGAAAGACGATGTAGTGACAAAAATCGAAAAAGGAATGTTGCGTTGGTTTGGTCATTTGGAGGGGATGGATGAAAGAAGAATTACGAAAGAGATTTATCGAGCAAGAATGAATGGAGATGTCGATAGGGGCCGCCCTAGACGGACGTATGTCGACCAAATAGGCGACGTGCTGAAGAACGGGCCAAATTAAAAGTACCCGTAACCGGCGAGCGTGTATGAAAAGATTGATGAATGTGGAGGAAGCGAAAGAGGTTTGTTTGAATCGAAGCATTTGGCGTTCCATTGTTTCTGCCTACACTAATGGGAGACAGGCGCGACAGATATGTATGTATGAATGTATTTAACAGTTTATCGCACCTACATTACAGGATTTGATGAGGAATTTTCGATACACGGTATATACAGGCTGTAAGGAACAGGTTGGCAAAAACTGAAACGGTGAATTCAGATCATTATTCTGAATTGAAAACCAGTGGGAATTCTTTCTGAAATATTAAAAAAAATACTGTTTTTTTATTTTTTTAATGGGGTCGTTTAGACCCCATTACTAACCCCCTTCTTCCCTTTCCCCCCCGCGCGGTGTAGGTGTCACGCGTCGTGTTGATCATAAAATTTCAAATACATTGCGCGCCGTCACAACTAAGAATCCTTAATTATCACCTGTCATAGGTGAGGATGAAAGGGCAGCATTAGCCACGACGGTTTCCAGGTCGACCTCCACGCTTTTCCCCCTGGAATAATAGAGTATATTGTACTAACAATGAGTCAGTTAGACCCCATTACCAACAATCCCTTTCCCCCTCGCGCGGTGTAGATATCATGCGTCGTGTGGTGCACAGTGCATCGTAAAATTTTAAATAATTTATCAAATTTAATTTTATTTAAATAAAAAACAATTTCATTGCAGGGCCACGCACCAGAGATGCCGTTCAAATGCGAGATATGCGACAGGGACTTCGCTCACGTGGACTTTTTGGTTGAGCACATAAACAAGTTTCACGATATAAAAAAAAGTGAACTGAAACATTTGCGGCCCAAAAAGGTGGAGGGCCTAGTATATATATATCCATACATGAAGGTGAACGTCAGTAAAGTGGACGACCACGTGATCAAAGGTACGAGAGTATATATGTACGACTTCCATAACCGTAAAGTGAAAAGATTAAAAAATCCCGAGGAATATTTCATAACTAACTATGTCGACGATGGGAAAGATTCAGACGGTGATGAGAAAGCGGTGAAGAAACATAAAAGGCAGAGAGTGAGATTCAATGATAACGGAGAGTTGTTGTATGAAGACACAGAAGATGAGAAACCTAAGCGGAAACGTAGAAGGATTAAGAAAGAGGGCGACGATGTTGATGTGTCGAACGGTGAAGGCAGGAGTGTTGTTAAAAGAAGGAGAAAGAAGAAAGACAATGTAATGGTTGACAGTGATATTGTAATGAGAGATGATGTGTTCGATGATGATTTAAAAGGTGAAGTGATATATTTCGATTGTGACGACGTGAAAGAGGAGGTGGTGCACGAGGAGTCTGTTGTGATCGGTGATGAGAAGTTCCCGGTGATGGAGATCGACGGTGAACAGTTCGTGACTATAAATGATGTTATGTATAAAATAGAAAGGAGCGATGAATAATTCTTGTGTTTAGTTGTTATGGCGGTTTAGTTGTTATGGTTGTTAATCGGTTTTAGATGTATACACGGGCTGAGCCAAGTGCATAACTGTGTTCTTTTTTTTTGTATAAACCTAATTATATGAACACAAAAATCGGTAAAGCCGTTTCTGAGGAGTTTGGTAACAAACACCGCGACACGATATATATATATATATATTCTATGTATGTCTTTTTAAGTGTAATTTAAATTTCACTTACATGAATAATAATCTGATTCCAATTTTAAATGATTATATTATAAAGATTTACAAATAAATTTAATGCGCACGTCCTATGTAGTGGACGTCGAAAAGGGTACAGGCGAGCCAACCACAACTGGATTGGGCCGACCGCGAGCCGATCGCTAGTGTTGTGCGCCGACATAAACATATACCTAAATAAAAATCTTGTAAAATTACATCAACTTTTTGAATTTAGGGTCTCATTCAGCTTTTCCGCCTTGTCTCTCCGATGGGCTTACTTCAGTGCTTTGTATCAGTTGTAATGCATCTCGGATACTTTGTACAAGTTACTTATGTGCATATATTGTATTATTTTTGATGTATAAAATTGTTAGTATTTAAATAAAACATTGTGTAGTTTTTGTGAAATTATTTTATTATATCTATACTTATAATAAATCTGTAGAGAGGTCAATTCTGTACATGAAATATATTTCCAAAATAACTATCAGCGGGTGATTAGTGATCGATACTGATGACAAAAATGCAATCAGTAAAATTTTTGTCTGTCTGTCTGTATGTTCGTTATAGAAACAAAAACTACTCGACGGATTTTAACGAAACTTGGTACAAATATTCTTCATACTCCCGGGCAGGTTATAGTATACTTTTCATCACGCTACGATCAATAGGAGCAGAGCAGTGAAGGGAAATGTGTCTGTTACATCAAAACCACTGAACCGTGAGGAAGGACATAGGTTACTTATTTTACGAAAAACGACAGAAACGCGGACAAAGTTGTAGGCAACAGCTAGTATAATATCATCATCATGGTTGTGTTTTGGTTTGAAGGGTGGGATATGGCAATTAATTTACAGGGTACAGAGGAATAACACCTGAGTCCTCAGGAATGGCAACGCACGGGGGGTATCATGGACGAAACAGTATAATCTGTTATGTCCATAAGTACTTTTCGTGCCTATAGGCAAGGGTTATTACTTTCCATTAAAGATTTTGCAATTCTTTGTTCTTAGCTATTGATCAGGTGGGTCGTCAGCTTGTTTGCCATTCTAAATTGCATAAAAAAATTTGATTTTTTAACTTTTTTGCTATTTGTGAGTTTCATAGCAAAACACATAAAATTTATTTCTAAATGTTACCGAAATTCAATAAAAAAAAAGAACAATTTTTAATCGTCAATCGTAACAATTTTATTCAACAATATCCATATAAAAATATATTGACACATTTTCAGTAGTTATAAAAAAAACATTCGTGAAAATCGGACACTTTTTGGCGGGAAAAGACAAATAGATTATCTACTGTCAGTTTTTTTTTTATTTTAGGTACATAATCTATTAAGTATTTATATTGATGAAAATTGTCTATGACATAATTACACATGATGAAATAAAATAGTCTATGAGAGCAGTGATTTTCAATTATTTGTTCTTACAGATTTAGTATAATGTACTATAGTTATAATCTAGGTTTTTCTCAAGTAGGTATTGCTTAATATAACCAATGAAATTGAAAACTAACCACATATATATATAGATCCTATAATAATAATATAGTACAAAAGTTTTTTTTTTATTTAATTTTTATCTAATCATATTTTCCCGCCAGTTTTGTCGGTTAAAATAGTTCAGTGGGTCGAGTCTGTGGTGGCATTCTCTAAGTTTGGTCAGCGAGATCTGTATTCTGAGAACCAATATGATGTAACATTTTAATAATGTACAAATTATTAAAAATTTTGTTTAGATAATCCATAAAATAGTGCTTACAAAAAATTTTAAAAGTTACTTTCAGAGATAAGTAGAGAATGGCGGCACAGCAGCGATCACAGTTTTAATGGTGGAAAATTTCCATAAATTCCAATTATTTCCGTTTCACATTTACTTTTTTTTTTAGTTATTTTTTATGTAATCTATAAAAAGAGTAGTTCAAATTATTATTTACTTTTTTCAATAATGTATTATTGAAAAAAGTTTTTAAATGTTTTTTTTTTTAATACATTAATAGTAAAGCAGTCATCGATAATCACAACTATATATTTATTATAAAAAAAGAACGAATTATTATACATAAAAATTGTAGAAAAAAAAATACCTTTTCCCCCCGTTGCATGACGTATATTTTGAGCCATTTTCATTAAGGTATCTACGTAAATAATTAGCCATAAATCGAATAGTTTAATTTTTAAACTTCTTATTATAAATACAAGCCTTACTATTATAATAAAAGGCCAAAATAGATGACAATAGAAGAAATATTACTTAACACTAATTTGATTTCTTAAAACTAGTCCCTCTATATCTTTATCCCTTGTCATTTACAGGTTAAAATATTTTAAAATTAAATGGAAACTGTATTCATAATTTTACTATCAAGTATATAAAATGATTTATTATATTGTAATTGTTAGCTTTAATCACGCGCAGTGTCGCTCGTTACACAGCCTTGAATAAGAGCTCCTGTCGAGTTTAGTCGGGCGTCCTCCAATTTAAACCGTAAATAAAACCAACATGTACATACAGTATGACTCACGGTAGTTATTCAACATTTTTAAAGGATCCTTTAACTAAATAAATCATATTTTAGAATTTGAGAAATTTTATTATTAATTTATACATAATATTTATACTATATGAATTAATTAATTGTCCAATGCTAAAGATAGGTCTCAAACCCCCCCCAAGGGGGAGGTTTATGTTCAGCAGTGGACAGTTAAAGGTTATAATAATGCTATAATATTGTGACAATTCAAATCTTAAGAGTATTCGTTTTGTATAACCCGTCGAGTTCAATAGGCTTTTCAGGTAGACGGTATACAGTTAAATTACTGATGTATTTATCTGGGTGGGATATACGAAGCAAATCCAATTATGATTCGTGTTTTTAACACCCCCCACCCCCAATGGTAAATAATAACAATATTGATATGGCAAATCGGCCGTTCTTGTTTAAGTAGTCTTATTTAAGTAGTTTGGTACTGGTTAAAAAAAGTATACAATTCTGTATAGAGTCTAAGTACTCGGACAAGTAAAGGAGTACGTTTACGAATATTAAATTACACTGGAGTACTTTTTTAATTGATTCACTGTAGTTATATAAAAATAACAAAATGTTCAATAAACTAAACTTAAATCTTTAACCTTTGGTAATTGGTAATGTAAATATGGAAATGCAAGAATAGAAAAATTTATAATAAACACAAATGTAGTATTCCAGTACTGTATATACTCGAATCATGTATTCGAATACCGTATATTCTTGTTTCATATATTGGAGTACTTGAATATCCAAGCACCTAGTAGGTATTCGAGTCAATTGACTTTGTACATCACTAGTCGGCAAGTGAAGATCTAAAATGGAACGAAATAATGCAGAAAAGCATGCGACTTTTTATTAAATATGCTCTTCGACTTATCAGTCATTATCAGAGACTTTTTATATATTGTTACGTACATTCATCTGAAGATGCTCTTACATAAGAGATACGTTGCATTATTTTCGACCACACCTATGTCAGATTCCGATTTTGTATTTTGCAAAACCGCTTCATCACTGACATTGTTATCTTTAACTGTCTCAGCTTGACGATCATTTACTGATACAATGAATTTATTTTTATGACCTTTACTATTTATATGATCCAGTTCATTCTTTTTAGATATATGAACATTGCAAACGTCGCAACGGAATCCATTTTCTATTTCACACACTTTGTTTAACGATAAAAGTGTATTATATTTCGATTTGTGCTTTTTAGCCATTACATGCTCAATTATATTTGTTTTGGGCACTGGTACGTTGCAAACTTTACACATATTAACATCAACGGTTGACGTGACTTGGTAATGACTTTGTGGTGTTTTTTTTATTTGTTTATCTATATTAATATTTGTTTTCGAAGCTGCTCCGTTGGACGTTAAAGCTTTACATGGTTGCGAGAACATCAGCGCTGTTACATCAGCGCTCGTTTCTGGAGTGTCACGTGAAGTTGTGCTGTCCAATTTCGTTTCATTGTGGTTTTTTAAATGTTTCTGTCCATTCTCGTGGCCAGCAATGTTGTGGGTGTCAATATAAATGTTGCAAGGTAAACAATACTGCTTCCCTGTTGTATTTTTTGTACTTTTTAAGGATATAGATGAATTCGTACTAACCGAATCACTGTTATTGGATCTTAAATTTGCTAAATCATTATTTTCTTTCTCGTAGTCAGCATACGTATGTAGTTCTGAATCACTATTATGCTTTGAATTAAGTTCGTTTGATTTCACATCTAATTTCTGTGTAATATCTTGACTGACACAAGTTTCAGATTGTGTTGGCGTATTAGTTTTACTTTGATGTTTCATACCATTTATATGAGATAGTTCATTCATGTTAGTTATATTTACGTCACAAACACCACAATGATATCCATTTGCTATCTTTTGTAACTTATTAATTAACAACAGTTTATTATATTTTGACGTGTGTTTTCTTGTCGTGACATGTATTGTTACATGATTAATTTCGTTTGGTACTAAAACGTTGCAGACTACGCATTGCAATTCAGTGACTCCTTTAATTTTCCTCATATGATAATGTATACCTTTACCGGTTTCACTTCTAACTAAATACTTTTCGACAGCGGCTTGTTTTTCTAAATTAACTTTATGTTTTACACTGGCTTCGTGTACCTTCATGTCTAATTCCGTATATGGAATATATATTTTGCATGAAGAACAATATTTTGCAGTGACCATTGCCTTCTTGGATTCTAATTTATTTAAGCATTTGACAGCATTATCTTTGTGGTCTTTACTACCTATATGGTCTAATTCATTCGTATTAATTATATTTGCGTGGCAAATATCACAAATGAATCCATTTTCTATTGTTTTCAATTTGTGAGATGATAAAAGTATATTGTATGTAAATACGTGCTTGACTGCAGCGATGTGTTCTGTTATATTCACAGTATTGTTCGGTACTAAAACATTACATACTCTACATATAACTTCATTCATATTTGGCGTTGCCCTCATCTGATAACGTACAGATTCGTTTGTATCGATTGGATATTTTAGTACTGATGTTAATATAAGATCATTTTTTTCAATACAAGTGTCTGTATCATTATTAATCAGTGAATTATCTGAATTATTCTCTCCGTTAAAGTTGACGGTTTTACGTGGGATATCTTTGAATGAATTATTAATGTCATTAATCAAACACTGGTCTAATGCATGTTTGTGGTCTGCACTAATAAAATGATCGTGCATTTGAAGGGCATATATTAATTTATTGCAAAGTATGCAGTGTGCGTGCCACGCTGACATCTGAAACGATAGTTTGAATATTAAATTTTGACAGCTACATGTTATGTGACTACAGTCACATGCTACATGACTATAGTTACGTAACAATACTGACTATAAACATGTTTCATGACTACACTTCATACACGACAAATAACATGGAGAAAACAATATTTACACAAATCTAATTTAGTTAGGGTTAGTAAGTAGATTAGAGACACATTCCGTATTAGATTCTACAAATTTTGTAATAATAAAAAGTATTTTTCGTAAAATAAAATATAATGAATTCACAGAAAAAAAAAACTTCAACGAGAGAATAGATCATACTTAAAAGTTGTCGGATCGCAGAAACCGAATAAGACCATGAACGAGTCTGTTTAAAAACAGATTTTTTAATGTAATCCGCCATCTTGTGGTGGCGGCCATTTTGACAATATCATAATATTGAGTACTGCTACCAGAACAAAAACTAGAAAATTTGCATACACTTTATGCGAAATTTCTAGAATTGTTTCTAATGGAATGATCTTCCTACTGAGGATTCCTTCGAGACTGCAGCGTTGGGTTCTTCAAGGGCCTATTAAGCATTCTTAAGGATTGGCAACGGGTATGTGACATTCATGGTGTTACAGGCGTCCATAGGTCACGGTAACCCCGTTTACCATCAGATGGACCGTATGCTTGTTTGCCACCATTGATGTATAAACAAAAATTCAGCTGGCAAGATTTGACCTAACAAAACCTAAACTTAACCTAAAATTTTTCATGTAAAGTTAAATGGATACAAAAAAATATTTGAATCCTTCCTTTACTCACTGGAACCTGTCACTTTTTTTTTAATTTTCGTACATAATTAAGATATATGTATACGAGGGATATCATGCACCATTGGTATCACGGCACACACTGTAATGCCCATTCATGGTTAACGGTAGCGATCACCCCTTTCCGTCAAGTTAGCCGTAAGCTTGTTTGGCATTCCAAATTGTATATATTTTAATAAATAAATATTATAAAATTGCAATAGGTGTAACACCTTAATTTTCAGGAATGGCAACGCATGGGGAATATCACGGGCGAAACAATATACTATGTTATGTCCATGGTATTACTCATGTCTATAGGCGACAGTTACCACTTTCCATCAGGTGGCCTGTCAGCTTGTTTGCCATTTTAAGTTACATAAAAAATACCGTCTGATCACAAAAAAGTTAAACTTGCAATAGACAGATATTTAAAATATGTTTAAATATCCCATTACAACTACTTTAAAAGTAAAGCTAACGTTTGTTTATAAGAAAAAGTTTATGTTTAGAAAAAGAAAGGCTGTCTTATAAAAAAAATAACTACTATTCAAAACTACCAAACTACCAAAAACTACCATATCACCTTTACCACCACCACTATACTGGTAATATCGCTACTATATATATATATATATATATATATATATATATATATATATATATAGTCTTTATTGCACTTAAATAATACATGCGACGATTAGTTTAACAACTTGTTAGCAAGGGAGGACTTATCTCTGAAAGAGATCTCTTCCAGCCAACCCAGTGTTGTTAGAGATATTAAATAGATTAGATCTATATATAGGATTTATTTGGATATTACTGACGATTTCGATATCTTTCATACCTATCTGATATTAACTTTTATCTGGTTCTTCAACTCATATATAGATATTACAACTATAATATAAAGATATTCCTATATATTACTACTACTACTACTACTAAATTACAAACAACAGAATACTCGTCAAAAATGTAAAATACATTATGCAAATTGTAAACTGCACTTCACCAACTTAAATTTTTTAATTTAATAATTTTACCATTTCTATATAATCGAATTGATGTAAATCAATTCTGAATTTTGGATCGATGGCTTCCTTCACTTATATGATCAATTTCATCCATTATACTTATATCAATTTGGCAAACAACACAACGGAACCCAGTGGCCGACTTATTTACCTTATTGGTCGATAAAAGCGTGTAGTATTTTAACTTGTGCTTTTTGGACATAATATGTTCGGCAATATTCATGACCGGTACGGAAACATCGCAAATTTTACAATTAAGCGTATTAAAGTCCGTCGTTAAACTCATTTGGTAATGGGGTGATGACAATTTATTTGTTACATCTACGTCTGTATTATCTACTTTTACACTGTCTACTTCTGTGTCATCTACTTTAATATTATCTTCTTCTGTATTTTTACAAAACTTTTGTAATGGTATATTTGGGTTTTTACACGTAGCTCTTTTATAACCATTCTCTTTACATAACACAACATTTTCTAAATGCTGCTTCTCCTTTTCGTGGCTAGGGAACATGTACGATTCCATGTACATATTGCATGTTTCGCAAAACTTTAGTTCTATCATATTACTTGTATCTATTTCCAAATCTGAGGGTGAGCACACTGTTTGTAATAAATTCAAAGAGCAAATTATTATGTGCTCCTTATCATAACGCTTTAAATTATTCAAATGCCGCTTCGTTCTTTCATGTTTAGCCAAGTTGTGGATTCTAACATTTATATTACAGGGTTGGCAAAACATCTTTTTTATTGCGTTTGCATTTATATTCACAGACGAAGCCACACTGTTCGAAGAAGTTTTATTGTGAGTTAAATTTTTCAAAGGCCACTCTCCCTTCTCGTTGCTAGCAAAATTCTGTGCATCAACGTTACCGTTACTATTATCTAAATTCGTGTTTGTATTTACATTCACAGATGCAGTACTATTAAAATTAGTTTCATTCTCTTTTCCACTTTCCAATTGTTTTTCTTCGTCGTTATAATCAAGATTATGAGTTTCAATATTATTATTAGATGGTTGAGAGAAATTTTGTTCTGTTAAATTGGTCATTTTATCCGTACTTGTGGATGGAGTAATGTATGTTATTGCATTAGTGAGCATAGCACTTTCAATATGTTGCTTTCCTTTTACATGGTCTGCAAATGTTTGGAGACGAATGTCAACATTACATATTTCGCAGTATTTCTCTTTTGTCAAGTTTGAAATCTTTGATTTGTTACTTTGATGATCTCTGCTATTTATATGGTGCAGTTCCATCTTATCAGCTATTATAACATCGCATATATCGCATTTAAAACCGGTTTCTGTCTTTTGTAATCTGTTATATGATAATAGTGTTTTATACTTTACTGCGTGGGTACTACCCATTTTGTGCTCTGTTAAATTTGTTTCGCATAGTGAAATTAGAACTTTGCAGACTTTACATACAGCCTGTTTTTGATTTGATACTACATCAATTTGGTACTCTTCAGTTGGTAGCAATTGGTCTGCAGAAATCTGTGGCACAATTGGAGGTATTTCTTCATCTGTTTCATCATCGGAATCTGTCTCATTAACGACAGAGTCATTTGAAATTATGTCTTTATTGTCACTGCTAATAGAATCTTTGCGGTCAGTGGAAGTTTGTTTTAAGTGCTTATTTATCTGTTCTACACAATTTATGTTTGCATTCAATGATTCAATTATATTTATATTGACAGAATCAGATTCATTCTTTTTTAAATTTTTCAAATGACGCTTTCCTTTCACGTGGCAAGCAAAGTTATGCGCATCAATATTTATATCGCATGCCATACAGTAATTTTGTTGTGTTGAATTCGTATTAATTATATTTGTTTTCTTAGACGTAGCCGCGCTTGTTCTACTGAGCATAACATTTTGTAAATGGAATTTTCCTTTTTTGTGACTGGTAAAATTGTGAGTATCAATATTAGTGTTACATAAATGGCAGTATGTTTGTGCTACTAGATTTTTATCTTTATTCATAGTCATAAAGGAAGTTACAGTTTGGGAATTAGCTAAATGACGTTTCCCTTTCTCGTGACCAGCAAAGTTCTGGATATCAATGCTAACGTTACATTGTGGACAGTACCTTTGTTCATTTAAATCTAAAGTATTCTTAACATTGCTTTGATGAATTCTACTATGTATATGATCCAATTCACCCTTACAACTAACAATAACATCACAAGTTAAACAGTTAAAACCATTTTTTGTCTTTTGTAATTTGTTGGAAGACAAAAGCGTTTTATATTTCACTTGGTGGTCATTTCCCATTATATGATCTGTTATATTTGTTTCATGGAATGGCATTGAAACTTTGCATACTTTACATATAACACCTTTTAAATTATATTTTGGACACATTAAATAATTTGTGCTTGGCAATAATTGTTTTATAGGAGGCTCTGTTTCGTTAACAGATTCTTCACCATTATTACCACCACTTGTGCTAGAATCATCTGAACATTCTTCATTATCAATGTAATCCGAATTGTGAGAGTCTATAGAGGAATTTGTTTCTAGAATCAAGCAATTATTTAATGCAAGTTTGTGTTGTGGCGTAATAAAATGATCATTAGCATAGTCTGTATATATATTGCATAATATACAATGTATGTGCCATGGGGAAGTCTGAAACAACAGTTTTTAAACTAAATTCCAGGCACACTTTTACATTAGTATAGCCATATGTTTGCAATATATAATTTAAAAATACTGCCAGACATATAAAATATTATTTACATTATTAAATTCTTTATATTTTCGTTATTTTAAAAGGAAAATTAGAAATTATATTAGGCTGAAAAATGTAAATCCTATAATTTTGAATCCGTGAACTCAGCTAGCTACTAGAGTAGACTACCTTCACGATTTTACCATAAAAGGAGTTCCAATCTTGTATCAATCTCTTTTACCATGATTAAGCCTGATTTAGACTTCTCTTACTAAGTTTTAAAATGTAATTTCAGTTTATAAAACAAAATGCAGTAACTTGTGTGTGTGTGGGTGCGTGTGCGTACGCGTGTATGCTCGAGTATGTATGTGTGCGTGTGTGGTGCTTGCGTGCGTGCGGGTTCAAATTGCACTTGCTCTGTGCAAATCCACAATCTTGCAGCCTATGTACTTCTCCATATCAAATACTATGAATATGTCAAAATATGAAGAAAACTGGTTGATGTATCAATGAGCATAAAGGTAACAAACACACACTCACTCAGATAATGGTGGTTTTATATACACGGTGCCAGTAATTGAAACAAGCAAGCTGTATGTGCGAACAAAAAGCAGGATACATGCTCCAAGTTAATTGTATATCTTATGAATGGTAATAAATGCAGTAAGTACAGTCTCGAGAGATAAGTATTTAATGAAAGATGTCTATCAATATTCAAAATTAATATAACAAAGGTCGCTATAGTTGCTATCTCACAAATAATTAAGATTAACTTTAGAGAAGTTTTCCGTCTGTATCAGTGCTTTAACATAAACAAATTTTATCTTTGCCTTAGTATACGGAAATAGGCGATATATATATATATAAAACTGAATTTAATTTTAAAGTCTCTCTCTGTAAAGTATTGAAGTAGATTTCCAATAATAATTTGTTGTTGTTTGAAATGGCGGTAAAAATTACCTTAGCAGACTTTACGTAAGCTTCCCAAATACCACTCAATTGGAAATTTAAATTTCAAAACATTTGGTAACAGTCTTACAACTTGGAATCTTTTCTTTGCTATATTCAAAAGCCTTGCAGAAATTAAAAAAAAAAAAAAGACTCACCTTATTCGATCTTATACAATGTTTGTCGTACAATGGCATTGAAATATTGTCCATATGTTTTTCACTTTTGCAGTGCGCTTCTAATTCTGTATAGTCAATAAGATCCCGGCACAATACACAAAATGTACTATTAGAATCATCCATGAGTGTAAAACCGTGAAAATTTGATATATTCACTTGTAAACGATTATCGTCTACGAATATATGTAAATAATCTTCGCTAACAACCGACACTTTACCTTGTCCATTCAGTTTAGCATTAACATTCTCAAAATATTCCTTTAAAATTTCCAATTCTGGATCTGCATCATAACTGTCGTTAGTTATACTACTACTATTATCTGATTTTGGAGTAATTTCATTACGATTTTTTCTTTTGCGTGTTCTTTTACGTAATTTTATTGTTTCTACATTATCATTAGTTTGTTTAGGTTCATCGACTACAACCTCACCATTTTCCACATTTAAGTTACCTTCTAAACAATTGTCTTCTGTGTCGACAACCGTTATATTATTACCTTTGTATACCATTAGTAAGTCATGTAGTAAATTATCTTGTTTTAGACATAAAGCATGAGAATCTGATGTTTCGTGATAATTTTTTTCAATAATTGCAACTGGAATCGAACAAGACTCACAGAAATAAGTAGACGGATCGTCTTCACAGGGCGGCAAATCAGGTACGTTTTGAAACATATTTTCCCTAATCCTTTGCATTGCTAAATCTGCTATTTCCAAAAACGTTTTGTGTTTTAAACTGGCATTGTGTGATTTCCAGTAATTTATTGGAATGTTAAAGTTACAAATTGGACATTTGTACGATTTGATCAATGATGTGTCATCTGAAATTTAATTTTATATTATTTATTAACACTGTGGCAATTATTGGCAAAATCCGCCTTTATGGGCAAGACCTATGTATAGCAGTGGGCTTGTGGCTGTGGGGCATGGGCTGATGTGATGATATTAATGATTATTATTAATATTTTTCTCCAAAAAAACTGAGAGGATATGATACAAAAGACGAGACAGAAGAGATTGCTTAGGGACGAGATGTTAAGCAACTCTACTTAGCACCTTGTCCCTAAACAATCTCTTTCTGAATTCCTTTGGATAGACGCCATTGAGAAAAAATTGGCTAAGTGCGAATTGGATTCATGCACTATGGACTCCACGCATATTGTAAAATTTTTATGGTTTAATTACTTTACGGTTTTCGGATTTTCCCTTATGTTGAACGTCATTGTTTAAAATCATCATCATCATCACATCATCTTTTAATTGTCCACTGCTGAACATAAACCTCCCCTTGGGGGGTTTTGCCAGTATATCCTGCACTTGGAAAGTGGATTGGCAACCACAGTTAAGCTTTAGAAATGTTTTAAGAGGGATGCTGCTGTCCATCCCTCGCACTCCCTTAGTCTTCTCTTACGACACCCACGGAAAAGGAAGGGGTAGCCTATTCTATGCCGGACCACACGGCCATTAACATTATGTGTTATAAATGGTATTTTTTTATACAACTTAGAATAGCAAACAAGCTGACGGTCCACCTGATGGAAAGTGGTAACCGTCATGTATAGACATGAGCAGTACCATGGACATAACAGAGTATACTGTTTCGCCCATGATACCCCCCATGCGTTGCCATTTCTGAGGACTCAGGTGTTATTCCACTGTACTCAGTAAATTGACGCCATATCCCACCCTTCAAACCGAAACACAGCCATGCAAACACAACTGCTTTACGGTTGAAACACGAATGGGACAGACGTACCCAAGCAATCGACTTTTGTACAAAGTCTCCCTCTGCGAAAATGGCTTTTATACCAGTAAGTGAACTTATCCCAGTCACATGCATAAAGCCAGGAGGAAAGGGATTGTTAGGTTCACATCTCTACAAGGTTCTCCTTGGAAACCATCATGTTTAATTCTTGGCGAATTCATTATGGTAGGCCAACTGACCTGCATTCATTCTCACCTATCATCTTCCACTGGTGCCCCGTCGGTTTATACCGATAGCGTGAAGGGGCTTACCATTCCATTTTCACCAATTAAAAACATGGACAAAGCCACAAGTATAAAGTATAAAAACTCACCCGTTTTCGTTGCGCTGTCGTCTTGACCTCCATTCTGGGTATGTAACCCACTATCTATTTTTCCCGCCAATATTTCAACACTGTAATATTGTTTACCATCATTGATACTCCATATCGGTAACGGATCACGGCCTCTATTTAAACTTCTTTTAATATAATTCATGTCGATAAAGTCTAATGGTATAGTGTAGGAAACTTCATCGCTCATTTTTATGGGGAACATAGTTGCTAGAGTTAGTACTGGTTCTCGTCAGTTTACATTTTAATCTGAAATTATATTTATAATTTTATTATTCTAAACATTTGACTGTTTCTGTAATGGATTAACTTAATGAATTCCCAAAAAGGGGTTTTTTTTGATGGGTGAAAATGGTATGGTAACCCCATCTGCGCTAACGGGATACGTTGGCGGGACACGAGTAAAGGATGATAGATGAGAATGAAAACAGGCCAGTTGGCCCATCATGATGAATTCATCAGGAATTAACCATGATAGTTTCTAGAGGGAACCACGAGGAAGCGACCTGGTTGGGTATATATATTGCTAGCAATAGGATTCTCAGTCTCCATTACTAACAATCCTATTCCCCCCAAGTAATGGGGACTAGCAAGCCCTGTCAGGTCGAACTCCACGTGGTGCCCGCTGGAAACCATAGTGGTTAATACTTGTTACATTCATCACGATGGGCTAACTGACCTGCTTTCATCGGTCGACCTGGTTGGGTATATTGCTAGCAATGGAATTTTTAGTCTCCATTACTAACAATCCCTTTCCCCCCAGTATATACCATTAGCATAGGCATGGTTAATATTCCATTATCACCCATTAAAAAAAAATAAAAAACCTAAATTGCTAGTAACTGTAAAGGTTTCTTGTTCTTGTTGTTTAATTCCTAATGAAGTTATCATAAATAAATAAATCAAATCAGCGTCCACATGGTTCCCCCTGAAAACCATAGTGGAGTTATTATTAAATTCATCACGATGGGCTAACTGCCATGTTTTCGTCATCACCTAACATCCCTGGTTGGTGGCCTGCCATTTTATTTTTTTTATACATCTTAGAATGGCAAACAAGCTGACGGCCCACCTGACGGAAAGTGATAACCGTCGCCTATAGACATGAGGAGTAACATGGACATAACAGAGTATACTATTTCACCCATAATATCCCCCATACATTGCTTATATATATAGCATAGGCGGGGTTACCATTCTTATATTATATAACCCAATAAACAAAGCAAGCAGTCAATTGTAAAATCAAATTTCAATGCATTGTTTTGATATGTAATAAAAGCATATTAGTGACCTCAAAATAATTGTGATACAGGTCTGAAGATGATACCCAATAAATTTAAATAATATATACATAAAGCTACATTTTTAATGAATAACATAGACTATATTATTTTTTATTTATTCATTAGTACAAATATGTGTACATGGCGGACTTAATGCTAAAAGCATTCTCTCCCAGTCAACCATAGGGAAGTGTCAGAATACTCGAATGCGGTACTAGTAATTATTGACATACATACATACTAAAATTAAATACATAAATGAATAAATATATATAAATAACAAATATACTCACACATATATGACATATACTATATTGTACATGAAATTGAGAATAATATAAAGTATTTACTGCTTGGATAAAGTAAAAAAGTGAGCATGAACATTTTTTTTTAAAGATGGTTTAGGCGGTAGTCTCTTATTGGTATCAGGAAGTGAGTTCCAGAGTCGTGAAAAATGTAGAAGAAAAGAATTTCAAGGGAAACCAGTATGGTGATATTATACTAAAAAAAACTAACTACCTGTGTCAAGCTGGAGTGGGTGAAAAGTAAATATATAATTTCACTAGCCGTTTTATGTTTACCCATATGAATAAATAAATAAATTCTTTTATATGAAGAAGGGGGACGGCATTGTTAGTAATATAGACTACCAGTCCTATTATTGGGGGGAAAGGGATTGTTAGTAATGAGTTCTAATAGCCCCATTGCTAGTAGAATACCCTCTCAGGTTGACCTCCACACAGTTCCCCTGGAAACCATTATGGTTAATTCTTGTCGAATTCATCATGGTGGGCCATCTGACCTGCATTCATTCTTACCTATCATCTTCTGCTGGTGCCTTGTTGGTGTACACTGATAGTGCAGACGGGGTTACCATTTCATTTTCAACGATTAAAAAAAGTCCTATTGCTAGCCTAACACCCTATCAAGTCAACCCTCATGTGGTCCCCCTGAAAACCATTGTGCTGAGTTCCTGGTGTATTCATTATGATGGGGTATTGCTTTTCCATTTCACCTACCATTCCTCACTAGTGTCCCGCCAGAAATACCGACAGCGCAGGCGTGGTCACCATTTCATTATTATCAAATATAAAAAAACTTACCTAAAGCAATGGTAAGTGATAAAGCTATGTAACGACGTAATATGTAGTACAACACATATATTAAAACTTTTTTTATTGAACTAGATGTTATTTTGCAAAATTAAATTCTATATGAATAAAGAAAATACAATTTATGTAGGTACGGAATACCCGACCAAAGACTAAAGTGGGTAGATCTGTACATAAAAAAAAAGTACAAACAGTTGATGGCGGTTTCTTTTATAAAACGATGAGTAGTTAATAAATCTATACCAGTCCATGAGTATGGTATTATAAGGCAGAGATATAAAGAGACAGTCCCTAGTAAACATTTTAGATAAAAACAATATACCTAACGAAGTATATTATAATTTTATTTACCTAAAAGTAATTTAGATATCTTCACACTGTGTGCCAAACATCATGTTACATTTTAGTAGTATAGTCGATATGAAATTACTTTTAATAATACAAAGAAAATGAACACAAAAGTAAAGAAAAATCTAAAAGAACAAAAGCAAATAAAACAACAGATTATACAAAATACAGCGATAAAGCATAGATATTTATAATTGTTCTGTGAATTATTAGTCTTTGGTAAAAAACTATAGATATGGTTGACATAGATACAGAGAATCATTTATAGATGATGGATGTGGAGTTTTATAGGAGACATAAATAGAGGATTCAATTTGTTAAATGTATTTTTCTCCAATAAATGGGCCATTGCGATTTAATGAAAAAAATACAAAATTATTTCATGCAAGAAATTTCAATAGCTAAATCGCTCGTCAGAGGCAACACCATCGTTTATTTATAATTACTTTTAGATGTTAAATGTTTAAGAGCATTTTACCAAGTTAATGATTTATATAAACAAAAATATAAAAACTGACAAAAAATAACATGGGATTACAACTGTTTGCTTATGTTATTCTATATTCTATACTACAGGAAATATACTCTACCGAGTACCCGGCGCAACGCAATGATTACTACATTTTTTCATTATTTTTCAGTTCAACATCAATCTGGTCTTCCTTGAAAACTATGAAGGGTAATTCATGGGGAATATTACTTTTCATTGGTACCTTGCCAAGTAGGGAAAGTTAGACCCCATAACTATTGTTAGGTATGGGGTCTAACTACCCCATTGCTAGCAAAATACCCTATCAGGTCAATATCCACGCAGTTCTTCGTGAATGTGAGCATGTTACCTTAATCCTCACCTATGAATGTCTGGTGCAAACTTATTGCATTGAAACTGCTCAATGATTTAAGCCGGTATCCACAATTGGACGTGTTTGCCAACAACTTGCTGAAGTTTCATCGGATGACCACAAAGTGTTTGTGTTCTGAGACTTAAGATATAGATATTATTATTGTTATGTGATTTAAATGTAAATTATATTATTACATTTAATTATACGTATGTATTACTGTACTGATGCTTTCCTGAGTGAACGTATTGGGAAACTGGAAAGCTCACTTAGTTGATGAAATAAATAAATATATAACTCTGGGTTACTCTGTTTGAGTCATAGATTGCTATTTGCTGTTCTATTGCAGTTGTTTTATTTAATTGTTTTTTATATAGTAATATTTTATGTATTTTTTTTTATATTTCATAGAATCACAAAAAAAATTATGATCAGTCCCATTCATGATCCGTACTCGACCCAAAGGTCCCCATGACACTTGCGGCGTTTCCGTCTTGGATCGCCAGAGATATCCTTTGAGCCAGATACGAACCAGAACGGCGATCACGGCCCGTATCCGCAATGCGCAGACTCAACTCTCTTATAAAGGATTTTGAACGGGAACGAAGATGTAAGCTGGTTCGAGAATCTTATACTTTGAATGTTTGATTCTAGCCGCAGTTTCCGTGGCCGAACCAACCACACGAATCGTATCCCGCAGATGAGACACAGCAAACGTGCTCACGCAAGTTGCATCCCATATCAAACAGCGCCCCCTCTTCCAAGGCACCAAAGTTTGACCATCAGGCCATTTCCCATCCGACCGATTCAGACCAGGTGGCTCCAGTACACAAGGGATATCACTACTACGTGTATGTTTATATATTTATTTATGTATGTATTTATTGTATGTATAAATTTATTTATTTAATATATTATGTGTATGTTTATAGTATTAGGATTTATCAAGTATTGCTTTTTTTTTTCTCTGTTCAAAAATGCACCGCCTACGTATTTCTCGGTTTGGTTTGTTTTGTTGAGAACACTATCCGGTGTTAAATCCGCCAAATGTACATAGAATTTTACTGTACATTAAAGTTTAAACAAATAAAGTATGTAAGTAACTAAGTAAGTAACTATGTAAGTAAATAAATAAACAAGTAAATAAATATATTATTATTATGACAATAAATGTGATGATAGATGAGAATGAAAAAGGCAGGTCAGTTAGCCCATCGTGATAAATTCAGCACGATGGTTTCCAGAGAGACCACGCGGAAGTCGACTAAGGTGTCCAAAGATTAAAGAGACTATGTCTAAAGATTAAGCCTGCTAGTGTTCCGCCAATGTCCTGCCAAATATGTATATCGACTGTTCAGGTAGGGTCACTGTTTTATTTTGGCGTATTAAAAAAATATCTTGCCAGAGTCTAACTACTAATATCGCTGACAGAGCCCCGTCTGCTAAGTTTTTTTGTTTATTTCTAGTTAGATACCTAAAAATAAAATGAAATTGCTACACAGAACTCGGGCATTCCCTACAAATATTGTTTTATTAAAAGATAAGATTACATTTATCAAGTAGATAAATGTCATGGGTAATGCTTGATTACTTATACTATTGTTAAAATTACTGTGTTAAAAGGGTGGCATTTGAAAAAATATTTTAGTAACTTTACAATTCTTTTAAGAATTTTTAATTTTTTTTTTATTATTTTATCTATAAGTATTTTAAGATTTTGACTTCATAATACTTGTTGGTAAGTTTTTTTTTTACTCTGAATGAATTTAAAAAAACAAGGAGGTTCTAAATTTGAATATTTTGTGTTCAAGAATAATCATAGATAAGCATAGACCTGCCGACATTCTTCTTCTATGTAAAAGATATGAGATTCTAAATTCGAATATCTTTTCGCAGGCACTGCTATCCTTTATCTATATTTTTATTGTTTTCTTAAAAAAAACAACAACATTATCATCAACATGATCATATTTTACCGAGAGTATTATCCATGTGGTTCCAGCATACAATTGATCACCCCTTTCTTTCCCGTGGGTGTCGTAAGAAACAACTAAGGTCAAGGCATAGGCAGGAGCATCTCTCTTAAAACATTATTAAAGCCTAACTGCGGTTGCCCACCCGCTTGTCAAGCGTGGCAACTACTGCCAAAATCCCTTTCATTAGGGGAAATCTATGTTTAGCAGTGAACAGACTGACAGACAGACTGCTGAATAACTCTCCAGAACAGTAAATAACTAATGTAATAATAATAAACAATATTTTCAGGTTTGAAAAACTTCGTGTTGAAAGTGCATCAGGTGATAAGTAGAATGGATAATAAAACTGGTACTTTTTTTCTAATGTTCTTCTTCTTCTTTTCTTTCTCAATGGCAGTCGGTCGCCATTTTTACGACCATTTCCAGCCAGCGTCATGTATAAAAGGCACGTAACTCGAAAACTGTTATTTTCCTATAAGTAAATATTACTTATAGGAAAATAACAGTTTTCGAATTTTCAAAGCGAAAATTCGAAAGTTCAAAGCAAATCACAATCATAACAAACAGTTGGTATTGTCCCATCGCGTTTATGTATACACAAAATATAGCTTTTCATTTTAAATTAAATGTTCCACATTCCCGTCATTATTCGTCTTTCGTAATCAACCCAAAATTTTTTTTTTTTCTAATGTTATGAAGAGCAAAGAATCGTCTTTTTTTATGAATAAAGTAAAAAAAATGTATAAGAAAAAAAATATCGTCTATAGAAAGTTACATTATCTGCAAATAAAATAGGCCGTATAGAGCCGTATACTTTATTAAAAAAAAATTAGAGATCTTCCACCAACGATTATTTGCTCTATGCTTCCATCTATCTATTTGTACGAAGCCAGAGTGGGAAACTATACTAAATTAATATTATAAAGGGTTTTTTTTAATGGATGACCTATGAAAAGAGAGGTTAAGAGGTTTCTTCAGGGTCGGCAACGCGCGCGTAATACCCCTGATATTGCAGGCGTTTATAGGCTACGATAAACGCTTACTGTCAGGTGGGCCGTATACTTGATTGCCATTACTCAGTGATATAAAAAAAAAACTAAAAATTTATTTAATCGATTTAAAAAATCACCTATAGAAAGCTAGATTAATTGCGAATAACATAGGCTAAATATTTAAAAAAATAAAATCCCACGTGACATTTGACTGAATTTTTCAGTGACAATTATATATATTTCAGATAATACAACAACAAGTACCTATAAATGCGCAATATGCAATATTGTGGTACCGAAAATGTATTGGAAATTACACAACAATAGCTTCAAACACAGAACATGTTTGGAAATAGCAGATTTAGCACTGCTTAGAGTTAAAGAAAGCCTGTCTTTAGACTTATCAACTTGTAGAGACGAGCCGTCTACCTATTTTTGTGAGCCTTGCTGTCTTTCTGTCGCTACTGATCAGAAATTCCATCACATAACTTCAAAAACTCATGCAGATTCAATGAAACATGATGAGTTACTGTGTAACTTGCTTAAAATATACAAAGACAAGAATAATGTAAACGAAATAGATATAAAATATAACATTACAATAGGCAGTTCAGAGAGTGTTCGAAAAAATACAACAGGTCAGACTGCTAAAAAATTAATAAGATTAACTGAAACAGATGTAGAAGTAATTGATGGAAATACAAACGAAGATGACAACACAGATATAGAATTATCTATTTTAAATAAACATATTCATGAAATTAATGATAAATATAAATCACAAGGCTATATTTATATATTAAAAAACAAATACGTACATGTGGCCATAGATAAAGAATTGTTTCATGTGAACGTTCGAAATTTGAACGGAATAAAAAAGTTTCAAGAATATAATAATTGGAAATGTTTGTTATGTAATGAATGGTTGAAAACAAAAAATGATATAGTGACACATTGCCAGAATGAAAAACATGTAAGAAATATATCGGTGCCAAATTACCACTGCTTAAGAGCGTTTGAAAGCTTGGTAAGTGAATATGTGTAAATTTGTATATATATTTATATATCTGTAGGTGTATATATATTTTTTTTTAATGGGTGAAAATGGTATGGTAATCCCGCCTGTGCTAACGGAATACGCTGGCGGAGCACCAGTGAAGAGTAATAGATGAGAATGAAAACAGGCCAGTTAGCCCATCATGATGAATTCATCAGGAATTAACCATGTTAGTTTCCAGGGAGAACCGCGAGGAGGTCAACTTGGTTGGGTAATATTGCTAGCAATAGGATTCTCAGTCTCCATTACTAACAATCCGTTTCCCCCTTCAGGTCTATATATTTATTTATTTATTCATTAGTACAAATATGTGTACATGGCGGACTTAATGCTAAAAGCACTCTCTCTCAGTCAACCATAGAGTAGTGTCAGAATACTTGAATGCGGTACTAGTAATTATTGATATACATACATAATAAAATATATTAACTATTAAATATATATAAATAACAAATATACTTAAACATATATAAAATATACTATATTATACATGAAATTGAGAATAATATAAAGTACTTATACATATGTCTTAAGTATTGCGTATATATTTTGTGACGTAATTCGATTTATAGTATTATTACTATTTTTTTTTTTATTTTCAAATGCAAGGATAGGTCAGTATTTTTTTATTTTAAAAATAGAGAGTACAACTTTTTAAGTTTAACAGTAGGAGCCCAGAAGTTCAGTTAATAAGAGGCACAACTTTATTATTATGTTTTTATATATACAAATTAATAATTTATTAATAATATTATAATTACGCACGGAAGCTACCGTAGTTTGCAGAGAAGAGAGAGATAGAGTGGGTGGCACAGATAAGAAAGGCCAGTCTTGAATACAGATTAAATATTGTATAGAATATAGATTACTTATTCTAACACAACTGTTAATTTGTTTAATGTTAGTCGAAATCCTAATACATTTTTTTTTATCAAAAATAAGCAGTTCTTAAGCGAGAGCACTGTTACCCCACACCATTAGGCCAATTTTCTAATACTACGAGTAATTCTAATGTGAGACATTATTGTTTTCTTACAGAAAGATACACAGGTTCACTGTATAATATGTAACAAGCAAATGCCTAAAGATGTAATGGAAAATCACATATTGAGTGAAGAGCACAAAGTGGCCATAGATAGATCATTGATTTACAAAATAGATCATTTAACTTCTGATATAATTGTTTGCCAAATATGTAATACTGCAATGTTTGTTGGCAATTTTTCTAGCCACGAAAAGGGGCAGCGACATTTAAATAATTTAAACGAAAATGAAAAACTATTGGGAGGGAAACACGATGCCAACTTGACAGCGAATGTCAGTACAGGAAACCAAAATCCAATACTAGCAACATTGCCACACTATCAAATGAATTTAACGTCAAGTCCTAAGGTAGTCGAATGTAAAGTATGCCATGTGAATGTTCCTAACAACAAAACGCATATTACAGATCATGTTAATGGAAGAAATCATTCAGCTAATTATGATAAAATGCTATCAAATAATAATATGAGATTTGTTGATAACGGATTCTATTGCAGCAATTGTGATGTTAATATAAGTGCTAAGAATGAATTATTCCATATAAATGGTAGAAATCATCAAAGTAACATTAATAATAGACGCTCTAATGAATAGAATAATACCAGAGGGAGACTTTGTACAAAAGTCGATTGCTTGGGCACCTCGGTCCTATTCGTGTTTCAACCGTGAAGCAGTTGTGTTTGCATGGCTGTGTTTCGGTTTGAAGGGTGGGATATGGCGTGAATTTACTGGGTACAGAGGAATAACACCTGAGTCCTCAGAAATGGCAACGCATGGGGGGTATCATGGGCCAAACAGTATACTCTGTTATGTCCACGGTACTGCTCATGTTTATAGGCGACGGTTGCCGCTTTCCATCAGGTGGGCCGTCAGCTTGTTTGCCATTCTAAATTGTATAAAAAAAAAGATCGAGAAAGCTTGACAAGTTTCGGGATCAATTCGTGGTCATTATTCATGAGCGGATGAGACGCGAGCGTGAGCCTGGCTACCGCATTTTTTCTTTTAGTTTATGATAATTTTGCGAAAGCATAAATTTAACATATTAAGAGGTATTAATGTTAAGAGATAGATTAGGAGAAATGGCGTCTTAGAATCGACTCTTATATTTATTTGATTAAACTGTCACATTTATACTTATAAATAAATTATAATCTTTACTAATATTCTATTCTATTTTTTTAAATTAATGATAATGGAATGGTAACCCCGCCTGCGCTAACGGTCGACACTGACGAGGCACCAGTGAGGGATGATAGGTGAGAATGAAAAGGCAGGTCAGTTAGCGCATCGTGATGAATATATCAACAATTCAGCACGATGGTTTCCAGGGGGACCATGTGGAGGTTGACCTTATGAGGTTATATATTGCTAGCAATGAGACTGACAGTCTGCAGTACCACAGATAATATAATACTATACTAGTAGCAGTACTAACAACTCCTACCCTCTATTTTATTAAAAGGTATAATATACGTCTACCTCGCAAGGGACTTGGCGCGAATACAAATAATTTTTACTTAATCATATAATCTTGGTATAATAATTTTTTTGCATTAATTTTACATTTACACTTTTTTATATAAAAAAAAACAAACCATAAAGCATAAAATGGTTCTAGAATTAAACCCTGCGAGACACCCATAAATAATGATTAAAAATGGCGGTATACACTTTTCTATAACAAGTAATGTGGTAAAATGTTTATTAAATAAATTAAAGAATTATATTCAAAGTAAGTCAAATATATAAGAAACGATATTATTATAAAATATTGAAACTGGTCTATGGTATACAACTTAATCAAACGCTTGGAAGAAATCATGAAATTTAATGCTTCATAAATTATAATTTCAATTGCTTTATTGATATTGGTTATATACATAAAATTTCCAATAAACACATTTATTTCAATGTTTTTTTTTTTATTTATCTTTACTAAGTATTCGGTATCACTAATATAAAGTTTTTTTTTTTTATTTAAACTTCATTGATGAATTAACTTATTATTCTATCCAAAGCTTCCTTGGAAGTACCAAGTCGTCTAAATTTCTTTGCGTGATCTATTTTGTGTAATTTTGTTTATGCAAATTCTTCTACTGTAATCTTTTGGAGTGAGCAATAAATAGTAGTCGTGGATTTACAGTTTCATCTAATTTTAATATTTCGGATATTTACTAGTCCAGAATGATTTTTAAAATGTAAATAGAATTAAGTAATGAAGTAAACTCATAAAATATAATAATATAATACAGGAAATGGCATACGTAGCCTATGTTTTATGTAAATAATTATATATATATATATATATATATATATATATATATATATATATATATATAAACAAATAATAATTTTACAGTTGCCCATTAATTATAATGTAAAGGTTTAGCAAAAGTTCATACATCTTTTTTTTTATTCAACTTAGAATGTCAAACAAGCTGACGGCCCATCTAATGGAAAATGGCAACCGTCGCCTATAGATCTGAACAGTATCATGGACATAGTATACTGTTTCGCCCCTGATACCCCCATGCGTTGCCATTCCTGAGGACTCGGGTATTATTTTTCTGTAACCTGTAAATTCATTGCCATATCACAGCCATGCAAACACGACTGCTTTACGGTAGAAACATGAATGCGACAGAAGTGCCCAAGCACGAAAGATCCTGATGGGTCGACGTGCAACGGCTTAGCTGACCCCATATGCGAAGATATAACTGTAAAATTAATTTTCCAAATCGGTTTAGAACTGACTATATATGTATAGTTTTGTAACAAACATCGTGACACGAGAATTTTATATATAAGAGATATATATATATTTGTTTCAGTAATGAGCATAACTTGTTTTCTCTATGACAATACATTGAATATTACTATTCCAGACAAATTATCTTTTTGAAGACTAGGCAGCATGGTCTCCGACCTTAGCCTGTTCCAAACGGAACAAACGTACTAAAAAAAAAAAAAATGAATATTACTGTAGTTGATATAAAAAATCATAGTAAAAATGTTAGAGCGTACAATAACCCGTATCACCCGGAAGACGATGGTATTTTAGACGTGTCTGATGAAGATGGTGACAATTTGAACTACGAAGGCAGTAAAGTTAAACTGACAGACACTGAAACATCACCAATTGATAACAAAAAATTGAAAATCAATGGACGATACTATGATGGGGTTAAAAATGATGAAGCAGATAATTTCAGTGATATAAAGAAATATTTTGTGGCTTAATAAGTACATAAGTAATGTTTTCTGAGTATGTTAGATATTTTACTAATAGACCAAAATGTGTCTATATCTGTCTAATAAACAAATATTATGTCATTTTATTAAAAAAATAACTACAGAGTAGTTTTTGCTCTTAAAAATATTATCTATAATTGTAACATTAATTACAATTCTTATTTTAAAATAAATAAAACACGTCGAAGATAAAAGAAACACTAGGCGTCATGTCGTATAGGGAGGTCAAGGATATGGCCTGGGATAGAGATGGCTGGAGGAAGATGCATGAATTAGTTGCACCGACAAGAGGAAACTCTTAAATGAAAAGAAGAAGAAAACACATCGACGAACACGCGGTCGCAGAAAGAGAATACCATAGCCAATATTCTAGTATCCTTAATCTATGAACGATATATTTTTGCATTATTATTATTTTTGCAATTGTGCTTTGCACGCTTAAATAACTTTTCTTTATAATAAAAAACTGCTTATAAAATGAATATGCACTTTAATTGAAGGACGCCATGACAGAGAAGCCCAATTAAATTTTCCAATGTTGCCAACCTTAGGTACAATAATTTCTAATATACTACATTTCTGAAGAAAATCGGCCGTGAAATTAAAATTCCTGTTTTGCAAAGTTTATTGCACCCTAAGAACATATTCTTAAATCTTTGATTACACTGCTGCTTTGTTAAGTTAAATTTACTTAAACATATGAATTCACCTGCTATGGATTTCATTTTCTACATTAAGATATTAATAAATTGTAGTGTGTTTATTTTTAATACCCGGTATAGAATAAGCCATTCCTTCCTTTCCCGTTAATGTTATAAGAAGTGAATAAGGAAACACAATAGTCGAGAGATGAGCAGCAGCGTCCCTCTAAAACATCACCGAAAGCATAACTGATTGCTAACCGGTAACAGTATGTTAACATAAAGATATTATACCTGAAGTTCTTTATCTAAAAATAAATATTTTATGAAATAATAAATTAGTTTCTATTTTTGAATAAAATATATTATAATATTGTACACTTTTATTTCTTCAGTTACAACATTTATCTCTGCTTCCGCCTTAAATCGTCGAAATTATAGTTTTTGTCTGAAAAAACAATTGATTTCAAATTAAAATCCAAATTAAAATTGTAACCTAAGATAGAGCACACTCTCACACCTATGGCTGTATATAATTATGATCTATGTCTCTATATATTATATTGTATTAAAAAGTGTATAATTTTTCCTTTTTCTAATAAAAATTTTATGTATAAAAATTATAATGTAATTTTCTAATAAAATAAATTGTCAAAAAAGAAAAAGTTGTTTGCTGAAAGCGAAAGCCTTCCTGTATTGTAATATTCCATTATCCATAAATCCTACGAATATTGTACATTTAAAAATTATACAGTCCAAAAATAGCATTTACTTTCCAAAACATAGTTAACATAATTAATAATTTTACATTTTATAATATTTATTAAGTACCAAGTATATGATAGATAGATAGATAGACAATTTATTTGCATTACTTACAGCACACAAATTACAATAAAAAAAAAAAAAACATACACGTAATACACAGCAAAAGAGACAAAAGAATAAAAATAAAAAAAAGCACAAATAAAAAAACAAAAATACAAAAACAAAATACATATTTTGTAATGTAAAATATAAATACTTTGAGATTTGATGGATTGCAATTTATTATTGGCATGATATATAAAATTGAGTTTTTAATCTTATTTGACAATATTGGACATGTATCTTTTCAGATTCACTTTGACATTAATTTTGTATAATCTTAGTAATTTATTTATTTATTTATTTCGAATTAGGCACACCAGCAGTATACATATTATACATATATATTTTTTGTGTAGCATGCTGACATGCATACCTACAGTAGGCGTACACAACATTGACTACCGATTACATGCATATAAATGTCATAATATAATTAATATAATAAATTAAATTTATAATTACATATTTTTTGTTTCAAAATTCAATTAAATATAAAACAAGAAATCACCAATATTAGTGCTATATCCTTACTTAATTAAATTAATACATTAAAATTGCATGCCTACAAATTTAAGGTAAATAAACAAATGTCAAAAAGCTCTGTCGCATGGCCTTTATTATATTAAATGTCTGTTTAAAGCAAATAAATATTTCATTTTATTTCAAAACCTTTTTTTTTTATAACACGGGGCAAAAGAGCATACGGCTCACGGTAAGTGACTACCGCCGCCCATGATTACCCACAACACCAGCAGCATTGCAGGTGCGCTGCCGGCCTTTTAAAAAGGAATATACTCTTTTCTTGAAGGTTATGATGTTTTTTAAATAGTTTTTAAGAATTCTTTCACCTGACAGCTGTATCATCAAATCCTTTCACTTTAATATATTATGTTTAACTCACCAAAATGCGTTTTCTTGTTTAAATTTCCCGCCTTTTCCGACAACAGTCCTCTGTCTCTACAGTGTATGAATCTCAGTATCCTGTCTTCCTCCACTTCCGGTAGCCGCCCTTTCGGTGTCAGATTCATACCAGGACTGTTCCTCAGGAACGGAGCTGACATCATGCATGGATACCGTGACACTAGTTCCAATTCTGTAATAATAACGTGTCATTTTCCCACGTTCAGTAGTGGACAGTTAATAGTTGTATCACCATTATTTACGTGCTGTCAACATGTGTTATAATCACCACGTACCCAAGGCCAGCCACGGTGGTTGCTAGTGCCCCTGGACAAGTTTTCGATTGCGCCCTACCCCCATCTGACAGGGGGGAAAGGGATTCTTAGTAATGGGACTAGAGGCTCCGTTGCTAACAAAACACCTTATCAAGTCGCCCTCCACGCAGTACCTGGGAACCATCTTGATTTTTTTTATGAATTCATCACTATGGGCAAACTGACCTACTTTCATCCTCACCTATCATCTCTCACTGGTGCCTCGCTAGTGTATACCCATAGCGCAGGCGGGGTTACTATTCCATTATCATCCAATAAAGAAATCTCCATGACAATGAAAAAAACCATCGCCAAATATCGCCCACACCGACTTTAGTCTTCGCCGGGTCCATCAAGTCCGATATTTACCTGCTTCTAAAGATTTATTTCATTCATACTTTTGCTAAATCCTTTTCGAGCTTATATTGTGTAGGTGAATGACCTATTTGCTCATGTCGCTCTACCATACATGCTATTATTTTTTCTGTTTTACATTATTTTTTTTAAAACTTATGCTTTTTTTTACGGCTGTGTTTCGGTTTGATGAGTGGGATATGGCGTGAATTTACTGGGTACACAGGAATAACACCTGAGTCCTCAGGAATGGCAACGCATGGGGGTATCATGGGTGAAACAGTACAGAGGAGCGACGGGTACCACTTTCCATCAGGTGGACCGTCAGTTTGTTTGCCATTTTAAGTTGTATTAAAAAAAAAAAAACAATTTGTCGGAGACGACAAACATAGTAGCTTAATAAATTCTGTTACGGACACTCTTTTACATTGCTAGTCTATGTATATATCATCATCATCATCATTTCAGTCATTATTCGTCCACTGCTGGACCTAAGCCTTCCCCATAGACTGCCTTAAAGAACGGTCCTGAGACACCTGCATCTACTGACTCCTTGCAACGCATTTCAGGTTGTCACTCCATCTAGTGGGGGGTCGTCTTACATTGCGTTTACCCAGACGTGGTTGCCACTCAAGAAGCTTTCTTCCCCATCGTTTGTGAGTTCTTCGAGTTATGTGACCAGCCCATTGCCACTTCAGTTTGCTTATCCTTCTGGTTATTTTGTTTTTTTTTTTTTTGCGGATTTTGCGGAAACGATCCTCGTTTCAGACTCTATCACGCAAAGAGACTCCGAGCATAGCTTTAGGAGCAATCGTGTAGGATCACGTTTCGGTTCTATAAGTCAGCATTGGCAACACGCACTGGTTACAGATCTTCGTCTTTATAGGTGTATTTAATATAAGATCTATATGACGGTGATGTGATGGTGCTGGAGAAGGATGGAGAAAATTTGCTGGAGGGATCGAATTATCAATGAGGAAGTCCTGCTTGAGGTTAAGGAAAAAAGACAAATTATTAGAACTATTGAGGACAGAAGGGGAAAAATGTTGGGACACTTGACACGACGAACTTATGAACATATAATAGAAGGTAAAATAGAAAGAAGGAGGAGTTACATCAGGCAGATCAAGGAAGGAGTTGGTGTCGTGTCGTATCAAGAGGTGAAGAGACTCGCTGAAAACCGTAGTGAGTGGCAAGAGCTCCACCGACAAGAGCGCTGCTCTTAAATAGGATAGATAGATGACAGTGATACGTACTGATTAATTTGTATTTACAATGGAATAACCTCATGTGACAGACGCTGAGGAATGTCCTGTAGATACCGTGATTACATTTTTCGCACATCATCATACTACTGGCGGGGCACGATGTGGGGCATTTACTGTCATAATCCACTATATCCACTGGGGGAGAATAGGATTGTCAGTAATGAAGTTTAACAGTCTTATTTGCTAGCAATATTTTTTTCGTGTGGTCCCGGTATAGAATAGGCCATCCCTTCTTTCCCATGGGTGTCGTAAGAGTTCCTTTTAAAACATCTCCAAAGCCAATTGCGGTTGTCAGTCCGCCTGCTATACGTGGCAACTATTGGCAACCATCCCCCCTTCCCAAGGGGGAGGCTTATGTTCACGTGGGGACAGTTAAAGACTGACATGATGAATTTATAAATGTTTTAACAGACTTGAATCCCTACATCATCTAAAGTGAACCCATTATCTTCCTACCCTTATCCTAATTATATAAATTTTGTGATTGGCGTAATATATTTTTATCTATCTTACCCAAGTAGTATTATATTATCTGTGTAATTGTCAATATTCTTAAAAAACCAAATTATTAGCTACATCACTATTCTCACCAAAGATAAAAACTCTAAAAAGAATACATCCAAAGCCGTAAGTGTCTAAACAAAATGTCATTCATAGTTGAAGTTAAAGTCTAAAATTTTTAATTTTTTTTGCTATTAAAATAATTCGCGTTTTTTCAAATTTGCCATATTCCATTTCAATTTGGGTGTATTACTTTTGAAATTTTACCGTGAAAAAATTATTACGAATTTATTTATATTATAATTCCAGAATGAATGAATACCTCGTTGCCACACTTGATAAATTGGTTAGTAAAATTTGTTAATTGAAATATATTACCAATGTATTTATTTTAATAATATATTTATTATTTTATATGAAAAATAAATTTTATCAATTTACCAGCAAAGTACGTCGTACCGCCTTGCCTGTTACTGCATTTTAAGTTCTTTGCTACTTTGTTATTGAAAAAAAAAACCTTATTTTTCTACAAAAAAAAATAAGACTTTTAGATGACAGATGATAGATAAATAACTAGGTGGAATAGAAAGAGAGCACGTATGTCAGTGAGATTCTAATTAGAATGTATTTATTTTCTGATGTCTTTCACCCAATGGCGGATCCAGGGGGTCGTGACCCCCATGACCCCCTTCTGAGTTGGTTCCAGGACTTGGACCACTAATTGAACATAATGATTTTATTTATATGTTTTGTCACCGTACAGATTTTATGTAACTACATACCTTCAATATTTAATTAATTTAATATAGTATAATAACTTTGTATAATGGCAAACATTGGGGAACGAACACATGTCTTCTCTGGATGTCATCAAGAGAAGATGGCCAATATGTACATGTATATGTACAAGTCATTATGTGTTAATTTTTTCAAGTGAATAATAAAGAATAAATCTTTTTAAGTACAGTAGATGGATAGATAATTTATTTACATTACTTACAGCACAAATAAAAACAAAATATATAAACTAACAATCTCCTTTCTTTCCCTTCCTTCATGCGTGTGCCATCATAACACAGACACAGTACTTATGTACATTAATAAAATACCTACTTTTTACTTCTATCTATTGTTATCAAAATTAAATTGTAAGTTCTTGACTTGACCACGACTATGTGACCCCCTCCTGGCCCCAAAGCTGGATCCGCCCTTGCTTTCACCTTTTGGCGTTTTGTGTTTGTGCTATATTAGTGTTAGTGATGTTTTTTTATAACAAAAAGCTCAAAATTAGACCAGGCATTTGAATATAATTTTCATCGCCAGTACAAGCCTCTTATACATGATGCTGGTCATAAAAATAGCTATTAATTAAAAGGAGAAGATTTTTCTATAAAAGTTTGTTTATCTTAACCTTAATATTATTAGCCCCTTAATTGTGAAAGCCTATGTTCAGCAGCGGACTGATAACGGGTGAAATGATGATGATGATGATATGGCAGATGTAATAGTGTTTAGGTATTGGGGGAAAAGGGATTGTTAGCAACGGAGATTGACAGCCCCATTGCTAGCAATACCTAATAGGGCATTAGGTCGATCTCCATGTGGTTTCCCCTGGATACCATCGTGAAGAATTCTTGTTGAATTCGTCATGATGGGCTAACTGACCTGCTTTATCCTCCCCTATCATCCTTTACTGGTGCCCCGCCGGTGTATACCGATAGCATGGGTGGGGTTACCATTCCATTATCACCCATTAAAAAAAAAGTCTTTAGGTATTGCAGTGCCTGTGGTATTCCACAGGCATCACAGTATATATTTAATATCCACAATGCTGTTTACGTCTCTAGGTTTTTTTTATTCAACTTAGAATGGCAAACAAGCTGAAGGCCCACCTGATGGAAAGCGGTGACCGTCGCCTATAGACAGTGGCAGGTGGCAGTTAGCACTTACCATCAGATAGGCCATCAACTTATTTAACATTATTTTTAAGTTGCCTAAAAAGATAGGTTTATAATATATTTTTTTATTTTTTTTCTATTTTATGGCACAAACAGTCATTACACTTGTATAATATATATATTTAAAAACAAGAAATTATGCAGTAAACAAAATAGTACTGATATATATATATATATATATATATATATATATATATATATATATATATATATATATATATATATATATATATATATATATATATATATATATATATATATATATATATAAGTTATAAAAAATATCAGTTACAGTACATATTATTTATTATATAAATAACTTGCTAATTATTAGCACTTCTCTGTATATACTTCTAAGTTATTTAGTTAAAATAACTTAGTTATAATTAGGTAATAAATTTAAGTAAGTTATTTTATGCCTTTTTTTTCAGCGAACGAAAAACTATGCCAATGTAAACATTGTCATAGGCAATGAGAGTTGTGACTTAGATTCTTCTGTAAGCGCTATTGTCTATGCCTGTTTTTTGTACTGGCAAAGCAAGCAGATAAAATGCAACGAGTCTATGAACGTGAACAGGGACGAACAGACGAAATATGATATTTTTATACCAATATTGAATGTAAACAGAGAAGATTTTGCATTGAAAACTGAAGTCACATATTTATTGAAGACTCATGGTATTGATAAAAACGTTTTGGTGTTTAGGTGAGATTTTGTTTTATGTTGTACCAAAAAAAAAAAAAACTAACTTCAGTTATGATAAAAATAGTTATTTTAAAACTAAACTGCTGAACTGATTCTGAGGAGTTATATGAAACCAATCCTGAAGTTTTTTTTTTTAAATATAAGTTGTCGACTCCAGATGTAAAAATTAAATAAAAAAAAATACATTTACAGGGACGACTATGATCTGAAGGGACTACTAGCAAATACCAATTCAAAGGTGACCCTCGTCGACCATCATGTACTGAGCACGAAGGATCAGTTCTTAGCACCGTTTGTAACAGAGATCATAGATCACAGACCGTTGGACAAGACCGGCTGGACATATAATGATAGTGCTCACTCCACAATAGAAGTAGTCGGATGCTGTTGCACGCTAGTAGCTCAAAGGATTAAAGATTTGTCCTCTCCAATTGCTAAAGATTTGGATTTTTTTAATGCCTACCCAGTGTGCAGTGATATGTTACATTGTAAGTAAATTTTATAATGCTACGTGGTGGGGGGAAAGGGATTGTTAGTAATGGAGACTGAGAATCCCATTGCTAGCAATATACCCAACCAGGTCGACCTCCTCGCGGTTCCCCCTGGAAACTATCGTGGTTAATTCCTGATGAATTCATCATGATGGGCTAACTGGCCTGTTTTCATTCTCATCTATCACCCTTCACTGGTGCTCCGCCAGCGTATCCCGTTAGCGCAGGCGGGGTTACCACTCCATTTTCATCCAATAAAAAAAAAACTATGTTTAGATTGGCTTCATAGAAATTTCATTAAAATCGATTCGGCAGTCTCAAAATACCGGTTTTATGACATTTAAAGTCAGTATTTTATTTCTTTTTCAAGCAGGCAGGAGGTTGGTAACCGCAGTTTATTTTTTTTTACTCCATTACTAACAATCCCTTCTCCCCCCGATCTAAACATAGTTATAACGTTTGAATATATATATATATATAGACAAAAATCTATGTATAAATATAATAACGGAGTTCTGAACTAGCAAACATGAATAGTAAAACCTAATTGAGACCCTTTTGTTTTAAAATCCAGTCGAAAACGTTTCCCACGAAATTTGTTTCTTTTTTTTTATACAACTTAGAATGGCAAACAAGCTGTCGGCCCACCTGATGAGAAGTAGTAACCATCGCCTATACACATGAGCAGTAGCATGGACATAACAGAGTATACTGTTTCACCCATGATACCCCCCATGCGTTGTCATTTCTGAGGACTCAGGTGTTATTCCTCTGTACCCAGTAAATTCACGCCGTATTGTGCAATAAATTTATAGTATTTTTGTTTACTTGCAGCCACCATAATACTGGACACGATCAACTTGTCGAAAACTTTCAATAAAGCAACGCCCCATGACGTGAAGATTCTATTGTTTCTAGAGAGCTTAATCAAACCTGCAGATTATGAAAATTATAGGTGAGACTTCATTTAAACTTTACCAGAGGGAGACTTTGTACAAAAGTCGATTGCTTGGCCACCTCTGTCCCATTCGTGTATCAACCGTGAAGCAGTTGTGTTTGCATGGCTGCGTTTTGGTTTGAAGGTTGAGATATGGCGTGAATTTACTGGGCACAGAGGAATAACACCTGATTCTTCAGGAATGGCAACGCATGGGGGGTATCATGTGCGAAACAGTATACTCTGTTATGTCCATGGTACTGCTCATGTCTATAGGCGACGGTTACCACTTTCCATCAGGTGGGCTGTCAGCTTGTTTGCCATTCTAAGTTGTATAAAAAAAAAACTCTTTAGTAAAAATTTTTTCCCGCAGATATTCATGTAGATATACCTCTGTTCCTCTGTGTTTATGGCAGTGTATCGATGTGAAGGGTGAGATATGGCAGTGAGATTACATTTTTCTTTTTTATACAACTTAGAAAGGCAAACAAGCATACGGCCCACCAGATGGTAAGTGGTTACCGTAGCCTATGAACGCCTGCAATACCAGAAGTATTACGTGCGCGTTGCCGACCCTGAAGAAACCTCTTTACCCCCCTTTTGAAGTACCCCATGCTGTAGGCTCTTGGGGAAACCTGGGCAGGGAGCTCATTCCACATCTTGAGTGTTCGTGGGAGGAGACATCTTTGAAACCGCGCTGTACGCGACCATTTAGGCTGTAGGAATTACACTAATTATATTTAATTCTCTACCTACCTACCTGTGCGAAGCCGGGGCGGGTTACTAGTAAAGTATATAATCCAGGAAGAGTAAGCTTTTTTTTTTTTTTTTAATGGATGATAATGTAATGGTAACCCCGCCTGCACTAATGGTATACGCTGACGGGGCACCAGTGAGGGATGATAGGTGAGGATGAAGACAGGTCAGTTGGCCCATCATGATGAATTAAGAATTAACCACGAAAGTTTCCAGGGGGAACCGCGTGGAGGTCGACCTGTGAGGGCACATTGCTAACAATGGTGATGCCAGACCCCATTACTAATAATCCCTTTCCCCCACAGGAAGGGTAAGCTGGAGAGGTTGACGAATGCCCGCAGCGATGTCTCAGAGCTGACCGCCGCACAACTCCTGAGGAAGGATCTGAAAATAGTGGGCGAGGTTCTAGTGCCCACCTTTCCCATATTAGTACAGGTATTGTGTCATACATTACTAGCTATTTCCCACGGATTCGCCTGCGTGAATCACATATATTCTTGCTCAGGAAAATTACACAAATTTTTAATCGATTTTAAGACAGTCTTTTTGTTGTTCTCTTTTTTGGGACAATAATATACGTGGGGGGAAGGGAGTGTTAGTAATGCGGACTGTCAGCCCCATTGCTAACAAGATAGCATAGCTAGTCCTGTCAGGTCGACCTCCACGTGGTCCCACCTGGGAATCGTGCTGAATTCTATATATTTACGCATATAATGTATCTTGACGTATTATTTAATAAATAAAATGAGTGTTTACGCATTAAAACGATGCAAAAATTATAAGACAAAATAAATATAGAAGTTATAAAGGAATCACTCATAAGTATTTATCATGCAAAACTGTATGAAAAAGTTGAGCCGCTATTCTCGAAGCATTTGTATGAATATAGACACTCTATTTATATAAAATAGGGGTTATGTGTATATATAGGAGATATTTTATATAAATATTAATTACATCTGAAGCAATTTATTTTCATTTTTAAAATTTACGCTCAAATTTTTATCTGATATCTGTATAGAGCTAAACGTCCTCTGAAAAAGACTTCCAGGTGAAGTCGAAACAATAGTCGGGAGCGACAAAAACACAGTGGATTGACTAATATTATATATATATATATATATATATATATATATATATATATATATATATATATATATATATATAACACCTGAGTCCTCAGGAATGGCAACGCATGAGGGGTATCATGTGCGAAACAGTATAGTCTGTTATGTCCATGGTACTGCTCATGTCTAATATATATATATATATATAATTTTTTATCAGGAATTCCTCGAAAGGCCAGACGCACTGGAAGCGTTGCAAACGACTTTAACGCAACGAAGCTGCAACTTAGCCGTGCTGCTTGGCATGCACCTCAAGGGTCCAATGAGGAGGGACGTGGCTGTATACTCGGCGGATACCACGAGGGCTACAAGAGTGAGTATTAAAAATTTCATAAGTACATGTTTTTTTTTAATGGATGATAATGGAATGGTAGCTCCGCCTGCGCTAACAGTATACGCTAGTGGGGCACCAGAGAGGGATGATATGGCGGGGCACCAGTGAAGGATGATAGGTGAGAATGAAAAGGCAGGTCAGTTACATCGTGATGAATACGCCTGGAGTTAACCATGGTAGCTTCCAGGGTATATTGCTAACAATGGGCCTGGTAGTCTGCATTACTAACAATTCCTTCCCCCCCCCCCCCCTTAGTGTACTATGTTGGGGGGAGGAAGGATTGTTAGTAATGTGGCAGCCATTGCTAGCAATACCTTATTAGCTCGACCTTCACGTGTTCCCCACTAGAAACCATCTTGGTTAATTCTTGTCGAATTCATCATGTAGACCAACTGACCTGCTTTCATCCTCACCTATCATCTCTCACTGGTGCCCCGTCAGCGTATACCGGTAGTGCAGGTGAGGCTACCATTTCATTTTCATCCATTAAAAAAAGTTAACTCTGTTATGTTTTTTTTTTATACAATTTAGAATGGCAAACAAGCTGACGGTCCACCTGATGGAAAGTGGTAACCGTCGCCTATAGACATGAGCAGTACCATGCACATAACAGAGTATACTGTTTCGCCCATGGTACCCCCCATGCGTTGCCATTCTTGAGGACTCAGATGTTATTCCTCTGTACCCAATAAATTCACGTCATATCCCACCCTTCAAATTGAAACACAGCCATGCAAACACAACTGCTTCACGGTAGAAACACGAATGGGACAGAGGTACCCAAGCAATCGACTTTTGTACAAAGTCTCCCCCTGGTACATTTGAAGTAGTCACTCGATTTAGTGGTATGGAGGGTCGTCCTACACTGCGTTTGCCCGTACGGGGTCGCCACACATGAACCTTTATTTATTATTTATAATATATTAATTATAATAATTATTTATTTTCCAGTTATCAAGATTTCTGCAAGACTGGACCGGTCCGGCCTTCGGCCTTAGTTCTCCTGGCAGCGACAGTCGCTACATTTATTTCACGCAAAGCAACCTATCGGCAACCAGAAAACAATACGTACCGGCCATTCAGGCGTTTTTAAATATTAAAAATTGATAAGCCAAGGCGGAGCACCATTGAAGGGTGATCGATGAGAATGAAAACAGGCTAGTTAGCCCATCATGATGAATTCATCAGGAATTAACTATGATAGTTTCCAGGGGGAACCGCGAGGAGGTCGACCTGGTTGGGTATATTGCTAGCAGTGGGATTCTCAGTCTCCATTACTAACAATCCCATTCCCCCCATTATCACCCATTAAAAAAAATAGTCAATACACTAACTGAAAAATGAAATAAAACAAAAATTAAGAAATATCTATTTTAATGTAAATATTAAACGATGTCGGAGCAAATAGTCAATATATCTACGGAGCAAATAATCTGAGGGCCTACCATGAAATATTTTCCGAAATTTCGGGCACGAACGAAACAGAAATTTGATGCTAAAATTACATAATACATGCCGTTTAAAATTATTAAAAATGTTAAAATATCGTTCCTTTAGTCTATTAGGATAGGATTTATGATGAACGAAATGTTAAGCTCCATTTACTGAGTCGAATTTGGTACGAACAAAAACACAAAATTGAGCCCGAAAATTCGGATTTCCGTTTCATGGTAGACCACATGCTTACAAATAATAAATTATTTATAAGTACATAAACTCTAAATAAATGTGATTTCGCATCAAAACTAAGTACGTCTGTTTTTTTTTTCCTATTAATAATTCACAATAAATAACTACAATATGTTTATTCTATATATAAATAAAATATTAAAATAAATTTATTTAAATACAAAGCATGGACAAAATGAATTTCTTTCTCTGTCTCAAACATTGGAGATTAATATCTTTTTTTTTAACTTAATCACACAACATACATACATACAACACACACGCAGGCGTACATATATGCATGGGGACACATACAAACACGCACGCACACATGCATACACACACATACACTTATACACACGCACACGTGCATGCAATTACGCTCGTCGCACGCATGCACACATACATACACAGACACATACGCACACGTGCGCGCACCCACACATGCTTATACAATTTGTGCGTGTGGTTAATTCAAAATTAACAAGACATTCATTTTTTGTTCTGTCCTTCGTATATTTATACAAAATACTTGGTTTACTACAATCTAAAAGTTGAGATTTTGTCCATAAAATGACTAAGCTTATTATGAATCTTAATTAACAATTAACGTTTCAAAATAATTGTCGTTTGTATTATATTATAGTTTATATCTCTTTAAATAATTGACATAAAAAAAATCAACTTATTAAGTAATCATTGACTGTGATATTTTTCAGAAATAATGTTTTTTTTTTTGGAATGTATAATGTAAAATTACGATTTTCAATGTTGCTCTGAAAAGTTGGAGAATAAATTGTTTTTTTTTTTATATAACACTTGTATATTATTTGTCACAAATCCTTTATCTAAAAGGCACTTTTGTTACAAGATAAAATATTGTACAATTAGTTAAAAAGTAATCGACGTTTTACCAAATTGATGTCAAAGTATATAATCTCTAGTCTTTTATAAACATAGATATAGTATAACGTACTCAATCTACGTTTATATCCATGGTTTAAGAACATTCGTTTTTTTTCTTTGTTTTTTAGGGCACAGTTTAAAAATGTTTTTTTAGTGACCAATTAAAATTTTTAGGTCATATTCATACGCTTAAATCGGAAAAAAAAACTCGAAAAATACGTTATTACTATTTTCTATTTAATTTTTTTTTTTTTTGAGGACGACTTATATATTTGTAGGCAGTATTCGCATGCTGGCATATCGTGAAAAATCACGTATACGTCCGAAGATTTAAAAATGGAATATCAAATACATTCCTCTATTATTATTTTTTTTTATTTTCACATCTGTTGCCGGAACATGGCTGTTATTTCTTCAACCGTTTTGTTCTTTGTCTCTGGCACTTTGCACGCTATGAAAATTATGAAGAGTAGTTGCAGTACTGCGAATATCACGAACGTGTACGAGCCAAGCGCGAGCTGAAATATAATATTATTTATTTATTTATATTTAAATTATGCATTATATCTTTGACCGGTTCATGTTTTTAGCAAAATGGTATTAACTTATAAGTATATCATAGTAGCATGTTTTTGCATGTGTTTGCATGGCTGTGTTTCGGTTTGAAGAGTGGGATATGGCAGTGAATTTATAGGGTACAGAGGAATAACACCTGAGTCCTTAGGAATAGCAACGCATGGGGGGTATCATGAGTGAAACAGTATACTCTTTTATGTCCACGGTACTGCTTATGTCTATAGGCAACGGTTGCCACTTTCCATCAGGTAGGCCGTCAGCTTGTTTGCCATTCTAAATTGCATAAAAAAAAGCATTTCCTATAGTTTAATCTCGCTGACCACGTTTATATGTTTTTAACCGACTTCAAAAACAAGGAGGTTCTCAATTCTGATTTTTTTTATGTTTGTTACCTCATAACTCAGTCAGTTATAAACCGATTTGGAAAATTCTTATTGATTTGGGAAAGGATTGTTAGTAATGGGGATATGGCAGTCAACTTACAGGGTACAGAGGAATAACACAAGTCCTCAGGATTGACAACGCATGGGGGGTATCATGGACGAAACAGTACACTCTGTTATGTCCATGGTACTGCTCATGTCTATAGGCGACGGTTACCATTTTCCTTCAGGTGGGCCGTCAGCTTGGTTGCCATTCTAAGTTGTATAAAAAAAATGAGATCACCACGAGATTTTTTTTTTTTATAAGAATTGTTAGTATTGTTTATTATAAGTAATATTTAAGTATTTCAAATATTTCATGCCTTATTATGGCGATATATGTGGACTTATTATTTTAACACCTGTATATTTACCATGTTTTTTTATACCACTGAGGTGGCAAACAAGCATACGGCCCACCTGATGGTATATGGTTACCGTAGCCTGTTTTATGTAAATAAATATTAATTCATTCATGTAATAAAAAAAACCGGTTTATGACAAAAGAATCATCAAATTCCATTCCGAGTTGGTATTCAGAATTCAGTAGATATCGAGTAATATAGGTACAAAAAATACTGTTAAATAGAGAGCTTCCATTTTGAATGAGTACTAACCGAGAGGGGCAGGAAACTTAAACCCACTATGAAGTTGGCCGTCCAGTTGACAGTGACGGCGACAGATGTCGCTGCTGGCCGCGCCGACTGGTTGAAGAGCTCTGAAAATGAAAAAGTATGGATTAAATACAATAGGAGTCACCGGACTTTGGTCACGTACCTAATACCTTCATAAACTATCATGGTTGATTCCTGATGAATTCATCATGATGGGCTAACTGGCCTGTTTTCATTCTCATCTATCACCCTTCACTGGTGCTCCGCCAGCGTATCCCGTTAGCGCAGGCGGGGTTACTATACCATTTTCACCCATCAAAAAAATACCTTCATAAAGTTTCAGCCAATACAACTGATCGGTTATTTTACAGCATTTTATATGTGATTATTTACATTGATATAACTTTGTTTTATTTATGAACCGATTGAAATAAAACAAACACTAAATGTTAAGTGGAGCAAACTGCAACGCAATGGTGAGGACCGCATTGAAATCTGTTAAACCGTTACTGAGATTAGCGCGCACAAACGTACAGACAAACAGACTGACAGGCAAAAATTTTAAAAATCGTCGTTTTGGGTTCTTTTGCGTCCATAAAGCCCCCCTATAATAGTTTTTCTTATATATCTTCCATGTACAGACAGAGAGCAGTTACGATTTTATTATATGTATTGTTAAGTACTCACCAGTAACAAGGAACCAGGGTATGGAGCCGGGTCCTATAGCGAATGTCATCACGAACAGCATCACCAGGGCAATACACACGTACGGAACCCAGGACACTTGGGTCTGTGGACAAAATGATTCAAGTTCAAATCTTCTACTATCAAATATACTTGTTTACAAGCACTTTTAAATCGAAATTTTTTTTTATAAATCTACTGCAGGCTTCGAAAGCTTGTTATCTGTTGAGAAGAGCCCGCGAGAAACTCGACAGTTACTCTTTTAAATCTCTGTTAACATTATGTGTATTTATTTAAATGTACTATGTCTAAAATTACATGGTCGTTAAAAGCCCATACATGATCGACTAACACCATGCACGCTTGTCATTCGAGTAATCGTTTAGTGTGTAATAGGCTTTGTTCTAGAAGTGTTTTTTTTTTTTAATAACAGTTTTAAACTTATTAAAAGGCAGATCCAAAATATCCTTCGGTATCTTATTGTAACATTTAATGCCCATTCCCATAAAAGACCTAAAGAACTTTTTCTAAACGATATTTAGATACAGCAAGTTTGTATTTGTATTTACCAGAGGGAGACTGTACAAAAATCGATTGCTTGGGTACATCTGTCCCATTCGTGTTTCAACCGTGAAGCAGTTGTGTTTGCATGGCTGTGTTTCGGTTTGAAGGGTGAGATATGGCGTGAATTTACTGGGTACAGAGGAATAACACCTGAGTCCTCAGGAATAGCAACGCATGGGGGGTATCATGGGCGAAACGGTATGTATACTCTGTTATGTCCATGGTACTGCTCATGTCTATAGGCGACGGTTACCACTCTAAAATCTAGTGTTAAGATTGTTCAGATCGCTGTTTTTAAGAAACAGTTGAAGATTCCTGCGTATAATACTTTTTTTAACAACTTAGAATGGCAAACAAGCTGACGGCCCACCTGATGGAAAGTGGTAACCGTCGCCTATAGACATGAGCGGTACCATGGACATAACAGAGTATACCAGTGATATGGAATTCCGCAAAATAGGTGTTATTTTTTTAGTAATTCAATAAAACACTGCAAAGAATAACTTACGTATAGATTCGCGACGAACAATCCTACTGTGGTGATGAACATTCCAATGAAGCCGGTGAGGAGCAGCGTCTTCCTGCCAGCGTACTCCACCAGCATCAGGCTGATCACCGTCATCACCACGTTCATGGCACCCATACCTGGTGGAACAACAAGCAGTGCTACAAAATCACGCCACTCGTCTGCTTCTCAAACCAAGATAACCGATATATATATATATATATATATATATATATATATATATATATATATATATATATATATATGTATACATATATATAGCCAGCCATATTTTCCTTTCAGCTTTAAAGATGAAAATATATGTTAATAAATGAGGGCTTTTTTTTTTAAGTTTCAATTTTTTTTTAATGGATTTTGGTTAATGGAATGGTAACCTTACCCGCGCTATCGGTATACACCGGCGGTGCACCAGTGAAGGATGACAGGTGAGGATAAAGCAGGTCAGTTAGCCCATCGTGACGAATTCAACAAGAATTGTTCACGATGGTTTCCAGGGGGAACCACGTGGAGGTCGACCTAATAAGGCATATTGCTAGCAATGAGGCTGTCAAACTCCATTGCTAACAATCCCTTTCCCCCTGAGTTTCCATTTGGATAGGTGTAGGTAATAGATAGATAGATAGATAAACACTTTATTTGAGCCATTTATGACGCACGTAAATTAACAAATGAGTTTATACAATCAGATTATTTACACTTTTTTAAATATAAAACAAAAGATAAAGTATGGAAATATGTTTTCACCAAGTGTGTCGCAGTGACTCAAACAGGCTACAGCTCAGTGATAGTTTTGCTTAAAAGTAAAGAACTGATTTCTCTCACCAGAGGGACACTTTGTACAAAAGTCGTTTGCTTGGGTACCTCTGTCCTATTCGTGTTTCTACCTTGAAGCAGTTGTGTTTGCATGGCTGCGTTTCGATTTAAAGGGTGGGATATGGCGTGAATTTACAGGGTACAGAGGAATAACACCTGAGTCCTCAGGAATGGCAACGCATGGGGGGTATCATGGGCGAAACAGTATACTCTGTTATGTCCATGGTACTGCTCATGTCTATAGGCGACGGTTACCACTTTCCATCAGGTGGGCCGTCAGCTTGTTCGCCATTCTAAGTTGTATAAAAAAAAATTTACGTTATATTTTACTGAATTATATACCGTCACCTCTCCTTTTTATATATACAAACATGCTGTATTCATATATTTCTTTGCTTGCGTATTAAAACCATACTTGTATCAAGAACAAATTAGTTTTTCAAAATCCAGTAAACTTGGAATTACCCAATCTACAAGGCAAGCCAACACACACTAGCCCAAATATGGTCCTTCGAGCCGGATTAGGTATACATAGAATGGGCCGCCCCTTCCTTTCCCGTGGGTGTCGTAAGAGGCGACTAAGGGACGGCGAGGGATGAGCAGCAGCGTCTCTCTTAAAACATCATTACAAGCCTAACTGCGGTTGAAACCCACATGCCAAATGTGGCAACTACTAGCAAAACTCCCCTTCCGGGAAAGACTTATGTCCAGCAGTGGACAGTCAATGTCTGATGTGATGATGAAGAATTATAACTCACCTAAAGTCGCATACTGCGAGTGCCTCTCACTGATGCCAGCTTTGAGGAAGATATCCGTGGAGAAGAATATGACCACGTTAATCCCGGACAGTTGTTGTGCGATCATCACCATCATCGCGATGATGAGCGGCTGCCGCAGCTGGCGGTTGCTGAACAGCTCCCGGAGGGTCACCTTCTTACTCACTTTATTCTTTTCTGCCTCCTAATGTAGGAAAAAAGATGATGATGATTATGGAACTTTGCCGTGTGGTCCCGGCATAGTAGGAAACCCCTTCCTTTCTTGTGGGTGTAGTAAAAGGCGATTAAGAGAAGGCGAAAGATGGACTGCAGCGTCCCTCTTAAAACATCCTAACTGCGGTAGCCGATTGGGGGGATGCTGGTAATCCGGACTACCAGTCCCACTACCAGCAATATACCCTGTCAGGTCGACCTCCACGTTTCCAGAGGGAAACCATTATGGTTATTTAATGTTGAATTCGTCATGATGGGCTAACTGACCTACTTCATCGTCTCCTATCATCACTCACTGGTGCCCCGCCAGTGTATACCGATAGAGTAGGCGGGGTTACCATATCATTATCACCCATTAAAAAAAAGGCCAATTATTCACAACTGAATATGATTGGTATGCGAAAATATTAATAGACACGCTTTCGCTACTGCACAGCGACCGGGTCGTTGAAGAAGAGAGGAGGATGAGTGAGAATGAAATGGTAACCTCGCCTGCGCTATCGGTATACGCTGACGAGGCACCAGTGCGGGATGATAGGTGAGGATGAAACCAGATCAGTTGGCCCATCGTGACGAATTCCATAAGAATTAACCAAGATTCCAGGGAGAAAGGGATTGTTAGTAATGGAGACTAAAAATCCCATTGCTAGCAATGTACCCAACCAGGTCGACCTCCTCGCGGTTCCCCATGTCAAACCCCATTACTGAAATCCCTTAATCCTTTTTCCCCCAACAATAAAAGGCTAGAATGATACCTGAACTGATGATTACCTGGTGCATTTCCTCCATTTCCCCATGGACAGCTACGTCTCCGCGGAGCCAGTTTAGGGCTACAAAAAAATAAAAATGTATACATATCTAATATATAAAATTCTCGTGTCACGGTGTTTGTTACCAAACTCCTCCGTAACAGCATTACCGATTTTTATGAAATTTTGTGTGCATATTGGGTAGGTCTGAGAATCGGCCAACATCTATTTTTCATACCCCTCAATGATAAGGGTGACATACCCCTAAATATATTCTTTTTTGTCCGTTTTTTTATTTTTATTTTATTATGATTTAGCATTGAAAAATACATACAAAATCAAATTTTACGCTTTTACGATCAACCGCTGTTTTTTCCATCAGGTGGGCCGTCAGCTTGTTTGCCATTCTAAGTTGATAAAAAAAAATTAAGTTAATAAATAAAAAAATATATATATTAGGTACCTCTTTGCGCGTGCAACTCCCTTCCTCTATTCAAAAGCAAGAACTTGGGTGATTCCGGACAGAAAGGTAGTGTTACGAACTGTATCACAGCCGGTATAGCCGCTACGGCGAGCAAATACGGCCAGCCGTATGGCGTGCCCAGCACCGACTCCAAGCCTAGTACTTGTGATAGAAGGATTGTTATTGTGATCACGAGCTGGTAGACTGTGCCGATCTGAAAGCGTCGAATTACTTTTAGCTTGATCAAGTAAGACATGCGACAAGGTGGGCGTAACTCACTCAAATATGTATGTAAAATTGACATTTCCGCATGTTCGTTAGTTTCCAATACCAGAGGGAGACTTTGTACAAAAGTTGGGCACCTCTGTCCCATTCGTGTTTCTACCGTGAAGCAGTTGTGTTTGCATGGCTGTGTTTCGGTTTGAAGGTATATATATATATATATATATATATATATATATATATATATATATATATATATATATATATATATATATATATATATATATATATATATATATATATATATTCTAGAAGACGCACGATAGCACGTTCTAAATTCAAACATAACGCGGCATAGTTCGCGTGACCGGTATGTTCAGTGGCCGTACGTAGGAATATTTTGAACCGACTTCGAAATAAAAGTATTTATTTATATGTAATACGTTAGTATTTCTTTAAGGTTTATTACCTCATTAAGTAATACGGTTGTATTTTTTTAGGTTTATTATTTCATAACTGCATCAGTTGTAAACCGATCAAGAATTTTTTTTTTTTTCTGACAGGATATGATATATGGATGCTTAAGGATTGGTCCCATAGAGATATTATTAAAATGGATTCTGTAGTTCCATATATATATATATATATATATATATAACCAAAATAAAAAAAAAAACGTAGTACGTAGTAAGCAGAAGTAATGAAGTACTTACAGACCCTCGCAGCGAGACTGGTGATATTTCAGCCAGGTATATAGGAACCAGGCCAGCATTCAGGCCACTGTTGATACCTATTAACAGCCTACAAAAAATATATTAAATAAATATCTATTTATTTATTAAACAGTAATACACCTAGAATGTAATACACCACACTAGAATGTAATATGCCTAAGGTTCTTGAGTGGCGACCGCGTACGGGTAAACGCGGTAGCACGACCCCCCCACTAGATGGAGTGACGACCGGAAATGCGTTGCGAGGGGTCAGTGGATGCAGGTGGCTCAGGACCGTTCCTTATGGCAGTTTATAGGGGAAGGCTTATGTCCAGCAATGGACGGATAATGGCTGAAATGAATACACCTAGATATTGTAAATGGCGGACTTGAGACCATATGGCGTTATCTACCAGTCGACCGTAGACAGGAATAACGAAAAATATAATGGACGCTGCAAATGAATAAACAATATTTTTTTTTTTATAAATTAAAAAGGTAAAAAAGCTGATGTCCCACTTGATGGAAAGTGATAACCGTTACGTATAGGGGGTAAAGGGATTGTTAGTAACAGGTGTCTAATTTCTCGATTAATAGCAATACACATTATCAAGTCGACCTCCACACGGTTGCCCCTGGAAACAATAGTGGTTAATTCTAGTGGAATTTATCACGATGAGTGCTCTTCTGCCCATCCTTCGACTGTTAAGTTTCTTTAATCGCCTCTTACGACACCCACGGGAAAGGAAGGGGGAGGGGGGGGAGAAGGGATTTGACAGTCTTACCTTCCTAGTATCAGCATTTCAGCCGAGCTGGCGGTCTTTGAGAATCCTTCCAAAGCGGCCGCCACTAACACGAGGACATTGTTTAGCAGCAAACCGCACTTCCTTCCAAATCTGTAAAAATATTTTTTTATACAACTTAGAATGGCAAACAAGCTGACGGCCCACCTGATGGTAAGTGGTAACCGTCGCCTATAGACATGAGCAGTACCATGGACATAACAGAGTATACTGTTTCGCCCATGATACCTCCCATGCGTTGCCATTCCTGAGGACTTAGGTGTTATTCCTCTGTACCCAGTAAATTCACGCTATATCCCACCCTTCATACCGAAACACAGCCATGCAAACACAACTGCTTCACGGTTGAAACACGAATGGGACAGAGGTACCCAAGCAATCGACTTTTGTACAAAGTCTCCCTCTGGTGATATTATAATAATAATTTTTATTTCGAACTTGTTTTTATAAATGTCTTACAACATCCACGGTAAAGGAATGGGTGGCTTATTCTACGCCGGGACCACACGGCGAATTTACCTGTCAGCTATGATTCCAGTGATGACCCCACCGATCATTCCGCCCACGCAATATATTGAGACCGCCACGGACCACACCGAAGTCACTTTCGGGTCTGAGTTGGCGTCAATGGTTAGATTTGTACCAGATAGCGCGTATTTGTGCAACCATTCGGACATAACCTGGAAAAAAAATATTTATGTGAATATAATGAACACACACAATGTATTTTATGTATTTTTTTTTTTTATTTTTTTTTATTATTTTTTTCTATGGAATTTCGCGGCTCACTCTTGGCCATAACAGAATATCAGTGTTTTGCTCTTTTTTTTGGGCAAAGCAATAAACTGAGTTGTGACCATTTTGTGTTTTTTTTTATACACAACTTAAAATGGCAAACAAGCTGACGGCCCACCTGACGGAAAGTGGTAACAGTCACCCATAGACATGAGCAGTACCTTGCACATAACAGAGTATACTGTTTTGCCCATGATACCACTATATCCGACACTTCAAACCGAGACACAGCCATGCAAACACAACTGCTTCACGGTAGAAACACGAATGGGACAGAGGTACCCAAGCAATCGATTTTTGTACAAAGTCTCCCTTCATCCCTCCCCCTGGTAAAGATCTTTTATTTAATGGGTGATAATGGAATGGTAAACCCATCCGTGCTAACGGTATATATCGGCGGGGCACCAGTGAAGGATGATAGATGAGGATAAAGCAGCTCAGTTAGCCCATCGTGAGGAATTCAACAAGAATCGTTCACGATGGTTTCCAGGGGGAACCACGTACAGGTCAACATAATAGGGCATGTTGCTAGCTATGGGGACGTCAAACTCCATTGTAACAACCCCTTTCTCCCCGGTAAAATCAGTTTTTAATAGATGATAATGGTATGGTAACCCCGCCCTGCGCTATCGGTATACGCTGGCGGGGCACCAGTAGCAGGTCAGTTAGCCCATCGTGATGAATGTAACAAGTATTGACCACTATGGTTTCCAGTGGGCACCACGTGGAGTTCGACCTGACATGGCTTGCTAGTCCCCATTACTTGGGAGGAAAGGGATTGATAGTAATGGAGACTGGGAATCCTATTGCTAGCAATATACCCAACCACGTCGACCTCCTCGCGGTTCCCCCTGGAAACTATCATGGTTAATTTCTGATGAATTCATCATGATGGGCTAACTGGCCTGTTTTCATTCTCATCTATCACCCTTCACTGGTGCCCCGCCAGCGTATCCCGTTAGCGCAGGCGGGGTTACCATATCATTTTCACCCAGAAAAAAAGTCCCCATTACTAACAATACCCCCCCCCCCCCCCTCCCTCTCAGTTAAATCTGTGCTGATTCTGTTTCAGCTTGCAAGAACAATCATTGCAAGTTTGGAAAAAGCGATAGATGCTTACCGCTTGTGGAGCGTTCAGCACGCCAGTGTTGTACCCATGCTGGAAGGCTGACCAGCAAGCTGAGGAGACTACAGCAAACGCCAGCCTCACGTTCATACCCTGAAAAATAACAAAAATACATTACTTCTGTGTAAATATATGTACTCTTCACTCTGACTTGCGGTTATTTTTTTTATGCATCTTAGAATGACAAACAAGCTAACGGCCCACCTGATGGAAAGTGGTAACCGTCGCCTATAGACGTGAGCAGTACCGTGGACATAACAGAGTATACTGTTTACATGCATATAAATAAATAAATAAATAAATAAAAAACTTAAATGACTCGAATTGATTTTTATAAAATCTCTTACGAGACCTATTTAAAAGTACTTCCTTTTAATTGAAAATAGTATTTTCCCAAAATAAAGGAGTTAGGATGTAAAGAGCAAAAGAAAAAAATATAAGCGAATTGAGAATGTCATCCAATTGGAGGTCAAATGAAAATCAAGGTAATGGCAAAATTTTGGATGGCTGCTCTAAAGTTGGGTATATATATATATATATATATATATATATATATATATATATATATATATATATATATATATACTTGTTTATTTATGACCATAGATAATATCTTAAACAAACTCCGTAGCTACATAATAATCGTCGCGATAACGAGGTGGTTACGGAGCAGAGGCGAAGTGAGGTCTAATTGGAAAATAAAACACAAATTCGTAAATATCTATGTATCGAGGCATAACATTTTCGTTTTATTAAGGATTTTTATTTATTTTATTTGGAATAACAACAGTTTTTTTTACAAAATTCAATACATATTACATTACGTTTTTTTTTTAATTTAACAACACAGCGGCTCACCTGATGGTAAGTGACTACCGCCGCCCAGCAGCAGTATTTCCGAACCGATACGACATCATAAACTTCAAGAAAAGAGCATATTCCTTTTTAAAAGGCCGGCAGCACACCTGCAATGCCGTAGGTGTTGTGGGTGATCAAGGGCGGCGGTAGTCACTTACCATCAGGTGAGCCGCATGCTCGTTTGCCCCCTGCACTGTAGCTCCTTTGTTTTGGGGTTTTGGGGCATACTTAGAGTGACTGCATCATCATTTCAGCCATTACCCGTCCACTGCTGAACATAAGCCTCCCCCATAGACTGCCATAAACAACGGTCCTGAGCCACCTACATCCACTGACTCTCTGCAATGCATTTATATATATATATATATATATATATATATATATATATATTCTTTATGCACTTGTAAAGTACATTGTTAATGCATTTATAAATATTGTGAGCAAGGGTGGACATATCTCTGACAGAGATCTCTTCCAGTCAACCCAACACAGTTGAAAAGCATTTCGTTAGCGGGCAGCTGAAGTGCTACAACTAATTAATACATAAACAAATATACAGTTAAATAAAATATTAAAACATATAATAAAATATTACATAAATAATTTGTAAATTAAATAAATATTTCTTATTTCATTAATAAATTTATTTCATTATAAAGACTTGTCTCGTTTATTTAACAAACAATAAGTACATCCTATAGAGAGTTGTTAAAAAAACACAACGCAACGCCGGTAGAACCTAAACCTTTGTAGATAAAGATTTACAAGTCAACGACCTCCATGGTACGGTTATAGAATACAGTTAATGTATTCATACGCGATAATAATACGTATGGGGTACGTACTGTATGTGTTTTTTTTATGGGTGATAATGGAATGGTAACCCCACCCGCGCTATCGGTATACACCAATGAAGGATGATAGGTGAGGATGAAGCAGGTCAGTTAGCCCATCGTGACAGGGTGGAAGGGATTGTTAGTAATGGGTAGTTTAGTCCCCATTGCTATCAATATGATAGGGTATCAGGTGACCTCCACGCGGTTCCCCTTGAAACTATCGTGACCAATGTATCATTGAATTTGTCACAATGGGCTAACTGACCTGCCTTATCATCCTCACCTATCACCGCTCACTGGTACCCCGCATAAAAAAAACCCATTGTGACGAATTCAATAAGAATTATTCACGATGGTTTCAAGGGGGAACCACGTGGAGGTCGACCTGATAGGGTATATTGCTAGCAATGGGGTTGTCAAACTCCATAACTAACAATCCCTTTCCCCCCCGTACTGTATGTTAAATGCTTTTTTAAATGGATGATAATGGAATAGTAAGTCCGTCTGTGCTGGGGGGAAAGGGATTGTTAGTAATGGAGACTGAGAATCCCATTGCTAGCAATATACCCAACCAGGTCGACCTCCTCGCGGTTCCCCCTGGAAACTATCGTGGTTAATTCCTGATGAATTCATCATGATGGGCTAACTGGCCTGTTTTCATTCTCACCTATCACCCTTCACTGGTGCTCCGCCAGCGTATACCGTAAGCGCAGGTGGGGTTACCATTCCATTTTCATCCACCAAAACAAAAAAAAAATCGTCAAATTAGCTGCCTCCTTCTTTTATCAGTGTTCTATATATTTACGCATATAATGTATATTAACGTATTATTTAATAAATAAAATAAGTTTTTAAAGCATTAAAAATATGGAAAAATTATAAAATAAAATAAATATTGAACTTATAAACTGGCAACTCCTGGCAAAACACCCCTTACGGGGGAGGCCTAAGTCCAGTAGTGGACAGTTAAAGACATATGATATGGTATGGAAATACACCTAGATATTGTAAATGGCGGACTTGAGACCATATGGCGTTATCTGACAAACGACAGTAGACAGGAATAACGGAAAATATAATTGACGTTGCAACTGAATAAACAATATTAAATTAAAATAGTAAGTACTTTATATTATTCTTAATTTCGTGTATAATATAATATATTTAATATATGTGTACGTATATTTATTATTCATATATATATTTATTCGTTTATATATGTAATTTTAGTATGTATGTATATCAATAATTACTAGTACCGCATTCGTGTATTCTGACACTTCCCTATGGTTGACGGGGAGAGAATGCTTTTAGCATTAAGTCCGCCATGTACACATATATGTACCAATGAATAAATAAAAAAATTAATTAATTAATTAATTAATACAGTTATTTAAATTTCTTATCTAGAAGATGATATAAATGTTGCTATAAAATCAATTTTATATAAACTTTCGTTGCCCGAAATAAAAATGTTATTATTAGAAAAAAAAAAAAAAAACTAGAGTCATAAACGTATAAAGTGAGTGGGTACTGAAATATGAATTTTATATTCATTTCATTTTGTTTCCATTCGTGTTTCAACCGTGAACCAGTTGTGTTTGCATGGCTGTGTTTCGGTTTGAAGGGTGGGATATGGCAGTGAATTTATAGGGTACAGAGGAATAACACCTGAGTCCTCAGGAATGACGATCATGGCATATCAGGGGCGAAACAGTATACTCTGTTATGTCTATGGTACAGCTCATGTCTATAGGCGACGGTTACCACTTTCCATCAGGTGGGCCGTCAGCTTGTTTGCATTCTAAGATGCAAAAAAAAAAAACTTACGTTGCCAGAAATAAAAATGTTATTATTAAAAAAAAAACTAGAGTCATAAACGGATAATGTGAGTGGGTACTGAATAGTTTTTAGACGATTTATTTCATCTCAGACTGTGAATCACAGAGAGGGACAACGCCTAAAAATGTAGCCTACGCACTGTACAATCGTTAAAGTTAGTAAATGCTATAAATAAACCGGTCAGGTGCGAGCTGAACTCACACGTCGAGGGTTCCTTATACAGATATATGTGACAGATATTTATTGCATTTCCAATACGAAATAGACATATAATATTTATTATTTACAATTTTTTTTTAAATCTATGCACCGCCATTTACTCTCTGTTTATCGTAACGGTTTTTTTTTAATGGATGATAATGGAATGGTAACCCGCGCTATCGGTATACACCGGCGGGGCACCAGTGAAGGATGATAGGTGAGGATGAAGTAGGTCAGTTAGCCCATCGTGACGAATTCTACGAGAATTGTTCACGATGGTTTCCAGAGGGAACCACGTGGAGGTTGACCTAATAAGGCATATTGCTAGCAATGGGGCTGTCAAACCTCATTGCTAACAATCCCTTTCTCCCCTATCGTAACGGTTGCCTGGTAGAGAATGTCATCAGGCATTAAGTCCGCCCTGTACACATATTTTAAAGTGTGCAAAATTATAAATAAATAAATAAATATTATATTATTATTATTAGAATACCGTTAATGGAGGCAGAGTTAGCATTCCTTAGTCATCATTACCAGAAGAAGACTTTGTACAAAAGTCGATTGTTTGGGTACCTCCGTCCCATTCGTGTTTCAACCGTGAAGCAGTTGTGTTTGCATGGCTGTGTTTCGGTTCGGCCAGTTGGCCCACCGTGATGAATTCGACAAGAATTAATCATGATGGTTTCCAGGGGGAACCGCGAGGAGGTCGACCTGAGATATTGCTGATACGACACACACGAGAAAAAGGGATGGCCAATTCTACGCCGGGAACACACGACAATTGAAAAAGTATTATTGTATTATATAAAAAACTCTTTGATTTAAAAACCGTTTAAAAACACGACATGTTCTCGTACAAAGTCAATATTTGAGATGAAATATTAAAAAAAAAAATAACCTATTATGTCATCAACAAATAGACGGAACTGTGTTTTCTCTAGAACATTAAGTCCAAACACGTTTTTTTTTTAAACTGTCGATAGATAAGCGGAAGATAATGTTTTTTTTTTTTTCTGTATATTTCATATGATAGTTGATATGTGTAGACGTAAGCTTGTCTAGTTCTTTTTTTTTTTTAATTTGTCACAATATTGTACACCGCTGTACCCGCTGACATTGATGCTCCTTGCCACTTTGGGTGTTGCTGGAAGAGAACTCTTTTAGAGTTAAGCTCGCCTTTGTACATTCTCTTACCTCTGTCATATTTTTATGTATTTTTTTTAATGGGTGAAAATGGCATAGTAACGTAAGTGGACGTCGACCTGGTTGGGTATATTGCTAGCAATGGGATTCTCAGTCTCCATTACTAACAATCCCTTTCCCGCCATTATTACAATATTTTACATTGGTGTTTTT